TTCTCGGTGGTATAAAGACTGCCGAACCAGCATCTTCCCATAAGCCGCCCTTGGTCCGCTTGTCGCTTATGGAGTGATTAGTTGAATCCCAGTTTTCGTAAGCTGTAATACTCCGTGGCCAGGTCATATATTACTCCGTAATCCGTGCTACGTAGCCTTCTGTGGCGATCCTGTGAAAAGGGATAGTTTAGTGGAATACAAATGAAGACTCACTGGGTGTAGCCTGTGCCAAGTAAAACTTATTCCGTGCCGACCACCGAAGACGGCCCAAAGGATGATCCTTCTTACACACGCCTACTCTCTGCCTCCTCCTCTTTTCTTTTTATTTCTTTTTTTTGTTCGTTTCTACTGGCCTGCTTGCACATGTCAGTTGAGTCACGGACAGGTTCCGTAAGAGATTGCTATGTACTGTACTTCGTAATGATTCATGTTCGTACTGCTAGACAATATCCCTCCACCCTTCCCTGCGCCCCCAGACCTGCGAGATCTAAATCGGTCAGCTAAAACTGGTTCTCGGTGTCTCCCAACTCAGCCATGTGATTATGAAGTCACTAGGCACTATGCCTATTTTAGGGCATGGGTTGCATGCCCCGTGGAACCCCCCACAGCAGTGATCTTGGGGAGGGTGTGAGTATGCGTATAATTGATACAAGGTTGCGTGTTTACGAGGTTGCTGGGTGGCGGAAATATTACCTGCGGCGGCAGCCTCAGTCGTACTCATAGATGGCCCACTATGAGTTATTGAGACCGGGCGTTTCTCCTGTCAGGACATGGCACAGGCTCAGCGAAACAAAGTCTTGCACGGAGCAGGGAGGCTATTCTTGGGACCGGTCCCTGTACAATTGCACTTGTAGCGGCGACAGCCATCAAAAGGGGATCTGCGATCACCGCAGCAAATAGATAGGCCCAAGATTATCCTTCTCCACGAATATTCGGCTGAAACGGCTAAGAGAACACGAAATGTACTTCCTGTTTTGCTCGGAGGGGTGCATCAGAATATTATTTTCTTTCAGAATCCACTTCAAAAGCAAAAGTAAAGCACTTTTGGATTCCGAAAAGCACGAATACCATGGCTAAACCTGACTATCAAATGGCCTTTTATTTTTCCTTATTTTTAAGCTGCTTACTGAACGCCGATACTATTCCGAATAGAACATACTCCGCCGACGGGACGGTTATTTGTGGGCAGATCACTGAAATTGCCGCTTCATGAAGTGGATATCTTTGTTTTTCCCCCTCCCTTTGCCCTTTTTTTATCAGCTCGAACTGTACTTTCTGAGCGCAGTATGGGCGCCACATCTCTATTTAAACGCATAGAAGTAGAAGTAGCGTTTCTCAGACATGACCTTTTTCTGAACAGGAAACTCACGGGCTGAGAAAGCGGATATAGTTGCTGGCTTGCCAAATTCAACCCTTCGAACTGGGCAAGCCCGCACGTTGGCTGTAACCAGTAGGTCTCCATAAGACGTGAGATATGGAGCATCTTGTCACTTCCTTCGAGTCTATCAGAGGAAGTAGGTATACGAGATGTAATACGCTACGCGACTCGCCGGTCCTACGTTATTGCCGGCCGGATATACAGACAAGTTTAGGCGACTTTGTGCGGCTCTCATGAGTGACTAGCCGTTATAAGTTTTGATCAAACGGGCGACTGTCAGCCCTATGCAGTGCTGCGTCTCCACGTTGAAGACAACGCTGCGTAGTACTATAGGTATAGTTACCTGATACTTCTGCCCCCAATAGCTCGTAGCCGTTACATATCCCTACACACCTTATCTGCAAAAGCCCTTAAATAGAGTCGAAGAAATGGCCTGAGGTGGGCTTTGATCGTCCTATTTAGTGATGGTATCTGCTTGCCATACTACTGTTCGAACTCCTGCGACGTAGTTATGATTTTTATTTCCATAAAGCATTCATACGTATAAGTCAAAACTTCACTGCCGACGCTTAGAGGCCCGATGATACGTCTGGCATGCCTCGGCATCCAGTGGAGCCTCTCCGCTTATGGAGGAGTCAGGATTTTTCAATTCTCATGCATGAACGGCCTCCTGATAGCCCGCATCCCGCTGTGCTGACACGTTTTGTAAGGAAACTTTACCGTAATAAGCCTGCCATTTTAATATCCCACTGGGTACGGTACAATGTAACAACGTTTCGCATACATGGCTTAGAAAGGTAGTTAGGTAGTAGTAAAGTAGCCTTGATAAGCACAGCCGTTCATGGTATGCAGTAAATAGAGTGGTAACATTCTGTGAGTGAAATTATAATATAAGTGACGTAGGTGATGTAGATTAATTCTATCTCGTTCAGCTCTAGAACGTCTAAATTATGCCTATTAAGCTTCTAATTACTGGATAGAGCGTATTCGTATGCTACCCGACCTTATTTGACTATCCACACCCATTCCATAGTGTTTCCATGTATAGCTGAAGAGATCATATTTCACATCCTGACGATTATTTATTGTCGTCGTTGTATAACTCCGAGATTGATATTTGTGCTTTTTACTCTGTAGAGCAAGCTGTAAGAGAGGACTTTTTTTCTTTGTCGTTGCTATTATTGCTATGTGACCATGAGGGAAGTGAGTGCTTTGCTATTGGTCCGCAACAGTATCTACGGCCACGACTGCACAAACCTAATAGCAATGCGACCGATCAATCAAAGCGATGAGTCCTCATCTCTTTGCGACGGTTTGAATGCTTCCTAGCTTTCTTTTGCAATGTTCCTTACATCAACTGAACATGATGTTGAGTCAACTAAGGTAGATATGGGCGCACTACATTGACAGACTATCGTGTAAAGCGTATAATTTGGCTCTCGTCCTAAGTACTCTTGAAGCATCTGGAGCCAATGTGGATGATATTCCCCAATATTCTAAAATTTTGTAACGGAAACAATTCCGAGCTTCTCGATTATGTAGATCTTTTGCAAAAGCTTCTTGAAAAACGTCTTGGGCGTACGCTAGACATCTGGAAATAGTGAACATGTTAGATCTCGCTATAGCGACTTCAGTAAAAGTCCTACCTCAGATAGCCATAGTAACTCATGTCATATCCGCTCAAGAGATGTCCGAACGTCGCTTCTTCATGGCCAATGTTCCGTGAACGTGTCATATCTAAGCCTTCTATTTCTTCTTGTAGATCATACCAGAACTTGCCCAAGTCGATTTGTTCTCTTTCTTCGTGTGTCTGAGGGGTATGGATTGAAGATCGAAAATCGATACAACCCTGAAAAGATAGTTATTTTAGTAAAGATACCTACGATATATATGGGAATTAGAGACTCACAGAATGTGCAATAGCCTAAACCTACGATGCGTATTTCTGGACTTGATGCTTTCTACTAGATCATATGGTATCCGAGAGGGTGGATCTTGTGCTTCAGGATGCTTTCATGCTACTCAGATAAATGTCGTGGGCTGAGACGCGGATAATGACAGCTGAGGTGCTTCGAAATCTCGCGATCCCAGCATCAATTTTCTAGGAATGTGCTCGGCATTTCTCCGAAGCCAACAAGAAGTTGAGTGCCATGGAATCGCGAAAATTTCGTACGAGATATTAGATCGTGGATGCCGTGGCCGAGCTATATATTTTCTTAATGTAACTACCTAAATATCCACAAGTAAATTTTCAGGCGCATTATTATACCATGAAATAATGTTACAACCTCGCGATTCTTGAGCAGCACACAACTTGACTCATTCGAGCGTGTAAAGCTACATATGAGCAGCGTAGCCGGGAAGTTTTGAGCTCATTGGCTAGGCCATGGCCAGCAGAAATAAAACCAAGTAGCTTAAACTGAACCCAAAGCCTTGATTCAGGATCTAGTTCTTCGTCTTTATTAGCGGCTGCTTGCAAAAGTGCAAAAGATCTATTCGGCTGGTCCAAGTGGCCACAGCATCATTAAACAGCCTGTCTGCCGCGTTTACGGCATCGTGTGTCACTTGACTGGGTGCACGGAATGACCTCTTTGAATACCATCGCGATTATTGTTGGCATCAATTACAAGTTTTCCAGGAGCTCTATCGGATTCATAGTTTGGGATTCGACGCGAAATAAATATTAAAATTATGATAGAAGTCGTTATTACTATGGTTGTCAGTGTATAGCTTCTGCTATTGCGTGGTAATACAAGGAGTATATTAGATGCCAAATATCCGGACTTCGAGTCTGGCTGTGTCCTACCTCTAATCTCACAGGCGCTCTAGCTGCTTAAAAGCAGTCCTTCTGTATTTACAACTCTTAAAATCATCACCGGTATAAGCGTGAGATATATAGCTATTTAGAAACAAGTGTCTTGAGCGATTGATTGGCCAGCTTCGGCACGAATGAGAGGTATAGATCTGATTGCATTCTCTGTCGCAAAGTTAAAGGGAAATAGTACTCCATTTGAGATTCTGCTACAAACACATAACCTCGCTAGGATAAAGACAAAAGCGTCAAATATCAAAAGTTTATTAATCCAGCAACCACATTGTCACTTTTTGGTAAAGAATGTGCGCGGAATGCAGACGATAGCTAAAATGCGGCTGCGTGCCGAGGATTATGTCCGCACAAACTCGGATCTAGAGCGCTGCTAAAGTATGACACCTTAAGTTCACAGTCTCGCCTAAATTCGGTCGAAAGTGGAGAAAATAGAGCTTTTCAAATGGCTTTGAAAGAGGACGTTATCGAAATAATCAATAGAGAGTTTAAGCTTTTGTAAGGATTACTTATTGTTAATTCTGTACCTTGCATTGCAATTTCCTGGATTCGTTTCATAGGTTGTTCACTGTGATAGCGTGAAGCAGAATAGCAATCAACGTTCAACTAGTGCTGAGCTAATGCTTCTGATCCTTCACTATATAAACCTAGCAATAACTCGTTCATCATAATATGCTGTGTATAAATCAGAGCCCTCGGGCGAAGTGTATTGAGGAACTCCGATGGAATTTTCAATCTGTTTCTTTGTACTTCATCACCGATACAATATAAATATTTATTTTTATCATTAACTATGCGATGGATGTTCTCTTGATCTGGCCATTTCTTAGCTTGATTGCAGGGGCTCCTGTAATACTTGAGCTCTGCAAATCACCAAATTATTCTCTAGGTGCTTATCCAAGGCGCCAATCTGCATGGAGATCATTAATTAACGATCAATCTTGGTGGATGAGAGCTGCGTTACCTATGTACTTGTTGCATCAATTCGAAGAACACGGTTATGATATTCTGGGGAGGCGGTACGCATTTCGGTCCCATTTCTGTGATCAACTTGTAAGCTCCTTTCTCTCCTTCCTCTCTTTGTCCTTTCATGTTTAAGATTTATTATCGCCGAAAACAGATGTTTACAAAACCGTTCAAAAATCAGGGCTTCGAAAACATCGAAGAATGTCCATTGACGCCACTAGTTATACTCTTTGTCAACAGCACAACAGTGTGGGTGACTGCGATTTTCGCTCGCACAAGGATTAACGTCGCCAGAAGCTTTTACGGGTTTGCTTTCATAAACGGATTAACGCACGTAATACCATCGTTAATGGACGGACTAGCCTATAACCCAGGCCTTGTGACAACCTGGCTATTGTTCTTCCCTGGGGCATATTTGGCGCTTCGATTGCTTGGAGGAGCAGGAAGAGGAATTGCATCTGGAATTATATGTCACGTTGTCTTGATGGGCTCGATGAAGCTCGCTGCTAAAGGTTATGTTAATGAGTGGGCTCTTTGCAGTGTTCAGGTATTGAATACCCTATTGTTAATTAGTTTTCAATAAAAAGGCAGAGGGTTACTACTTCCAAATTAACAACTACAGGAGAAGATGCCATTTTAAATGCCGACCTTAAATATTTTATTACTCAACCTTCCACAGCAATTTTTTAATCTTATAAAAGCTGCTGCTAATATCCTCGATGATTGTCGATGTTTCTGTCGAAAAGACTTTGGGTATCTAGGCTACAAACACATATCCCTAAGCCAAGGCTGCGGAGTATCTTTAGTTTCATAGAATTGACCATCTCGACATTGATGGTACTCCCTTTCGGTACTTTTGTGCTTGCTGCAAAGATTAAAAAGCCTCATTGAATGCTTAAGATTCTTCAAGGTTTGTTCACACTGAGTGTTATTCATTATCTAACGTGTGACTCTTCAAAGAAAATGATTGCGTAGGCTGTCATCTTCTTGTATACGTGAGCTACAATGTATTTCCTCAAACGGTCGTAGAATAAATGATGTGATTGGCAGTGAATCTGGTTGAAGGTGCAACTTCAACTCAGTGGCCTTACGTCTATTACTTTGTATCAAAGTACACTAAACTTAGCGCTTCTGTGTATGTAAATATCATAGTTTCTATATGTATTTTGTTTATCCTAGCATTAATCGCCTTGCTATTTTATGATAAATGGATTGATAGCGACACAGATCGTGATATGGTTCTCGTCCTTTTACTCTGGTTTTTTCTGAAACGAACATGGCCTATAAAGTAGATATTTCCAAAAACTGGCTGAACAAGATAAGATGCCATTTTATTCAAACAGCCACCATAATCACCTTAACATATAATAACCGCAAGTGTCTAAGAGGGTAGGCAGGCCTGTGCTTCAAGCCTATCCTTCATTCATCGGCTTAGCGCCTTCTCAAGTAACACCAATGATGCCCACATCGTTTTTGCCAAGTAGCACTAGGGCTGAACGCCAAGCTGGGGAATGACGACATGCATGATGGGTGTGAGAGATGGCTTCTCTACTTGTAATAAATTTGAAATACGTCTGTTTTGTAGAAAAAGAGATAGTAAGGATGTTTGTTGCAGTAAAACCGAGCGGGGATCCTTCCATAGGCACAAGTATCCTTGACTAGTTAGATCGAATTTAGCAATATTCAATTTAACCTCGATGGGGTAAAAGCCGGAAAATGCTAATAAGGGATTTATTAAATAGTATTCAGGAACTGTGAAAACAGGTTATGCCAACCCAAGTATCTTTCAACACGCCATCTTAAAGTAAGATGAAGCATACTTATGCATAGAAACGCTTGGACTCCTAATAGCCTGACGGAAATGACCAATCACATTTTTCGCTTTGCAAGCGCGGATACCGCTCTTGGAATTTGATTAAGCCACAAACGAGGGAAACCAAGCTCGAATGGCCAGGTAATGGAACTACTACCTATATCGTGGCTCTAAAAAAACCTTGACTGGGACAGTTACTGCTCTACGTCATTCCAGAGCAAAGACTATACGTCTAGAGACTCTTCGTGTGCGATTATGAACTCAACTCCAGCACCGTACAAGAATTCTCAGGGGCTAGAATCAGCGGGGACATAACAATGTACAAGTATGCCACTAGTGGAATTCTAAAGTGGTTCCCCTCGTTGTATAAGCATCATTAAGTAAGTGTAAATATGCTCTCCAATGGATTATGACGCATTTCGTGAAAAATGGTCTACTTGTTATTGAAGTTGAATGAAACATTTGAGTCGTCATCACAACTATCACTCGTTTTACGAATGGTGCGTCTGCTGTCATTGAAACTGAAATATTTGAATTGTCATCACAACCACAGTCCTGCAGCAGGCGGTGGATGCGTTCGTTGCGACAGGGAGGCAGCTCTACTTGCCCAGCTTGTTCCTAGCTACAGCGTACCAGCATAGTCTCTTGTCATGCTTGAAATTTTGTCATTATTGAATTAGTATAAGATCATCTGAGCTTATTGAGCGTTTCACAGATCTTTATCGTTATCCCATAGCACCATCCTTGATTGCCCCCAAAAAGATACTCCATATCGTTAAATCAGACCCATTTGATCCTCAGCGTGAAAAAGATGCAACCAATATCGCCAAGATGTATATGTACACGTTTATACTCAAAACAAAAGCTTTCTCGCTCTCATGCTAACTTGCTCTCTTTGATGGCATACGTGATGGAGGGAACCTTGCGAAGGAAAACTTCACAGGTTAACAGCAGCAAATAGTTAATCAAGTATAGAATGGCGACTAGCGCTACCGCTCCTGCCAAGAACCAAGTCCATGGCCGAGTCCCCAGCCACATCAGGGCATGAGCGTCTGCCTTGTGCCAAGTAGCGCTCTCGAGATCGGTAATGTATGAAGTCAATTCAGTAGGATGGATGACCTCTACCGTCGGCGAAGGCAAAGAGGGCTGTCCAAGCAGGTAGTCTTTAACCACGAGGCTGAGGAACAGCGGGCCAGAAGACATCATGATGTTGGCGTAAGGCTGTAGCTCAGCCCAAAATCGAGTGATGTCGTAAAATAATGGCAGCTTGGAGACCGCGGCTGCGTAAGCGGGATGTCGCGCGGTCGAGATCATAAAATCGTTTGTCACGCCAGTTGGCAGCGTTGACTTGAAGAGAGCATAATGAGGCGACGGGCCAGCTTCGAGCTGCTCAAGAGGGATGGGCTCGTTACAGAAAGTATCCATGTCGAGGTAGATGCCTCCATAGTGGTGGAGAACGAAGTAGCGGATGGCATCGGCGCGCTGGATAGGGAATGCATAGCCATCCCAATTCTCCACGAACCAAGGATATTCGGCAGAGATGAAGTCGCGAGCCGACTCATCAGTCCACAGCTGAATGATCTCCAGTTAGTAACGATTCTAAACAGCCTGCAGACGTGTGCCGCAACAACAAATGCACTCGGTTGGGAACCACTCCCCCCCTTTCCACCATTTCGTAGCCTGGTCTGGCTTACCTTGTACTCAAAGTCAGAATAGGTTTCTTTGCAGCTCTGCTGCGATTTAACCCATTTATCAGGAATCGTGCTGTTGGCGGTAGTCTGGTGCAGAATGCGTGGAATCTTTTGTCGGTCTAGATCGCCTGAGTAGTACGACGCGCCCGCGGTGCCGTTGAGAGGCAGTGTGACTGTAGGCGTAAACAGTTCTTCGTTCCTGCGCAATAGAGTAATGAGAGGCTCAAGCGTATAGAGAAGCACTCCCACGATGGCCAGGTCGACGACCAAGAGCAAGAAGACCGCCATCTTGGTCAACCTCGGCAACCGCAAATACTTCATCGACCATCTCTGGCAAGATGATGGCGAGTCGCCGCCGTCCTGGCGCTCTTCGTCGAAAGGCATCCTGCAGTTTGACATTCTGGAGGCCAGCCGCCGGAATTACTGTATGATGGAGTTCCAGGATGAATGTAGAGATGGGGCTGGGAATGTATAAACGTTTTGGTTCCCGCAGAGCACAGGCTTTTAATCTGAATAGAACGCAAAACCATAGGCACGGGCCCAACAGCGTAGCAGTGAATGGAGCATGGCTACTGCTATAATAGCCTGCCTTCCCCCATGGCTAGAGCACCAGAAGGTCAGCCCTGAAGACTTTGATTGGCCACCAGGGGTACCGCCGAACAAGGGATCCGATGCGAAGCTCTAGGGGGTCCAGGCCTAGGGAGAGTGTGGGAACCAGCAGCCCTTAGAAGCATTCTTAGTCTTGTGCGTTAAGACTAAGTCAGGTACGCGCCAAGGCTAGCAGCAACGCCTAGCCGATCTCAGATTAATCAGAGTCTTCCCCCCGGCCCCTAACCCCCACTGGCATTGGTAGCCCTGCTCCAAGACGGCCTCCAAAAGGCTTGGTGGGCATTATACGTGTATCTCATGGCCAAAATCTGGTTGTTCCGTGTGATTAAAGCTAAGTCGCGGCCTCTTGCCAGCCCTCGGCCTGGAATTTCTTGGCGCAGAGCGCAGCCTCACTCGTCGTCAGCATAATGCCAAGCATCATGATGCCGGGCGACTGAGCGTCATGTCTCGCCACAGGGTTGCCCTCCAGACAGTGTACTGGGCAGGCAGGTAGGGTCCATTATCGGTGTCGGTTGAACTGACGCGCGTCCAGGCGCTGCACTTGTCCTTATAGGCGTGCGCCGCGTATGGCTTTGGGGCCGTGTGGGTGATGTGCCCGGCTGGCGATAGCCACTGAACCAGGCTCGGAGATTACTCGCTGGAGTCGGTTTTGCACTCTCGCACATGGCGCTCCACGTTGATTCTCTTTAGCGATGGACCCTTCCCGTGGCGGCCACCATGGCGTACACAAAAGCGCAATTTAGCCGGCCTCGCGCATCCAAGGTGCGACTAGTAGAGCCCCCTGCGGATGAGCGTTGCAAGCACAGCGTTCCACGATTGGCGAGGTTCGGGCCGCGCGACATGAGGCCAATTCACTCAGAAGCGGCCCTCACAGCCGTCTCCCTTCAACAGTCGTGGCTGAGCATGGCCGTATCTGTATATGGATTCAAGGTGATGGAAGCGCCATTCATGGCTGGTCCCCAAGGCTTGAGAGCGCTCGTATGCATGCACTCGCTCCGTCGTGAGGAAACAGGTCGATAATCCCTATTGCGGGGGTCAAGGGAGACTAGCGTCCAACGCCGTGTTGGGAAAAGTGGAAGATCTGGGATGCAGTTAGCCGATTGGGAGAGACCCGCGGCGCTGCTCCATCCATTGGAGGCCTGTTAGCGACATCGTCTCCGCGCCTTCAAGCACCGTTGGCTTCTGGAATGACGCCGACCGGCATGAGGGATATACTCGTGCGAACATGCTAGCAGCAGCAGGCGAAGCTGAGGAGGTTGCAAGATGACGGAGACTCAGCAGCCAGCGAGTCAAAGGCGAGGAGATGAGGGTGGAGGGGGATCAGCAGGAGGAGGGGAGAGACTGTGGAGGGCTCTACTGCATGTGGGAGAAAATTGGCACGTGTTCTTAGCTCGTGATAGTGCAGGTACCTACTAGTAGCAGTAGCGTGCTGTTGCTTGCAGTATTGATACCCTTAGCTCCACGGAATTCATACTGCATGCAGAGTACGGGGTACGCTTCCCGCAGAGTCGTCAGAAGTAATGATACTAGTCCCAGTAGCAGCACCACTTATACATCACTAGCCCGGGATACCACGCTTCTGTCTGGGGCCAGGACCCCCCTTGGATGATGCCGTATTATGTAGCACTGCTAGTATGACACGAACCGCATCTAGCTGGCGGCGATACGCAGCCAGACTGACGGATCAAATCACCTACTTGTCTTTAGTTAGCATTGCTCGTAATGATTATAAGTAGCCGTACGGAGTATATAATATCCAGCTCGAGAGCAGGATTCCTGGAGTATCGTTCGTCATATCCAATGTAGGCAGTGGAGAGCGGCGGTGGCTTTAGCTAGTCAACAGAAAGGCCCACGCTCGTCCCTCTGGATGGCAAGCGGCGACACCTTTGCCATTTCACCGACGCTTGTGCTGCTCTGTGTAGGCGATGACATGCGATTTCATCGGAAGACACTACTATATACGCCTGCCTCGGCAGCACCGTACCAATAGTGACGTCGAGGCGCGATACAACACCAGCGACAAAATTTTCCTCGCCTTCGATCCAAGCAAGCCATCGCATACCTTGACGCCTGCGAGTCCTCAGCTACAACACCGGACTCACCGATAGGACCTGGAAAAGCCCACGGGCACCATCCCATTCTGGAGGACCCTCCTCTGCCTGTGACGGGTTGTCTATCATGAGGTGTCTATGACGAAGGATCGCCCTATGTCGATCTCGCTGCCTTGCTCGTTGTTCCTGCCAAGAAATTGCTTGGCCAACTACTGGCCCTGACTATGTTGCTCGTAGAATGGCTCCAGAATGCTGCTATTCGCAAGGCTGGCAGCCACGCCGATTGTCTTTTCGCTGGCCTGGGCAGTGGCATTATCGGTATCTTATCGGCCTCTTATCGCTATAGTGCTAATGCATGCTGTATGTCTTCCGCTATCTTGACCGTCGCAGCATGCAGCATGCCAATGGTGTATGTATCAGCAGATTCTCCTGCATTAGACGCACCCACCCTGCCAAAGGCTGAGACATCTCCGCGCAGAAACAGATAATCATCGTACAGAGGCGCTTTTCCTGACTCGCTGGAGCCAGTTTTTTCTCCATGTCCAGTGATGTGTTTTGTTTTGTTTTGTTTTGTTTGCCACTACGGAGAGGTCAGGCTCGGCCCATATACAAGCGCAATCAGCCCCATCTTTTGCTGCACGTACCTTAGTCACGTGTAGATGTGCGTTTTGACACGACTTTGAGCTGAGGGGTCGTGATTCGTTTCGAGGCATGTTTTGAGGCTGATTCACAAGATTCCAACGCGCAATGTCATCCAATTGTGCTTAGTTTCTAGCCTAAAATCCGGTGCAGTGCAGTGCTCAACGCCGCCACTAGAAGCCATCACAGTACCAGAAGTCGTCGCCTGCAATCTATACCTGCGCTATGGCCTTGTTGTGGCCGACCTTTGCTGTAGACTGTGCTCTTTGAATCAAGTAACTGAGAGCTGCTCTCAGCGCGAGATAAGAGGCCTATCATGACTCAAAATTCTTCCGAGTGCCAGGTGCGGAAATGTTGGCCCGCTGATCTGAGCACTGAAGGAAGAATCTCGAGCTAACATGCGCCACGATTGGCCAAGATTTGAGTAGGCGTTGCACCTTTCTGATGGTAGCAAGTGCACGAAAGAGGCTACACATGCCAACGGAATCTTTTGCTGGTTCCATTCCAAGCAAGTCTATGGTCTCTATAGGGGATACAAACGCCGCAATGCTTCGCTGGATGCGCTGGATGACGAGAGCCCTCCCTACCTAAAGAAAGCCAAAGTTACCCTGGCCAACCAGACATTTGAGGACATAGAAGACGAAAATACTCTAAGAGAAGTGCATTCCATCTATTTGAGATATATGTCCTCATTGTAAAAGTGATTGATGCCCGCAAGCTTCATCATCGCACTTCTACTCGCTACAAGTCGATTATGGGCATCAAGCATATATTGATAAGCTCAGTAGCCAGCGCCACAACATTCTTCAATCTCTAGAGAGATTGGAAAAGCGTACTGCTGATCTACTCTATCGAAAAGAACAATGGTTCGCTTGGGTACGCAAGGCCCAGGAAGAAGAGGAAGCAACCCGGGAGAAAGAGCAGAGAAAAGTCAAGCAGGAAGCATCCTTGTTCAAGCGTTACCGAGACAAGTTGCGTGCGAGACTGGAACGAGCTAGGCGAGAGGAAGAAAAAAGAAGCCAAGATGTGTACCTCGAACAAGCTTACCAGGAGCGCATAGCTATGTTAGCGGATGAGACAGACAATGACGAAGATTGGGATCCCATTAAAGACATGAAACTCGATAAACGGACCCAATACATTGACTTGATCAAACACTTCCTCTGGATGGATGCTGAAAGTACCGATGGCAACGAAGGGGATGACTCGGTCGACCCAGTGGCCACTTCTACAGAGGCCCTTCCAACGGAAGACAGCCAAGCCCCTTCTAAGAAAGCAAAGAAACGGTCGAATGCCAAGAGAAGCGCCACGAAACCTGGCAATTCAGGTGTTTCTGCTGCCGCAAGTATAGCCGATAGAGGCCAGAAGAGGCTTATGGCCATACAAGAAAGCAAAAAAGCTAGCACAAATGCTGACCAACACGTGCCGGACAAGAAAAATATAGAAACAGAACGTGAGATGAGAAAGCGTCTCAGCGAGGGGGTTGAAAAGAAGATGGAGAACATTTGGGGCTTCCAACTCGTAGGTTCATTGGAAAATCCTCACGAGACCCATACCAGAACGGCACCGATGACGGATGATGAGATTGAGTCCGCTGTCAAGGATATCAGGGAGATCAAATTGCTGCTCTTCTGCCGGCTGCTGCTTGCACAGGCTTCCATGCTACCGGCTGCGCTTCGTTCCAGCAGCGTGGAAGAGTTTCTCAATGACGCTGAGATAGTTGACTCGGACTTGCGAGACCTCTGCTTAAAGTTGGAAGATCCTTCTCTGCAGCAAATTCGAGATGCATGCGCTGATTTCGCACGTGGAGATGATGCGGAAGAAGATATTGACAACGCCTCAGACGAAAGTGAGACCGAGGATGAAGATGACGATACCTTTGCTGACTTGATGTCCGACAATGACCGATATGCACACCTCCATACCGACAATTGGCTAGTGGAAAAATTGTTCCCCAGCGAGCTTAAGCCTCGCAAGGAGAAAGCCGGATCCTCGTCGCAGAAGACTCGAGTTACTATTTGTGGCAAGAGTGTATGGAACCATGCCAGCGAAAAGGCAATGTCTCGAGACGGCTGGTTGCAGTTCTCCATTATAGCCAAAGACTGTGATCTTAAGCATGCCATTCAGCTTTGCCGGAATTGGGCCGAGTTTTCTGACTTGAGCCTGCTCACCCTATGACAGTATTTCCCTGCTTCAAATTGGGCATCCTGGGGCAACAATAGGCTTATTCAACAGCTGCAAGAGCTAGAGTTCTTCCCCTACTTCATCGATCTCGATGCTCAGCAACACAGCCGCCATCTTCAAGTTGGTGGCCGGAGCAAAATTCGGCGCCAGCATGATATAATTGAGACGAGAAACATTATTGTCGGCCACATGAAGCGCAGTGATCCCGTCACTTGGCGTTTTCTGCAGTACATTACCATGCGGACTGGAGAGCTATTGGTCCTTGTAAGAGATGGCAAAACTGGTCGCGTGATAACGGCACCTCCTGAGGAGCACCTCTGGACTTATCGTAGGAAGCAAGGGATTGGAAGAGCTTCGAAGAACGAATGGGACAATGTTCTCGAGGTGGGCCCTGATTACTATGATATGACCGACTCTCTGAGAGAATGGCGCTTTGGATTTCAAGACTATTATGACGTTTTTATCTGGAGCTTTGTGCCGGATGAACCACCGATGGATATGTATACCGTTGTGGTAACAGTAAGTTTCGTTCAATGCCATACGGCTGCAAGGAACGTATTATGCTAATTTATCTTGTCCCCCCCCCCAAAAAAAAGGAGCTTCGTACGGCATGGCGCCTTACACATCCACGAGATGTATATCTTCACATGGAACCGCTCTTGCGGACATTGACCAGAGAGAAAGATACAATGCGCACTCGCAAAATAAAGGCAGGTGAAGATGTTGAAAGTATCTGGGACACTGTGACAAGCGACCAGGTCGAATTCAGAGCTTTTAATATCCAGGAAGGGAATATTACTTCTCGAGCCACTCGCGAGCTGGGTTCTTCCCCGTACTTGTTCTACAACAAAGCCAATGTTGTTGAAGATGAAGTTCTATTTCCAGATGAGGCGGCTTCTAACAAGAAGAGAGTACATTTCCGAGAGATTAGAAATGGTGTTAGTCGCATTGAGACTCCAAATTTACCTAGCCGCATCCGACAGCTCGAAAGAAGCCTGGCGTTGGCTCGTGAGGGTAAAGATCATGCCGCCGCCTTTGAAGAAACGTTGGACAGTGATGAAGGTAGCATTTGGGCCCTTCCTAGGATATGGCAGACTGGCTTCGGACAGCTCCGCCAGGGCACTCTTTCAGTGCAACAGCGCAAGCTTCTCAATCACACTGGCCTCGACACGATCAACCAGAGTCAGCTGTTAGCTGATAGATCGGAAGATGCAGACTTTATGGAGATTATGGAACGTGACAGGTCATTTGGTAAGTGATTATGCAACCAAATGCTTTGAATTAAGATACTTATTGCTACGAATAGGATTTAAAGAGTCGTTTCACCAGGGAGATCTTGAACCAGGCAGTAGCGAGAAATATTTCCAAGTTCAAGATAAAATTGGCGCTCTGCTCAAAACTACCCACACTGGAGCGACTGACTGGGTTTTATTCCTTGTCGAAATCCTTGACTGGCTTCAGATTCGAGCAGACTACGACGATTATGCTGATGATCCAGCTGCTCCATGGCCTCATCCTTTTGTTGTTCAGGATTTAGTCCAAGCCTTCTTGATGGTGGCCATGTTTTTCCCAGAATCAACTGTAACGGACAAAGTAACAGCATTCTTGGAATCCGGCGAATGCGAAAGCTTCAAAAAGTCTCTCTTGTTTAGACCACAAGAACGTAGTCAATCTCTGCCTGATAGAAAGAGCCGGACAAGCTACAAGTTTCGCGATAAGAAGTTTTGGGATGAATGGAACAAAGCTGCGAAAGGTCCAGGACACTATACGGAAACCTTTCCTCTCGAATGGAGCATTGCCATCCGCCCGACTATAGCCAAACGTTAGTCTCCCCTGTTTTACCCGGCTTCATAAGCTTCAATAGTGGTAATTGCTTACAAGTTGCAGTGTACCGGGCAGGAATTATCGCCCCAGCCTACCACCAGAACGATCCGCAAATTGTCCCCGGAGTGGCAGTGGCAATGACAGAACCTCATCGTCCAGACACATTAGATCTTTTCATCTGTTACGAGGACCGATATAATAACTTTCCAACGTTGTTTCCACCCTTCTTCTCCGGTCCGGAGAAATGGACAAAGCTGTTGCCTCATGCTCAGGCGTTTGCAAGCAAGCATCAAGGTGCGCGCTTCGCTCTCCTTCGGCTCTGGTCGGCACCACACTTTTATCCCCTCATGGTCGGATTACAGAACCGGCAGGGCAACAGCTTCCTTGACAGCGTCGGCCGTCCCTGGGAGTGGAAGTTTGTGCCTAAAGATATGCCTGGTAGCGAGTTCAGCATACACCATACCATAAGCAAGAGGCTAGAACTGTTGGAAGAGCAGTTTGAAGACCGTGTGTTTACTAGAGGTGACTTAATCCTCGTTATGGGAGAGGATGCAACGGATTTATTGAAATACTGTGTGGCCGTGACATTCGCTGTACAGACGAAGCCATGGCTGAGAGAAGTTGATCTGTGGAAGAGCTTTATTAATGTCGAGCTAGGTTTTCTGCAGCAGTTGGATCCTTTTTGGCTAGATTAAATACATCACACGGCTAGTTGATATCACGAAAATATCTTCTACTTTCACAAATACCTAGTAGCATAATGAGTTTTAACGGCGAGAGCAAAGCTAGCGTCTATTGAGCTGGGCGAATCAGAGGTGCATGAGGACTGCTGGTAATATGAGTAATACGCTGTTCCCGATGTTTTCTTATACACCAATCATCTGCAATTTGGATAGAGACTTACTAAGATGAATTTCAGGCTGCGTTGAATTTCTGGGCAGCGCGCGTGAATCTAACTCTAACTTGCAAAGCCTTGCTACAGCCTTATGCAAGGGATATCAACACAGGTATCCATGTACCATGCGGTACATGGATATAAATTGCGAATGCGACCCCCCTCAAAATTTCCCCGCTCATAGAGCCTCGTACTTTCCACATCATTTTTACCACTGATACTTCGTCAATCAGCTTAACTACAAGGTTCTCTCTACTCTGCCAGCTCTTTTGTGTGGCCATGGAAGATGGCACGTCGTCAACATATGCCCAACGACAAAATCAGGCAGAAGATGAAAATGACAAGCTGTCACAGGCCAATTTGGCTGGAGGAGCTGAAAGCATAGGTAAATAGTTTCTGATGGCGAGGGCGCAATCTCATTCGACTAAAAGCCTTCCCATCACTGGTCCATTGGCTCTCTTCTCTCGGTCAATATCATTGCCTAGGTGGTCTAATTGCCATATTTATAGACTCCACTCTCTACTCACCACTGCCTTGGGAGCTTATTCAGAATGTAGTGAGCTATCTGGATAATCGCTCAATCAAGAGTTTACGTTTGACCTGCCGACTCTTTAGCGGTCTCAAGCTTCGTATAAATCGAGTCTTTATTTCCCCGCATTCGGTTGACATCCTAGCCTTTTATGCTATTGCCGATAGCGATGTCTATCGCCACGACATTGTCGAGATTGTTTATGACGATGCATTCGTACGCTGTCCTGCTGATTACAACGACAGGATTTACGACCTTGCCGTATTCCAAACAAGATTCATGGATCCGGAACAAGTATGGCTTCAATTTGAGGTAGATGACAATATCGAAGAAATAAATAGGCGTTATGGCACCGACGTCAAAGTGCTTTCTGAACGCCTCGGAGAAGCCCGACGAGCAGGATACAAATTCTCAATGGAAGATGCAATGCAACTTTTGATATATCTACAGAGTGAACAACAACATAATATCGGTACTGAAGCTGATGCTAAGGCGTTTCGGTGTGCTCTAAGGCACTTTCCCGCACTGCGTAAAATCACTGTTACGCCTGCGGCTCATGGGTCTCCATTTCATCCTCTTTACGAGACCCCTACGATTCGATCTATTCCTCTTGGAATGAATTACCCAATCCCTCGCGGCTGGCCAACTCGGCGCGGCAATAACCCTGTCATGTTCGCAACACCCTGGGAGGAAGAAAAAGAGATATGGCGCGGCTATAATATGGTAGCAAAGATTTTGGCTGAAGAGAAACAACACCATCACGTCTCCGAATTCATAATCGACGCCCACTATATTCACACCGGCCTTAACTGCCGCCTCTTTGAGCAGCCATGCGAGGAATATTCCAATTTCCAGACTATTCTTCAGCAACCCAACTTCAAAAAGTTGCAATTGTCGCTCCATGTGAATGGACAAGAGCTGCCAAATGTCGATTGGGCGGCTTTTCGCAATAATCTGTTGCGAAATGCCATAGCAGAAGCTTCACAGCTAGAGCATTTCAGCATGGAGACAAACTGGGATATGGATATCCTAGACCGTCGTATCCAGCCACCGACGCTGCAAACATTCCTCCCTATTGAAAGCTGGACAGCACTGCAGCACTTTCGACTGTGGAACTTCCCACTACGCAGCGCCGACTTGATATCAACGCTTTCACAACTTACTGGGCTGCGATCTCTTGAGCTGGGATTCTTGGATCTGTATGAAGATGACAACTACCACGATCTCCTTAATGATATGCGTGGCACTTTGCGGCTGCATGAACGGCCCGCGCGGCCAAAGGTTAGATTGGCTATACCCATACCTGATCCTTGTACTCGCAGCCGCGCGAATTATCTTCGTGGACGCGCGATTTGGCTTGACGAAGAAGTTGAAGAGTTTTTGTATCGTGGGGGTGACAATCTCTTTGTCTCTGGAGAGGATAACTTAGCGTGGACTATGGGCATTGTAAGGGATGCTTTTGATCCAGAGTATGAGAGGCCTTATGTACCTCTGCCGAGAGTGGAGCGCTCGCACCGGAATCCGCTACGGTTTCGTCGGGGTTAAAATTGTATGAAGCTTTTTCAAGAGAAGAAGATGGAATAGAATGGCAATACGGGGTACTCACACTAAGCGGTGAAGTTATGACCTAGTATGGAGTGTTATACGCTTTTGATCCGTGATATATCTACATTGGGGAAAAAATTGATTCAAACTCCAAATAGTATATAAATATGTATTTCCTCATATTATATCTAAAACATGTGGATTTTCTTCGCTGAGTGAAACATAGCCGGTAAAAAGTCCCTATTGTCATTCAAATTCTCAATCGCCTGCCTCAAAACTGTAGGCGTATCCTTCAACACAGTAGCGCTCAAATGTTTATCATAATGTTTCGCCGTCTTTTCAGCCACCTTTTCAATCAGAGGCAGATAGTCCCAGAGTTTAGATTTCTCTTCCGCTTCTTCTTCTTCTACTTCCACTACTACATTCCCCCCTGTGACTGTCATGGAGTCGAAAGATGTGCTTGGTGGCTCTTGGCTTGGCCTCGAGTCTCGATCTCCATAGTTTGATACGGAGTCTTCGGGGCGAAGTTCCTGGTTACCCCACATATCTTGTGCTTCGACGCTTGTGGTGGAATACTGGGAATTGGGGTCTTGTAGAGCTGACCATACGTCATCGTGTTGCACGCTTGATATGGAATCTTGGGAGTACAGCTCTGAAAATGGCTGCGTTAACCTGCCAGCATCATTCGTGTTGTCATCGTTCCTGTTTTCAGCAAAGTCATCCAGATAGTCATACTCATGCTGAATAGGATTGACATGTTCCTCATGGGTTTCAACCCCCTCCAAACCATTCGTTCCGTTCATCTCCAACCCGTTCGTTCCATTCCTCTCCAAACTGCTTCTTGGAGTTTCCTGAAGCTCCTCCTCAGCTTTCTCATCCAGCGGTGCAAGATCACGCATAATGCGACCCACAAGCCTCCTTCTTTTGAGTTTATGCTCTTTGGATTTAAGGAATGTCGCCAGGATTTTGCACATTTCCTCTTTCTTTCGGTTCATGTATCTGTTCCACTCAGTCACTAATCCATCTTCGGGGATGCAATTATTGAAATCAATCTCGCTTGTTGGTATGCGGTAACCATAGAACGGATGTGTAGAGCCTAGTTCGAGATGACAGAGGAACCAGTCAGCATTGGCCACGCCCGAGCATCTCGCAAGGACCCATTCGCCTGCAACAAGTCGTAAATCATCTTCCTGGATAAATTTGATCATGCGATTGATGGTCTTCTCTTCGTCCAGGTCACGAGATTGGGCTTCTCCAGAAACATTATTCACTGCCTCGTTTTCGCCATTGACTTCTTCTAAATCCACAGAGAAGACTTGGTCGGGTTCGGACTCTTCTCTCTTGTCTTTCTTCTTCTTCTTTTCTTCCCGGCTCTTCTTTTCCTTTTTCATTTTTTCCCATAAAACCTTACTTGTCATCTTATGTTCTCGCTTTTTATCTTCCTTTTTGTTCTGCTCCTTCATCACGCGAAAGTCAATCCCATCAATGACTTCCAGCTGTTTTCTCAATATTTCGCTCTTGCAAGAGAACTGGACAATAACTTGTGCAAATCCAGTGCTAATCGAGCAATAGCCAGAGATAATTTGATCTGGACTTGTTGCATGCTCGACTTGTTGCCGTAGACCTTGAAGATCAGCCATCGTGACGATGACGCGCTGAATGTCAAATATACTCTCAATGCCTGCATTGGTAACAATGATGGGATGCGGTGAGACCATATTGGGCGAACCAAAACTAGCTGTCCTTTGAACACCATTTTCCCTATGCTGTTTCTCAATTTTATGCCGTATCCCCTGCACTTTAGCTGGTATCTGGGTCTCAAAGAAACTTGGGTCTTCTCTGACGCCTCGAAGAGATTTTGTGGCCCAATTCTGAAGGTACCTCGATATTTCATCATTTTCACTTAAAGGAATATTGCTTCTAATTTGTGATGTGTCGTTGTCGCCTATTACAAGTGGCACCGGAGCCGAACCTGCTTCTGAAAGCTGCTCGACAAATCTGCTCTTTCTACCCACAGTAGGACTCTCATTTTCTCGGTCTTCTGTTGGTAATGGAACATCTACTGGTTCCGGTGGTGAGATACCTTCCGTTTGATTCGTATTTGGGTCGAAATCACGCCCAAGTTGCTCGTTATTAATAACTGGTATCTGAGCAGGCGGATCCAACACTGGCGGGATATCTGGATTTATGTCAACTTCAAATCTCGGATTTCTGATCGCTGTACTCGACAACAGCCTATTTGGATCGGGTTTGATTTGGGCTGGTCCATTAATGATATATCCGATGAATTTGCTGAGGACTTCAATCTCATACGGCAGTGCATTAGCTCCATTTGAGATATTGCTGCGGCCGCTCAGTTTATCTGCTTTCTCAGCGGCAGTTGGGGCAGCTTTCAGATTCTCTAGATCAAAAGAATAGATGATGGCAGAAATGTAGCCAATCCATTCGACCACCTGCTTCGCTGGTACGGTTTTCTTGAGAAACTCAATCAAGTCGCGCAAAAGTGAGACAAGAGCATGGTAATAGCTCGTAGTTTGCAACATTTTGTCTTTCTCGGTTTCAGCCATAGAGTTGCGGCTATGAAGACGGCTGTTCTTGATTTGGTATGCCTCTTGAGTCGAAGGGTACATTGAGCGCCCGCGAATTGAGCTTCCTTTGCTATAGCCGGCCCAGTTAAAAACAGAGACGTCGTTACGACTAGTGACTGTTTCATCAAACAGCCGACAAAGTGCTTTCTCATATCCTTCGGCAGGAAATGTTGGAAAACGAACGCCCAAGATACCCATCAACGAGTATGCGCGATCAAATGACTTTGTAGTTTTTCGCTTGCATGCCAACGCCATGACCTCTTGTGTGGTAAATCCATGTCTGCGCGTTCCATCTACCCACGAATCCAAAAGAGTGATATTTCCAAACTCGGCAATGTATTGCCGATCGTCCAGGATCAAATCGTTCACCTCGTCGACCAGGACATGTAAGATATGTGCAAAAGTCTTGGCAATTGCCTCTTCCTTTTCTTCCAAGCTTTCGATAGTTTCAATAGAATAATGCTCTTTTGCTTCGGGAAACGAATCCAGAAGCTCTTGGAAAAGCCTCTTCCTTATTTCGAGCTTCACTCTCTTTTCGATTTCTCTCTTTTGCTTCAAAATAGCCTTCTCTTCTCTGTCGCTTCGTTTCTTGCCCATGTTCTCTTGTGTTGCCACTTCTCGAATAACCATTGGATATTTAGTTTGCTCATAGCACTCAGCCAATGCCATGGTGGCAAAGAAAACTGCTTGTGCGATCTCGGTTTTTGCCGTTTCAGAAGATATATCCCTAGGAAAACAAAGCCCCACCAGCTCAAGAGCTTTGATGATAGAAAGTGCATGTGAGACTCTATCCTCTGCGTTCAAGTTATCTTCAAGGCGAAGATGCTCATTTACTTTATAAGCTTTCTGTTTTTCTTTATTCTTCCCATTTTCCTCGACCTGAGGAAATTGACTCGCCAGATTCTGATCCCATATGACAGCAATTTCGCGTAGTAAGGCATCTCCGGAGAATTTGACTTTTGTTTTCTCATTTTGGGCAGGTTCTGGCTTCGTAACATGGAAAACGGTATCCATTATGTTCCAAGGCATTGCAATCGAGGCCAACAGAGCATTACTCAGAGAGAAGCCTTCTTCAACCTCTTCTTCATCAGATTCTTGCTCGATTCTAGGATAAACAGCCTTAATCGCCTCTGTGTACTGAACAGCTCCACAATTCAACAGAGCAGTCATGAGAACTTCTGGTTTCCACGCATTCGGGGTGGGTTTGACGCCGAGGAGGTTGGTATATAGCCCCATGTGTGGAATAAGATGGTATGCTCGCCCCAGATTTTCAACAGGCCGCGGTAATAGTCGCCAATCAGCATTGACGTAATAAGTCATCCTACTCATAACAAGCTCCTGCAGTGTCCATCCTCGGGTCGACCATTCGATTTCTGGTTCCTTCGCGATATCCTCATATTTCTGAATCGAGTCTGTCCTTCGATTGGCGATGGTCTCAAGTTTGTGATAATCGCCATCTGTCTGCAAATACTCATCCCAGTAAATTTCAGCATCAGACTTGTCAGGCAATTTATCAAATCCGGTGTCCAAGTGTACTAGAGTAAAAGCAGATTGGGCATACCAATCTCCCATTAGCGACATTGATTCGGAATACTCGTTATGATTGCTCTTGTCGATGCAGCAGGTATCAAGCCACACATAGAATTTCTGTTGTTGTTTATACCCTGGTACTAGACCTCGCCTGAATATTTCTCCAACCTTTAGAATCGATTGCTCGATCTTGATGGCAGATCTCCATAGACGTAAACAGCGAACCATTTTCTCTACCATCTCACGTAGATCACGGCTGAGGGCATCGAATTTAGCATCGTCCGAATGTTTATCGCGTTCCCACTCGGCATCAAATACCCTCTCATAAGCTGCTTTAATTGCATCTATATCGTCCTCCGTATCATCAATTGCAGGCTGTTGCTCTTCAGGATTGGCCAGTGAAGCTCTGATTCCAGTGTCGTCAATGTTATACTTTGCTTTATTGCTGAGGTCTCTGAAAACTCTGCTTTCCATATCTGTGACCTTTTTATCACGTATCATCTTTTCTAAGTGAGAATGAGCATCTTTAACCTCTTTACGAATCTTTTTGCTGTGGTGATACATCCGAAGAAGAGACAAGACGTAGCAGTCTTTTTGTGCTAACTTCTCATCAAGCCTGTTCTTCACGGCGCAGCCATTGACCTTTTTCCTTTGCTTCTGAATTTTTTCTTTGCAATACTTGAGGATCATTTCAACGTCAGTCCGGTCTGTATTGTACCAAGTAGGATAAGACTTTGAAACTTTCTTTTTGACTCTTTGAAGCAGATCGAGGTTGATTTCTGGATCTTTCCAACGATGTGACACCATACAATATGGTGCGGAGGGGTCAATATCTTCAACAAGCATGCCATCGGCAATGTCGAACATTCGAAATGGCCTTGATACCTCGGTGGAGGTGTTCGATACTCCTAAAAACCCTACGTCATGAATTTTGGCGAGATGTTGGCCATATTCCGCGATGATCTCTGGTTTGAACTGAGGAACAAGCCATGATGTGACGATACTTCTTATCATCTCTTGATTAAGTCCCATGGTTTTGATCATCTTCATGGCAAGCTTGGCTCTTTTAGAGATGTCTTCTGACTCCCCAGGCTGGGCTGAGGTTTCTAGTTGGTCGTCCGCGGGCTCCTGGTTAAGCCCCATGCTTTTCCTCATTTTCATGGCAAGCTTGGCTCTTTTTGAGGTGTCTTCTGCCTCCCCAGACTGAGCCGGGTTTTCCAGTTGATCGTCCATGGCAGTGTAAGAAACGAAAGATGCGTGCTACTCTGCTGCAGACAGGGATGGGAGTATTGACCACCGTATCTGGTGGAAAATAGGTGTAGCATAGCCTGCAATTCCCTGGATGCCAAGTTGGAAGACAGAGCGTTAGAAGATTGAGCGTATTGAACGAACTTCTAGCTGAATAATCGCTGGGAGATAGGAAGGCGGTGTTAAGAATGGATCGAGGCATCATATATCACTATTTGGAACCGGGTTAGCCATTTTGGCGCTTGCTTCAGCTGCCGCCATGACTAGTGTATCGTCGCTGACTATGCGATTCCATTGGCTGCGGCTTGAAAACATGCCATCCGGCATCCTTTCATTAGACGGCGTTACCCATAATTCATGCAATCGGCGTCTCTGGCTCCATAAGCATCTGCATTACTGCCCAAAGCCGAGTGACGTGGTCTCAACAGTGATCGAAATGATAGGATGTCAAACACTTGACTAATGTGAAGCGATGTGGCATTTTGCGCTATTTGCACATACAGTAGTCGCATGAGCTAGCTCATGCTGACATTCATGCATTTATGTCCCCTGTAATGCTTGACCGTGGGCAAGACAATGCCAAACAACGGCTTCACGCTTTATTCTAACACTGCTGCCGCTGCCTAATAATAAATATTCCATGTTATCTTCAACTGCTTTGACATCTTAGTCCATACTTTAATACCGATTTCCTCAGAGAATGGCATCCTATCATCGTGTTCTTCGGACCTTTGATCGAAGTATAGACGACAAGATCATTGAATGCGATTAGTATGTAATGCCAGATCTCATTTATTAATGACTACCGTGCTTAAAAGTCAGCATCTAGCGACATCCACCCATGGGATATTCTCATTGATAATGAACGCTGGCCTGGCAAGATACGGCTCATCGGCTACATTGATGTGTTCTTCTTGATATGCTACTCGGGCGAATCCCGATTTGAGCATGGTATCATCATTTATAGTAAGCACGCTTTATTCATTCATCGGTTTCTTGTTCAAGGAAGACGTCTGACCTGGGTGGATAAAATTTCCAGAGGACGACGAAACCATTCGGCAGCTGTTAAAGATGGCAGGGTTGAAAGCTGACGACGAGTCTGTTAAGCTGGAGTGTATCAATAAAGAAAAAGATGAAGGTAGGTCAGAACTCATGCTAGTTTGAAGGCATTGTTTGCTAATTTGCTGCAACTGCAACCGTATTATAGCCTTGCGAAAATATTACTCATTAAACACCGAGGAGGACGGTAATAAGCACATAATTGCCAGCTTAGGCCATCCCGTTGGTTTGGCGATAAAATATCGAAAGTCGCAGCTTAAAAAGTACACCATTAGCCTGCACAAGGGACACACTCCAGCCATGCAGAGTAAGTCAAATTCCACTAGCAAAACATCTGGTCCGAGATTAAGAATAGAGCATTCGATAACAAGGATATGCGAGTATAGAAGAAATACAGCGTGGCGTCATGCAACATGGGATAACGAGATTGATTAGCGACGCTCTGAAACTCGGTGTGGTGTCGACGGCTGGTCTTATTAGCAAGATTAAAGGGAGCATTGTTAGCGGCTCGAGCCTTGAAACAACGACGACGAAATCCATCAATGCACTTACTGCTACAAAGGCTCACAACGTTGTTTTATCGGCTGACCAAACATAGGGCCCCAATAAGACGAGGCGCCGTTCCATGATGTCGAGGGTATCGCAGATGGAAAACGAATTACTTGAGAGTTGCTGGGCCCCATGTCTGCAAATACAAGCGCCTTATGATGGCGATATAACGGTTCAATCCATCGTTTATACAGTCCTCAATAAAGTCTTCGTTTATACAATCCTTTAATAAAGTCGAACCCCTCTTATTCAGAGAAATGTAACAAAGATCAATTAATTGTACATAGCGGCATATAGGGCATGTGTCAGCAAGTGGCGACGAAACTAAATCGCATACCGACATTTTGATATGTGGAGTTGGATGACATATTTGCTCTTTGGCCCAGCCTCTCTTTTTTATGCTTAGATACCACAACGTAATTGGTATTTAACCATATTCCGCAGCAGCCAATTTAGCGTTTGGTGTATTAATTCGAATCCACATGAGTGTGGCTACTAAAGGCTGCCCTCCCAGTCGGTTGAGGCTGAAATGGCGGCACTACCAAGCACTAAGAATGAGATTTTCCGGCTGTTAATAGCCAGCAACTCCTAATTAGAGTATTTTATTAGACAGCCAACTAAACATTTTATCCATACTTTATATGCTTAATAATTAGCTCTACAACATCTCTTCGAGCTGAGATCGTCCATTGTGTTGGGTATCCATTGTACAACAGTTCAACAAGGCGGGGTTGCATGAGCTGAGCGGGGTAATGGGCATATTCACGCCCCTACACAGCCGCCTCCTTTTACGTGCATGTACGTGTGGACTTTGCTCTGGAAGATATAAATATCATGTATATTCGTACTATTGTCTAATTCGATATCTTTCTGTAATACTACTCAAAACCACACACGAGCATTTTGCGTCTTTTGTTTGCCTGCCTATTCTCACGAACGCAATGTCTTTCCAAGCTTCATCAAGAGATATCTTTCTGGAGGATGGTCACATTCTCTTTGCCAACGTCTGTGACAGAGACGGAAATTGGGTTGAGTCCAGGATTGATCTTAACAGATTCATCGGCAATGAAGATGGCTGGTTCATGTGGGATGGTGTCAGTACGTGTTGTCTTTCCCCGTCCTCTTTTGTTGTGGTCTAATTATCACACCGCCTTGGATCTGTTTTACTATGTCTATATTGTCTTAGACTATATGCTGCTACTCGATCAAATTGTTAGATATAAACAATTGCTAACTGAGGTAATTTCTCAGACTTTTCTGATTCAGCCAACGACATTCGTCTAGAGGGCACTCTCTTGACCGCCGAGCTTCCCATGCGTGATGGAGGATATCGGGAACGACAGGGTATTGAATTGAGCGAACGTATTGCTAACGAGAACGGTGAATTAGTTGTAAGTCTCACTTTGTCACATGCCTTGATCCCCGCTGGAATCAAAGTTGACTAACAATTTGTGTTTAGTTCGTTTAACTTGAATAATTAAACATAGCTTTACTCAAGACTCGTTAGAACATTTACCCAATAACAGTATATAAGTCACTGCGGTATCAAGAGCCGTATACTAAATATTGAAACTATTTGAAGCACCTCTACACACACGTACACTATCAATTTCCTCTAGTGTCTGCTTCAAGATCAGCGACATATGTGATGCCGTGAAATGTGATTTCATTGCCCACCAGCTGTTTCGGCGTCCTGCCTGGAGCTTCATGTCAATTACAATTATACATGAGTTTTATCGAACAGCATATCTATTATGTTATATGATCGAAATTGTGCGCATATGACACCATACATGCCAAGCCTCTACTGCTGGTTGCTGCCATTCCTGCGGCGGACACTTCAGCTACTTCATATGAAGGTTGACTTCTCATTGGATGAAGAACTTCTCATTGGATGAAGACACGCAGCTGTAACTCTTCGATGAGATCTTTAGCCCTAGCCGCAATGCCACGTCATATTCGTCAATGTTGCATTCATTGATAGTCTTTGATATCTTGTATAAGCGGGAGAGGGAAGCTAATATGATAGCAAAGCTTACCGATGGGCCGATGGGACATTCACGGAAGCTCAGCATCACCTACTACAGAGACAAATGAGATGAAGCTCCGCGACCACACAACTCGGGCTTATATTCGAATGAGACTTGGTCGATACATCTGTCTTATACGATTCATACTGCTGCCCAAGGGTAGTGAAGAGCTCTGTGCATTCAAGAGACTACTCCCTTGTGCGATACTCCGAGAAGATGTTGCAGGGATAGAAGATACACTCTAGAATTAACATGTCTCGCATTCTAGGAGGGAGAGGGCTAGCCGACTAGACTCATTGAAGGGAAAAGGAAGAAAAATAAGACAACTGAAAATGTCGGCTGATGGTATTACTGGTGTGGCAGCTACGCACTGCAATAGATTCGATGCGTAGGAGCCGAATTTCCAATATCTTAAAAGCCATTGAGAACGCAGCAGCTGACGCGAAAGTTTCAGATTAACAAACAAAGTGAAGCTCCACATTTAGGCGTGAGATAAAAGACCGATTTGCTGTGCGGCAAAACTAGATGCCTAGCCCATAGTTTTGAAGAGGATATTCTGCTTAGCGTTTCATGTCATCCGTAGCGCACATTGCCTTGTGCCCCCGTCTATAGCCTGAAGCAATCCTCCTCGTGTTAGTCGGCAAGGCTCTGGTGTCACAATAGCGTAGTATTGGCTTCACAACTGGGTTCTGATTTTCATCATCAGCTAAACCGGCTGCCTTCATCTTTGATTCTAAAACTAGTTCATCGGTGGCGTGGTAGGATGCAGTAGCCCCGCCTCTTGTTTGAATACAAGTGCCGCGCTCTCTATAAATATCCATGCTAGATGCAAGGGGCCTTGCCGTGGGGGCCCTTGAGGCTTAGGCGAGTTGGCTGTTGGATCGCATTCCCTGCTTCCAAGGCTGTCTTATCAGCCGCCCACGCAGCACTAATGGGAGCACAATGCTGGGGTAGCACGAATTGCCCAAGAGAAAAAAAAAAAAATACTTGAAGCCCAGAAGCCCAGTGTTTAGCAGTCCTCTTTTTTGCAGACAGCTTTTCTTTCTCTTTCTCTTTTACCCATTGAGCCTGCCTTAAAAGCCGCATCAATATGGCTAAACCTAAATACTCTGCGTATTCTTCTAACTTACAAAAGGCCGAAGTGGCAGTCAATAAGAACGAAAATGAAAAGCCACGAATCGGCGCTTACACGTCTATCCTCCTTGCAGCCGCAATACCTAGCCTCCTTGTATTATCCGTGACTGGAGTTCTTATCGGCTTAACTTTGAAACATCGCGTAATTATTAACACCGGCTTACCAGAACTACAAACTTCCCCCTCTGGCAACAATACTGCTGCGCGGCCGAACAACTTCGATAGTCTGATTCAAACAGGAGGTCCAAATGCATATTATATCGAATTCAATCCGTCATCTCTCAGTACAATTGCCTCTGTGACTGGAAAATTCATTCCATATCTTTCAAGCGCTGTAACCGGAATAGCAGCCTTTTTCGCTGCGAATACGATACACAAGATAACAGAAAAAGAGCAAGATGCTAAACTCCTTACGCCAAAGCAAATGTCGATTCTACTAGGGCTACTTCTTAGCGGTTGGCTGGGTATGTGGGATTCAATATGCTATAGAGCGAGGAGAGGTAACAGGTTTAATGGCCCTCTGTTGACCGTTGTCATTACCCTTACTTTTACAACACTCTTAGGGTAGGTATCATATTCCACATTGGGCAGAGAAGACTTTTCGATGAGATATCTGAGTGCTCATTTACTAAACATTCACCAGTTTTGTGATCCCAATCATTGATACTTGGTTTGGCATTGTTGTGGTACCAAAGGAACAAACGCAAATCCAAGTCATTAGCCCTCCCGCGCACGCTTATGGTCGAGGGCTAAGTGGTGAATGCATAGCACACACTAATGAAGATGCTCCATGCAACATTGAAGTTTCCCAGATGGAAAGCTCCCTACAATCCAGCAGCGAGGGTTTCAAAATCGCAAACAACATCTCTACCACCAACGTTGTGAACCAATTCTCAGCAAGCCCATCACAGACGATCTTGTATCTCGCAGACGCAGCAGGATCATCAGATCTCGATTATAAAGCTGGCACTTTCGCGGCGTCAGTTCAGTGCCAGTCGATAACATACCAGTGCACAAAAGACACCGACGTTGGGAACTCAGATTACAACTGCACGAAAGCGCTTGCAGGTAGTTTCAACGAGCCTGACAATAACCCAGACGATGCAGAAATATTTTATAACCCATCAGGCGCAAGATTATTCACCGATTCAAGCTTGACCAAAACGACCCGTTTCAGTTTCCAGAACCCAGTATATTTTGCTGCTTGGGCTACAAGAGTACAGATTGACTCTAATGCGTTTTTAAACGACACTGGGATCATTGCTAGCTCTAATATTCCAGACGTATACAATTGGATTCTCAACTGCTCCGCTACATTTTATGAGGCCACCTATGCTTGGGTCAATGGCTCTGCAATTAGTCTCAACACTACGCTTGCGAATAGTACCATGGGCGGTATTCTATCCGCTCCTCTATCCGATCAACATGCAAATGATCTGATGCAAGTCGCAACAAACCTAGCAAGCGTCAGCAACAACTCTGCTGAAATTGCAACTATAACCGCAAATTACATTGCCCACATTGCATTATCTCTATCGATTGGCGCCATAAGTAACCGATCAAATCTCCTTGAACAATCTCGCTCAACCTTATTACTCACACGAGTCCCGACAATTCCCTTTTATCTTTTGATCGCTTTTAAATTTGTTTACGTCCTAGGTGTTGTACTATTTGCGATCGCCGCTATCATTTTGACACATCCCAGCGAGTCAGCGGGTATTAAAGCAAAACTCACAATCGACGGTTTAATGACGACGATATTTAGAGAAGATAAAATTAAAAGCTCACCTACAGTGAATTCAGAGGACCGAACGGAATCTGAAGAGCCAGAACAACAAGAAGAGCTACAAGTTGGCTCAGGGGTAATTGGAGAAGGAGATATCAAGGTCTCCATTGTGAAGGAAAACGAAGACTGGTCCTATGCTGCAGTGATACGAGATAAAAATGAAAAGGTGGTGAAGATTGTATAGGAAATTGGAAATATGAGCGAGATTCTTTATACAAATTGAAATGATAGAAAGAAACCGACAACTACTTAGGAAGTTTTAACAGATAAAAGTGTATTTATGTATGACAAAGATAATGAATGACTGAGTATTGTATTGTCTCAATAACGATGCAAGATAGACCCAAACCATCTATAAATTGCTTAATGCTCTCAATCATTTCAATGAACAATTTGACTAGTAAATTCTAATTGATAGGTAGAGACGGACGTACGGCCATTTGTAACGATGAAAATATGAATGTAATAAAATTGCACATAATCTTGATTCCAAGAGCGTGTCTTGATATTAAAGCAGACTTCGTGGAGTCGACTCTTTCAATCTGTTGCGGATTGCTCTAAGTGTCATTAATCACCTTTAACTCTTTGCAATAACATCCAATAGAGGTTTCGGAGCATTCGGCGCAAATAGGAAAGCGGCACTCCCGTTGCTTCTCTCTATCAAGTCTTTTCCGCGCTCAAACATGTCTTTTTCATATGCTTCCACTGCTGCATCTAGCTTTTCCAAACCGTGCTCCACGATCTGTCTAGCCAGTACCAGAGAGTCAAACATCGAGCAGTTGACTCCCTCTCCCACAAATGGGGTAGACAGGTGAGCAGCGTCTCCTACGAGAGCTATGCCTGGAACACGATCCCACGATAGAGCGTCTGGTGGGAGGTAATAAAGAGGCCAAGACTTAAAAGCGCCTTGCGAGTTCGCAATAACGTCTTTGAGCTCAGAGCCCCAAGTTCCGAAGAAGTCGGCATTGGTTATGAATTGACTGCGGGCAACATCTCCATCTGCTTTGGAGAGATCCACAATGCCGCTTTTAGCAAAGTCCTCAGGGACCACCAAGCCAATGTAGATACGATAAGAGCCATCTCCCTGCTCTGCAGCCGAAAGCTGTTTGCCTTCTCCCAGAGCTATGAGATTTCCGACGCCGACTATTTCATTGATGGTCGGATAAAATGGATTCGAGGTGGAAATCTTTGCTTCAAGATAATGCTTGCCAGAATATTGTGGCTTTGCAGAAGTGAGCTATTTCACTGTTAGCATTCAAGTTATATCTTATGTAGCAGTTCTTCTCACTTACCAAGTGTCTTGCTTTACTCCACGCGCCATCCGCACCAACAACCAGCTTGAAGCCGCTGACAGAAGTACCGTTGACAAAATTGATTGTTATTTCCCCACTACCAAGGTTTTCAACGGTTTTAACAGGATGACCCCATCGAATTTTGCTTGGGGGGATAGATTCAACAAGAATTTTGCGCAGCGATGCGCGGTCAATTTCTGGAGCATCTTGATCTTCTCCAAACACGAGGTGCGTGGTACCGTTCTTATCCTGGATGATTGTCTTCGACGCTTCCCAGCGCGCATACTTTTTAAATTCCTCAAAAAGACCTGCTTCCTTCAAAACCTGTTGGCCGGTCGTCCCGTGGATATCGAGCGAGCCCCCTTGGCCCTCTATCGATGAGGAGGCATCACGCTCGTAAATAACATAGTCTATTTTGTTGCATTCTAGCAGTCGAGCGAGAGTAAGGCCGCTTGGGCCACCTCCGAGAATTGCAATTGGCGGGACTGACATGATGATGATGGTCTAGATTTGGTGAGACTGGATGGTCGTTTAAAGAAATGAAGTACATAGAAAACATATACAAACCATGAAGGATTTGATGGCAGATATATATCTTTCCTTATGAGCCGCAGCTAGAGTTCCGGAATCCTTGTTCCAGATTTGGCCAATAAGAGTATGCATGGCCGGACGTTGTCCAGATCGCAGATAGCCCCCCCGCTGGCACTCCGTATAGCCTGGGCTCCAACTTCAAATATCGTTCGGAGATTTATGTGCCAAAGCTAACACTCTTAGAAATGGAATTTGTAGATTTAAATACCGCATTGCCAGCAGGGCGTATATTGGGTCAAGTTATCTATAGACACCGCTCTTTACTGATATCGATGTAAGAATAACAACTAGAAAGTTGTCTGTAATGATAGAACCAATAAGCTAGCGGTTAAAAAATAGCCAGCTCCGTTAACTCAGAATCCAGCTATTATTAATAGTGGTCAGTAACATTATTTGGTATAATTCACTATTACATTGTGTATGATGAACATTCGGTATTGTGAATCCATGTATCTTAAGCGAAGGAGGCTCTTTCGACATCGCCTCATCCGTACGCCACTCCAAACGCTGATTGGATGAACCCGGACTTATGTAAGGGGCAGCAAATAAACTCCGGACGTAGCCAATGAAAGCTCTTGAAGCCGGAGTTCGCTGCCGGTACATTCGAGGGTTTATGTCCCCATTGCCTTGGGATGCCCCGGAGGATCAATCCAAGCTTCGTTTAACTTCCTATGTCATCATGAGCGAGAATATGCCGGCTTCCAAAAACGCAGGGCTAGCACGATTTGCGGTACGTCGCATTTTCTCACGATGGCCACTGTGGTCCCTTGCAGCTGATGCCGTCCATCCCATCTATAGTGCACCCATTGTCGGCAAAAGAAGATCAAGTTAGTTTACTAGGCTGCATGGTCTGCCAAAATTGCTAATCAAAGTAGGTGTTCAAGAGAATTTCCTAAATGTGCGGCATGCCGTCCTTGGCCGGGCGAATGTATCTATCACAGGCTAAATCCAGTCGCACAATCTGATAAGCTTTGCTCTACGTATGTCACTGAAATGGTTCAGAGCAGACCAGAGTCTAACTATACACGATAGAAATGAACCGGCCAAGTTGGCAGCAAATACGTCACTCCAATACTCTAGGGGCGTCGACCAGCGTCTATCGCGTGTTGAGAAGGCCTTAGAAACTCTCTCCGAAACAATCAATACCTCTCTCAGTTCTGTCAACGAAAATGGAGATTCCATAACCCCTTCAACCACGACAAAATCAGATAATGAGGCATTCCCATCATACCAGCCATCAGCCGAATCTCCCGAACTTACTTTGGACGAGGCACATTCATTCGCCTACTTGGGCGAAGCATCCAGGCATTTAGAGCTAATCAAGATTAAATCATTACATGAGCAGCTCGCTGAACACCAAGCAGCCTCCACTGCGCTGCAAGACCTCTCTAAATTCCTGACTACAATTAACCTTCAACCGCCTTACAACGATGCAGCGTCTTTTGAATTTATTAATGGTTACTATATACCTTCAAAGCCCATTGGATATAGATTAATAAGTTGCATGTCTGCCTATTTTGCCAACAGTCATCAGATCACAACGCTAACGAATATCAGACTTCCTACAAAATGTGCAGCTTGCCGAAGTCCTATTCATCACACCGCCCGAAGAGATTCTCTTGAGTGCCATATTCAATCCAGCTACAGTGCCCCAGCGCGCTTGGATCGTTTACATCAACTTTATTCTCCTAAGTCTTTTACAGCATGACGTCTCGCAAGCAGATATCGTTGAAAATCTCAAGAAGAACACAAATCTGGCACTAAATGACTTTAGGATATTCCTAGAGCCCAGCGAGACAAATATCCAGGCACTCATGCTGCTAGGTTGCCACGGCGAGCAATACGCTTCGCCCAATTTGTCGTGGATGCTCGTGGGCCATGCTTGCCGCCAAGCTCAAGCTGTCGGGCTGCATAGCTTGAAAGGCGATGCCTATGAACAGCGGCAACGTCGATTAGCACTGTTCTGGTCGCTGTTTTCGGTGGACAAGTCTTGTTCATTGGCATTCGGTCGACCTATGTTACTTCCAACCGCCATCTACGAAAATGTCCCACTGCCCGATTTCCAGTATCTCTTAAGATACCATCCCCATCGAAAAGAGCATGTACAAACAGAGAATGGACCTATTGCCTCAACATATGGCGCTCATTTCTTTATCCAGGGAATGAAACTGGCAAAACTGACTGGAGCCGTGCTGGATTTCCTAGCAAACCCTGGAAATTTGACTAGTTATCAATCTTTGACCGCCCAGCTGCAATCATGGGATTCAGTAACCAACGAGGTTAGTCTCTCTCTCTCTGTGTGTGATAGCTCCAATACTAAGTCACAGCCAGCTCCTTTTGAAGGCCATCAATACGGAATCAGCTAGCTCATCAGCTCACCAGCTTCAAGAAATGATGATTGGTGTTCGCGCCATGAGATTTCAGTATCTGCATATCTTAATACTGCTATTACGCAAAGATCCAAATGATAAAGAACTCCGAATCCAGGCTGCTCGAGATGCCATTACGTTGCTTCCTGGTTTGGTATCAAATTCAACCCATGTGTATAATGGGCTAGTGTGGTATGTGCTATCAAACAATTTCCAAAGCTGCCAGTTTTGACAATCCCTTAGGCAGTTATTATACTATCCTTTCACACCATTCTTTACAATTTTCGGTCACATTATAACTCATCCGTCATCGCCAACTGCAAACCAAGATATTGAACTACTGAACCAAACCGCCACTTATTTTAACAGTATGAAACAGCTCGGATCCCTTTCCGACGTTTCGTCCAAGTTAGAAAGAACAGCTCTCGTTTTCTATAATTTGGCTCGCTTTATCACGTCGAAAGAACATGCGGATTCAGAACTTCAAGCCATCGAGTCAACGATAGCAACCACAAGTACAGAAAACACTCCTGCCCAGGAGATGGATATCCTGTCAAAGGAAAATGAGGTTGATTTTGAGTCATATACTGACGCCTTTATGGCCTACATCAATGATCAAGATGCTGCGCAGCCTGGATTTGACAATATTGATATCGAAAACATTCTGGGCTGTTTAGAATCCGATGGCGCTTCGCTTCGCACACGTAAACGATCATTTGAAAGTACACTGGATTGGTTTTCTTGGGATTCTCATTACTATAAAAACTAATACATTATGAGACGTCATATATGCATAAAAATTAGAAAATGGTCATAATTGGCCTATAAATGTATGATCCACGCTAAAATCTAATAAGATATTTGAACCCACTTTGCACCTCTGGCAATACCTCTAATAATACAAAATTACCCATAACGCCTTTCTATCAGCCCTCTATAAATTTATAAAACACAAGAGTTTCACCAACATCACGTAAAACAGAACTGGCTGCTTGATAGCGTCTCAGTGTAACCCGCTTTCTCCTGTCTCAGCCATATGCTTTTGGCAGTCCAGCATCATTCTGAGCTGTTCGCTCACTTCGTCAAGACGGCCAATAACTTTTTGGTTGCCGTCAACAAAGCCCAAAATAGAATAGGGAACACCAGTCTCTTGGCAGAATTCTTTGACTAGAGTCTGCACTCTGCGAAGGTTATGTCGTGGCACTCGAGGAAATAAATGGTGAACAGCTTGGAATTGCAGCCCGCCGTGAATAAAGTCAAGCCAGGCGGGGCAGTCCACATCCATGGTGGTTCGTAGCTGGCGCTGGGCAAAAGATTCGGACTCGCCTAGGTCTGATGTAGACATGCCCCAGTGTGAAAGAGTGATTTGGACATGCAAAGGCATGGTGACGATGTGCGACACTAGAACAAAGGCCACACGAATAGTCCATGTCGGTAATGAGCGCCAAACCAGGCAGTACCCAAAGAAAAACCAGTAGCAGCTGCAAAATGCGATTTCCGTCGGTCGAATCCACCATGCTTTGGTAGATCCTAGAGAAGATGATTTGCCAGATAATAGGTGTATCCATGAGAGAAAGTAAAGATTGAAGCGGGCAAGGGCCATGATGGGATAGTATATATATTTTTGGTATGGGACAATGAGATCAGCGGCGGCGTCCCAGACGAAGACGAAATTGTAGTATGTGGAACGAAGTGATCGAAAGAAAGAAGGGCAGGTGGCGAAGAGAGGGACATTCTGAATGTCGGGATCGTGTTCCTGAGTAATACGATTAATCTATGCGTGGACTATTGCGGCGGAAGAGATGAGCCATCAGCAACTTACTGGTTGATTGGTAATAAGATGATGGACATTGTGACTGCTCTTCCACCACCCGATAGATAGGCCACAGCAAAAGTCGGCGATGAACATGCCGATGAGCGTGTCGATGGCAAATACCTGAGTGATGGCTAGATGGCCAGCATCGTGAGCAGTGAACATTATTTGATGCTAGAATTGGTAAAGTGTTATGTTAGCATACTCTCTTTTGTCAGAAGAAGCACAGCAGAGCTAACCCAGAACAGCCCCAGCATGACAGCTGAAGTCATGTACCATCCATAGTGTAAGGCAGTAAGAAAGCCAACAAAGAGACTCGTGTATCGCATCATTTCTTTGCCATACTCGATATACCGACAGCTGTCGAGTCCTTCATCGTGTATCTGCTGATGTAAAGCTCGGTACCTGTTGACGATGCCTTGTTGCACAATAGGATCTACAGACGGGTAGTCGCGCCGGCCTTTATCGACCCCTTGCTGCACGGCCCAATCCGTGTATTGGACAGGGCATTTAGTCGGTGGAGTAGCAGCGCTACTAGTAGTAGATGAGGCAGATGAGGCTATGCGTCTGCGAAGACTGAGGCCCTTTTCCAAGCTTAGGCGAGAGATGCCGGCATTTGGTACGTCAACGCCGTGCAAGCTAGGGGTGCTACATGGAGAGAGAGACGCAGGTGTATATGAGGAGCTTAGACGGTCGCTTAGAAGATCGTCAGACGAATCATTGTCGGCATCATCCGAAAGGCTTTCCGGCTCTGAGATCCAGATTGACGATTCCGGAACGTCCGGCTCATTGTGGAGGCTGTATGATCGAAAGACGCCGCCCCTGACTGGAGGTGTCTTATTTAGCCATGGCCCCATCGGTTTCCGACCAATCCGGTAGGCTTTCATCGTTCGCAGCGTGGCAGCTGAATGATAGCTAGAGCACATGCGAAGAGATAATGTCAGCAATTTGGATACTAAGCAGCAGCATGCTGGACTAAATGATTGGGTGGCCTGGGGGATCTTGATCAAACTTGGCAACCCCCGCGTGCCGTCCCGCGTATATGATGCACTAGGTACTTGGCACAGCACAGCGCTTTTTAAGCTTAAACCAGATGGAACCAGTAATAGTTTCTGTGCTCAGTGCTATTTTTGTTTTACACATTGAAACAAGGGCGCAACGTCAATGGCAAGTAACTGCCTCTGAGAAGCAAGCGGGTTGAATGCATGTATGGGAAATGAAGGAAGAATATTGGAAAAAATTAAGGGATATTTACGCCGTGATTTCATCGGTCGCGTCTCGGCCCACCATGTGCTGAATAACCAGAGAGCCGCCAGGATGCTTGTCGAGCCAGCCGTTGAGTCGCAGGACATAGTCTTCGAAGATGACAATTGTGTCGCCGTCGGCAATCATGCCTTCGACAACACGCTGAGATAGGACCTGATCACGGTCCATGGTCGAGAAGCGTGATGCCCGAAAGCGGATATCGATCGTGTTCCGGGTTGCGAGGTAGGTATATCAATCGTCGAGAAACAGTTGCTTCGAAAGGACGCTTCTTTCGTGGTGAAGAACAGAGGGAATCGAACGCTTTAATTCGAAATTGGAAGCATTAGAAGGAACGAGTCTGTCTGAAATGTACAAAGTGCAGGCGCTCAATAGTAATACCTGCTCAAACCAAGTCCCTGCCTCCTTTCTTTCTTAGTCTTGAATCAGCCCCATATGGGGAAAAAGGAAGGACTCGATCAAAGGGACCTTTGCCCACGCAACAACGGTATACGGAAATCATGTCGGCCGTTTCACACGCACGCTTGGCCGCGCGTCGGTTAGCACTATGGAGCATGGAGGTGCTTTGGCCATAGGGAAAGGAGAGAGAGGATCTCGGCTCGTCACGCCAATGGAGATATTCCAACGCTAGGTCTGATGTGCACACGGACGTGGACTATTGGCATGCCAATAGGAGGCCAATCTAATTAGTAAATTGCTACTTTGCTGATACTACTCAATTCATCCTTGCAAGCGATGTTATGGCTTGTCTCTGCGAAGACATACGAGCTGAGATGAAGCCTGACAGCGTCCCTAGCAGCAAACGTGTCTGGATCTGCATAAGCGTGATGCAGGTACGCTTGGCAAACAAAGGGTTATTCATAAGTCGAGACCCTCGACAATCTAGGTACTATGTACTACCATAGAGATTTAATACACACATCATCCAAACTAGTACCTGGCAGCAACAGTAGGATGGGTATTCTGGAAGCAAATCTATGCGCCACGCGCGCCGCCTGATCAAGCCCCCGCCAATTAAGACTCAATCTCTTCAAATAGTGTCCATAGAAAATAGGCACTAGATGTCAACTAGTGTTTGGCGCAAGTATTGTCTGAATGATCTCCACGAGGGTCATTGCGCATCAGAATTCTAGAAGCCCAGATAGAGTAAACCATTCGAATATCAGGAGGCCTCTTCATACTGACCGACCCCAAAAATATCCCGTTTTCCGTATTCTATACGTAAATTCAATGTTGGGGTGATGCGTCGTCATTAGAGGCTGAAGCAATCCGAATAGGGGCACGCAGTATGAAATAATAGTGCCCGCTAGGATCATTGAACAAGGGTCTGTCCGAGTGGTTGAAGACTGGACTCTTTAGATCCTTGGAGTGGCTGAGATAGGTACGACGCTTCGCTTTAGGAAGGACCCCTTGACTATTGTAATACGGCGTATTTTCTAGCAGCTCATTGGTTAGAATCTACACTTTTATTTTTAAAGAGAAAAAAAAGTTCGCCTGTCAGTCGATTTTTGAGGGATTTAATCTCATAATTAGCAGCTTAGATCTGAATTCCATTAGAGTGCCTGTAAAGCACAGGCACTGTTATGGCCAAACCCTGTCATTGAATTCTGACACTTTAGTTGCTAACTGTGCTGAAAGGAGAGAATGTGACAAAGAAAGCCCGGATCCACACTAAACACTGGGCCGTTGGTAAAAATGAAGCAATTGATCGCTCTTCACAGTGCTGGCGTGGTTCAGTTTATCAACTCACCATGGAAACGGGTGCAGGTTATGCATTCGAATCAACCCACTGCCTTTGTTTCATCAGTCTTCTGTTACAGAGCCCATGTGCCGTTGTATTAAAGAGGAGCCCAGAGTGGGGGACCAGGTCCCTGCATGCCCGCTGATCCAAACGAGTGGGAGTGGTTACGTGTATTCTGCTCAGGAGCTCGGCTAATAGGAGATCGTGAACCTGAGAACAACGCGTGAGCCTTTGACGTCTTGGAGCCGATTGTCCGAGATCTTCGCTGGTCTAGAAATAGTCCCTACCCACCCGCGCTTGTTCTTCAGCCATGACTGAGTCAGCACGCCCAAAGGCCTTCTGGCCGAAGCAGATGATACCGCCCACGCCCGAAAGCTTCAAAGAACTGGCAAGAGACGGCGGGGAACGACTGGCTGCAGTCTCTCTGGCACAAATCCCGGCTATTCCGGCCGGCGCCAAAATCCATGACAATGGCTGCGGATCTGGTGCTGCGACTACCGTCATCATGGCCTCGGTGCCTCCAGAGGTAGCAGCCTCTATAAGCATCACGGGCACAGATATTTCGAGAGGCGCGGTGGACTCGTATCGCGCTCGGGCGGCGGCCTCGTCATGGCCTGCCGAAGGGCTCGTCATGGACGCCGACTCGCTCTCATTCCCAGACGAGACCTTTACTCACAGCTTCGGCAATGCGATGATCTTTGTGGGCCCGCGAAACAACGGCGTCGATGCAGTCAAGGAGATGTATCGCACGCTCAAACCTGGGGGGACGCTCCTCTTGAACTGTTTCGGCCATAGCTGTGTGCTTGAACCTATCCGTGAGGCATCTCGAGCGACCCGCCCGGATGGCATATTGCCGCAGTGGAATTCGTTCGAAGAGTGGACGGATCCTAGCTTCATAGCCGGCATTGTGGAGGCTGGTGGGTTCGAAAAAGAGGCTATCAAGGTGGAACAATGCCACATGTTTGTGAATGTCGGGAACTACGAGCGAGCCACGACGTTACTCTGGAGTATGAGGGGAATGCCAAGCGGGGGATGGAGCGAAGAAGATGAAGAGAAGTGGGATGAGGCAGTCGACATTATAAGACGCGAGTTACAACAGACGGAAGGGTTCATAATGCACGATGATGGTACTGCAGAACTCAAATATGCCGTTCATGTTCTTACCGCGACCAAATAAGCGGCGCTTGCTTTGCAGAGAGAAAATTAGGGGCTTATAGATTGAGATGATGGTTATTCAGCAAAAGCGTGATGACTTAATGAGCGAATCATAAATACATGTACACAGATTTACACAATGATTCAAGAGTCTCAGAAGACGAATACAAAACAAGTATGTCAAGTCTCATCACAACCGCAGCCAAAGGCAGGGCGTTTAGCAAGCTTCATGTATTAAATCATTGTCTAATAAAATTAACTGCTGGTTATTACAACAGATCCCGGTAGATGTATCATTAAACGCAGTCCTAATAAAATAAGACGAGTCCTCGCATTCCTATTATTCCTATTGTGTTACTACTGCAGTGGCTGCTCCTGTGACTCCCTTTTCTCCTCCATCCGAAACGGCGGCTGCTTGCGCCATCTGCGCTCATCATAAAGAATCAAACTAACCCAAATAGTTGTCAAAATACCAAGAATAACATAGCTCCTGACATATGAACTCGTGTGGATTATCACATTCTTTTGAGCCAGCTGAAAACCCACCCCTGTGTTGATCATGCCGGTTATGATAGCGCCTCGTCCTAGCCAGCGGTGCATATATGCAAACTTGCTCTTGCCACCCGTCCTCTTGAAATATCTGTGCTGAAGGAGTCCCAGGAGAGGCTGAAAGAGTATGATTGTGCAAACGACAATGAAACCTATGACGACGTGGGCGCGCACCGGATGGCTGAGAAAGCCAACAAAGGAGGCGACCTTGATGCCGAGACCAAAGCCTCCAATCATCATGACGAATCCGATCAGCTGAATTGGAACATGCATCGCCATGACTTTGTTTTGAAGATATGTGTTTCTGAGATATGGGATATGCAGGAGAGGGAGGTGGAGAGAGATTGCGCCAAGAGGGTAGAGCACAATGAAGACGATGGACATGATGCATGCGTGTGCATTTCGTTCTCGGTTCCAAATTTTGTATTTCTCAGGGCCAGGATCGTTTAATTGAACTCTTCTGCTGTCAACCTGGCTGTTAATCTCTTGTGCGAGAACCAGGCTTGATGCTGGGAATTGTCAGCGGTAATGCCACTCAGCCAACATACTCTGCAGTCGCTCACCAAATGTCAAGAGAAGCGCTGGTAGCGTAACTCCGTAACGTCGCATCGTGATGACTTCTTTATAGAGATGATGTTTTTTATATTCTCCGAATGCCTAAATGACCAGACAATAACGAATACACGTTATGCAACGAAGAAAATGGCTTAACATTTAATACCATATTTCACAAGCTACGCATCAAGTATATAACCACCTGGTGAGCTTCTACAGCGGCGAGATGGCAAACATACTTCCGGGGGCATAACAGGCCGATAGACAGAAATAGCAATACTCGGAAGGATTATTCTCCCGTAGCACAAGGCTAGCGTGTGCAAACGACGCTTATTAGAACATGAAGCTCTCTCCTTCATTGACCAGAGTCACAACGCCACACCTTAGTCAGATAGGTCGTCTACTAAGCACCTCTTCTTTCGCCTTGTTCCTTGGAGCATGTCGTCTTATTACCATAACGATCGATCTTGTCTTCTGACACCTCTAATGCCGATGTCATCGGGCTACATCGGGCGAGAGATTTTGCCGACGGTCGGGAGCAGAGACTTGTAGTATTTGGCCGATAATTTAGATTCTCAAGCGAGTTTATGAGATTTAGCCCACAACTGACACTCTTGCGGCAACATTTATGATTCCAGACGGATGCTATCAATCAATTTAATCCATATTTGCCCGTATTGGTGAAAAATGGTCTTCAAAGCTTTACGTTGATAAAACTCTGGCCTCAAGCGCAATTCCTGACGCAATGTGTCGTGAAGCAGTATGTATCGTTTCGATAACGTGCTGACCGATGTCTTTTGAAAGACTGCACGTCAGCTGTCCCGTCATCCTGCCTCTCGGCACAACCGGCTGCAAAAGCGGACTTGAAATCGTGAACGCATTGGCTAGCATCTAAATCTAATAATAGAACTCCAAATGCCCTAGTTTGCTGTCAAGCTCTTGTGGTGCCGAAGAAATACTTGAGTTGTGTACATGACTGGTGGTTCATTGATATATTAGTACTATTTCATAGCTTAATCTTGATCACATATTAATCAAGAATACTTATATCTCGTTGATTTCAAATCATTTCCTAGGCCTCGTTCAATTTTCCCACAGTTCAAATTTATCCATCAACGCACAACTTCATTTCCTCTGGCGTTGCCAAACTAAAATTTTATATAACCCGATCCCCCATTATTTACCAGTCGATTGGCTCACTGCTGTCTTGGGCAACTTCTACTCGCTGCGACCTGACTACACGTTTAATCTCAGGAGAGACCCCAAGCCAGAGAACGTCTGGACGGCTGTAGTGTCCCGTACAGTCGACAAACATTTTGTTCTTGACCAACTCGTCCATGTCCAAATTGGCATAAATAATGCCTTCTTTATCTTCGGGAATGGGTTCCGTCATAACTCGACCATCCGGACCGAAAATGGTCGTATGGCCACCTCCCGGTGCTGACATTATAGTTTGTCCACCTGTTCTCATGGCCTTGATTCCCTTTTCCGTGATTATCTGCGTACAATGCAGCACAAATGTCCCAGATTCCATGGCATAAGTGCGCGAGAGTGTTTTAGATCCTTCAAGGCATTCAGCAAAACCTAGATCACGAAACCAGAGAAAGCCGATACGCACCTTCTGCAGTCATAGAGTAAGCCCCAAAATCTCCAACAACGTCGTTTGACAGCGGAGGCCAAGCCGCAACATGAATATCGCCATTCTGCGTGATTGCGTTGTACTTGAGGAGCGGCTGCAAATGTTCCCAGCAATTCAGCGAGCCAACGCGGGCAAATGGGAGCTCTTCCACGTTCTGCAAAGCATGGCTAGAGCCGTCGCCAAATACTGTGCGTTCCATGTGAGTCCCCTTCATCTTTCGACGATGGACTTTGATCTCCCCGTCGGGTCCGATCAGAACTTGAGCGATGTAGAGTGAGCCATTGCAATTCTCCGAAAATCCCAAGGATACTGCGATATTGTTTTCACGGGCGCAGTCCTGGATTCTTTGCATTTCTGGAGAGTCCAGGCGAAGGGAATTTTTAATATATTGAACATTCAGATCAAAGTCAACATTCCGAGTCCTAGTTACGCCATCAATCAGAGTTAGTTTATTGGAACAGGAAGGCTAATCGTAATATGCCATTTCTTTTTGCATTAACTCACCAAATCCAGCATGGATAACCTGGGATCCAGACTTCAGGGAATCCAACAAGCTGAGCATCTTTCGAGGCTGCTTCTTCTATGAGCTTACAAGTCTTATCTACAGCACCTTGAAGGTCGAACCAGGCGGGCTCAGCTTGGGTGGCAGCAACACGGACCGTAGGACAAGACATGATGGCAGATGGATTATTCGATGAGCTCTTAAGTGTGTGTTGTGGAAGAATGGCCTTTTATCTCGAGCCTCGTCTGAGGTAGAAGAGGGGGGTTATATATAGATACATATAATATATATATATAATGAAACGAACGATAATACAAAACTGGATTTCCAACTGTGTGACTGCAAGCTCAAACAATTTGACGCATCTATTTGTAATTTCATCCTGTGAACAGAGCTCATATGCTGCTATAATTGGGCCAAACCCCTCATTTCATCTCCTGTCGCAGCGCCTGGTGGAGCTTCTGGGTATGACGAGGTGTCTCGGAGCTCTGATATCGGTGGTGCATGTGCCTCACAAACATTTATGAAGCCCTGCAGATGGCGGTACGCCACTACGTAGGGTGTTCCCAGCCTGTCAAGTGTTTGATAGGGGAGGATATTGCCATCGTTGCTGCGTAGTGATTTGGCGCATGCCAGGCCAATGGGAGCTGTTAAATTGCACTGTTGTTCTTCATTTCCACACTTGGTCTCACATACATCTATTTATATTGAGTACGGACTATCGGTGGTTTATACACACTTGGCACGGAGTATCGGTGGTTGAAGGATAACGTACAGAATCAACAAGTGGAGCAGAGTTCTGGCGCAGAGCAAGTTTCCTGACCATATTTCTTGAGACTGCATTGACTCTCAGTGATCAATGTCTCTGAAAAGAACGGAAATAAAAAAAAAAAAACTCTCGTAGACGAATCACAAAGTTTACATTTACAGGATTTATGATCAATTAACTGAGAGTAAATATGAAGTACCATATGATTGAGTGCCACCCTAGAGACGTATAATAACTCAGGAAAGTCTAGTATAATGCTATAATAGCGATGTCTAAACACCTTGAAAATGGAGAAAGTGGCCTAGTTTCTTCATTAGAAGATAGATTCATTCGCTGGCATCAATGCGAAGATGAGAACAACTTGGTGCTGGATTATATGACAACTCGCCATAAGTATGAAGCTATCCATAGGCTATGCGCAGGGAGAGTTCTTATCATGGTACCACAGGCAATCATTCTCCCGGCTTGGCAACCTGAGTGTTGCACCAATGGGCACGGACAAGTCAAAAGCGGCGAGCCGCATGCACTCTTTTGCGCCAACTCCGAAGGGCAAACACGCGGTGCCGCCGTGAAACATGGCATTATTCACTGTTCTTGCCATGATATAGCTTCATTCTACTGCCCAAAGCCGGCTAAAAGCCATGGCAGCGAGAGATGCGCAATAGCTGAGCGTTCCAGTATCCGGGTCTGCTCTACCAGGCAAGCATCTGGGTGAAGCAAATGCAATTATCTTGGGCATGGTACGCAGAAATCCGCGTGCTTGTTGATGTAAAAGTGTATCGAATAGACTATGGAAAGGTAGGCCCTAGATGACTGGTGACGGAAGCCGTAATAAAGCAGCCGACAAGAAAATGCTCCTTTTCTAATCATTCCAAGTTCTCAACTCACATTACTTACCAATCATCATCAGGTGCTACATAGCCTACGAGCCAAGTGTTGGAGATGATGTTGAAGCTTGAATAGATGAGCAAAGGTCAGGCACGTTGCACCACTTTATACACGAATTCTCGCATTGGTAATCATAGCTGGACATCATCTCATCAGCAACACACAAAGACGGTGTTTGCCATCATGTCGAGAGCAAATGGCTCGTGATGTGCTCCTGCATATATCAAGACAAAGCTGTGGTGAGGCCCTCACGTCTAACCTGAACCAGTAAGTAAACAGTTCTGCAGCGGCACATCGGGCGTCCGAGACTTTTCTTTCCGCTATCAAGTCAAAACCCCACACTCATCCGTATCAAGAGACTCGAATCTGGTGTCACACAGTTGCCATGGCGGTGTGGAGCCGTCAACGCAAGACGAGAAGAATCGCAGCCCAACGCGTCCACACCCACGCCCACTTGCAGCATGCATGCATGCATGCAGAGGCAGTGACGCCAACGAAAGATTTTGCCCTCGAGAAAGGTGCGGTGCGATACTGCAGTACAGCAGAGCTGCTACATACAAGTAAGAGCAGTCCTGGAGCATCAAACGTTCATGTGTATGCACAGCAACACTCGTCTGCCATGAATTACGTGCTCCATCGACACGCATGAGGTCGTGCATCGACGCGACCTGCAGGCAGCCTGTGAGAATGAGACGTGATGTTTTCCATGCTTTATTTCAGTGCCACCAAGTTCTTTCACCGCCAGAAGACGCCAATTCTGCCCAATTTTCGTTCTTTTTTTCTCTCACCACCTGTTCCGTTTTTTTCGAGGGGCCGACTCCCCACCACCAACCCACTTTGGTGGGATGGATTGCCAGGATGGAAGTTTTTGTTGTTGTAACACGTGCCCTGAGACCCTTATTTTCACTCTCGCGAGTAGATTTCTCCTTGCATTGTAAAATTCTCTTCTTTTTTTTTTTTTTTGTGCGAAAAGTATTGCGGGGAGCAGCCATGTCGACCTAGCCACGCCAGGGGTTCGTAGACTAGCAAGACTGAGAGACTGAGAGAGCAGCAGCACAGGAACAAGGCGTTTGCGCATACGTGCATGCGTCTGACCACAGAGACGAACAAGAGGAATGAAATCAACGCCGTTGCCCGTCATTTGCCGGTCCCATTGCCCCGAATCGGGCGTCTGGTCCAGCGGTGAAGGGTCCAGGTGCATGCGGGCTGCCTGGCGAGCCACTGAGCATCGCCGTGAAGGCTTCCGCGTCGGTTATAATGCGTGCATGATATGTGCCTTAGCTTCGTCCAGCGCATCGACGGGTTCTGATGCGACCAGGGGGCCCTGGCCTGGTTCCTGAAGGGGGTGGTTTATGTTTGTTTGTTTGTTTGTTTTGTGTGGCCGGCCCTGACGACGCGACTCTGGTCTCTTTTGTTCAGCTGGATCTAGCAAGAGTCGATACTGTAGACACTCACGAGGTTTCTGGTTCTTTTTTTATCTCTTCCGTCGTCAGCCTCAGGTTTGTCTCAGATGTCGCGCGATGAGGTGGAGGCTGGAAGAGCAGCGCAGATGATGCTGTGCTCGTATTTTACCTTTCTGGCCATGTGTCTGGTTAGTTTTTGCCTTTTGCTTGAGCCTTGATAAACTCTCGGCCAATGAGCCATTTTCACAGCCATCCAGGAGAGAGGGATGCGTACGTACTGGCGTGGGCAACCTGCGCTCTTGTGATGCGCACATGCAGATTTTTTTTTTTTTTTTTTTTTTTTGTTTGATGTGCGGCGATTACCGAGCAGCAGTACTGTGTATATTCGTAGAGGCTCAAACAGGGTAGTTTTGATTTGACTTGAAAAGATACGGCTGCTATGTGGCTATCTGCAGTCCTATTTTATACATGTAACGATGGACATCAATGCTCCAGGCACTCGGCTTTTACAGCAGGAATTACTGCTGCTGCAACTGGTGGCCAGCTACATGTAAGTAGCTCTCCGCAGCGGCTTGGCCCAGGCAGGACCTGTGAGGCACACGCAGCCCGCCAAAGCGTCTGCTGCTACAGCGCTAGCAGGTACCACCTATCGCGGCCCTGCAGCAGCCACTTGTGGGAGCTTCCCCGCATAAAGCTCCTGCGTTGGCGCCAAGCAAAAACCTGCCCCGGGATCCGCGCCCACTAGCTCCAAGCCAATCTATGTGCTGCTCCCAGTTCTGTCTGTCTGTTTGCCTGTCTGTCTCTTGCAACAGCTGCCATCGCCAGATCTCGACGGTAACCAGTGTCTGAACACCAGCTGCACCCTTCACTTACATCTACAGAATTGCTTCTGCCACTGCTCTCATCGCCGACTCGCGACGGCTGTGCGATCCCTCGTCTCACTCTTCTCAGAACGACAGCGAGCAAGCGAGAAAAGTCCGAGCCCCAGCCATTCGAACACGATGCACCAGAGGCACCAACAATAACCCTCGCCATCCATAACCTCACATGCCGTCAACCGTCTCTGCCCTCTCCCCTCCCATATCTATATGAACTGAGAGCCGCCGCCGCGAGAAAAATAAGACAAAGAAGAAGAAAAAGAAGAAGAAAAGAGGACACGCGAGTTCCGGCAGGCGAAGAGGTACCTGATCCTGGCGGCGGTACTAGCAGTGGCATCTGCTGCTGTACACACAGGTACTTGTACGACTAGCAGCGCCCCCACTGGCCCTCCTCCAAGGGGTTCCCCCTCACCCAAAGTTTCGCGCATCTCGTCACGCTCGCGCCCAACTGCAGCGCCAGCAAGAAGCTCAAGGAACAGGGGACAAGCTCAGCATCCCTGCACGGCTGACTGGCCTGCTCGGCCGCTGCCGTGTGTCGTCTGGTTTTTTTCGCTCCAGCCTCGGGCCTCTTCTTCCATGACAACTTCTTTTTTTCCTTCAGCCAAGAAAAGTGGACTGGGCTCTGCCGCCGTAAACCGCCGTTTCTTTTTTATAGCTGAATTGCGGCTGCGCGGGCGAAACAAAGGGGGAGCTTGGCGCTGAGCTGAAGGTTTCTAGCGCCTGGCGATCTCGTGCTGTCAGTGGCTGGCCCGCACCTTTTTTTTTTCTTGCATCCCATCCATAACATTTCTGATTTTAATCGTGACGCAGGGAGCAGCTTTTTTTCGCACTGCTTTAGCGGCCATCGCAAAAAAACTTTCGGCTCGACGCCTGCCACCACGGCAGCTGCCGGGTGCATGTCCACGGGCGACTTTCTGCAGCTCCTCGGCGGCACGACTGGCCTCCAGACCCGACTCTGCACAATCATCGTCTCGCCACAGCCTCTCCTGTGCCCTCGCCTCGCATTCCTCTGCTGCACAGGGCTTGGCAGCTCGGCCCAGCTTCACACAGTCTGCGCCTGATTGATCGCCGCTGGATCGCTCCGCAGGCCCGGGTCGGAATTTTCGAGCTAGCCAGCCAAAACTTCGGCACTATGGATCCCAGACGGTCGCCAGCTCTTTACCCCAACCATCACCACAACCACAGCAATTCGGCATCGCGACCGCACTTCCCGCCATCCACGCACGCATCGGCGCCGGCCGCAGCCTCGCATCGCATCGCCAGCCCAGCCTATGCTGCGCACCAGCGACGCATCTCCGACGCGCCCTATCACCGCCCTCCGCACGCCGTCCGCGACTATCCTTCAGAGCCCAGCCATTCGCGCGCCCAGAGCGCCTCGTCGCTGCCCACCGCCCGCGAGCTCAGTCGCAACATGCCGCCGCCCACGTCGCCTCCCCAGCAGCCGGGGCCGCACGCGCAGCACCAGCACCAGCATCAACACCAGCACCAGCACCAGCAGCCACACGCCGTCATGGGATACGCACCGCCTCCCCCCAGGCCTCCGCCGGTCGCTGTTGGGCCACCAAGCGCTTTTCCTTCTGGCCGTGAGCTGCCAGCCTTAAGCTCCATCGCACGATCCGGCTCAGTGTCCAATGGCGGAAGCTCCATGTCGATTTCGTCCATGCTCGGCGGCCCTCCCCCAGCCTCACGAGAAGCCCAGCCCCCAGCCTCTTCAGCTCAACACTACTCTTCGCACTCGGCACCCACATCAGCCTCGACCTCTGGTCCTGGCTTCGCATCGTCTATTCAAGCCTCGCCTCGAATGCACTCTGCATCCTCCGAATACCCCCCATTCCGACGTCCTCAAACCCCCGAGCTGCAGCGACCATACGATCCCCGAGTCGGTGCTGCGCCTTCTCCTCGAGGCCACTATGCCACGCCCCCAGATGTCCAACGGTATGGCACGCCACAACAACAACAACAACAACAACAACAACAACAACAACAACAGCAGCAGCAGCAGCAGCAGCCACAACAGCCATACCACTCACGACACCCGTCAAGCTCGGTCGACCCTTCGAGAGAACAAGCAAGGATACCGACAGGGCCACCACCTCCTGGCCAGAATGCTGCGCAATCTAGACCGTACGGGGCGATGCCACCACGGCCGATGGACATCGGGAGAGCGACGGGGCCAGAAGATGCCTATGGCCGCCGGGAAGAAGGCATGCGACCGGCCCCAGGTATGGAGTATGGCGACAGGACCGGCCTAAGACCTTATCCCTACGACGATCGCTACAGGGCCGAGAGAGAAAGGGCAGCTACAATTGGATTGGAGCAGCAGCAGCAGCGGGAGCGAGAAGGCAGGGAGCGGGCGTATTCCGGAGGCGATCCGAATCGACAACCTCCGCCGCCACATGATCAGGCACATCGCGAACCCCCGGTACATCAATCTACCCCCTACGGCCCACCCCCTGCCGAGCTGCTCGACCGACGCGATCCTCGGGACCCTCGCTGGGGACGACCCGAACCCGAAGTCAACTACAGAGCCGCAACACTGGAGCACCAACGCGCTCACCCAGACTATCCTCCCACCTCTGGACCCTATGCACCTCACAATCCTTCAGCATATCCGACAGCGCCTCCAGAGAGATTCCCTCCGGCCTCGCATCCAGCCTACCCCCCCAGCTCGTCTGGTGTTGCCGGTCCGCCCCAGCCACACGAGTCTCCAGACCGCGCTCGAATGGAGCTTCACCACTCCCAGCAACAGCAACAGCAACAGCCACCTAGATCGCGACCTCTCGATGAGGCTCCACCGTCTCTTTCATCCGTGCCCTTTGGTGGCGCTGCCGGTCATGGTCACCACCAGTTCGATGCCTCGCGAAACAGGAATGTCGATGACCCGTCAGGGGGACCTGGCATCCATCAACGCAACCTTCTTGCTATCCAAGAGATTAACCGTAAAGGGCGCGTCTCCCCGCTTCCACAAGCTGTTCAAGGCGCGCAGCCTCAGCAGCCGGGGCCTGCTGCAGAGCCAGGCATTAAGAGCGAGTTTGGCCGCATGTTTGCAGGCATAGGCAGTGGTGTGGGAAGTATGAGCGGTGTGTCAAGTCCTGTTACGTCTGCGCCAATGGCTCAGTACATTAATGCTGCGCTAGCCAAACGAGAGGACTCTGAAAATCCACCACCAGACGCGGGTCCGGATGGTGCCACCAAGGGCAGGGGCCGAAGGCGCAAGCTGAATACAGAAGACAGCCGTGATGATGAAAGCTCGGGGAGATTGACGCCGGTAGGCCGTGGTGCGAAGCGCATTAGGGGGCATGGGCATCACCATCACCAGTACGTTTCCGATTCTTTCCAGCTCTTTTACTCGTAAACTTTAAGCTAACCTTTGATAGTCACCACCACCATCACCACCACGCGCCTGAAGGAGCTGCCTCTCCTACTGTTGGTATCACCACGTTCAAGAACTTCAAAGGCGTTACCCCGACTACCTCACCTACTGAAAAGGCACCGGCCGTTGCGCCTCATCATCACCACCACCATCATCATCATGCAGCAAGAACAGCACAACCCGCCCAGGCTCCAAAGACCGCCCAAAGCCCTCCGGCGCCGATCCCTCCCAAGCCGCGAACGATTGTGTCATCCAAGGCTGTGCTGGAGCAGGTAGCTCGCCATCCCCGCCACCACTTGGGCGATTTCATCTACGAGCCAGAACTGAAAGCAGGACGACTGCTCCCGCACACCCCCACGCACCGGGGCTTCTCGTCTAACCCGAAGCCACTGCCATATGATCTGATCAAAGGCAAAGAAAACTGCACGCTAACCGTCAAAGTGTCGCGCATCCACCTATCTTCGATTGCTCGAGAGGAGATTACATCCAGAGCTTTCCTATGGGGCACAGATGTCTATACCGACGACTCAGATGTGGTGGCGGCATGCATTCACGGAGGATGGATCAAGGGAGAATGGACCGAGGATGTCGACACATCTCTGCTGGATTTGGACCAAGGGATGAATGGAGAGACAAAGCGCCGAAAGGTTAAGAACCAAGAAAGCGAGTCCGCGAATGCCACATCCGAAGGTCTCATCTCGGCGCCTCCCGTCGCTGGTCCAATGGCCGTCCCAGCCGAGCGCGACCTACACGTTACTGTTTTGATATTACCTCGACTAGTCAAATACGGCTCCTCTACGCGCTACGGTATTACAAGCCGAGAATTTGGCGGCGAATACGGATCTCGACACGCCGTCCACGATGGATTAAGCTACATGGTCAAGAGCATCCGCTGGGTGCAGAACGGCGCCCAGCCCCAAGCTCGACTGCGTGGAAAGGGCCGACGAGAGCGCATGAGAGAGCAGGCGGTCAATTATATAATGATAGCGGGATTGACCAAGAGTCTGGATGCTAAACCTGGCATAGGCAGCGAGATCTCTGGCAACTGGGTGAATAAGAATCCCACAGACGACTCTCTGGATGCGAAGCGCCGACATAGCGAGGGCGACAAGGAGAATCAACCCGGTGAGAAGAAGATGAGCGAGGGCCAGTCTGAAGGACACGATCAGGACAAGGACGTTGAGATGGGAGATTTGGGAAATGAAGAAAAGGTGGCTGCTGTTGAAGAAAAGTAGCTTGCTTATCTATTTCCTTGAAATTCCACTCAACTACCTATTGTTTTTTATTACTTCTATTTTCATTTTCATTTTTTACGACCATTTAACGAAGGCTTATTTGCTCTGCATAGGAAGGAATCATTCAAGGAAGAAAGGCAGCTCACGGGGAGCTTATGTATTTTGGACGGAAGGACAACAAAAAGTAGCGGGAAGAACAAAATTTGCTTTATGATTTCTTGTTTTCCAAGGAGACTGGGGGGGAAAGGCTTTTCTTTTTTCTTTCTTTTCTTTTCATTTGGGGCATGAGAAATTCGCTCTTCTCTCTACTCATGATGATGCGCGCGCGTGTGTGGCAATAGTAATGGTACATGATTCGTTTCAGGTCTATTTGTTGTTATAGTGTACAATTCAAGTCGCTTTGGGCGACGTTGGTATCTTTTCTGAACCAGGATGACTTGATATTCCTAGTCTCTTTTCGTGTGCGGTTCCCTCTTTCTCTTTCGCAGCCAAATATTTTTCGTTCAAGCTTCAGAAGCTGTCTGCAGCAATCCATCTCAACTTTTTTTTTTCCTATCGTACACACACCAAATGTCGTCTCACTTCCTTTCCCTTCCGTTTTCCTTTCTTGTCATATTTCTTTAAAAATCCGTCACTCTCCCATTATAGCTCCAGTCGCCATTACCGCCCCATCTCAAAGGCTCGTTCTTAGGCCCGCCAATCTCGCCCGTCTTGGGATTCTTGTCGCCCTCGAACTCGGGCGGCGCGCCGCGGAACAGGCCCTGGTTGAGGGAACTCTCGCCGTCGCTGGTGTTGGTGTTTGTGGCGGCGGCGGCGACGTTTGTTGCGTGGCGGGGAGATTCCGTTGAGGGAGGGGTTTGGGTCGTCTGGATTTCCTGGAAGGCGGAGGAGACGGCGGCGGCGCGCTGGAGGCGCTCGAATTCGGCTTGTTGGGCGGCGGGGAGCTTTGGGGGCGCGGGGCGGGAGGAGAAGGTTGAGGAGAGGCGGTGGGAAGATTGGCGGAGGGAGAGGCGGAGGTTGAGGTTGAAGGGGCGGAGAGGAGGCATTTTGTTTGGTGGTGGTGGTGGTGGTGGTTGGTGTTTGGTTGTGGAAGAGTTGGAGGTGGAGAGATGAAGCTGGAGATGAGTAAGTAGTAGTAGTAATGGCGATGACGATGATGGCGGAATAAGGCGGATGGATAGCCGAGGTTTAGGCTGGTGGGGGGGGATAGCAGCGGGTGCTTAGTGAAAGTCTGTGCTAGAGGTGGGCACAGGTATTTGAACAGGACCTGGGCCTAGTTGCCGTAGCTATGTTAAGGCTGTTTATACATAATGTAGTTTTTATTTTTAATGTTGTACGGAATGAAATGCTGTTTGCAGCTTGGGTGAATGGTGGAGGCAACAGTGGCAGTGTTTCTGCCTATTCGCCTTGAACGAAGCCCTCCAATGATGCTTCTCTGAGACGTCTTCTCCTGCTGACAGCTATCATGGGTCTATCTATTCTTTAGTAGAAAAATTGCGTTATAACTGGAGCAGCTGCGAGAGGCAATGAAAGGTTTAGTAAGTTTGGATTAATAAGTATGATGTACATTAAATATATCGGACAATACAGAACAAAATCAGTGCCGGACTCTACCACAGCACTGCTCAGCTTGGAGTAAGAAGTTTTACGACTTGAGTTTTTTTTGAAGATTTATGGAAGCTGCCGCCTTCGTGTTCAAGGAGATGATTTAAATTAAAGCAAAATAGTTGAATAAATTGACATCATCAGCATGGCATCAACTCATGTCTCACAATCAGAAAGGACAGAGTTAGTGTGAGCATGACCTTCTTTTCTGTTGCCATTTATATTCAGTCTTCAGATATCGAATTGGCTCGACGTCTTCTATCAGCCTTGTCAAGGTACCCAGCAAGCCCAAGACCTGCATAAGTGGCTTATTTACTCTCCTCAAACAGATACTGGCACCAAATATTTCCCGCTTGGGTCAAACCAACAGCATCATACAGTCGCCGAATCGCTGCATGGAAGCCTAACACCCTTTCAAAAACGTCTGACAAACCAACGGCTTTCACAAACGCTAATAAGCTTGCAATGGTGAAATCAGCATAGCCAGGGCTGTCGCCATCGACAAACGGGCCGGGAACTGCTTCCAGCCAGTCGCCAAGCTCTCTGAGTCGAGGTTCCGCCACAGACAGACCCTCTTGTATAGGATGATCCTCGATCCACTGCTCTACCGACTTTCCCCATCGTAGCTTCCGCTTCTCGCAAAATGCCACGGCACTGCGCTCTGACAGGATTTGAGGTACGTGTCCAACGGTGAGTTGGATAATAGGCACAAACGCTGGTCCAAAACGTGCCCTATATTCGACACTTCGCGGCGTATCAAACCGGAGATATGGTTCAGGTTTCAAGTCCTCAAGGGCTTGAATTATCTTGGGGACGTTCATTTCGTACCCAACAGCGCTAGATGATGTCTGGAACTGGAGCACCGGTATCTCGTATGGCTCTATAGGATCATCTTTTGGTTCCAGACTCGTCGGCGCAAATGTTGAGACAATATCAGGATATTCGATCCCTTTGAATGAATAGAGAATTCCTTTATAATGGATTGAGAACAAAACTCGGAGTACATGATGTGACCATATCTTGCCCTCCTTGCTGGGATTATCAAATATTACGACGGCGTTGCTTTTGGAGGCCATATTGTATAATTGGGTTTAACTTGAGGTATAAAGAATGGACTTGAAGACGGATTTCATGCCTTTAGCCTCAAAAAATGTGCGGATAAGTAGGTGAGGCCTCCCAAAGGAGCAATAAGAATGGGAGTCTTTGGCCCAACTACCCCGCGTATGGAGCATAGCTCATGTCCCGCCCTGTTAAGCCTGTTTCTATAAATCTCTGAATTGCCTGGTCGGTCCTACGGATCCAATGTGAAAGATAACTAAAAATGACAAATCTAGTCTGTGCGCAAATCAACACCCAAACCCCATCACCAGTGTATATTGGGTAGATCCATTTCTGAAACGTCTCGCTTCTTGAACATACAGCAGGTATGGGAACAATAGGAACATGAGCAGAGATTTTGATCCGATTCATTATGGACCAAACCAGTCTCTATCATATCTGAACCGCAAAAGGTCGAATTTTGATACATCTATGACACCTAGCTCGCCTTGAATCAAAGTCCCAATGTTAGTTAAGCCAGTTACCAAATACGTCGCGGTGCAAAAATCCTCGCCTGATACCAATTAACTCGACTATAATAAAGAACTTGTGAGCTCAATTCTACGCATCACTTCGTCAGTTCGCCGAGACATTGCATCCCACATCACTGCCGCTGTAGACCCATAGATGCTCCAAGCATCCTCCTGGTTTGTAGCCACCGCTTTGACCGCGCTCATCATCTGCGTCCATAACAGCGCCATAACCGCTGTTATCGAAGTTATGTACATGTGGGATGTGGCCCTTGAAGATACCGGATTCTTATTATCGACTTGTAGACTTGGAAGAGCTACTGAGCCCACTTGAAGCCTTGGTAGGATAACAGCCCAGCCTGTGTCCAATGCTGGAGCAATAGAATGCTCTATACAAGCTCGTATCATATTCAATAGGCTTTTGTATGCTTCAGTCAACTGACAGTGGCATGAAAATATCAGAGAAATGAGTGCTTCATCTGGAATCAAGGTAGTTTGAGCCCCTTGGCCAGGGGCCGAGGACAAGCTTTGTATGACGTGGTTGAAATCTTTGGTATGTTTAAATAAGTCGTCGAAAATGAGTTTGACCGTTTGCCTAGATTTATTCTCAACTGTTGTCACCGTTTCTGCGGCCACACGAATCTTTTCCAGTATGGGAATAGGCATCACAGATGCATACAGCTCGACACTCAGTGTTGCGAGCCTTTTAGAAGCACGACATCGTATTTCAAGGTCATCTCTTGGATCTGAATCATGTTTTTGCACGCGCAAATCAATGCTGTTCTCAATCGAGGAGTTACCGCAGCTTGAGTCGTGAGCGAATGGAAAGGCATCCCAATTGCAGATAAAAGAATCCAAGCCATGGGAATCTTCAGTAATGGCGGGTAGTATTCCCGGCCAAGAAAGATCTTGAAAGCTGCTGCTGGAATAGAGAGTATCCGCTACACGAGGAGACAACCGAGTGCTTTCGTCCAAGTTGAAAGTTCGTGAAGCCGGGAGTGGTAAGGAACCTATTTCTTCGGTCGCTGAAGTAACCCAGCCTTGACTGGGTGACTCGCTGGAGATTCCCACTGCTCTATACACCGTCGACGAGGGTTTAGAGCCCCGGCGACTATATTGGCACGGCGCTTTCAGACGTTGACACCGGTTACATGTGGCGGATTCGGCGTCCCGTCTGCATCGGAGTTTTTGTCTGTGACAGCGATCGCATGACGAGCGAATGCCGGCCCCCTGTCTTTGCCTGATTGTGTTGCTCGGATTCTCTCCTAAAGATCCCGATGCCGCATGCTCATTAGGAGTTACTGGCAAATCCATGACATGAGGCTTTGGGGCTGTTGATAGTGATGGCGATGATAAAGATGATGAAGAAATAGAATGAAATCAGTAAACTAGTATGCTTTTGATGGGTAAATGAAGCTAATCATGCACGATCGGCGTTTCTTAGTGGGGGGTTCGGGGATTGTTTATACTGTTGTGGTCAGAGTCAGCGCCACTCCAACTTATAATCGCAATAACAGTCAAGACAGTCATAAGCCAGCAAACACTCATGTCCAGATATAAAAGCGTCCTCTGGAACTTGAACAAAATGGTTTTGCCCAAGAATATAGAATTCCCAAGAACACAATTACTATAAATTCGAGTTTGTCCAGTCTAATTTGGCACAATGGTTTCCCTCTCACAAGTGCGCGCCTCAAACTTCTTGATCTCTTCTACTTTGCCTGAAAAGATCGTAGCAGTTTTTGTCGGAGGCACAAGCGGAATTGGCGAAGCAACTGCCAAGTGCTTGGCCAAATATGCAAAGAATCCTCGTATCTACATTGCCGGTCGTTCTCAAGATTCAGGCAATCGCGTCTTGGCGGAATGCAAGCGTATCAACCCTGCGGGACAATACATCTTCTGCAAAAGCGATGTGAGCCTGATTCGTGGAGCTGATGATCTTTGCAATGAGATCAAGAAGGAAGAAACTTTCATCAATATGCTTGTACTGAGTCAAGGAGTATATGATTTCAGCCGAAGTGGTAAGAACCAGGTCTATGCTCTATGTTTTCAGGTTCTGTTTGAACTAATGGCCGGCTATAAGTTACGTCCGAGGGCCTTCATCTTCTCGCTGTTTTGAACTATTATTCTCGCATCCGAATCATTCAAAACCTCATACCACTTATAGAGCAAGCCCCATCTCTCCGACGAATAGTCTCGGTAGGAGGAGGCGGCCATGAAGGCAATCTGGATACAGCAGACTTTCAAGCACTGAACGTGCCAAAGGGAAATCTCCGCGAGCATCTATCGACATTGGCTACTCTTGGCTTACAAGCTGTGGCAAGGTCCTCTCCAGAGGTTAGCATCGTGCATGATTACCCGGGCACGGTTAAAACATCACTTCTTAAGGATGTACCGGAAGAGATGTTGAACACAATGACATTGGTGCCTTTAGAAGAGTCTGGCGAGAGGCACTTGTACTTGGCTACAAGTTCGAAATATTCGCCTCTGAAAACCACATCTACGGCAATCCCTTTGGGAGATGGCGTTGAAGTGGCACTGGGACCAGGTGGACAAGCTGGAGGAGGTGTTTACTCTATCCGAGAAGATTGCGAAAATGCCTCCTCCGAAGTGATGCAGAAAATAACAGACTTGAGAGCCAATGGGGTTATGGAAGAGGTTTGGTCCCATACTCAGGAGGAGTTTGCGCGCATCGAGAAAAGCTATACCGTGTAAGGCATTGATTGTCGCGAAGAAGAGTAGCATCAACTGACAGCCGTAATGCCTCACACACGAGTTGTAAAAGGGCTAGTATCGTCTCGAAGTTAATATATCGTTGTTAACTAAAATATATCCGAATGGTTATTAATAAATGTCTAGTATTCCAAGTAATACGCTAGGGGCTTGATTACTTGAATACTTGGGTAGTCTGCGACGAAACCCAGGAGACTCGCGCTCTGGCTTGGTTAGTAAGTAACGATGCTCTTGTTCAGGTTTTAATCACCTTTAATCACCTTAACTACACTATTCATCCGACGAGCTGTAAATAAACCTATTATATTTTACTAATCCAACCCCGACTTTATACTAGATCTTCTTATTTATCTTTGCAAGCTGACCGGGCTAAACACAACCGAATTCAACAACTGGCACATGTGTGCCCCATCGTCTAAGTCGTTTTCCTCTTACTCCTCTACTATCACCATATCCTAGTTATTCTCTCGAAACGTCACTACAGCCGTCTCAACAACAAGTCCCCCGCCCGGTTCCTAGATAACCTTACTTATTCTGATCCTCTAGGAGCTTCTTGGCCTTGTCCAAGTCATCGCCGCGGTCCTTCAGGCCAGCTGCAACCATTAAAGACTCCTTGGTCTTGATTTCATCACTGATGGCCTTGAGCTTCCCCATCCACTCGATTTCCTTGGTCAAGAGCTCCTTTGCACTGTCATTGCCGGGCGCCGCCTTCAGCGCCTCTGTAGCCTTGACAACCGTATCGTCCGAGAAATGCTGGGCCTCCGAGATCCTGTTCTGAAGAATCTGGAACCTCTGAATTTCCGTGCCCTCGACGCTAATGGCGCCGAAGGTCGCGCGATCCTCGAAATGGTCCGCTAGCCAAGTTCGCCATTGCTTGATGATGGGGTTGGAGGTGAGGCGCTCCTTGTTGATGGCACGAACAATGTCCAGGCGGTGCTGGCCCTCGGGCGTCGGGTTCTTCTGCTGCTTCGCAGCGAAGATCTTTTCCACTGCAATCATGCCGAGCGTGAAGAAGGCGCCCTTGGCTACTTCGGCGCCCATCATCTTGGCGAACGCGCCCTTGTTGTCCCACATGTACTTGGAAACGGACTTGAGCTTGTCCGCCAGCGTTTTGAGTGTGCCGCCAGCTTTGGCCTCGGCCATGACCATCTCACTACCCTCTTTAAGGGATGCAGAAATTTCGACTTCTGTATTCTTAACCAGGGACTCGGGGGCCTCTTTGATGGCGAGTTGCTCAACCTCCTCCATCAGTTTGGCTTCACTCATGACACTTTCCCCGGCTATCTCGACACCTTCGGCTGCCCCCTTGCCGAGTAGAACACCCTCGGCCTCAGCCTCTTTGCCCGCTACCTCCAGAATCTCGGCGATAGGTCCGCTCATTGTCTTTGATGTTAAAAGAATTCTCGAGGAGGCTATTGATGACAGGTTTAGGTGTAGTATAGTAATGAAGCTAAAATGTGGTGTGGTTGGTTGGCCTTGAGAAGTAATGAAGTGGGTGATCAGAAGAGTACTGTCTGAGTGATGAATGCTAGAGAATGGAACTTATATAGACAATCCATTAGATGACTCCCGTCACTCCCTTTCTCTGCGGGAGGCAGCCGATCCAATGCACCTTGGAGGAAGATACACGTGCTTAGATGCGGTGGTGAAGCAAGTCTACGTTCACTGCGAGGCTGAAGAGTCTAGACTTCTGGTCGCATCAGATGACGGAGTCAGACCCGTGTCTATATTGCAATACTTGTGGGACTATATTGGTTGGAACTTGGTTGACATGGCTAAGCTGAAGTACTCAATAACACTATTACATCCGGTCTGTCCGCATAGTGTGGCTAGGCTGAGAGTCTAGATCTAGATTTATTCATATCTATTGGCAGCTGAGAAAACTGGGTCGAAGCATGCAGCTAACCGACGCGAGCGGCACGGCACGCACGATCTAGATTCGGTCGTAGACTTGCTGCAGCGAGAGCACATAGTCGACCTCGCCTGCGACTGTGTGCTTCTGGTAGTTTTTCATCTCCTGATAGATCTCCTCCCTGACTTCGAGAAACTTGCCCTCCTGTAACTTGTCGCGCATTTGTCCCCACCATGCCTGCGAGGTCGGGCGGGAGAGCTTCATCTCCTCGAATGCTTTGTCGACGCCGTTCAAGCACTTGTGGAACTTTGAAAGGGCTTCTGCTTCTGTCTCGGTCATACCGAACGTTCTGCCCTCGGCATCCAAGTGGACGGTACCGGGGAACTCGTCGCCCTCGGGCCCGACGTTACCTTCGGTGATGTCGATTTCGCCTTCCTCAGCAGCGTTTCCAATGTTGCCCTCCTCCTTCAAAATCTTGATACGTTCGTTGGCAGCTTTGTCCAGCTGTCTCCCGCTGAAGGTTCTCGCATTTGCTTCATTCATTCGAGCTGCGATTTCGGAGATGGTAGCCATGTTTGTAATGGTTGGGGTTGAAGACTGAGCAGAGAGATCGGAAGTAATCGTGGACGATGGGGTTTGGGGAGAGCTGTAGTAACAACTTCCATACAAGCAAAGAGTGGCTTAAATACTCCCCGGCTGTGAAGCTTCAGGGCATTCCATAGACTTTAGTCAGCTCATCCTGGCAGGTTGACGAGCAGATTTATCGAAAGTTGCAAGCTGAAATGCAAGACAAGAGCTGAACTGTGGCGCTGGGCGTATCCGGTGCCAATAGCGTCCTCTTGGCATGCAATACTCGAGTGGGTCACTGCAACTTCGACACCCCCGGAAGATCGCTACGTTATAATGAAATCAACAATAATAGCACCATAAGATTATTATTATTATAAATATAATTTGTATTATATCTTAATAAAAATAATATTGTAAAGAACCTAGAGACGAATAAAGAATAGTTCATTATAAAAGGGCTGTACTAGGTCTATAATAAAAGCTTAGTTGCAAAGGCAAGTCAAGAGGTTCAAATTCCTTATTCTATACTGCAAGACCAGCTTTAAAGGTATTTATTAATTTAAAAAGCTAAGCCTAATGCCTAAAGGCTATGCCTAATTAAAAAAAAGTTACTACCCAACCACGCGACCATTAACTGGCGAGATCGTTGATTGTGGCCGTGACGTGCATAGTTGCGTGATCCGCCACGGCCTTGACGGTAACATCGAAGCCAATATCCTTAGTAAAGTTGTAGGGATCTGATCTGTGTTCACCATCCCAGCCGCCGTCCTGCACAGTCTTGACCTGGTAGTAGGGCGACGTCCCCATGCCAAACAGCTGTACAGGGATATGGATCTGGATGCCGAAGCACTTGCCATTTGGAGCCTGCCAGATGACTTGGCCATCAGCGTAGCCCTCCGTGCCTCCGGCGCCGAGGAACTTAATCGCCTGATCCCATGCGAGGATCTCCTGGCCATTACCACCCAATAGCTTGTCGTTGGGTTGGGTGTTGATAGTGAAGGCAAGGTCGGATGGTGCAGTCCAGTAATATCGTTTCCATGCAACTGAACTGCGATTGACGGTGGTGATGCTGTAGCTTCCCGTCATTGTGGATGTTTCGAGGAGGGTGAAGATTAGAAGCGAGTTGTGTGCACTGGCCACGATGCTGAATGCAAGAAAAAGATGGTCTGAAGAGAGTAGTCGCCTTGGAGAAGGATCTCGGGCTTTATGCTGGACACTGCCTAAGTACTTTGTTGGCTTCAACCACTCACCATCCAGACGATTAGGACAGAGCTGAAAGCTATGCCGAATTGACTGAGCTAACGACTGTGCTATTGAACGAGCTGAAAGCTGTGCCGTATTGGCTGAGCTGAAAGCTATGCCGGATTGGCTAGAGTCTAGAACACGTTGTTTGGTCGATATTGTCAGTCAAGCCAAGTCATGCGTTCGAGGTGTGCTATCGAGGCGAGCCACGACCCTCAGCAAAGCCATGGCATGTGTCTCCTCAGTCGCGCGGCTCGGCCGTGCTGGCAATATGGCTGAGTTATCCGTTACACTATTTTGGATCCCCGATTGCAAACAGAACGTGTCGACTAGAGATACCTTGTCCACAACGAGAGCCGAGTCTTTTGCCCGCTCAAGTTCTGAACACAAGTCATTCCTCGCTCGACCTTTCTAACATACTCCAATTCAATCACAGAACAAAAATGGCAGGGGCAGTGGCAGAAGTTTTTGTCGAGCTGCTCGCAGTCATCAGTGAGGCGGACGTTGAAGCTGCAGCATCAACTGCTTTGCTAGATGTTGCGGGCGAAGGACTCATTGCTGGAGGCGCTGAGCTCTTGACGGGTACAACTGCAGAGGGAGAAATCATCTTGGAACCCATATTCGAAGAGGCCGGGAGTGGAGCTGCCGCGGATCTGATCGGCTCTGCCGACGTGGCGAATCTGAGCAGAGGACAACTCAACCTGCTCTGGCAAGACGCAAAGACCTTCGCGCGCTGGACTGGTCGCGAGATTATGAAAGGAGCGTTGTTCCAAGTTGGACTCGAGGCCGTCGAGGGTCTTATGGCAAAGCACCCGCCTCCTGGACCAGATTATTCCGACCTCATTCAAGCCATTGGAGCAGTGGGGGGTGCCTTGAAGATTCTGACGGATGTCACAACCGAATGGCGAAAGTGGTCCGTCAAGCACTTTTCAAAACGCGAAGAGTTTGGCCAGGTCCGAGTCGAAGATACACTCATTCTTCGATTCGAGATCTTCCGAAATAAATTGGGTCAAATTAGTTTCTACATGCAGAAGAATTTGGGTCCTCTTCTCGCCCAGGTCAAAAATAACATCGATAAGGCCAATATTAGTGGGCTGAAGAGCGGGATGAGGACGTATGCGGACATGGTATTGGCTATCAGCAAGGGAATTAAAGAGAAGGAGGTGTTGATGATGCATGCTGGACTTAAAGATCGTTACGACGATCTTCAAAAGGCTCGTGATCTCTTGAACTAAGAGGTCAGACTCCCATAAGTCCAGTCAATCCAGAGTAGCATTTGCAGCAGATACAAAAACAACGCTATTCATCAAACCACAGATCTGAGAATTCATCAGAACCGACGCTTACTGATGAAGCAAACAAGGGAGAGAAATAGTCAGCAGATAGAAACATGACCTGCAACAGCGTGCAAAAGAAGCTCTCCATCCTGAATTCATTTCCTTTACCATCTACGCTCACTAGCACCGCTATGTGAGACCTTGATGGAGACTTTAGACCAAAGATAGTCTGTCAAAATGAGCGGAGCTCTCCAGCTTACCATTCATGAAACAATCAACATAGGCCTCTCCATAGGAAATATAGGCTCCGTTCCGTCCATCTAGGTCAGGCAGCGTACCCTGTTGGTTTAGCAAATCTTGTTCCTGCTCCTGGCTTGACTAGGAGCGGTGAAACCTGATTAGTCCGCCGAGATATATTGCAGTTAACGTGTATGCCCTGCTATCGTATGTTAGCTTCTCAAGTAGATGGTTCTGTAGAGCGAGCATAAGCCGGTTCCGTAGGCGCTATCCAGCATAATCTGCCCTATAGCCACCTCCAGAGTTCTAGAAGAACGCTTAGCTTCCAAAAACAGGTTTACTGCCAAGGGCACATCACTCCTTTAGTAGTTAGTACTATAATGTTATCAAGATCCGCCTTTTAGATCCATAGCCGCAGGGTAAGCTCCGTCAAAGAAGTCAGTGTTCAGGTTTATAGTCGTATTTTCGTTAAGGTATCTAGATTGGTAAACAGAAGTTGTCCTTTATTCAGGATATCGTCATTACCATCAATAAGAGGAATTACATTCCTTGCTTACTGATATGCTGGGCGAGCCTCTTGCGGCACTCGTCTCGTTTTCGGCGTCGTTCTGCATTGCTATGACGAACAGCCGCCATATTGAGCTTCATTGATCGAATCGGAACTTTATTCCACGCATGGTGGTTCACCACGATGTCTCTTTGATGGAAGTCTGCTCAAAGCTTTTGTGCCTGGGGCCTGGCGCTGGGGTTCTCCAGGGCCAGGAGCCAGGACTCAAGCGGGGGTGACTATAGAGGTAGTGAAACTAGATTCAGGGTAAGTCATAAAACGCGCCGACCAACAGGGACGAGTTCCCAATGCAACTCTATAGTGTAATATCAAGCTCGCTCATGCTCCCTCTGGCCTCAGCCACTCAAATGTATCCAACAAATCAAGATTAAAAAACGTGCTGAAATCCGCTGAAACGTCCATATTCCAATGCCCTCCTTCATCCAACATATTCGTCTGCACCGGCGCCTCCAACGCCTGCTCCAGCACTCGCCTCACAACCTTCTTCACTCTAAAGCAAATATCTGCATTTGGCGAAATAGGGCCAACCCAGTCCAGGAACGAAGCCAACATTCCCAGCTTCTCCACAATGACAGCCTTTGTAGCGACTGGACTCATGGTGCCGCGCGTTGTGCCTCTCAATAGCTCCATGCAGAGTACTCCGCCTGCTGGGGCGGCAAAGGAGACAACGTTCCATTCGACGCAGTCTTGGGCGGTTTTGAGGCGGTTCTGATGTGTCCAGAAGAGATGAGCCAGCGTCACCATTTCGATGCTGATTTCGAAGAGCCGCGTTTCGTTTCCTTCGCACGCGTCGTCTTCTTTGCTGAGGAGGCGCTCGATGAAGAAGAGGTTTTGGAGGTGTTCCAGCCAGATGAGGACTTTGCCGTAGACTTCTCTTCCGGGGATGTCTGGGTTGTGGATATCCTCGGGGTGATATATCAAACAAGGTGGAAAGCCGTCGACTATTTGCATTTCTCGCCATTTCAGGTTGCTAGCATGTCACTAATTTAGCAGAAACTCTGATAAGTAGGGAGTCATGACTTACAGAAGTGCCATCTTTCCACCAAAATCCATGCCCTGAAGAGCAATTTCCAGAATCTCATCTCTCACATACGACAGCATAGCCCTTGCGCGGAGAGTCGTCGTCATATAGATCTTGCCATCGATATTCCATCCGTTCTCATCCACGCGACAGTCTTCACGCCTAGTCAGTGGAGGCTTTGACAGTAACAATTCATCGCTCATATCGAGAGGCAGCGGTGTTGACGAGAATTTCCTGCCGAGGAACATGGGTCTTCCGGTGAATGTGGCCGTTACCTTGTCATGTGCGAAGATGGCTGCGAATAGCCGGCGCCTGATTTGTGTTGTTACGGTCCAGTCCATTGAATCGGCGTTTGGCGAGACATGGAGACCCAAGTAGGTTGTCAAAGCCATGAGATCTCCGTGCGCTCTCCAGTATTGCATGCCTGGGACACAGTGTTAGAATAAAGCAATCGGGAGAAGCTAATCAAGTAACCCTACCTGCATCTCCTGACACATTCGACTCCAGCAAGCAGTGTCCAAAGACAACAAAAGCCAATAACGTATTGCTGTTGGAAGCGTCACGGCTGAGCTCAATACACTTCCAAGCAGCCATCTTATACCGGCTTACAAGACAGCTCCCATGGTTGTTCTGTAGCTCGATACAGTCCTGAGGTAAGACTGCCTTGTCAGGAAGTCTGCGAGCGCCATAAGCCCAAATAACAAAGAGCAACCCAAGAGACTCCCATCGAAGCTTTGGCCCGGAAAACTCTGCAAACCACTCTTCCACATCTGTGTGGTTATCGCCCAGAGGAACCGCGCTGTTCCGGCATAATTTGAGTGACATGCGTCTAAGCTGCTCCTCGTCTCGAGGCTCTTGGCCCAAGGTTCCACCAAATGTCGCCCACATAGACTCGGTCAGCCATTCCCCTGCAAGCGGACACCAGCTTCCGTAGAAACTAGAGTACATCCTCGCCAAGAGCTTAGAAGTAGCGATATCGGGGATAACGCGCAGAGCGCTGATGGCAAACTCATCCAAGCGAGGGAAAGCTTCCACAATCTTCAGCGGCAGCGTCTCTGGATCTGGCTCGCGCTTCCATACCGTGGATAGGCGATTCTGCGCCTCTTCATAAAAGGCCGTAAAGCTGGTTGCGCCGAGGTATCCAATATTGTTGTTCTCGGGCATGGTCGCCTTGGGGGTCAGTGAAATTGAGACCGAGTTGCCGTTGACAACGTGCGGCGGCCTCAAAGGCGGCACGGATACAGCCGCCGCCGACCTTGAAATACTGCCATGACGGTTTTGATGAGGATGGCTTCGCTGGCCAGGCTGAGTCATATAGACGCATTTATCGGCGACGCCTCCGCGACGGCATCGCGAACACACCGGAAGGCGGTGGTCACACGCAACTTTGCGCCTTCGGCAGGGCTCGCACGACTGCAGACGGCCATTTTTGCGCTTGGGAGCCTCTGATAGAGAGATGGGGCTGTCCATGGCGGCGAGTCAGTTGACGAGATGCCTTTTTAATGAGTTGATTTGTTGTTGAGCAGAGGATGTCGAGATTAGTCAGTCACGATTACAGATACGGTGCTTACATGATACTGGCACTGTACATCCTGGCACGTAGTTGACTTTGAGGAAACCATCGTGAAAGTCGACAAAGCATACGATGTTGACAATTTTGCGTATTGAATCGTATTAATTAAAGCTTCCAGTATAGCTCGTATTCAAAAATAGTGATACGCCTTGTATTTCAATAACCGTAGACATATTCCGCAGATATGTACTATTGTGTCTTTTGAGGGTGTGAAAGGCGCGCGCAAGTCAACAAACACCATCAAAGTCAGAAGCACAAATTTTAAACAGAATAAAGCAGGAAATCGTGATTAGAAATACCTTTTCATGTTGACTAATATCTCAAAGTCAGCTTCATTTCCATATCAGGTCGAGCATCATGTCATCGGAGTCAATTCGAGCCAATCTGCCCCACGGCCTCATTTCTACCCCAAGTTGGGGCGAGACTCATACAAACGCCCGCCCCATATTATGCCGCCGCTACACTCGCATAGCGATCATCGGCGAAATAGCAGTCATGGTAACACCAAGGGAGTTGCGGGTAGAGCCGAGAAGAATAGGCAGCGATATAGGCAGTATCTACTCCAAGAAACCCCAAGTTGTAGAAAAGAAAATTTCCAACTTGCTCTGCTTCCGAGCTCTTCTCTGCTCGCTACTTGTTTGAATATCTCTTTGAATATCAACAAAATTTGCACAACAATATGACTCCTTTAAGCACAAGAGATATTATGCCGTTGGATGATACACCGAGTCCGGAGTGGCACTCGGGTATTTGTATTAGCGATCGTTCTATGAAAGATCCTACCATTGCTGATATTGATGCCCGACGACAGGCTGTTGGCCAGATGATGGCTCCAACAGCTGCCTATGCAGACTCCGACATGTTTAAGCTGCAATGTTCAAGAGTCAGTTCATCTTCTCAATATCCTTTATATATAATATAACTTACTAGGACGTGTGATGTGACAGGCTTCCAACAAACCGGCGGCAAGAAGATGGGACAGTAAGTCTAACTCTTGTTGACCGCAACAAGCATCCCCTAACCTAATGCTACAGACCACTTGACGGCTGAATCTTTGGCACGCGCTCCCGGTCTTCTAAAAGTCGCCGCAAGATTCCTCAAAAGACCGGGAATCATTTCGCTTGCTGGAGGTCTTCCAACTCCTGACTATTTCAGTTTCCGCTCTATAAGTGCCAAAGTTCCCATCTCGAGCCAGAGCAGCCTCCTCGAAGCCGAATCGACAATCACAATGGGAATACACGATATCGCTTCTGAAAACGCGGCGTTTGATCTCTCGGTCGCTTTGAACTATGGCCAAGCAGCAGGCTCGGCACAGATGATCCGTTGGATCACTGAACATGTGGAGCTGGTTCACAACCCTCCTTATGCCGACTGGGATACCTGCCTAACTACTGGAAGCACGGACGGCTTATATAAAGCATTGAGGATGCTCTGTGACAAAAACAGAGGTGATTCGTGGATGACGGAAGAATACAGCTACACTACAGCCTTGGAGACAGCCATTCCCCTGGGCATTAGAACAGTCGGCATCAATATGGATGCAGAAGGACTCATACCAGAAGCTATGGATGAAATCCTAACCAACTGGGATGTAGCGAAAAGAGGAGCAAGAAAACCACACGTGCTGTACACCGTACCAACGGGCCAAAGCCCAACAGGATCAACACAAAGCGCATCAAGAAGAAGGGCCATATACGGCATCTGCCAGAAACACGACGTATACATCATCGAAGACGACCCATACTATTTTCTCCAGCTACGTTCTCGCACTTCTGGTGGCCAACCTCCTCCAAAACTATCCGTCGGCGAGTTTCTCGCCTCCATGCCAACCTCATTCCTAAGCATCGACACCGACGGCCGCGTACTGCGCCTCGACTCCTTCTCCAAGATCCTCGCCCCCGGCACAAGAATGGGCTGGGTGACCGCCTCCGAGCAAATGATTGAGCGATTCATCCGCCACAGCGAAACGGCAAACCAAGGCCCCAGCGGCTTCTCGCAGGCCATCGTATATAAGCTAGTCGATGAGAAATGGGGCCACACGGGATTTCTAAATTGGCTGCAGCGTTTACAAGCGGGATATACTGACAGAAGAGACGTCATGATGAGTGCATTTGACAAATTTCTGCCAAAGTTGATTGTCAGCTGGGATGTTCCAAGTGCTGGGATGTTTGTAAGTTGTTGAAAAAGAAAAAAATCCTGTTCATGTTTTGTAGAAGCTAACAGGATGTTACAAGTGCTGGCTCAAAATCAAGTACAACTGCCACCCCAACTCGAATATATACTCCCCGCTCGACATTGAAGAAGAAATATTCTCAGCGTGCCTCAAAAGAGGTGTTCTCCTCGCAAAGGGCTCCTGGTTTAGGGCAGAACCGGATCTGCTTCTTCAAGACGTCTTCTTCCGCCTCACGTTTGCAGCGGCGAACGCCGAGAGCATAGAAGTGGCTGTTCGGGCTTTTGGGACTGCGCTTCGCACTATTTTCGGATTGGTTTAAGAGGATATATGAACTGAAGTGCATTATTTTCCCGTGTCTCCCCTCTTCTTTTCCAGCCGGTGTGCTTATTTAGATATCTTATGTATAACGTCGCAAAGGCAAAGTCTTTGGTAAAAGAAAAATATGAATGTGTATTCAAACGCCTATATATGTTACGTGCCTTGTTAAATCTCGTTATAACATTCTAACGTTGCTGCATACTGGTCAACCGCCTCTATACACGTTCCAATTGCATCAAACAAATGAGACTCTTTAAACATCTCCGTAAATAGTCGTAACACTGAATACGCTATGTGTCTAATCACCACTGCACTGCAGTAGTCTTCCGAGCTAGGTTCAAAGAAGGGAGTCTCCTTCAAAATACGCGCAATGATGCGAATCAAGACCTTCTCCTCTTGCTCCAACGACTCACTCTCCAAGCTGGCCCGCATGAGCCATTTGCTTAAGAACAAAGCGCACTCCAGATTCGCAATACTGTGAATGATGCTCCAGGACAAGATTTGAGTTTTTGATGCATATCTGATTCCGATGCGAACTGGTATGCTGAGTGCATGGGCGCTCTGGAGAACGGCCGAATACAAACGCGGCGATCGTTCGGGCATGGGAGATTGAGCAAATGCGGCTGCGATTATAGCTGGATCTCTGGTACTAAAGTTTCGACATACTGCCATGTTGAAGCTCAGCCTTATCCAGGCAATGCGGAACACTGCTGTAGCATTAAACCCTAGCGGCGCCATGTAAGCAATGGGCTGCGTGGTACTCTCTCTGTTCCGCGACCAGCTGCCATCCCAGCGACAGAGGGCTCGTCTAAACTTCATAAAGACGTCTTCTGAAAATGGCACTTTGTCAACATCTCCATAGGCGTCAATATGGAGAAGAGTCTCTCTCGTGAGGTGTATTTGCTGCACCAGACCATGAACAGAAATCAGACCTCCAAAGGCAGAAGTGCGATGGTCCGGATTTCGTGATTCCTTGGGTATGGTCAATTCCAAATAATAATCGCCAAAAGTACTAGACATTGGCGGGTCACGACGTCGTATTTCCTCCCATTCAGGCTCCGTGGAAGCCCACCATGCACTTTCGTGCTGTGGCATCATTATCGACCAAAGTTCTCGGGCCATGAGCCGCGGCGGAGTTTCGTAGAAAATTGTATGTAGATTGAAGATTATAAATGCAATGAACACCGTCCGTCGACGCCCTTCGTTATATATCCACTGTTCCCACGTTTCATTCTCTGGTACATTGTCTTCACGCAAGTATCCTCCTTGGCGCAGGTGAAAGACAATCTGTTCTGCTAAACTGAACGCGTCCGGTAATAGATTCTTGTATTCCCATGAACACAGGGACATGCAAATGATCATGGCCTGGATTGTTTCAATTTCAAGGGGCGATTGATTTATAGACCTCCGTGTATTCGTCATAATGCTAGCAACGGCTTCATGAGTTGGCTTTGCTTGTATCGTCGAGTTATGAGCGGCCTCCACTACGGCTGCGCAAACCTTGCTGAGTTTGATATCTATGAGACTCTTGGCAGCGTAATACAGCGACAAGGCCGACTCTGCCTCAAATCGATATTGAGCCCCCATTGCAGCAATGGAAAATACCAGCTCCAATGGCATCTGAGAGAGATTTTTTGTTGAGAGATGTAGAAACGGCCGGTGTAAGTTGAAGCTAGAGAAGCCTTCAATGTATCTACTGAATGTATGCTTCGAAGGAAGCTGAAAGTCCAATGGGAGAAGCGCAGCATTGTCTTGGACTCTGGCCGAAACCAAGTCATAAGCATCCCGGGACATGTAGCATAGATTCCTCGCCGAAGACTGCAAGTATTGCTCGCTCGGCGTGCCAACCGACGCATTGGCGAGCATTGGCCGAGGGTGTATAGATGGATCCTTGATAGGGGGCTGGAGCAACAAGGAAGAAGCGCACGGCAAGTCATCCTGCCATATGCACTCTTCTGTTCTGATTGACACATCTCTTTCAGATGTCGTCGTCTCCAGCAGCGACGGCACACTTAGCGAAGACGAAAAATCATACGCTTGAAAATTCATCGGAAATTCTGGATGAAAATATGAAAGTTCAAAAGGGTTGTGTTGCAATTGGAAGCTGTCCCATAGCATGTCCAACTCTGCAGAATGGCAGGGCTGCGCATTGCTCGCGGACGGGGTCAAGGCATTTTGATGGTGTGTGTTACTGGCTCTCAGCCCTTCTGTTGGCTCAAAATCCGGGATGGGAATTTCGGTCTTGTCCCCTACTCTCCTTCGCCGGTGGGAGGCATTAGGATTAAGGGGCCCATGTTCTCCCAACTCCTTGGCCAACTTGACATGGCGTGATAACAAGTCCCTAGTTCACATGAGTTTTCGCCCTGTGGGAATGATGACAATGGAATAAACGCACTGGCGTGAGAACGTCCGTCCACATATACAGGCATGGGGCTTCTCCTTTGTATCTACCCCAAGTCAGTGATTAACAGACCAGACAATGAGAATCCCATCCAAAGCACGTACGAGTTCTCTCATGGCGCCGTAAATGCTCCGTCCTCAGAAACGACTTGCTACAGAATTGGCAGGGGGGCACCTTGACCTTGTGCCGCATCTTTTCTGGTGCACGCCCTTTCGTCAGTCTCGGTGAGTCGGAGCTCCAAGACGAATCTACCCCAACTTTTATTATTAACGAAGCCCAGAGACCGGGTTCCACTCCATGTCAATGTCAATGTCGAGTCAAAAGCACGCCCTAGCGCCTTACAAACGACAAGCACACGTGATGGCAGCATCACATGACGCGAGTTGATTCTGACAGAATGCCGTGAACACAGACAAGGTCGTTTCCAATTACAACTGCCTAAAACCTCTGAATCTCCCGCTCAGTTGTTTTGCGTCGTGTTGATTGTTAATCAGATGTTGAAGAGTCATGGCGTATCCCTTTAGCGGGTGGGTTACTCGGCAGGATGCCTCCGAGATCCGCATTACTACTCACATACTGTACCACGCACGTATTAGCCAATGAAAGCCGATCAGCCATGCATGCTTCTTATGAAGAGCGTACGGACGCCTTCATCAACTGCTTAGACGCGCTCCTCCGATAGATGCCAATCTTCAAAAGATGGAAACGCCGTCACCTTTTCTTGATCGCATGCACATTTACAGGGTAGCGGTGCCGAGGATGTAACGGCAGACAGTCCGTCCAAGCCGATCCTTGACGCTTGAAACGCTGGGGTTGTTGGCTGACGGTTTGCCCGAGCCGAATACCTGGGGTGCTTCCAGGTCTGATGTCTGGCGACGCTCTTTTCTTCACCACTGCTACGAAGACAAGCCCATCAAACCCAGAATGAAGCCTCTTTACCACATCGCAGCCGTTGGCTTCACAATCATCCAGCTATGCCGCGCCGATGGCAGCGTTTCGAAAAGAGGCTCGACGCTTCCTCCAAAGCCCCCGTGTGAGCCGGGATTCACTCTAGAGGGCGCCTCAACCGAAGAGGTCAACGCCCCAGGAACTCGGTTCAAAGCCGTCATTTCATGCTCAAGCCTCGACGCCGACAAAGTGTTTGTATTCGTCAATGGCGAAGAGTATAGCGATTTTCAAGCGTCCGCCTCAGATATTGCGTTCCCCAACGGCCTCGGTGACGGCACAGCTCTGCTAGGAATCATCGCTGCCGACACCCAAGGATATCCGTTTGTGAGCAGCTTCTCGCTTCGCTTTGGGACTCCGACTTCTATTGTGAATGTCTCAAAGTCATTCCTCCAGGCTGCGGTAGACAATGGATGCTCAACGTGCGGCGACTGCAACTCGTGTCCCGGCTATCCAATGTGCGCAAGTTCGTGCCAAGTGCCGCCTCCTCACCAGTGCGACTTTTACCAGACTTGTGTCGAAGACTCCGTGCCCTGCTCTGGTGACCCCAATTCATACGCCATCAACTACGGATTGAAGAACTGCGAAAAGTTCGATCAGAATCTCAATCTCTTTTCCGAAAATGGCCAGCAGTTTATATGGGGCACCATGAACTGCCTGCAGAAAACACTCGTTCCAGTGGTTTCAGCTTGCAATGCCACGTGCCAGAGCGTCCATGATGCGGCGTTTGGGTCACACGCGCAGTGCTATATTGCCAATGGCTTCTGTAGTCTCGAATGCAAAGACTATGTGGCCGAATTATACACGGTAGGCCTGGATCTTTTCACCTCGGATGCCATCAAGTCTGTCTTTCAGACTGCAGCCGGATGTCTCGAGCGGATTGAACAGGTCATCCAAGAAGGAGCTTGCGTGAACAATGTACTCAGGGGCATTATCTTATCCATTCTCGATGTTCTATCCGCCTGAAATAACCAGCGTCATCAGACATTGCCCATAAAATCAGAGGGAGGATACATCTTCACAACCGCGTGTCTACTTGCTGGGAGCGTCTTAGTCATCTGATCCCAATTGCATGTTCAATTAAAGAAGAAAAATGCGATTCATCTAGCATTGATCATCATGTCGTTATATAATTCATGATATGCGTTATAAAGCGCAGGCAAAAAGATTTACCCGCCAAGCCAGCAAATATGTATAGAGAAAGATGCGAGAACGCGTGATTTGCTCCACGGGAACTTATGTGCTGGCGTCCGTCTCCACGCCTTTCGAAGCAGGCAGGCTAAATCCCATTTCCTGCCAGGACTCAAATTCCTTTTCAATCGCGAGCAGCTCCTCTTTATACCGGTCAATGTTCAATTGGTACTTTTCGAGCGCGTCTGGCAGCTGGCCCTCAGAATCTTGCTGCGGCGTCGGTTCTGCCGCGGCGTCCGCGGATGCGCCCTTTTCACCCATCATTTTCTTCTCCTCCTCCTCAAGCTTTTTGATGAGCATACTCTTTCGCCGTCTTGTGTCTTCCAGCCATTCCAGGCGAGCATCGGTTATTTTGTTGGACATCTACATTGGCTGTTAATACGGAGGATAGCGAGCAGCGGTAGCACTAAAAATATTATTTTTTTACGCCTTACTTGTTATCCGTAGAGTGGCCTCTCTTTTTCGTGGTCTTGCAATCTATAATAGCCTACGGGCTGGAAAGGAAACATGGGAAAAGGGGGCTAGTCTGAGGGCCTTTGGTCCTAAAGCTGAGAGAGGGGACCCCCATGGCTTTGGCGGGGCGAATGGCGTGCTGTGAGAGGCCGAGAAAATATGCAGGGGGGTTACATCGCCAAAGTGGCCCAATTGAGACCCGATGCCGAAGCTTCAAGAGACGGATTTTCATCAGGACCGTTGATTACGCAGCATCTGCGAGGCATAACGTGAGTGGAGGTTCTTCGCATGCTCCAGGGCAAATAGACGGCTCTCATCAAAGAGGGGCAAAAATGGACCAGAGCGGCAAAAGCGTGCCGTTTCGCTGCGAGAAAACAGAAGGAGGGCTGAATCTAGCTCATGTGCGGATGAAATAATCTATAAGAGTACTGATATGGTTGGATTAGTCTCGGAAGGTTAGTTTATAACTGAATCGCTATCTGGACATCCTCCTATTCCCCAGCTCCTCAACTGCGTGTTGGCCAGACAGGTTTCAGGATCAGAGGCTGGCTCGGCCCGAGCCGTATAAGGTCCGATGAATGGGAAAACACCAACGAATAATCAAGAGAATAGCACAGGCAGCTGCTTCTATGTAGAGGAAAACAAAAGTGTGTGCATGTATCTGCTTAAAGCAAAACAATCCAGGCGTGTTATCTTCAACACTGGATGGCAATAACGGGCCTTGCTGCTCGTACAGGATGCCCGGATTTTATTAAGACACCACCCACTTACATGTGAGCGGCAAAGTGGTTATTCTACTATAGGCATCTCCAAACCATCTAGCTCGCTTGCAAATCCCCCCATTCGATAAGCAAGGTGTGTAGAAGACAACTCCATAAACTAGAGACGGCGATAACACGCGCTCGGAAACTGACTTTCCATAGGTCCATCATCCTTTCTCATCTGCCCATCTTCCAGTGCCCGAATGCTATATTAACCATCAGCCCTGTCCCTGTTGCATCTTCCATCGACGCTGATCCAGTCCAGATCTCAAAATTGCCCGGGAAACAAGCTTTTTTTCTCCCACCTTGCCCTCGCCTACAGTTCTTAAAAATTTGCTAGTGCCGGTTCGCCTATACTTAAGCAGACAAACCCTCCCAGACCGACGCCAAATCCGGCAGCACAATCAATCGCCAGCAAAAAGTCCCGCAACGCTCGTCAACACTGTCTCTTTCCCTCCTATCACACTAACAAGATGGCACATGCGCTTTCACGCTGCTCCACCATCCGATGCCGAATCGCCGGTTGGCTCCAATGCCGGTGCCGTTGACCTGCTGAAACGGGCAAGCTGGCCGCGGGGGAGAAGGGCTCGTGAAGATTAGATCAGCCTCTTACGGTTCAGGGTCTGGGTTTAGACGCAGATCGTGGTCGAGATAAGGCATCTGATACGGCTTCGAAGTGGAAAGAGGGAGACAAAGATCCAAAGCTAGCATCGCATTGTATATCGCATCGCATCGCAATGCGGCGAGTTGCGGGCCGGCTGAAGATGAAGCTGTAATTCTGGGGAAGCGGTTATATAAAGCTGGAGTTGGTGGCTGTTTATGATGCAGATCCTTTTCTGCTGTTATCGCTGTTGATTCTACCAAGGCGTCAGTGAACAAGATCTGCAACTCTTAGTCTTCAAAATGCCCTCCATCTCCAAGGTCGCTTTGACGGCTCTCGCCTCAGTCCAGGGTGCTCAGGCCTGGGGTGTTTTGGGCCACGCAACTGTTGCCTACATTGCCCAGCACTATCTCAACTCTGCTACGGCCTCATGGTAAGCGTTATGATCTAGAGCAGTTGAGAGAAGAGAAGAGACTCTACCGTTGTGACTATGGCCATGATTTGCTAACAGACAAATAAACAGGGCTCAGGGCGTCCTTGATGACTCCTCCAGCTCATACCTGGCCAACATCGCCTCATGGGCTGATGACTACCGAGCAACCACTGCCGGTAAATGGTCTGCTCCCTTCCACTTCATTGACGCTGAGGACAACCCTCCCAGCTCATGCAACGTCGACTATGACCGTGACTGCGGCAGCTCTGGCTGCTCCATCTCGGCCATGGCCAACTACACCCAGCGCGTTGGAGACGGACGTCTCTCCGCGGCCAACGTCCAGCAGGCTCTCAAGTTCCTCGTCCACTTTGTTGGCGATCTGACCCAGCCCCTTCACGACGAGGCCTATGAAGTTGGTGGAAACGACATCAAAGTCACCTACCAGGGCTACAGCGACAACCTCCACGCCGACTGGGACACTTACATCCCCGAGACTCTTATTGGAGGCGACTCCCTGGCTGACGCCCAGACCTGGGCCAACACCCTGATCGGCGACATCACCTCTGGCGCTTACGAGTCTCAGGCCGCCAGCTGGATCGACGGCGACGACATCAACGATGTCATCACCACTGCCACCCGCTGGGCCAGCGACGCAAACGCCTACGTCTGCACCGTCGTCATGCCCAACGGTGCCGCTGCCTTGCAGCAAGGCGACCTCTACCCTACCTACTACAACTCTGTGATTGGCACCGTCGAGCTGCAGATCGCCAAGGCCGGTTACCGCCTGGGCAACTGGCTCAACATGGTCTACAGCGCCAACATTGCCAAGCGTGACGAGGGCTCTGCCGAGGCCCGTGATGCTGCTCCCCTGCCTGACCTGCTGGGCCGAGACTTGCTGCCCGCTGCTCGTCCTGCTACCCGTGCTAAGCTTGCGAGAGCGGCTATGCAGGGCGCGTGCTGCAACAGCCGCGACCACGACCACAAGCACTAAAAAAAAGGATGCTTGGAATGATGGTGGCATGAGTTTTAAAAAAGAGGCTTGGGCAGGGAGTTTCGTGGTTATGGCGGGAAGGGGGATTAGCAAAGGTCTAGAATTAGCGAAAATACCAGAGTGAATAAAAAATACCTTTACATCCAGTTGTCAATTTTGTATAAACTTGCATATTTTATATTCTCTATGAGAATAAAGTGAAACTACTCTAAGATATGAGAGCCATTACGGAACGCACATCACCATACATACCATACATGCATGCGGTATACACGAAATACGCGGATTTTCATCAAAATCGCAGCTTAGTCACCAATACCTAGCTACTTTACTAGCCAAAAATGAGGAGAAACCAAATATTATACTATGCTCATAATCAATATCCTGACTATTGCTTAATCGTAAGCCCGAGCTACATAGAAAACGCCAAGCGGCCGCAATTCAGTATCCACAAGGCCTGGTGGAATATATCAGGTACCTACTCATACAATAAATAAGTGAAAACTCAAATTTGCCAGATCTTGTAGTCTTATCAGTAGCCACGGTTTGAAGCTCTCGTCATTGCCAAATGCTATTATGAGAAACTGAATAACGCCCGCATGAGATGTCCAAATCCACTCCCTTCCGGCCATCCGAGCATACTTACACGTTCAAAAGGAATAATTGCGCAAAAGATGGAAAGACATGTTCAAATACTCCTTGCCCATAAGGTTTCTCACATGCTCATGTTCGGCCGAAAGTCTATCTCTGTTCCTGGCCTCGCTTCTTAACTTTGAGATTCATCCCGAGTTTGCCTGAAGGTACTAGTAAAAACTTTCATTTACTGCTTATACGTTGCGATTTCTTTTAGTTCATGGTATATTCTGTGATACATTAATGCCGCAGATGCAGCACCACAATGTAACCTCGCATTACCCATGGCTACTACCATATCAACCCTCAACCATCCAGATAGGTACTTATAGGAGATGATGTGCCATCATCACATCTCATAAAGAAAACAACCACCATCATCCAAATCTCTCAACAAGATCTGCACTTTTGCATCCCTTCTCCCCAAAACCAAGCTTCATCCCCCCCGGCTCTCCATCTTGTGATCGCCCCGATTCCTACCTTGATCGTCGCAGAAATCAACCCCTCACTCATGCAAGATTATAGTCCGATGCTATGCAACACACCCCCGGTCATGGATGATCACCGGTTCAAACGCAAATCATGCATGAAACCAACATTTTAAGTTTAATTTCTCAGTAATCAGTCAGGTGCGCAATTGTCCAACGTTTTGATGTTTTTTTGTATTCCTTTGTCAGGGCTTTCACGCGCACATTTGACGACGCAGCCATGCATTTTTGATGCCAGGCAAATATTCGTTATGAACAAGCTATCCAAAGCGTGTAGTATGTATTTACAAAATCCCCCATCCCTTCCTCCAACGAATTGCCCCTTTACGCATTCACCCACTTCATGTAATTCACACTAGGCTTCTTAACGAAGCTCTTGTCCTTGTTGCCATTCGCCGCCACGCTGGTCGAATAAGCAGCCTGCAGGCGCTCCGCATCCTGCTTCGTAATCTTCAGTTCAGGCGTCAGGCCAGGGCGCAGAATCTCCGTGACAATCTGCGCCCACTCCCAGGGAGCGCTGGTGTCGCCGGGCAGGGAGTTGAAGTACTCCCAGCCCATGACGCCGCCAATCTGGCCGTACTTCTGGTCGAGCGTGATGATGGTGTTGTTGAGGTCGGCCGTGGGGATCCAGCCGCCGCCATCGGCCGGCGAGGTCAGTTGTCCGGCGACGACAATGTCAGGCGAGTAGCCGGTGTTGACAATGTTGATGTAGTCGTTGGGCGATTCCATGGTGCCAAAGCCGCTGTAGAACTGCGTGTTGTACCAGTCGATGTTGGAGCCCTGGTCCGTCTGGAGGACGTTGTAGTTGAAGCCAGACAGGTTGGCGCTGTTCTCCAGCGCGGTCGCGACGGGGGCCAAGGTGATGAGGAAGTCTGGTCCAAAGTCGGACCTCAGGCGGGAGATGAGGCGGTTGATGCCGTTCCGGCTAAAGGGCTGCTCCACGTCGAGGTCCATGCCGTCGAGCCCAAAGTTGATGATCAAGTCGTGTAGCTGGCCATAGTAGTGCTCAAAGGTGGCACTGTCGGTAGAATCAAGCGTGGAAGTGCTGTAGGATCCGGCGGCGGCACCGCCAACCATTCCCATGATCTTGACGCCGGCCTGCTTCATGATAACAGTCTCGTTCCAGAGGGTGGAGAAGTGAGGGTCATCCGGAGGGAAGTCATTGAGATGGATGACGCCGCCCTGGTTGATGTGGAACGAACACACAATCAGATGCGTCAGCGCAATGCCCTGCTCGTTGATGAGCGGCAGCATCGAGATGGGGTTGTTGCTTTGGTCGTGCGTCGTCTGGAAGTAAATCACCAGACGGGGCAGATCCGTCGGCTCAGACCGAGCAACAGCAACATCCTGGACAGGCACAGCCAGCGACAGCGTCGCCAGCATGGATGCTAGATAGACAAATGCCGACTTCATTTTGAGGAGCAAGAAAGATCGGCACCGGCACGACAGGGTAAGGCTAAGAAGGCAATGGATGGGCAAGATCCCATCGCCAAGAACCACGCCGGTGCGGGAGGAGATTTATATATACATCCATCCTCAACGCTTAAACCACAACAAGTCTTACCGTCTCCCTTCCCCTTCTCTTCCGGGCAATTCAGCCAAATTCGGGCCTTTAGGACCGGACTTGATCATTTGCCAAGGGCCCTCCTCCTCTTAGCCCTCATGGCCTTGACGCTTTTGCTCTCCCCTTCCAAGGCCTCTCTCTCTGCCAAAGAGCAGGCTCACGATCCACTTACACCCAGGCACACTCGCATAAGAGGATTCCAATATTTGGGACAGCTTCTCCCTTGGGAAACAATCAGATTCTTGCAACCTTCCCAAGTAGGCCATGCCAAGACACCATTGCGGAGCCCTCTCACCAGCACCGTTGCCGTCCCATACTCTGGTATGAGCCGCGGGGTCTCTGGCCGGGGCGTCTCCGACGGGAGATGGACAGGCCAAGTCTAACGGCCAAGGTTACATTTATGCACGCTAAGCATATATCAACCTAGGTTCTAGAGTTTATTAGCCGTTGCAGGGAGCGCTACCAGGGGCCCTGATAGCTGCCAAGAGCCACCATTCTCATCGTGTGATTGTGATCATGACTGCCGCGAAAGGGCGACGGCCGAATATTTGTCCCTCCTGCTGTATCTTTGCCCGCAGATATCGCGTCTAAGCACGTAGGCTCAACTCGATAAGACGGCATAGTATTTCCGGAAAATGGCACGAAATAGTCGCCGTATTAGTATATCATTCTAATCAGAGCGGGCGCCTGGACATTCATGAACCCTATCTTGCGGCAATCACAGTCCTCTTGACGCAGAGTACGACGCTCGGTCTCTTGGAGATGCCTACCCATCTGTCTCACACCAATTAAGCAGGGCCCGCTTAAGCGGTTAAGACACTGTTTCTCCGTAATCTTAATACTGCTGCTGTTACTATTATTACTAGTCATAAATCATACTGTTTCTGCCGCTAGCACGATCTTCTAGCTAGAATCTAGGTTCGAGAATCGCACACAAATTTCGCTGTCTGACACACGCTGCATCCAATACCAGCATCTCGTATTGCTACTCCGCTCGACAATTTATGTTTCCCCTCCCTCCGGCAAAACTCAGCTTCAGGCGACATCAGCCTCGGGAACAGTGCCATGTCCCTCACTCTCTTCTTCAGCAAAACCAACGGCCTGTGCTAAGGGCTTTTGGCTGCCTAGGAGTTTGTGCAACATCTCATTATTTTTTTGAAGCGTCTCTGAGATCTTCCTATTGCAGTTCATCATCTCTCGAATTATGAGCAGATGCCCCATCATCAAGCCGAAGCCTTGATTAAGAAACAATGACATCTCAGCGTCTTTGCCGTCTTCCTTACTAGCTTCATTTCCAGTCCCTCTCTGGATACGCTTTCGGCTGTTCTTCTTCTTCTGGATGAGAGCCCTCTGTTTCCTTGCACTTGATGAGTTATAGAGGCATTGAACTCCGATCAAGTCATAAATATCCCCGTCTCTCCAGAATGCGGCCAAGTATTGTGCCGCTGCGGTCTGCATCGCCTGGAGAGCCTGTGAATGTGAAGCCGCGCATAAGTCAGCACTTTGCAGCCGTAAAGAGTATATCGACCTACAATTCTAGAATGCGAATCATCCAATCCATCTTGGGCAACATTTTGTATTGCGTGTAAACGTGCCCGCACCAAAATAATCCCTTCTTCATATGGCTTGAAGCCGGCCTAATTCCATATCAGCCTACTAGACGATTCCTCCTTTCACTTGCCGTGCTCACCCAGGTGCATGTGCGACCAGCATAAGCGCATTCGACACAGGTCTCAGTCTCATTTTCTAGAGCATGTCAGCTAAATGAAGGCCCAGAACAGTGAAAATATGAGTGAAATTGCGAGGCATCATCAATGTTCCATACCAACATCCTTTCGGCAAAGAGCGCGAAGGTCACCATCTTGTAAACGCAGCGCACAACGTACACATGGCAGCAGGCTTAAAAAACGTTAATGCGTTGTCCTCATGTCGAATAATAATATGAGCGACTCAAACATACTTTTGATGAAAGCAGCAGGGTAAATCCCTTTGGACCGCGCCCTTGTCCGATTCCTTGTTAGCTGATGATGGGCCCTGGGTTAATATAGGTGCAAAAGGGTGAGGAATATCGCCAAATTGCGGGAGATTGTTGTAAGTCCATCTTCCGGTGAAAATTGAAGACGGAAAAGCCCCCTGAATGATCTCCTCGACTTTTGGATCCAACGACAAGTTGTAATAGTCGATCGGGAAAGGATTGTCCTGTGATTTGATCTTGTCTAGAACGACTGGGGGAATGTTTGAAGGAATGGATAAAGCCGGTCGTTTCGTATCCTCGCTCTTCGCGGAGTTGCTATCGCTTTCGGTGGATGAACCATCCGTCGCGAGGAGCGGTTTATTTGACGGTTTGTTCTCCATGATTTCCGGGGGCAAGAAGATTAAAGTCGGTCGACGAGGATCCATTGAAGCGGGCGCAAGAAATATAGAATGGGTGAGGAGCAAATATGAGTGCGAGAAATGTTGTTTGGTTGATCAAAGAAACAAAAAATAGTTAAAAGAGAGAGATTTATTTTTAGAAATTTAAATATTAATAATTTGAGCTCATATTGGTATAGCATGGCTGTTACTTCCTTCATCTCTCAGCGACGCGCTCTTCACTTTTCTCTGCTTGCGTTTTCACCATTTGGCAAGAGCTCGATATGACAGCTGGGTATTAAATTGTTCTTGCATACACATCCAAGTAATTAGGCCCGTGAAACTGTCGTGAAATACTTTATACAATTATTAAAAAGGGTTTTAGCCTTTCGACTGAGTTGCATTCTGAAAGTGTTACAAAATACACGCCTGGCTAGTTGAGGCATCGCCATGCCGAATATTGAAATCTCTGAGGCATAAATCTTATATGCCTAAGTATTACACCTACCATATACCCAACTTTGTACGGAATAAAGATACTCTCAGTTGATGAAATTCTGGAGTATAATAGAGTAAGTCGACGTTAGGGGAGTAAACGGCATGTTTACATGGGACATAATCCTCTTTCTTCTCCCTACGTCGGAAATTTATATTGCTTATAAACCAGCACCAGCTTCCTTTATACCCACAATTGCATGAAAGATGCAAGCCAAATGCGAGAATACCTTTTCATAGCCGGCAACTAAAATTATACTACAAGTTAAGGCATAGATATACATGCTGACTGAACAGGGATTCGCACCCCGGTAGTTCTCCTGAACGAGACGCGATTCCTGGCTTCAGCATGTCTAGGCTGTATAAGTTACATGTCCTGCTCAATAAAATTCTGTGTCGAAGTGTGACAGAACTTGGATGGCTTTTGCGAACAGAGAGAAACAAGAGTAAGCTAGATAGTCTCAGACACCATCGTTCAACGAATAAAGATAGGAAAGCATTGGACTTGAACAAAAGCTCATATATCTCTAGAATGCTCAATTAGATATTAGGTAAAATTCGTGTAATAATCCTATTTGTTTATACCACAATTGTTCCGTGAAACGACGCTGGAACAAGTACGGTCAGGATCATGCTAAAGCCTTGTACAATTTACGCCCAACTGCCATCAAATGCAACTCAGCGCTCCGCTCCACGTCGCCAATATGAAATCAGTAGCTGCCCTTAACGCCTTTTCACGTAAAACCACATGCCAATGCTAACTGCTGGCACGAGTACCGTCCCCAAAAGCTTCAAAACCGAGTTTCTGATACGAGGGCCAAGGACTGTTTTCACAAGATGTTCGAACTGAGCGGGAGCGTTACCTCTAGGGTACGGTGTCTTGGGAATGTCTTTCTCAAGGAAGGGACAAATCTCTTCCCAACCAAAACCACCTTCTAGGGTGCAGGTCAAAAGCTGATCCTTTGGAGCCAGTCTCTTTGCCTTTTTGGCGCTACAGAGTTGTTCTTGTTAGCCTCTCACAATTAAAAGAAGAGAATTAGGTGTGCATACTCTGATATACTATCCTTCTTGGCGTCTTCCATGCCCCCGTTTACACCTTTTCCGTGGAACATGACGTCTTCAAACGTATTGTGGAGAGCGACAAACCCCTTGATGAAAGGATCAACATGTTGGGTGACATTCATGGGGAACGATCTGCAAGCCTCGAAAACGCCCTTGATAGTATTATTCAACGAACGCTCCCAAGCGTCGACATCGCGTTCGACGAGTATAAATTTCGCGTTGGGGTAAAACTCGACAAACTCTTCGATGAAAAATTGGGGGATTTCAACGATGGCCTTGTTGTAGAGTTAGCTTATAATCCCTCTTGCATGTATGAAAAAGAGAGACAGAAGGACGGAGAGATGTCTTACATCATAGTTGCAGAGCCATTTGTCAAATTCGGCTTTGCCATATGGTTTATCTTTGCCTGAGTATTTGCAACGTATAGCCTCTTCGAAGAGCTCGAGATGAGTGGTGCCATTCATGGCCACCTCGTACATATGGTAAGGCTTGTATCCTAATGTTGCGAGAGCTTGGTAGAGAGAGAAAGTTCCAACACTGATGAAGACGCATTATTGTGTTAGATAAGATGGAGGTAAAGCTTCGAGGTAAGGAGAGCCTACCGACTGCGACTGAGCACAATCACTTTCTTCTCCTTCACCTTCTCCGGTGTAGGAAGTCTATCGACAAGGCGAGACATGCTGAATCTGATGTATGAAGAATTTCGGCAGAGGATAGTTTTGTTGGTCGCTGTTTGCTAGGTGTGAGAGTTAAAGGCAAGAATGCCAAACAATCTCGGAGTTGGCATCTCGCTAGGTTCTATATATATATATATATGCATATATAGGCAGCCATCTTTAAGAGCTCCGCTAACAGCTACGATCAGCGTCTAAGTAGTGTCAAAGTCTGTTATAAAGCAACAATGACTTGATTTCAGATCATTACTCTGGGCTGAGCTTGTTAATTAGGGGGCTAAATACGTGGGCTGATTGGCTGAACTTGAAGGGGCTAAGCTGCAGGATGAAAGACGGTGCTGACGAACTCTCACGATCTGTTAGTGTATGTAATTTGGCCGTACGATCTCACAACCCGAGGGGGGAAATAAAAGGTGCAAAAAAGAGTTTTGAGAATCCTGAACTTGGCTGAATTAGCCATGTTTAGTTGCAACGACAGCCTTAAAAAGCGAGCAAAGCCGGGCTGCCAGCTCTTGGATTCATTAACAGCAGGCGATGAAGCAGCAGTGCTGGGGCGTTTCTCTGGTGTAAGCTCTAGCAGTTGGCCACTATGCTAGTCAAACCGATAGCCCGGTCGTATGGGGTTGAAAATAGAAAGAACCTTGCCTAAGGGGGCTTACACACTGCATGGCGGTCGAAGATTCCTCCGTAGATGAGGAAACAATACCATTGAGATCCTGCTGTGGTTGGCTGACGATACGCGTACCATCTTTGGCGGTAAAGCTTATTGGCCTGTCGCTTTCTGAGAATGCTCGTAAAAATTTAGGCTTGCATGCGAATGGTTTTGACGGTTTGAACGGAGTAGGGCATATCGAGGCAGTTGTTCAGCCACAGCGCGCTGAGCCTCAGGAAAACAATGGGATATGGCTCGCATAATTCACATAACTGAATGAAGGCATGACAAATATTGAAGTTTTCCCATTGCTATTGACAAATAAAGTGACATACTAGTCTAATATAAGATTGAACGCAAAATAGTGCTTGGCATGACTATTGTTTGGCACTAGGTTGAATCTCACTGCGCGAGCGACGACGCGATGGCTTGCTGAGTGGCTCAGGCGCTAACCCCAATGCCAACCTATTCTACGAAGCAGCCTCTTAGTAATGCTCGTGTGGCTGATGCCATAGTCAGCGGTCGGAGCGGCGAATGAATTTGCCGGACGCACGTGAGCATAACGCTGGCATCTCGCCTCGCCTCTCCAATCTGCAATCTGCAGTCTCCCACTCGGGAATAGCCTGTGCCAGCTGAGGGCGGCCACTTTATCTCTGTTGCCATGCGGGTGGTGTGAACGAACCCTGGTGACGGGCAGCATCAAATCTGCATCTCTATCCCGCCAACCAACGGCGTGAGGCATAATATTACAATCATCCAATCCATGTTTGGCAACATCCATTTGAGATGGATGTATACTGCAAAACGGCCGACAGTCAACTTTGGGGGTTTCAGTCCGAGATATCATCTGGGGGTCGCTGCGTGGGAGGCATCTTCTGTTTCTGCAATGGGCCTGCCATCTCAACACCCCATGTTGCCTATATCACAAGCCAGAAGCTCATGTAGCCGCCGACGACCCGGGCAATCTGCCATTTAGGCAGTCCAATCGCTCTTCTTCCCCACGCCTGGTTAAGAGATTGCAGCCGCGCTATGAAGAATGGACAGGGCCTCTCCTCAAGCTTCCGTCTGTGGCGCTCCCGTTCCGTCGAGCGATTTCGGGGGGAGGGGAAGCAGAAAACTTGGGGGAGACATTTTCCCAGTCCATCTACCCGCGCATAAACTCTGGAGTATCGCATCGCATCGAATCGCATCGCACCGTATCGTAGCGTATCTCTTAATCCTCGCGGGAAGGCAAAGCTCGAAAAAGGGCGCCCCCACCAGCAGCCAGAAGCTCGGGGCAGTCCTCTTTCTCTACTCCTACTAGCCTATGTAGAACCTCTTTTTCTTTTCTTCTTCTTTTTCTTGCTACAGTATTTCTTTTTCGTTTCTCTGTTTCTTGTGCGTGGGCGTGCGAGAGAATCGAGAACCTTTCGGATGAGAATTCGTCAAGAAGCCGGGGAGAGCAGCCAATGAGGGCTCGACGATAAGAGGCCCTTGCAAGTGGCGGCTAGTGCGAGGCGTGCTGGGGATTCTCTGCGCCCTTGTGCTCCGTAGTTCGGGCTAGCTTGGTACGGTGCAAATGATTTTCTGTCGAGATATTATTAGCATGACAAGTGCTATGGAGAGCGCGTTAGGACGAGCGGATAATCTGAGCGAATTGGGTCAATATCGTGAAGGATTTGACTTGCATGTGCCACACGTTCTGCAAGGCTACGGAATGCAATATCCCTATCTTTCGTTTTTTTTTTCTTCACTGATGATCTGTCTTTTCCACTAAAACACTAAAACAGATGCTAAACTACAGTCTAGCGGTTATAGAGAGGTATTAATTTCCCTTTGCCGCAAGCAGAGTCGCATTGCTGGCAAGGGAGCATGTCTTTATGTCTATATCCGCGGCAGTATTCGGGCTTTTTTTTTTTTTTTTGGTTTGTTTGGCTGCCCAAACGGCTCAACGCACAGCCGAAAGCGATTGGGAAGGGAGCCGAAACAGAGAGAGAGCAGCCGAGCTGAAAGCGTCATTTTTTTCTAGCAATGTCAAATTCTTTCCCTTATTCCCATGTCTTAGTTCCGCTAGTACTTGTGCATCTTGTCTCTTGTCTGTCTTGTGGCTTGTCTCGTCTCTAACTTATCCCGAGTCGCAGCGAGTTCGGCATCGCCACAGCTCCACCGTGCACACACTGTGCTCACATGTCGGACTGCCGCTTGTGGACGGCCTCGCCGCCAGCGCAGGTACCGCAAACAGGCACTGTTTTCACGCGGCCACAGGCGGCTGTAGCAAGTACCGCGATGGACCGCCGAGGTGGATGCGATGGGCGAGTGACCCGTGCGCGATTCCGGAAGACTCACGGCATACGGAGTACTTACAGTATCTCTGCATGTACTCGTCTGCCATCATCCACAAACTTACGGAGCATCAAGTCCAGTAGTAGGTAGTTTGTACGTACAAACAATCAATGACCTTGCCCGCTTCTCCTTTTTTTTTTTTTTTTATCTGTTGTTCTCGTTCCTGGGTTGATGCTTTGATGACACATGACACGTACCTGCGCAGCTATGCTCGGCGTAAGCCGATTCGATGGAAGCGACCAAAAAATAACGTAAAAATAAACCCAAAAATACGTGTCGATGGTCGTTCTGGGCGCATGGCACCGCCTAGAACAGGCACTGCCGGCAGCCCAGCTGGCGATGCGATGGCCTTTGTTCATGCGGTGGACGGGACGGTGTAAGTAAGGGGAAGCACGGAGCTAATACGGTGAGGGATGCACGAGTGCCTGAAGCTAGCGACGCGGATACTCCGTAAAAGAAGCAATTGCAGTACCATGTATTGCTCGTGAATACTACTGCTATTGCTCACAGTATACTCCATATTTAGAAGCAGCCAGTGTAATGCTAAGGTTTTACGGAGAACAGCGTTTCGTACCGACTCTACGGGACCAACAGGCGTCACCCTGGAGCACTTTGACTCAGCTCGTGCTTGCGCACAGCCTCAACTCTCCGGGCCTTGGCTGAGGCTTTGCCTCGGAGAGAATTTTATACTTTGTGCCACGGCATCGATTCGGGTGGCGCATGTGCCTGTTCTCCAAAGGCGCAAAGTATGTGAGGAAGTCAGATTAGGTAGATTACACGTGCAGATTGCTGCATTACACATGTACCGCCAGCACATGCATAGCTGGAAAGGAGGCCCAGCCAGCCAGACAGACTTAGAGTAGTACCTATTAGGTGCAGACCACAGAAAAAGGCTGAGGCGGTGATGCACTGCAGCACTGTGCAACAAACTGCATGCAACCTACTTCCAACCTCAACGCACACCAATTGCAATCGTTGGATTTCCCCCAAAACAAGGGACTCGAAAAAGAGACAAAACAGTCATATCATCTGTCATCGGATGGTAATCGGAGCTGGGCCACTGGCTCGCGGGCTACGTCCCCTCCCCCAGGATAAGTGCTTGGAGCCTCAAGGGACGATGGGAACAAAAATCTTGGTGAGGCGTTTATGTAAATTTTTAGGGCCCATGGCAATCAGTATCGAATGACACGAATCAATGAGCAAAGGACTCTGGCGCCGCGGCCACTCACCACTCAGAGTCCAGAATCGGGGAGTGGGACTAGCGGTCCAAGCAGCCACCACCAGTTGCCTCTGCGCCGCCCCTTATCAGGTACTTGTGGATGGAGTACAGCAGGATGGCGGAGAGGGCGAGTGTGACCAAGTACCGAGTACCGGAGGGGGAGGTATCTACGTACCGTGTTGTTGGCAGAGGGCTGAATAATTTGAAAATACAAACAAGTAATAGAGCGCAGCACAGAATAGGTAGAAGCAGAAATAGACATCATGCACAGTTGACAAAAGAAAGAAAAATATTAAGAAATAAATAAATAAATAAATAAATAATCGCAAAGATTCATTCTGCGTCTTCTTCCAATGCTAATCTTTCCAAGTTCTTCAGTCTTCTACAGATGCTTCTTCGACGCCTTCCGTCATACATACCTAGTACCTGTTACTGTACTTGTCACACATACAACGCCCATCGCACTACCCATTACAAGCAGCACCACAGATAGCGGGGGACCCTCTTGGTGGCGATACCCATCCCCTAGTACTCCATACTTGTGCGACCCTACGGGGCCAGCCCCTCCATCTGGGGGTGAAGGTACCTGCGCGCCAGGTCCCCGTGGTTGGGGCGGTACGTATCGTCTCACAGTCTGGTCTTTTCCAGTTCTCGCTTGCTTTCGAGACTTTAGTACTTAAAACCCTCGCCGCCCGAATCTTCTTCATCGAAAACAGAAACCTTCTTTTTGGAAAACAATCATTGCATTCCAACTGGTTGCACATTTAATTCTTTTGCCCTTTAAATACCCGGCCTGCTCACTCGAGCTTACACTTAACTTCTTCACCCTTCGTCGTCTCGCTCTCCGCAGCCTCGCAGAGGAATTTCTCGATTTCCTTCTACTTCATTTTACCAACAAACACCACACAAACCGCTATCATGGTAAGCTAGCCCACTGCTGCTGTTTTCTCTATTATCCAAGGGATCTGGGACTAATTGTGTTCTGCGCGTTACAGGCTGCCAATCAGACTTCATCGTCTCCCTCAGAGACTGTACGACTACCGCTTCTCCCCATTGAGCCGACCGCGCGAATGCAATAACAATAGAGTGCTGACTCCTGCTTTCTCTTTACAGCTCAAATATCTCCAGCTCGACCAGAAGAACAAGATCATGGCCGAGTACGTCTGGATCGATGCCGGCGGCGAGACTCGATCAAAATCAAGGGTAGGTTCCCTCCCAGCGCGTTTTCCTTATCTCGACCCTGGTCCCTGCTTCTTGGCCATGCAAGGCAACCTTGCCGGCAAAGCCCCGACTTGTCCCGCTGGCCCCGCCACCGCATATCGCTGGGACTCGCGCCTTTGGCTGTGCGCGTGTCAATCATGACGCCACAGCTGGCGCTCTTGGTGTGTGGCTCGGAGGCAAGCGGGATTTTGATGGGGCTTGGGGCTTGGTGCAATGTGTGGGACAAAAAAAACGCTGCTCGTCGGCTGCTGTGGTTTTGCAGTGCCTGACGGTCAGTGTAATTTGTCCACCACATAGTGCTTGGTCACCTTCCCAAGTCTTGTTATCCCAGCTCAGCTTAGCCTTGCTTTGCCTTGGCCATATCCCGAAATAGCCCCTCGTTCTCCCTCTGGCCTGCGCCTATCCACTCTGGACATGGACAGACCCGCCTGTCTGGGGCTGAGATCATTGATGACTATGCCTCGGCCAGTGTCGGGTTTGCTGTCGATCGCCCAAAGGGACCAGAGCGGTGACGTGAACGGGTCGCGTGTGACGTTGACGTTATCGTCGACGATAACCTGTATTTCGAACATGCTTGCTGACTTCATCATGATAGACTCTTGATGCCAAGGACGAGGCCTACACCCCCGAAAACCTCCCCATCTGGAACTTTGACGGCTCCTCAACCGGCCAGGCTGCTGGCCACGATTCCGACGTCTACCTGCGTCCTTGCGCCGTCTACCCTGATCCCTTCCGTGGTTCACCCAACATCATCGTCCTCTCCGAGTGCTGGAACGCCGACGGCACTCCCAACAAGTACAACTACCGCCATGAGTGCGCCAAGGTCATGGAGGCCAACGCCGAGCGCGAGCCCTGGTTCGGTCTCGAGCAGGAGTACACTTTCCTCGGCCAGGATGACCGGCCCTATGGCTGGCCCGTTGGCGGCTACCCTGCTCCGTACGTCATACATGTCTTGAACAAAAAAAGCATTCGAATTTTGAGCTAACATTTTCCTACAGTCAGGGTCCCTACTACTGCGGTGTAGGTGCTGGCAAGGTTGTCCTGCGCCACGTCGTCGACGCCCACTACAAGGCCTGTCTCTGTAAGTTGACACACTTGATAACTGCATATTTCTTGATCAAAGGCTAATCAGAATTTCAGATGCTGGCATCAACATCTCCGGTACCAACGCCGAGGTTCTGCCCGGTCAGTGGGAGTTCCAGGTCGGCCCTTGCGTCGGCATCAACATGGGTGACGAGCTCTGGATGGCCCGTTTCTTCCTTGCCCGCATCGCCGAGGAGTTCGGCATCAAGGTCACCCTGCACCCCAAGCCCATCCAGGGCCCATGGAACGGCTCCGGTCTGCACTCCAACTTCTCCACCAAGGACATGCGTGCCGAGGGTGGCATGAAGTACATCGAGGAGGCCATCAAGGCCCTCGAGCCTCACCACACCGAGTGTATCAAGGAGTACGGTGAGGACAACGAGCTTCGTCTGACCGGCGAGTACGAGACCGGCTCCATCGAGAAGTTCAGCTGGGGTGTCGCTAACCGCGGCACATCCATCCGTGTCCCTCGTGAGACTGCCGCCCGTGGCTGCGGTTACTTTGAGGATCGCCGCCCCGCCTCCAACGCTGACCCGTACCGTATCACCAAGGTCCTGATGACCTCCATCTTCGGCAAGATCTAAAGGGGACGGCTGAGGGTGAGCTGATGGGACTAATCAAGGTGAAGGGTTAGCGAGCTGGTGGAAGTGGATTTGAAAATTTTACGTGGGCGATAGTTGTAACATTATGGATAAGCTGCACACACTTTAATATGATATCGAGGGAAGCTATGGACTGACCAGAATAATTTTCTGGTTTAACGGCGTAACGGGATAATGATGGGAAATTTTTCGTTTAGACATTGACGGCTGCGCACAAAGAAGTGCTGCGGCTTAGAATTATTTTGCAAATATATTAGCGACTACTTCTGCAATCTCTCTCTCTGACTCTCTCTCTGACTGACTGACTGACTCTCTGACTGACTCTGACTCTGACTCTCTGACTCGGACTCTGACTTTATCTCTTCTCATTTCCATGTTCACTACCCTCTACTTATACAATTTAAGCAATCGCTTCATTTTGCAAGTATGTTTTATATACGATGCACAGATGAAGTATCCAACCTGGCCCTGGTCATTCTGGCCAACACCTGGCATACAATAAGATGCACACAGATACTTACTTACTCTCGGCACTCATGTCTTTGGTGGAGAAGTCTAAGAGTGTGGATCAGACCCGTTTCAAGGGTCCAAGCCACCCTGGATTGGCTTCAGGTACAAGGTTGGGTGGGATTTACTGTAGGAGAGAGAAAGTTTGCCTACCTATATTTTAAGTATGATGAGATGATTCGTTTAGTTTAATCTTTTGGGCCTTTGAGATAAGGTAGTATCCGTGCGATGAATCGAACTTTATCTGGTGCATCAAATATGGCTATTTCTGGAAATTATCTGATCGCAGCCATTTTTGAGTGCCGTCCGACAAAGGGAGCCTATGATGTGCTGTATCAACTGGTCACCAAATAAATCAATGGAGTGGATACGTACATGGAGCTGTGTTTATAAATGCATGTGTGAATGAATCAATATCCTTGTGGAAAGAAAAACACGGATGAGCTGAACATGTTTGTGTATCATACGACACTTCGTGAAGCTAATTCGTTTCATCGCATTCTCCCACTTACATAGTCACCATGTATACTGGTTTTTTGGTTTGATACAAGCCTTCGTATGCTCAACGCTTCTGACCCATATACTCTTATATGTATATGGAGCCAAAGCTTAGAGACAGCCGCAATATGAGGTACAGAAAACTCTCAGGCCGCTGGCTTGAGGCTTCTTCAACAAACACCACTCGAGGCAAACCCACACAAAACAAAATCATCAGCGACAAAGTATAGCAGTTTATGTTCCGAATGAAAGTCAATTTGTTTCAGTTACTATGGCGAACGGTTCATAGGCTTTTTATTAAATTGTTTACGGTCTTATTGCTGTTGTTCACCCCGTGTCTGAATGCTTATCAAATGGCAGCTGGTAAAGTGAATAGCAAACGGAACGTACGCAAGCACACACTGTCAAGTTTCCCACCTTGAATAATCTGCTCTGGAATAACATCCTTTCTGCGTCCATCATCTTGAACATCCTTAGCTCTTTGCTAGACAAGAGATACATCACGACTTGGTTCTCGTCTCGTCTTCATTTCATCTTCTGCCTCGTCTACTGTTAGCCTCAGCTAATCTCGGCTACCTGACAATGAAGCAACACTTACCACACCTGAACAAAATATTTCTTTGTTCTTTCAGCAATCGACATAGACTTGTACACTATATTACTGTATTCTATCAACGATCAACACACCCCTGTGCAGAACAATTGCTTTGTTCTCTCAACAATCAACATGTGCCAAGAGTACCTCACCACCGCCATCTGCGCACCAAATGTGGCGCCTTCGTGTTCTTTTGTCTGCGGAAATCTTCATCTTGTGGCCAAAAAGTGCATTGTCTGTGACAAAGTAGCCAGAAAATGTAAACTGATATACGCTTTATATCCTTCAGCACGACGCCTGTTATAGTCTTTCTTTACATCCAGCTCGATTATAATAATGAAATACCACCACGATGGCCAACACGGTTGCCAGAAGCATTACCAAACTCCTGACTGATGGAAAAGGAGAAGAATGGTAGCAACAAGATGGAATCTGAAGACGAATATAATGTATTTGTTGCGTGTTCGCTTATTGTTTGTATTCCACTGGCTGTCACCAGGGTGGCTTGTGTACGAATCTCGAGGGTCGGGTAGTTTTTCGCGAGCTTGGCGCTGTCGGCGAGCGTGATAAAAGATGTTGTATCTGCGCAGATTGGTGTAATTATGAGAAGTCAGCGTGGATTGGAATAGAGCCAGATGTTTCGGTAGGACTAAGCACAGCATGGGCATCCAAGTCCTCGGTCGGGATTCGGGTTGGAGGATGAGTGAATGGCGGGAGTATCAGGCTCTGGGGGATGTCACAGCTTTTTTGGGGCCTGCATTTTCACGAGGCTCTTCAGAGACCAAGTATTGGCAAATAATCATAGAGGGGCCAGCATAATGATCACCAAGAGCAGTTTTGATGAGGAAATAGGGGAAATACTAGGCCGTAGCTTGACAATCTCAAGAAGCATATCCCGAACTTTCTCATCTTTATCTGGCACTATCCATTCGCGACTTGAAACCAGAGAGGTGAATAGGACATAGCTGTAAAAGAATGAGCATGTAACGCGTTGCGCGGCTACCAAGGCATGGACGTGTTGCGACGGTTTTCTGACAGCTGCCATGCGGCTTGTCGTATTTCGAGTACACACCTTCACTGCCTTCTACCTGTTTTTGTTCATGGCTTTCCAGATAGCACAGTATCATCGATTGTTTCTTCCGTCCATCTATCTGAACGCCAACATAAAAGAAAATGTCCCAACCAAGAAGACCCAAGACCGAAGAGGAGGTGGAGGCGGAGGTGCAGTTCTACGGCCTCACCAACCAGAGCGCCGCGGCGATCGTTCGCTTCGGGAACGCGCTCAAGGGGGCCAGAAAGCTAGAGAGGGAGCACATTGAGCTTCTAGCCCCCGGCAGAAGGTTACATCCTCCGTCCCCCCTCTCTCAGCCGGTCTGGAAACAGGCAGATATCGAGGATAGCCCTCGCCCCCAGCCTGGTGAAGAAGTTGAGCCTTGCGGCCTGGATTTGGAGGCTGCCGGCGCTGATCCAATCGAGTCTCCGGTTGGTTTTGAATTATCTTGAGCAATTTGTTTCTCTTGGTCTTAGTTAGCTAACACTTCTCGATTCTCTGAACATAGGATTCGGGCCGTCTTGATGAGGACCCTGACATCAAAGCCTTAAAGGCCCTAATATATGCCGTTCCTGGAGTTGACGATATTCCTGCCCCACACGAACCTCCTCCTTCTTTAAAATTCCGAAGGAGGGTTCTCTCTCCGATACAAGAAGAAGAGGAGGATGAAGAGGTGAAGGGAGAGGAAGAGGAAGAGGAAGAAGAAATGCCGACTCATCCGAGAATCGCTTAGGACGTTGAGAAACGCTCACTACACGAAATATACTTTTCTATATTCGGGACGGTGCCAGGATCTCGATACTGCTTATTACCTCAGCATCTTTCCGGCTATATTTGGTGCTTACCCTACATATAACTATGATGCCACTAATATGAACGCGAAATTAGCTCAACAAGTGGTTAGTTGGGAAGCCATCATGCAGGCTTTCTGGCTACAGCAAGTGGGCTACTCAGCTTTCCCCTGATTAACAAGGATCCTGGAAATTAACACACTTTTGCTAGATCAAATCTACCAGTATTTACTGTCCCATAGCGCAGCAGGGCCACATTGATCATTATTACCTGATTGGACAAGACCAATATTTTGTTAATGGCAATTACTTTGAATACAAGACGCGCTCGACTAAACAGATGGGATCCTAGAAGATTGAAGTGGCTGGAATAAAGGACTGGCTCGAGTATTAACTCTAGGGGGACTTTTATAGTTCTTTCTTTTTTCATTCATTCTTTCTTTTTTTCAATATAAGCTAGGAACGACAACGCTTCTGAGCCTGCCTGGTATAGTTTATACAGCAAGGTAATTTATTTCCTAAACATTGACATTACTGACGTTCTATCGTCATTGATGTCCTCCTGATTTCAATGCTTCATTAATACAACTGCGGGAATACTTTCTTGAATGAATCCGTGGCGGTAATACTAGCCCACCATTCCCTGGTCTTCTCACCAAACTTGAAGTTAGAGGCGGACTTTTGAATCAACTTCTCCAAGGTGTCAAAATTATGAATCTGGGTCGTGTCCGAGCCGGCTCCCCACATTGCGTGCGCCTGCTAGGTTGTGATGTGGATATCAGCCTCCGTGACAGAATCACCTACTGCATACGGTAGAACTAGGAGAGAGTCCAGCCGCTCCAGCTCTCTGGTCCAGATTTTGAGGGCTTCGTCAGTCTCCTTGTAGAACTGCTTATGCTCCTATCCGATAGGTTCAGTGTAGAATTTGGCAAGGGAGCCATTGTCGAGGATCTTGGGTCCATAGAACGGATGGTCTGAGTTGGCCTCCTTCTCCTTGATGAGCCTGTTTTAGCGGTTGACCAGGTAATCCTTGAAGCCGAAGTTTCTCTTCGCATTCATCTCTTCGTCATTCCGAGAATTGAAGAGGACGGTATCGGTCCTGCCATCGTATGAGTGGACAAGATCAATAATCGCTTGCGCCCTGCTCTTGGCGGCGGCATCCGAGGGCACCAAGGTGCGCTCTCCCTTTAGTCCATCAATCCACCTGGCGACATCTACGCTTTCGATGATGTTCTTGTCTAGTGAAGGCGAAGTAATGCTAGGCACGGTGCCGTTGGGGTTCACCTTCAAGTATTCAGGATTGAAGTTGTCGGCAGCGACTATTGATTCCAAATGTTACTGCTTTGCGCCTAGTCGGAGGGTCTAGGTCTTACACAGATCAACATCCTTGACATCATATTCATTTTCAGAGACACCCTTTTCCGCCAGTGCAAGATGGGACACCTGGGCCCACTGCGAGCCGCCTGGAAAATAGAAAAGAGAGTTTGTTAGCGCTCGGAGTGTCTCGCAAGTGAAAATGACGGCCGTCTATTATTAGGATTATGCATACATGCACCTTGGACGCCATGGCTCCGCGGAGACGTTCCAATAAAGTGGGATAAAGTAATCTAATTCGCCCGTCTGCCGGTCTTTATTAGCGCTGCCGAAAGAAGCGTTTGTTACCTAGGTTGAAGCTATTTCATTGAGCATAATACATCCTGGGAACGTTAGTCGAGCTCTATATACGTCTGTTGCTGGATTTCGCTGACAAAAGCGCATACTCTTAATGTCGCGCATTCACTATACAACCAACCTAAAGAGGCTCAATCTATCTCCCAAAGCTGCATAAACTTGAAGGTTGCTCTGGAGATCTGGAGGGACATCGAAGATAGACTCTAGCTTGAATAAGGAAATTTAGCGTTACGGCTGCAGCCATATTGAGCGTTGTCTCACTGAATAAGCTTGACACATAGAAATTGGAATCATGGGCCGCGTTGCAGATCCCAGCACTACGATTTATGCTACACGGCTCGTGCTGAGTGGCTCGTACGACCAATGATAGCTTTTTGACAAAATAAAACAGCCTCAGGTGGCTGGAAAAAAAATGTCCTTGCTAAATCTTTGAGTGCTGATGGCGGCAGGTACCGACTATTCTTTGTTTACAACCTTACTTGTACTAATTAGCCCAGAAGCCCAGTCCTCGTCCGAGTTGGTGCGGGCAAAGCACAGAAATAGATCCCAAAGAGGAAATTCTAAAAGGGGAAAAGTTCTCAAAGACGAACAGCCAGGGCATACCGCCAGCTTGGGTAGTGGAATCAAGATGTGGAATTAGCATCGCTTTCAAGGATGATTCTAGTCTACGATTCGCGGGCTTGGGGCTCAGCCTCAGCCTTACTTGCTCAGGTACACACGTAGACTCCTCTGATGCTGACGATGACTTGGATGTTGGCGAGGTGTTGGTCTCAACATGATGGAACTCAGTTGGATGAATAGTTTTGTTGAATGGTTGTAAGGAGTCATGGAAAGTATATAATAGTGACGATGATTCTTCTCAACTGCTCTCTTTTACTTCATCATCATCACACCATCAACACTCCTCCTCATATCCGCCTTTCCTAACACTTTCAAACATCTTTAATAATAATAATTTCTCAGCCGTTTTTACAGCTTCTTCTTCAATAATAATTCAATCAAGATGAAGTTCTCTACTCTTGCTTCTGTCGGCCTTACTGGTCTCTCTACCGTCCTCGCTGCTCCTAGCAGCGTTGACTCCCGAAACGCCAACGGCGCGGTCTTCGCCTTGACCAACGCGGTCAACAACGCAATCATTGCTTTCTCCCGTAACGCCGATGGCACATTGACCAAGACTGGAGAATACCCCACTGGTGGCCACGGCCAGGGCGTCGACTTCGATTCTCAGGGAGGTCTTCAGCTCAGTGCTGACAACAAGTTCCTCTATGCTGTGAACCCGGCCAGCGACGAGGTTACCGTCTACTCCGTTAGCGGCTCCAGCCTTAAGAAGATTCAGTGCATCTATGCTGGTGATCAGCCTCTGGCTATTTCCTTGAGCAGCAACGGATTTGCCTATGTCATGGACGGCTCCGTTGCCACAACAGGCATCTTTGGTTTCAAGAGGAACGAGATGACTGGCATGCTTACACCCATTACAAACTCCACCATTGCTACCAGCACTCCCATTGGTGTTCCCGGCACCGTTGCCTTTTCCCCTGATGCCCGCACCATCATCGTCACAAACAAGGTCGGCAGCACCATCGACCAATACTCAGTGGCAGCCAACGGCGAGGCCGTCCTGGAAACCACTTACGCATCCAGCGGCCTCCGTCCCTTTGGAGCCGTCTGGGGCAAGTCTAACACACTCTATGTTGTCGAGTCTGGCCTGCCCGCCTTCGGCAACGCTGGTCTGTCAACATACCGTCTTGACAAGGTCGACGAGAACCCCCTCTTGAAGCCCATCACCAAGTCTGAGAAGAACCAGCAGACTGATGGCTGCTGGGTCGTTGTGACTCCTGACGAGAAGTACGCCTACACGGCCAGCTTCATCACCAACGCCATCTCCAGCTACAAGGTTGCCGCGAACGGCACTGCAACTCTCATCCAGGAGGTTGCTGCTAGCCCCGGTGAGGGCACCGAGCCCGTCGATCTTGCTCTTAGCGCCGATGGTCAATATCTGTACAACCTCCAGCGTGGTGGCGGTGCTATTTCTGGCTGGAAGATCCAGGCCGACGGTTCTCTCAAGACTCTTAGCAACTCTTTCGGCGCAGGACAAGGTATCCCCGTTGCTGACGGTGCTTCTGGTCTGGCTGCATACTAAGCTTGGACGCATATACACATTTGGCTCAAATTGTAAGGGGGTACTGATGCAGGTGGTTTACTATCGATGGGGAGAGGATGGTGGTCCGCAAAGAGATTACATCTTTGCTAGAGTGTAACAGTACACTCTCTGTGCATAATTCTTCTTCATATTAATACTTTTATACTATTTGGATCGCGAAAAGGTAGAGCAGGAGTTAATTTAACATATTCCTTGAATGCGGTATCAGTAAATTATATCATGGACATGTGACGTGTTTGCTTTGAATAACTTCAAAAGCTACAATTTATGGAAATTACTTCTGCCTTAGGCTTCGTGCTCCTTTAACCCAACATCCTCGTGAAGCTCAAGCTCTATCTGTGTTACGTCCACTGTCTTCCTACCCGTTCGGATATCCTCGATATCAGGCACAGATGAATGCTTCTCTCCCTCGAAAATGGCATCGATTTCCTCCAGTGTTTTGCCTTTTGTTTCCACCCAATACAGGTACTAGACGGAATTAGCATCAAGTTTGTTTCTTTTTTGATCACCTCTGAGGAAATTCTTACAATCAGGACAAACGTGACGATATCCCATGACCCGTTGATGATGTATGTCTTCCATGTAATATTTGTGAGCGCAATGGGCATGACGAATGTGAGAAGCAAACTGGAGTAAACGATATTAGCTTAGTAATTGACTGATTAGATTCACGAGTACTCACGCCAGTCCATTCAACCCGAATCCCGTCAATGCTAGTCCGTTGGCTCGAATGGGATAGTTCATCACCTCTGGCGGATAAAGATACAACAAAGGAGTCCAAGCGATGGAGTAAATTCCCTGAAAGAGGAACATGACAGCGACGTCACCATAGACCAAGCTCTTGGAGGCACCGTCGGGGTTATCTTCGTACATCTTGGTCAGACCGCCAATGATGAAGAGGCAGACGATGAGAAGGCCTTGTGAAAGCAGCGCAGTGGGCTTTCGACCCCATACTGCCGCTAGGTGAGTCCCTCCAAATGCGCAAAAGAGACACCAGACGTTAAGGACAACATTCTATGCAGATAGTTAGTCGCCTCTTCCAAAACATGAAGCGGCATGCTTACAGCTTTGAGTTGTTGATTCGGGTCCGTAATACCCGCCGTGTCAAGCTCGTTTCCGAGATAGTAAGAAGCGATGACATTTCCCGCAATGCATGAGAAAGGTCCGACCGAAGCGCCGATCAAAGTTCTCTTGCGTGCTGTCGGAGATTTTATGATCTCCCGCGGACTCATGGTCATGTCATTCTTCCTCTCCCACTCAAGAGTATCGACAATCTCTTTGTAGACAGCCACCACGACGGGATTGGTGATGTCGCCGTCAGCGTTTGTTTGGGCAACAGATAGACGAGCATCCTCATAGCGTTCCATGCTGACCAACCAACGTGGCGATTCAGGAATAAATGGCAACACAAGGATACAGGCCAGCGAAAAGACTCCTTGGAGCAAAGATGGTAGCCGCCAAGCCCAGGTGGACTGCCATTGGCCTGTACCGAGAGTGACTCCAGCAGCAATCAACGAACCGACATAGTAAAAGTTGTTTAGGATCTAACAGAAAGAACAAACTGTCAGCTGCCAAATACACATTGCTTTCTTCTCTCTCTATCCGTGAAAGAGCTGCAAGAGAGACAAGGACTTACTCCAACGCCCCATGCACGATATCTGCTCGCAAATGTCTCGCTAAGATAGACACCTCCAGCGACTGAAGAAATGGCACTGCCCCAGCCAAGGATGATTCTCGCAATAACAAACATTGCAATGTTCTGTGCCGCAGTCTGAAGAAGAATCCCCAGCAGCGTGACCACCGAACCCCAAAAGATGGCGGGCCGGCGACCGAGCCGATCGGTCATGACACCAGCCCAGATAGGTCCGAAGAAGCCGCCGATGAATACAGATGCGGTGTTGAGACCAGTAAACGCGGGGTTATCGAGATGGAAATAGTTTACATACGAAGGCAAGATATTGAGACCGTTGAGCATGGAACCATCGTAGCCACCGGTGGCAGACTGGACCATGGAGCAGATTAACAGAAGAATCGAGACCGTGGTGGTGGACTCTGGGACCCAGGCTGGGATCCAAGTCCCAGTGGGAGATTTGCGAAGCATGGCTTCTGTTTCTGTTTGTCCTTTTCACGCTTACACGAAATGCTTGGGTTGACTAAATCAGAGTCAAAAACCGATGGGCACCGACGCTGAGACTATGAACGTCTCCTGCGCCCTGTCGTTCTTCCTTGACGAATCATTCCGCCTTTCTCTCTCACCCCGCGAACAGCAGGTCGTCGGGGGATATATAAATGCTACTCTAAAGCTAATCTGCTGGATGTAACATTGATGTGAGACACCATATTATTGGCACCGCCTGATAATCTTTCCGAGCAAAAGTTCGCCGACAACGGTTCATCGGGTACCGGCAGTAGAGCGGATAACACTACTAGAAAGAGAACGTTTCATGGCCGATCCCCAGATATCATGAGAGTGGTCGACACTAAGTCTTTGATAACGGCTTTATATTGGTTCGGCTTTACCAAGCCAAGACAAGGGCCGTCGGGTAAAAGTGGCAGACCTGCATTCAGTTACCCTTTATGGAAATGTTTTACTTATCTTAAACTCCAAGGCTCGCCTCCTCACGTTGGCGATACCCCGCGTTTGTTCCCCCACTGATCACCAGACAGTCAAATCAGCTTAGTCAAGTTCCAATGGAAAGAAGCTTGTGCGGATAAACGGCTCTTTAGCTCTCGAAACCATTGATGACACGCAAAATACGACGATAACCATTGAGCATGGTATGATAGCAGTTATAACTAGCCTCGCCGCTCCGCATTTCTACAACTCTGGAGACAGACTAATATTACATTGGTAAAGGGCCAAACTATAAGAAGGGTGGAGGAGGAAGAGGAGGACAACAACGACACAGCGCTAGCAAGATAATCATTCAGACCGCCCGTCAGCGTTATCGGCCCCCCAGAGACCAGAAAATGCAAGTGTCGAAGCGGCCGGTTATCGCCGTGGCTGGTCTTGCCTGCGAGACGTCGACCTTCTCCCCTGCCGTTACCCTTGCCCCGGCCTTTCACCCCAAGCGTGGTGACGAGATTGCCGAGCGATACGAGTTTCTTCACGACGATAAGCCGCTGGGGATAGAGGCAGAGTGGAAAGGCGCTCTCATCGGACATGCGCTGCCTGGAGGGATTGTGACTCGCGATGCGTTTGAGACGCTCTCCAAGGAGATTGTAGAGAGGCTGCAGGTAATTGTTTCGGAGACTAAAGTTGATGGCTTGTGGTTCGATATCCATGGCGCCATGTGCGTGCAGGAACTGGACGACGTTGAAGCTGAGCTCTTGAGACGCGTTCGCGCGGTCATCGGGCCAGATGTCATTGTATCGGCGTCAATGGATCTCCACGGCAACGTCTCACGAGAACTGGCTCATATGTGCGATCTCATCACCTGCTACCGCATGGCGCCGCACGAAGATGCCATGGACACAAAAGAGCGAGCCTGCCGGAATCTTGTCAACGTATTGAAGGGCAAAGAGCCAGGCAGACGACCTCTCAAAGCCTGGATCCCCGTTCCTATCTTGCTTCCTGGAGAGCAGACTTCGACGCGAGATGAGCCGGCAAAACACATCTACGCTGCTGTGCCCGAAGTGGAAGCTGTGGATGACGTTTTGGATGCGGCTATCTGGGTAGGATATGCATGGGCTGATGAGCCAAGAAACCGCGCTGCCATTGTTGTTACGGGATGGGATGAGAGTGCGGTTTCTCAAGGAGCTGAGAAGCTGGCCAAATTGTTCTGGGATGCGCGAGCTGATTTCAAGTTCGTTGCGCCTACTGGCAGTTTTGCAGAATGTCTAGATGCTGCCGTCAAGTCGCCACCCGAAGAGCGCCCATATTTTATCTCTGATTCTGGAGACAACCCGACGGCAGGAGGCTCGGGAGACATGACTTGGGGGCTCACAAAGTTGCTTGAGAGGCCAGAGTTCAAATCGCCTGATTCTGGATACACAGTCATATACGCCAGTGTCCCAGGGCCGAAGGCTATCGAAACCGCCGTTGCTGCTGGTGTTGACGCGGTTGTCACTGTGACTGCTGGCGCCGATGTTGACAACATTCACGCACCTCCACTCACAATGACTGGTCGTGTTCATTCTATCAAGCATGGCGATCGAGACGCCGAAACCGAAGTCGTATTGCAGGTCGGCTCCGTGTATGCTATCTTGACAAAGCTACGAAAGCCATATCACAAGGAAAAGGACTTTACTGATCTTAATCTCCTTCCGAGATCGGCTGATATTGTCATTGTGAAGATTGGATACCTTGAGCCGCAGCTGTATGATATGGCAAAGGGCTGGATGCTCGGGTTAACGCCGGGCGGTGTTGATCAGGACTTGAAGAGGCTGGGGCATCATCGGATACGAAGACCTATGTGGCCGTTTGATGAGCATTTTGACAAGATGCCTAAGTTGAAAACGGTGTGGATTGATAAGTCGAATGAGTCTCTAAGAGGCCCGGATATTTAGGTATAGAATAGAGGTGTATTAAAAGCTAGCTTCAAGATTCCATCTATATATTGTCCCAAACTACCTTAGTATGTGCGAAAGTACAGGTGGAAGAAAGAAGTTATTGTAGTGACATGCCGTGATGCACGAGCAAAGCAGCTTATTCGTCTAAATCAGTGCTGGAGATGACATCCTTCCAGTCTCCCAAAAGATTTATCGTCTTATCGCATTTGTTCTTAATAACCTCGTAGGCATCAGGACTCAGAGGCATTCTCAAAGGAACAGTCTCGTCTTTGGCAACTCCCTCTTGGCGAACAAGGTCCACGATGATTGCCACTCCTTTTTGGGGATCACCGCTCTGCGTGTGATTTTTGTCTATGGGAAGCTTAAAAGCTTTAGAATCTTCTCTGTAATCAGCGTTCGCAAACCCAGCGATCTCACTTCCTTATTTAGGCTTTCAGCCATGCCTATTAACACTCGCCAGCGATATTCATCTTAATGGTTAATACAGAACATGTCGGTGCACCTTCTAAAGCGAATTTCGTTCCAGAGTATCCTGCGTTGAATTCCCTTCCGCTCCACCCAGATATAGAAGTGATGAACACGTTTGTGCCAGTTTTTCTTTCTCTAAAGTGGGGTAGTATTGCTTTGGTGCATTTTAAGGGCCAAATACATTTGTCTCGAATGCATCACGGAAGTCTCGGAGCTAGTGTGTTGTTAATAATTCGCATCTCCATCTCCATCGGTAGAGGCTGCGGGTGAGTCCTTACGATAAGTCTTCCCAAGCACCGCCTAGGACGTAAGCGGCATTATTGACGAACACATCTATATGGCCATGAATACCTATGGCGTCATCAATAGCTTCTATAATTCGAGTCCAGTCCCATGTAACATCGAGTTGAAGCACCGTAGCATTGGTCTTCTTCAAATCTGCGACACTCTCTGGCCGGCAAGCAGTTGCAATTACCTTGTTGCCACGGCGTAGGATCTCGTCAACAAAGACTCGTCCAAAGCCAGAGGAGCAGCCAGTTACAAGCTAAACAAGTGATGTCATTTTGACGAAGTAGGACGTCTAGAAATGAAAAGATATTAGTATATATAAGACAAAATAAATCTAGAGATGCTCGACTTGTATGAGGCGGTGCCTTTCTAGAATTTATACACGCAGTGGGCAATCTCTCGCTATAGCCTGATATCCATGATTTGATGATTTACTGGGCTGGAAGAAGAAGAATACCAATAATTGGGTCTAATAGAATGGCCCATCGAGGCAAATTGGTCCACTGCGTTCGTTCCGCCTTTGAGAGCGGAATGAAGCGGATCATCCAGGCTTGAAGCGGACAAGCCGCTCAATTCCGTCAAGGGCTCATATGAAGCGGCATGACCACGTATAAAATCAAGATACCCAGGATACAATGCCATTGGGTTCTATTTAGGAATAAAGGCAAATTAGAAGCGGATATCAGTCTGCGGACCACTTTGTAGTAGCGATGGAGTTGTGCCGTCGATTAACATCCGATTTATTTACCAGCCAAGAATGACCTCGATGTAGTGTTCAGTATGACATATAAAAGACACAAAAATCGCTTCAATAGAATAATTTCAGGCCCAATAAAACGAATTTGTCTTCTTAACTATTTGGACCACAAACGAGAACGCGGATTAGTAAAATGCATCTCGCCACAGAGCAAATGCATTGGCATTCCGCAGAATGATTTAATTCTTCTGTCATTATTGTGAGCTAGCAGAAAGACTAGTCATACTAAAACTACTTTTTTTTTTCTCGTCTTCTCCTCATTATGTTTTGTTTTCTTGAACATCAATTGATGTTCTAGTTCAACAAACGCAAACGTGGGAGATGTGATGACTAATCGTCATGATCGAACTATCCGGCGAAATCTCAAGCTTCGAGCTTAACTCCGCGTAAAGCAACATAACCGACAAGCAGCAAATGATCTTGTAGAAAACATCCTAACCAATATTGAAGAAGCTGATAGCTCTCTATACGCACAAAGTATACCGTAACATGATGCGACCAAAGCTATACTCGTCTCAAGCCTGTCGAGCTTGCCGGTACATGATCCACACCTCGCTTCCAACAGCTGCCAAATGGCCTGAGAGCTGACACATGACTCGCTGTAGACGCCTGAAGAGAAAGTGCACGAGAGAGGTCCCTAAATGTTCTTTGGTGTGTCTCATATTGCGGGGAACTCTTCTAGATGAAATGTTCACAGCTAACGATGAAGAAAGTGCCATCGTCTAGGCAAGGCTTGCGAGTACGCCGAGCCTATAGCAGCAGAAGCAGCCAGCCGTATTGAGCAGACTCTCCACGTTGGCACAACTTCTCCATCCGGGATACTCTTGAACAATAATCTTGCTGCGTCCTTTCCTAGGCCCGCGCAAGAATTTCCTTTGGCCTTTTTCTTGGACTCTGAGGATTTAGCTCCACAGGGAGTCAATTCTTTCTCATGGAGTCGCCATCTAGACATTAATGAGCTTGTAACCGAGCATCTTGACGATGATAGAGCCGCTTTGTGCGAAGAATATCTCTCGACGGTGCATGAATGGGTGCCAATGATTAGCCGGAAACGTCTGTTCAACGAGCTGAATAGCGGCTCGGGTGACGCGGATGGCTGTCTCCCGATCTTGCTGCTTTGCATGAAAGCATTCACCACAAGAGACGTTAAATGTGCCAGAGATTCTCCTTCGTATTTGCTAGCTAGGTCGCTTTGTTCAGAAGCAGAGTCGATGGGATTTTTGTCTTTGAGATTAGTCCAGTCTCTCGTTCTCTTAGCGGCCTATGAGTTGTCTCATGCTATTTACCCTTGTGCGTACTCAACTCTTGGTCGAGCATCAAGATTGGGTCTTCTGCTAGGATTGCACGATAGAAAGAACAACAAGCTTTTTAAAGGTGCCGAAACCTGGACGCTTCGGGAAGAACAGCGCCGAACGTGGTGGGTGATATACTTGCTAGACAGGTGAGATATATGTTTTGCTCTTGTGTCTGCCAACTGGGGCAACTGACATTCATCTAATAGACTCATGAACATTGAAACTAATCTACCAATCACGGTCCCTGAACCTGCCCAAGATGAGCTGTTGCCGATAAATGATGATGATTGGGATGAAGGGAAGATAGTCCCAAGCGAACCCTTATTCACCACATCATTCAGCAGCTCAACATCTGTTGGATCCTTTGCCAAGATGTGTCAAGCTTCACATATGCTCAGTAAAGTCATGCGTCATAGAGCAAGTAAAAAGGCTTTGCAAGAAGTTGAGAATCTCCTTCCGGAAGCACAAGCGCTCCATTCGGCACTATCAGCGCTGCATAGCTCTATCGAAGGACACGTTTCTGGAGGGATCTTGCGCAAGTCCGCCATAATTGCACTCTCTCTGTGCATCTCTGCGCGGCTTCTCCTCTACAATCTTTACGCATGCAATGAGCCGGGAGCTTTTGTGGAGCAGAGCAGGATACCCATGGAGACGGAGATGCAGAGAGCCAGTCTGGATGGAATCATATCCATCTCCTCCACTATTGTACCGGCGATTGCGCGCGCGAATATCGAGTGCCCTCTCATAGCACAATGCTTATACCACTCAGCCACAGAGTGCGCCTGGTTTATCCGAGAAGACCACGAGCCACAAATGTACAACGCATTGGAAGACATCGTACGAGACTTGAAGCTGATTGGTGATAATTGGAACCTTGCAACAGAATATCTGGCGTTACTCCAGCAAGCTGGCATTCTCAGCCTGACTAGTTCTGATACAGCATCAAACACACTAACACCATCATCTGGATGATTCAGTGTTGATCCACATCTCTTTTCATTTCTGGATTCAATATCAACTTTAGAGAATCTGTACCGTATGAAAAGACTACTTGAACTTGACTGCTTCTATCTCAACATTACATGCCCTTCAACGCTACTGATCTACATTTGTTGATATAGCCACCTCAGCCATATCTATATATCCCTGCTGCAGAGTCCCAAGCCTTCTCTCAAATAAGCTATAACAGTCTGTCCCCAGCAAGACTCTCAGAGCTTTACTCTTATCATGTTCTGCCCAAATACTCTCGAAGAAGCCTTGGTTCTCAACGGCCTCAACAACTCTGTCGCCAAATTTGGCAGGGTCTCCGTTCACCATTGTCTTATCCCTTGACGCTGCATCTACAATGTCAATCCAAGCTTGAATCCTGGGTTCGTAATCTGCCGAAATACCGCCATCCGATTTGGAGTTGTTGGCTGCAAAAGGGGTTCTGAAGCCTCCAGGCTCTACGATCATAGTCCTGATGCCAAACGGTTCGAGCAGAGTGGCGTACGATTCGGTCAGAGATTCGGTAGTAGCTTTGGCAGCGCTGTAGAGCATGTGTTCTGGCTTTGGGACAAACCCCCAGATGGATGAAATGCTGACAAGAGTTCCTGTGCGGTTGCGGCGTAGAGTCGGCAGCAAGGCTTTCCATACACGAATGAACCCGAACAAATTGGTCTGCAAATATTGCTGAATCTGATTCTCGCTCATGTCTTCCACTGCTCCGAGCAAAGTAGCACCTGCATTGTTCACGACAACCCAGTGGAGCGGTTCAGTCTCGGTGCTAAAACGCTGCTCTTCCAGTGCTACGATTTCTTGTATAGCCTGTTCAGCGTCTGGCAATGATACATCGAGCTGGAGCCATTGTCCGCCAAGTTGAGCGAACTCTGGATGTTCTGATGAAGCCTTCTCAACGTTTCGTCCAGTACCAATCACCCGATGGCCAGCGCAGAGGGCAGACATAGCCATGCTGAGGCCAAGTCCTGAGGATGCGCCAGTGATGAACCATATTTTCTTGTGCGAAACGACGGACGCCATGATAGCGCTTTTCTGTGTGTATGTTGATTGAAAGAAAAAAATAGCCGATTTTTTAAACGGATAATACTCAGATAAATATATCTTGGTTCGCTAAGTTCCTTTATCTCGTAATTGATCATGGCTCTCCTCCACAGCCCGCCCTTGGCCTCATTCGTCCGCTCTGGCGCCCGCCTCATAACTTGAGCATCAGCCACAATTGATAGAGGTTGCATGACAAACCCAATGTCGCCAACGGAAAATTCCAAAATGTGGTCGATCCTTGCGATGCTAGCACCGTTGAAACCGCTGTATTAGGGATATTCCCGCCTCTGGAGCCTAGTCGCGGATTATGCAGAGCGGACCCCGAGCGGGCGTGAGCGGAAGCTTCCATGGTAAAGGCGCTTCTTGCTATTTGTGAGCATAATTAATGGAGTATTATTCCAATATGGGCTGTTTTCCATATCCACCCTAATGTATAACCGTGGAATAGGTTGTGTTTCAATACAGTAGCTTGCAGTATATTTCCGTCATTCCGCAGCAGGTTGTGCTCCGTTGTGCAGGGCTATTACAAGACTGTAAGTAGAGCACTTCAAACAAATCTACACGGATTACATATATATGATGTTAATGATGTGTTCTTTATAAACCAAGTTCTTCAAGCAGTAAATCTACTTAAAAACGATCCTTTAACCTTGCGCAAGGTAATACATCCATTTTCGTGTATGCAACTGGATTGAAAACAGGAATGGGAAAATACTTGAGGGTCAACTTAGAAGTATCATGGCCTAGCTTGAATTGGGGTTCCCTTACAGGTTTTGCACAAGACAAGACAAGAGAAACTCAAGACAAGAGAAACACAAAAACATATGTAAGTTCTCAGTGTTGTAGCGAATTAGGAAAAAAAAAATTATAAACCTAAATGCATGTGTCTGCTTGCATCAAAATGCAAAAATGTAAATTCTAGTGACACCTGAGGGATTCGAACCCTCGCCTATTTCTAGACCGCGAATAGATCGTCTAGTAGACTAGACAGGACCTGAACACGGCGCCTTAGACCACTCGGCCAAAGTGCCTATTTTAGATGGGAATACTGGAACGGCAATCAGTTTTTGAACCTGCGCTGCAGCAGTGGCAAAATAGGCTGCGTGAATACCCTAGAAGCCAGAGAATCACCACGGAAATAATGCTGCAATAAGAATAAAACTCATGAAAAGTTATGTGATTGATAGAAATAAAGTGTTTCTGTGCGCGTCGCAGGGATTCATCCTTTGTATTTAAATGTAGGTAAATGAAAGGCAGGAAGAAAATAAAATATTCAAGGGAAATTAGGGGTGTTCCTAAAAGGTAACTGTGCGTATGCGGTAAGCACCTAATGCAACTTCAAAAACGCAGAATAGATTCCTGGCGGTATTGCATATATAATCAACTATGCTGCAAAATCCCTATTCTTGGGAACAGTAGTCTTAATACATGGATAGAGAGAGGTATGCCATTAAATATAATAGATAATATAGCGACGTGCAATAAGGCTGTGTTCCTACACCAGCTATGCCTGGTTCTGTATTTTTTATAAAGCTCTGCATGTGTACGTGTGCATTTTTTTTTACTTCTTTAACATTTATATCCCGAACCCTATATGTAGAACAATACTCTATATAAACCAGCCAAAAAAAGAAAAATCAACCAACTACTGGTAAAAAATGCAAAAAATCAAGCTTTGTTCTCCTCCGGGAAGGCTCGAACTTCCAACCTCCTGATTAACAGTCAGACGCGCTAGCCAATTGCGCCACAGAGGATCCACTTGTTGATGTCTGTGAGAGCGTAAATGATCTACATAAAGCCTAGGAGAGTTGGAACGAGTGTTTCGCATATTGTTTGAAGAGCTTGAAGCGCTAGAGGATCTCATGGTGATGATGTATGGATACTTGTGGTTGGACAGGAAATTGCAAATAGAGTTTTGGAGGCAAAGATATGGTTAATGCCGTGTACTCTTATACCTGCGAAAGCGGTAGAGCATCTACATGCTATGTCTTATTCAGAAGGTTGCACAGACGAAGTTGTATTGAAGTAGGATATGAGTGGAAATAGTACATGGAATTGATACAACTATTTGCAATGCAAAAGACAATAAAATACTCTGTCTTTCCTTCCTTACCTTGTCTGGTTCAAGACCCCGGCTTAGTCTCCTATTGATGTTCAATCAAGTCTCTAAACTATGCATCAATCTTCACATATATAAAACGCCTTCATAAAGCCATGATCCAATTCTCCCCATTCCTTTTTGGAGCCAAATTATCTCCTGTACAGCGCAATATCCAACCCCAATGGTTTCCTCAAAAAGCCCTCCTTTGTTTCCATGGGGCCCTGCAGAACTTTGGCACCATATCTTCTCGCCCAAGTAGACGCAATCAGTTTCATCTCCATCTCAGCGACGTTTCGGCCAACACAAGCTCTAGGTCCGTAGCTGAACGGAATGAAGGCATCCTTCTGGCGTTGTGTGGCGCTGTCCCATCTCTCTGGCTTGAAGTCGTCGGCATCGGGGCCCCAGATCTCCTTGGAGTGGTGAATTGTATAAGTTGGAACGCTGAGAACGGTGCCGGCAGTGAAGAATTCTCCACAGATGGTAACACCAGGAGAGTCCGAGGGGATCTCACGAGGCAGACCAATGCCGGAAGGCGAGTGGTGGCGCAGAGTTTCGTTGATGACAGCGGTGAGGTAGGGTAGATCGCGGACCATGTCGAAGGTTGGGACGTCGACACCTTGGGGAATGGCAGCATCCAGTTCGGCTTGCAACTTCTCCAAGACACGGGGATTACGGGCTACATAGTTCATCAAGGCGCATGACGAGTTGGAGGTTGTGTCGCTTCCTGCGATGAGTTGCGTCAGGGCCTCAGCGGTCAATTCCTGTCTTCCAAGCGGCTCGCCCTTGTCGTCACGGCCTTCCATCAATCGAGCGAGAAGATCCTTGCGTTCAACATCAGGGGGGTTGTCAAGACGTCGCTTCACACACGCAACCGCAATTCCGGCGAGGTTTTCCACTGCGGCGAGGCCTTGGCTGAAGAAAGGATCGGGCAGATACTTGGCATAGGGCTTAAGCGCTGGGAAGCAGCCAAGAGCCGCGCTCACTTCGCCACGACGGTTTAGGATCTCAATAGCAGGTGCATAGATGGGAGGGCTATCCGGTGAGGGTCGAACTTCCGCAAGGTCCACGCCCTTCTCAAGCATGCCGAATGGAGCACCGAAAGCGAGATCGCCAATGACATCAAAGGCAATGAAGTTGAACCATGGAAGGCAGTCGAAGTGGGCCTCCTTTTTACCATCCTTGCCCTTGAATTGGCTTGTATCCACCAGGCGATCCAGCTGCTTAACAAAATTCTCCAGGTTTTGGTGGATGTATGGTTCGAACTGGACGATGGACTTGGCAGAGAAAGTGTGAGAAACCATCTTTCGCTTGCGAGTGTGCTGAACGCGGTTGCGCGTGTTGAATAGCCCACGCTGGATAGAGACGAAAGCATCGTAAAATTCACTATTTCATGTAAGTATTAAGCCCTATTCACTTTGGGCTATAAAAGAAGTTTTTGATGGGGATGCGCCATACGATTTCAGAAAGCCGTTGCCGTGGCCGTAGACGGCGTTGATCGCCTCGTCATCGGCAATAGAGACATGGTTGGGTTGGATTCGCACGAATTTGCCCATCTTCTTGTGTAGCTTGTCGACGGTATCATAGCGATCACCTCGGCGACAGACATTCAAAAGCCATAGGTTCGAAAATTGAGCTGGGAAGGGAGCCGGGAAGCGACGAAGTGGCGCATATGTGACTAGAAACTGGTATAGATATGATACAACCACAAGTCCGCCGAGGGCTACCAGAGTCCAAGGTGACAGGAGGTTTTCGATCAGCGCCATGGCTGCGTTGATGAGCTGTTGCTGTCTCGCTTCTTTTGTTTCCCAGAGCACAGGCCTTGCGACACTAAAATATGAAGTTGCTTCGGTTGTCGGAATGGGTCGTAGCTCTCCGTTTTATGGAGACTATTTAGTAGCTCCTGTGGAGATGATTTCGCCTTTTAATTCTTCCGTCAGCAGCAAAAAAGTTTATGCCGCAAGCTCGTGATGTGTTATCAGCGCTTGGAAGTCTGAATTTGAAAAATCATAAGGGTAAAAGAAGAAGAAATAAACCAGACAGGTAAACTACACGTCAGACAACTCTGCTATGTCGCCAAACGCAAATCTCATCCCAGCGGCGAATTCGCTATATATACAAAACTTACAGGCCGGCCCTGACGACTAACCCCGCAATCTGCCCCAGACGTCAAGGGGTGCGAGAAATCGGTAGATGGTAGCGGCTTCTAGCCTCCCAGCCAAATTACGACAAGCCTTTGCCCGTCTGTGGCGGCCCTGTCGCTGCAAAGTTGGGGGAAAACAGCCTAGAAGGGTTGCCATTTCCAAGAGGGGCAAAGACTGGCCTGGGGCGAAGATCAATCCGAGGCCCCGAGCTAGATTGTGTTTCCGGCATGGGAGTCGGCAATCGATATTTGCGGGCTGCATTCAATGAGTGGCTTTGAGTTGTATTTTCTCACCTTGCTTCCTTTGGCAGCAACCCACCTTTCCGTGGATTGAGCTTGCGGATATGCCGCTGCAGTTTGTTTACAAGGTGAGGCAAGAAGGGGACGAGCCGGGAAGAGGAAGCGGCAGTAGGTGAATTGGATATGCGTGGAAACTGATTGGCTGGTAGTGTGTTCCATCCCTCCCGCCTCCGCGGAGCTTATTGATGACAATGCTATTTACGTAGGATTAGAGGAACGGGAACACACTATTGTCCATCATAACTCTATGATATATATTAGAAGCATAGAATTTGCGTAATATTGGCAAGGGTTATATTTAGCAAATAGCGAACAGAAAGAGCACTTTCTATGTAGATCCCGGAGTTGCATCTCAGATTAAGACGTACATATGTAGCTACTGTAACTGCTATGACGCGCCTTAGTACAACCCAAACAATAAATCTACACAGCGGAATTTTTGATACAATAGCCCTATCATCTTTTTCAGTTAACAATACTTGTAGCTTGCCTTCACGGTCTTCACGGCCTGTACAGAATACTAAAGTCGCCTTTGTAACGCTCGCTATGTCTCACGAGTCAAGTCAAACGCTGGAGTTTGGAAGTACCGTTATACGGATTAGAGAGAGAGGTTTTATTAATGACTTGAATAAAAACAAATTACATTGATACACACAATAAGTATGCCGCCCTTAAAATATAAAGACCAGAATATCATCGAGCGCAGACACAAAAACGAAGCATAAACACAAAGAAGCCTGCCCTATCCCCAGATTTCCCTTGCCGAACTCAGCAGCCGCTGTATTAGGGTGGTGGAGTCCCCGCGGAGTCGAGTCCTCCCCCAAAATGTCCGCGCGTGAATCATTCAATTTCCCGCGAGTGAATTCCCTTTCATGCTGCTCTATTTTCCGATTTGATTCAGGACGGTTCCTGGATCCTATCGCTAGTCGATGATTGACCAGCTAAGGTCCTCGCCTGGGTCGGCATTGTCATCAATACTTTCTAAATCCGAGAAAGAGAAATCAAGGGCCGGAAAAGTGGGAATCATTGCACGAGCTGTGGTTACTATGGATTGAGCAGTGGGTATCATAGCATGACCCAGAGCCACGATGAGCCTCAGGCAAGATTCTTCCAAATATTCTTCACCATCTAGATATTCGTACGCCATGTCGATGATTTCGAATGGATCAAAATTATTTCTCTCGTCACGGCCTTCCTCATCCTCTGACTCCTCTTCGTTGTTACTGTCGCCTCCGTCATCTTGGAGCGGGGGCATGTGTAAGCTGTTTAGTGGACTTGATTCTTGATGGGGTTCATCTTCATCCACCTCTTCATCAATATTCCATATTGACTTGAATATTGAGGAGATAGCGCTAAAAGCTTCCATTTTTGGGGCACACTGGTAGGTACTGCTAAAACTGCGGCGAAGGGAGAATTGAGACAGTAGATCAGGCTAGCTTTTAAAAGAAGGACTGCGGAAGAAGAAGAAAGTTCTCATTTCAACGGTTGGCACGAAGAGTATTTAAGCTGGAAAGACAGCTGAAATTATGGGGGTTATTCACTTGCCATTTCCAGTTGTCACAGTTAACAACTTGCCACGACATCTTGTTCAATGAAAGATGCTGTGTTCTCTTTTGACTGACCTCAGCATAATGTATATACAGGATTTTGTTTCTTTAAAAACAAGAAACAATCATGAGATGTAAAAACCAGTGTTTGTGAGTGGTATTTTTAGATGTCTTTTTATGCAGTCGAAATTCAGTGGGTGGTATATGAAAGGCTCTAGAAGCACAAATGGCATACTTCGATCTTGTCTCTGCATATCTTCATTTGAACACTATTAAGTTGCCATTAAAAAAAAAGTGTACAGAAATATCCCGATTATGATATTGATAGAATTTGTTGTCTACACTACAATGAAGTGATTGGGCTGAATACAGAGATGAATATATCAAAGCAATGGCATGTACCTTGAACAAAGAGAAAGAAAAGAGAGTCGTTCAAAGCAATGAAAAATGTCATTGAATATTTCTGAAAATATTTTTTGTTTCATTCATTGGCCCGTAACAGCCCTTTGACAATTAGCCAGAGTCTTTCGTCACCAGTCATTGTTTTGTTCCATGCTAATTTCTAAATTTAAACCTGTAATCCTTTTCGCAGTTGTAAACTAATCTGCGCAATGCTCTCTTCTGTCGTCTTCTGCCCCGCCATCAGATACAGCACGTTTCCAAGCACTCTACAGTGCACGTTCCATGACCCATTGGCGCCCTCCGAATCCCCTGCAATGAGGGTATCGCGAAGGCTCTGTGCAGCATTGCTGAAGTATCCCGTGCTGCCCGATGCGTCCTTGATATGGATTGCAAGAACACTGCCAAGAGCCCAGATGCCCGATACGCGGTCTGTTTGGCGGGAAAGATCCTCCACCAGATCGCGAGGCCAGGTTGACCAGACGTTGGCAGCAGACTGGCCGCTCGTGAGAGAAGTTTCGGAGGATTTCCAGCCTTTTGACTTTGCCCAGTTCCATGATCCGTCTTGGTCCATCTTCTGCAAATCATTAAGGGATTCTAAGGCGACTTGGCAACCCACAGGGTGTGCTGTATAGCTATGACCGTGGAGAAGTGCATCAGTCTTATCTTGAGAGCTAAATGACTGGAAGATGTTCTCCGAAGCAAGCGTCGTGCACAGTGGAACAAGGCCTCCTGTAAGAAGCTTCGCGTGGACGGAAATGTCGGCATATGTGTTGAGGAAAGAGGAAGATGTGAAGCGACCGAGGCGGTAGAGGCCGGTGAAGACCTCGTCAAAGATAATAGGAAGGCCAGTCCATGCGTTGGGATCACTGGGAGTTTCTTCAACAGCGGCGCCGGGTTTGCGGAACAGATCTGGGGATTTGCGGACAACATTGACGAGGGCGCGCTGGAAGAGAGGATCGCTGTGTATGAAGAGTTAGTAGAGCTTTTAAAAAGCTAACGAGAAGGGCAGATTCTTACACTAATGCCATGCCTCCAGCACCAAGAACAACAGGCTCGATAATGACGGAACCGAATCGATGGCCTTGCTTAATGAGTTTCTCCAGAGATTCTCTGATAAAGGCTTCGTATCGAACATGGTGACCCTTCTTCTCCCGACCTTGAACGTCGAAGATGTCCGATAGCGAGCCAAAGTCTGCGTCCTCACCCAATGCCTGTCTCAGCTCTTCAGGAACATTCACGCGCCACTTGCCGTTGATGCATAGGACAGTCGGATAGTCAAACCAGTGACCCTTTCCATCGTACCACTCAACCTTTTCATTATATCCACTGGGCTCTGAGCAGTCCATGGCGCCAATGGTATCACCGTGATAGGAGCCTTTGAGGCCTACAATCCCGAGTTTCTCCTCTTTGGCCCATCCGTATCGGAGTTTTGCTGCCCCAAGGCCCATTTTGAGGGCCACCTCGATACCCGTGCTGCCGTTGTCAGAGAAGAATACGCGGTCAAGGCGAGGGCTGTTCATCCCCTTGAGAAGCACTGAAGAGAGCTCCAGAGCAGGACGATGAATGCCGCTGGCGAACATGACGTGGCCGTAACGGCCGGCAGCGTAGGCCGCTGCGAGAGTGAGCTTGGGGTTGGCATGGCCAAGGCCTTGAGTCCACCATGATGCTGAGCCATCGAATGAGGCGCGGAGTAGGCTGTCGTTTTGTGAAGTCGACGAAGATGAAGAGGGAGCGAGAGTCTGGAAGTAGTCGCCGTGGGCTGAGTCGATGACGTTGATGTCCTTGGGAGTAAGTAGACTGTGCTGAGTGAAGGGATACCAAATCTTCTCGAGAGCCTGAGTAGCCATGGAACCCAGCGATTCGATACGTTGCTCATGACGTTTATCGAGATGTGAGATGACGTCGCCTGTGTTTTTATCCTGGGATTGCTCTTCATAGTAACGAGCCATTGCTCGGACATCCTCTTCGAGACTTGATTTCCTTTCAGGCGGCTCGATTACCCCAGCGACGGGCACATCGTGATGCTCTGCAAAATACTCTGAAAGATACTCAAAATTCTGATACTTGTCCTCCTTGAATAGTACCACTGACTCAACATCATAACCCCGCATACGAAGTGACTCAAAGGCTGATATTGTCTGAGATATACCTCCCAGTCGGGAATCACCGACAAGAACAACAGGTAAACGAAGAGGCGCATACATGTCCGCCTGAGTTGTCCCCGAGGGACCAGGTGAGTGAACACCTCCGGCAGTTTCAACAAAGAGCCATTTCCGGCCTATGTTTGCGCATTGAGCTGCGTAGTCTCGGCATTGGAAGAGGAGGGTTTCATTGGAAGGGATTGTCTAAGGATAAAGAGATGGAAATGATGAGACTCAGATCTCAAAGCTAAGATACTTTCATTTGTTGTGGAAAGATTGAGCAAGACTTACGGTATTGGAGAGCTTGGCAGCAATGTGGGGGCTAACGGGGATTTTATACTGAAAAAGAGTCTTGTTGGAGACATCTGGGGCGAACTTCGAGATATGACTGCATGGATGATGGGTTGGTTAATCAGCGATGCCCTCATCATAGTCTCAGTTGAGTGGTTATATCATTCTACATCTAATTCTTCATCGTTAACCCCACTTCTGATAAACAATTGCATTCTTCTTCTAATTGCTCTCTTCTCTTCTCTTCTTTGTTTCAAAAAGGTCATCACTTACACCGATCATCAGCCTCGCTATCTGGCCCCGTCGAGACAGGCTTCAAAAACGCTACGCCGCGACCTGTCGTCCTCGCGGCTGCAGCCTTGCAGAGCAGCGTTGAGAAGACCGTCTTCCCCACCTCAGTGTTGGCACCGAAGATTTGGTACGCGCGCAGGGAGCGCCAAAGCGGCGATGCGAGCGGCGGTGGCGGCTGTGGCATGGCGACAAATTAAAAGAGAGAGATGAAAATAGAAAAGCGACTTAGGATTCTAGCCGTGAGACATTAAGAGTGTTTCCTTTCTTCTATCCTCCTTGACTTTTTTTGTTGTCTTGGAGGCTAGAAGGGTTGAAAACAGACAGCTCTGGGGCCGGATTAGGAATGCAGAAGTTGCCCAGAAGGGTAATGGCGGCCACTAAGCTGAAGCTTGCTTCGCAGTGCGAATTGCGTTTGGTCTCTCTCCATCTCTCGTTTGTCATTTTTGTTGGGGGCGTGCCGATCTCCGTTTGTCCATGCTGAAGTGGGGTTTCTGCAACCCATCGCAGCTCCTGGTTCGAAAGCCGAAGAGCTCAATATTAGTAACTGACACGAGCTGGGAACCTCGAAATCCCTCACTGCTATTAGAGCCGACAACAAAGCTGTCTATTGCCCATTCGTTAGCATACCCGAGGCAATCTGTCACGTTGCCTTAAGATGGATAAGCGGGCTTTTTTATTGATGATTTAGGTTTTTTTAAAGGGCGTAGAGTTGCGGGATGAGCTTGACAATTGGGTATAGTTGGATATAGTGGAGCAGATATTGCTATTTTTTTTTTTCACTCTAAACCCATGTGATGAGTAACTAATTCGCGAGCGGGAGTCTCTTGCGTAGACGCCGATACAGGCCGAATGTGACTGCATTCATGTACATGTATTGTTGTTTCAGGAAAAGCGTGCATTGATCATTTCAAACAGTATAGCAAAGTTCGATTGATGAGAAGCGTGAATTGAGTCGATCAATTGAGCCAAACGAAGCCAATAATCAACAACGATGGCTCCCAAGCTCGACGAGACACTCGCCTCTATCCTCTCATCACGCTTTTCTCAAGGCCGCCTTCGCCGCCTCACAATTCCTTCTCCCAGCTCTGTCGACTTTTCTTCAAACAGCTATCTATCACTTTCGTCCAATCCAGCTGTCAAAGCTGCCTATTTGTCCTTCATCCAACCATACCTGCAATCAACAGACTCTGGAGCTGGCTTTGGCCTGGGATCTGGAGGTTCTCGATTATTAGACGGCAACTCAGCATTCACAGAGGATCTGGAAGATCGAATTGCTAAGTTTCACGGTGCAGATTCAGGACTGTTATTTAATTCTGGATTCGAAGCCAACACAGGGCTATTCGCCTGTGTGCCGCAAAAGGGAGATGTCATTGTTTACGACGAATTGATTCATGCCAGTGTTCATGATGGCATGAGATTAAGTAGAGCGCAAAGAATTCCTTTTGCACATAACAAAGTCTATGAAGATTCCGCAGCAGCATCAGAAACAGCAAGCGAGAAGGGCAAACGCCAATGCCTAGACTCCTTATTGAGAAGCTTAACAGAGGGCGCTGAAGGAGTGGATGTACGGAATGGGAAGAAAAACATCTTCATAGCAGTTGAGGGAGTGTATAGTATGGATGGAGATGCAGCACCGCTAAGAGACATTGCTGAATGTGTGGAAAAGAGACTACCCCTGGGCAACGGCTACATCATTGTCGACGAGGCGCACTCCACAGGAATATTTGGCAACCAGGGCAGAGGGCTCGTCTGCCATCTTGGGCTTGAAGGCAGAATATGGGGTCGTGTGCACACCTTTGGTAAAGCTATGGGATGCTCCGGAGGTGAGTGTCGTCTTCTCTCTCCATTTTACTTCTTAACATACTAATGGAATTGTGCATGAAAATAGCCATTGTGCTATGTTCTTCGGTAACGAGATCATATCTCATCAACTATGCCCGCAGCTTCATCTATACAACCGCCATGGCCTTTCCTTCTCTCGCCAGCATACGCACAACCTACGATTTTCTAGCACAGGGTCACGCGGATCCTCTCCTTCAGCATCTCCAGTCACTCATCCTCCAAATGCATAACCTCCTCACTAATACTATTAAACAACATCATCCTTCACCAGAGTTATTCCGCATAAACCCTGAGACACCACAATCGCCGATTCTACCACTGTTTACGAATCGAGCAAGGAACTTGGCGCAATACTGCCAAGAGAGAGGCTTCACTGTGAGACCGATTGTAGCACCGACAGTTCCAGCTGGACAGGACAGAGTAAGAGTATGCCTGCATGCCGGAAACACTGTGGAAGAGGTGGAAGGACTGTGCAAGGCAGTAGAAGAATGGATAACGGGTGCCATAAAGAGCAAGTTATAGTAATTGAAATATAATATTTTGTGCTTGTATATGTAGAAATAGTCTCACTAGTGCCATCCCTGTGATGCTCGTTGCGAGAAACCTTTTTTGTTTATCCCTTTTCTTTTCTTTTCTTTTCTTTTCTTTTCTTTCATTTCCTATTGATCATGACAAAACAAAATCGTAAAAATTACTCATAGCCATCCATCTATGCGCTTGAGGGATCCATGGGCTTCTTGTCAAAGCTCTGCATGGGTTCCAGCCCCCATCGGCCAAACATGGCGCTGTCCTCGTCCCAGCCATTGCACTCCGTCGTCAACATCTTCTCACCAGTAAAGATGGCGTTGGCACCGGCCATGAAGCAGAGCGCCTGCTTCTCCTCCGACATGGTCTTGCGGCCAGCAGCAATACGAATAATAGTCGCAGGCATCAGCAGACGTGCTGTGGCAATGGTGCGCAGCATGCTTGTGAAGGCAATGGGCTCGCGATCGCCCAATGGCGTTCCCTTGATCGGCACAAGGGCATTGACTGGGAAGCTCTCCGGGTGCTTAGGGAGCGTGGAGACTGTGTGCAGCAGCCCAACTCGGTCCTCGGATGATTCACCAAGACCCAGGATACCGCCAGAGCAGACGTTGATGCCGGCATCGCGCACATGGCTGAGCGTGGTCAGTCGCTCATCGTACGAGCGAGTCGAGATGATGGAAGGGTAGAACTCGCGGCTGGTGTCGACGTTGTGGTTGTAGGCAGTCAGGCCGGCGTCCTTGAGCTGGCGCGCCTGCTCGGCATCGATCATGCCCAGCGTCACACAGGCCTCCATGCCCATGGCCTTGACGCCCTTGACCATCTCGACGACGTTCTTCAGGCCCGACTTGCGGCCGCGCATGTCCCGCCATGCGGCGCCCATGCAGAAGCGCGTGCTGCCGTTGGCGCGGGCCTGGCGCGCGGCTTCCAGCACAGACTCGACCGACTCCATCTTCTTGGCTTCGAGGCCCGTGTCCTTGGAGTATCGCGACGACTGGGCGCAGTACGAGCAGTCCTCAGAGCAGCCGCCCGTCTTGATGTTCATCAGCGTGCATAGCTGGACCTCGCCGGGGCTGTGGAAGCGGCGATGAAGCGATCCCTGGTTGATGTCAGTCAGCTTCAGCGTGTTTGACTTCTGCCATCAATTGATTGGACTTACAGCCTGGTAGGCCAGCTCCAGCAGAGGCTGGTAGTAAATGGCCGAAATCTCCTCCTTGGTCCAGTTGTTGCGCGGCTGCGTTGCTGCCACCGCGTCGGCCACCAGCTTCTTCCCATCCAAGCCCGATTTCTGCTGCTGCTGCGGGGGAGGGGGAGGGGCAGCTCCAAAGTTGACGGGAGAGTCGACGGCGGTGCTGTTGGCTCGGCTGTTGATTCGCACCACGGCTGGGGCTTGCCTGAGCGAAGGCGAGAAGGGCTGGGCCAATCGCCCGGCCCTTAGAGTCGTGGTCGATATTCTCATTGTTGTGGTTGTTGTTGTGTGTGTTTCTCCGGCGTTGTTGCGAGAGTTGAATGGTATTGATTGATAGATAGATGGGGAGCAGCTATGACTCGCTACTATCCAATAGCTGAAAAGAGTGGGCAGATCGGGGTTTGGCTTGATGTGATTCAATGGCGTCTCTCTAGGCTCAAGGTCTACAGTGCGTGCATGTGGCACCACCGGTACGGACGAACTCGACCAGGACTTCAGCGCAACTCGCTATGATTAGTCGAATTCCCTCATCCTTTCTCTTCTACTCTTGTCTTCTTAGTCTATTTGGCTGTCTGTCTAGCTGCGGCTTACCTTCTCTGCCCTCCGCATTGGCGGATCTTCGGCCGGCGGGGCACGCCGTTGACTCCATCCAAATCCGGTTTCGGTTTTTGTTGGGCACTGCTATCTAACAGTATTCTAACCTGCTGTCATTTGGATGCGTAACGCGGCCCTGTCCTGCCGCGTCTTGTGCTATGGGGTAATAGAAAAAAAAATGGCCTCGGTTATCGAGTCAATACTGAAAGGGCAAAGCGGGTGGCTTCGGTTCAGCTTAAAGCAGCGGCTCGGTAATTTTTTGTCACTCTCCCTTGTGCCGACGAGCGTAAAAGGAGGTGATCAGCATCAATGAAATGAATCAGAGCGCTTGGATAGGATATAAGTTGACTTCATCGTCTCTGTATCTACATGTATATGGCTCATATGAATTTGTACCTGGCGAATGACAGCTGCGTACCGTGCCTTGGCAAGCGACGAGGAGAATAGCTACACGCACATGGTATTCTAAACTCCATGGCGTCTCCAGATAGTTTGTTTAACAAGCGCTTTTGCATGTTTTTAAATATTTTTCTACTGGACTCTTTAATCATTGATTGATTGACTCTTTGTTTCCCCCACGTTTATCTTGTGCTTGATCGCTATAAACTACATGTACACGCCTGCAATGCCGTCTCTCCCCTATTGAAGGGGCCTACTATAACCCTCTGTATTTTAGCGCTGGCGCTGAATACATGATGCAACCATCTGAGAGATCGCCACTAGCACATGATTATTATTGTAGTCTATCAAAGGGGACTAAAAGGTTCTAGAATATAATATTTTAGAGCTATCAAGAGCGTTCCTGATGATCCGAGGCTGCGGCCCTCTTATTATCGGACCATGCTTCGTACCTGTGTAGGCCAGGTTTCTTAATGCTTCGGTTGGTAAACCACTTGCTGTTCTGCATGCATCGAATATAGCGAAAATTACCTGAAACAGCGAAATTGGCTGCGAATCTACAGATTGGACGATGGAATAATTCAATAAAATAGCATTTCATCTGTACATTTGTGTATACATTCGCGCCCAAAACTGAAGAACCTACGCCAACATACCTCGTGAGCTGGGCGTGGTTATTGACTCATTTAAAGCTCAACAAGAGATTGTGCAACGCGGCCTTGCTTTTTACGCAGATACACCTTGCAATCTAATGTCCCTCTTATATCTCTACATGATCTAGCTCATCATAAATATACATTGTAGAATTGAGTCGTCGCAACACTACTTGACTGACCAATTCTACAAGTTTCCCTCGTTACCTATACTACATGGGTGGGTGTAAAGTTGTTCATATGCTACTGTATAACGCGATATCATATATATAATGATGTTAGCATTGTCGGCTTCTATCCCCATCATTTTATCTCCATTATTACAGAGCACAGCTTCAGGTACATCGAACCAGGAGGCAGCTTCTTTGCCGCGGTCAGATTTATGGGGTTACCCAGAATAGACGCGGCAATAGCCCAGAAGCATTTGCCGCCACGGGGTTCCGCATTACACATATATGTATTACAACAGCGAAGCATGAACCAATTGACCAAATCGCTACATTATAAGAGCTGCAGAAGAGGCTTTTATTAAGGAAGGCCAATAAGTTCGTCGTATTTTGCCAACTAATCAGAGCGCAGCGGTTAGAGAGGTCCCATAACGACAGGGGATATGCATGTTGGTTGGGACATCCGCTGCGCAGTCGGCTTATTTTGCCCGCAAACACCTCCCATCTATTAGGAATATTTCCTATTTGTGTGATAAGGCGAGCGAATCTGAATGAGATAGACAACGCCGCGGCTCCCGGAGACCCTCGGTATTGGATGCGTTACTATCAGGTTAGCCGCGAATGCTCCTTCGCTCTTTTTGACCCTTTGTTTCAGGTTGATTCAGCCGCGCGGTTCATTCAAGGCTGTGTCGGCTGACGGGTTTCGTGCGGTTACATCGACCTGCTCGATATGAAGATTTTGACAGTAATAGTCCACATAACCAACGCAAATGCTGTAGTAGCTATGCTGGTTTACAAGCCCCACCAATCCGAATTTCTGCATTAGAGCGGAGTTCAGTTTTTATTATTCCTACACTGTCCAATCTAGATTCCTCTCTTGCCGCTGGGCCATACCGAGCTGACGAAAATCAGACGAGATCATGTCACAGAACAACAGCTATGCTATAGATTATGGCTGGCTTAAATATTCAGCTGATACCTACGTTGAAGAGACGTAAGAGTCAATATTTGATGTGCCTACTGTGATTTCTAATTTTTCCTTTTGCAAGCAAAGTCTTTACCCGTGTGGACATCTGACGCATTGGCCGTCCGTCCCAACACCTTTCGGTATACCACGCATACTGTCATGGTACGAGCACAATTGTGTATATTATTGCAAATATGACTTCACTACAGAAGGCCGAGGAGATTGTACGCCGCTTGACCAGGAAATATGGGTACCTAAACGAGGAAATGATGAGCGATATCGAAAAATGGAAACCAGAATACCGTCGCGAAATCGACGAAAACTGGCTTGCGATGGAGAATACGGCGGCGCACTCGATCAAGACGTTTGTGCTGCCCAAAGCCCCCAAAATATACAAAGGTACTAACGAATCTTCAGACTAGCCAAGCAAATTTATGGTAGTGGCGCTCGATTTGTGTTTGAACTTCTTCAAAACGCGGAAGATAATATCTTTTCCAAGACCACCGAAGATCCTTTCATTTCCTTTAAGGTGTATGAAAATCGCATTATTGTAGAATGTAATGAAGACGGCTTTACCGAGCGGGACTTGGTGGCCATTTGTGCAGTTGGGCAGAGTACCAAATCCTCCTCATATGGCTATATTGGCGCGAAGGGCATCGGTTTCAAGTCTGTTTTTATCGCCGCTTGGAAGGTATATATCCAATCTGGGAACTTCTCATTTGAATTTAGGCATAAGAAAGATGACCCAGGACTTGGTATGGTCAGACCTATTTGGGTATCGACTCGTGAGAAGCTTAAAGGGCCACTAACACGCATGACTCTTCATTTTCATGACGAAGGAGACCCGGACGATCTTCAACACCTCAAGTCAATGATATTCAAACAGTTGGAAGACCTGCAACAAACATGTCTGCTTTTTCTGAAAAAACTTCAGAAAATAAAGGTCACCTTTTATGACAAAAATGAAAGGGTCGAGAAGTCGAAAGAGTTCCTTAAGCGCCAAGTCGATGAATACCGAGTAGCTTTGGACACAAGCTCCACCAAAGGGACCAAGACAAGGAATCAAAGTCAAATTTACCATATCACGACATTGAAAGCAAATGAATTAGCGAGGAGCGATAATCGCGATTTACCCAATACGGATGAAGCTCGGGCTATCTCGACTACGGCCGAGGTCGTTTTAGCATTTCCTCTCTCAGTCCAATTCAAGCCGCTTGTTGATACAGAGAAGAAACAAGAAATATTCGCATTCTTACCCGTAAGGGAATCAGATTATAAGGTGAGATTTTATATACAGCGTCATTATATCCTAATTTCTTTGCACAAAAGGATTAACACTCACGTCATGTAGTTTCTTATTCATTCGGATTTTGACACCAGCGCCAATCGCCAAGACATTATCACCACTTCTAAAAGGAATGAAAATCTCCTTTGCTGGATAGCAAAGGCATTCGTCTGTGCCGTCAAAGAGTTTTGCAAGCATGACACTTTATGCTATGAATGGCCGTTGTTTCTTCCAACCACTCAAGGCGCCTCGAACACGTTTTGGGCCGAGCTAGATGTGCAAATTCAAGAAATGGTAACTGGGAACCCCACTCTCAGATCACGGCGCCGAAAAGAGCTGCGTCTCATCACCGATGTGTTCATCCTTGATTCTGATGCGGTATATGGGAAAGATGAGCCCATATTTGACGACCCAGTCAAGGATCCGTTTCTTTCACGAAAGTATTCTCCACGAGTAAAGCGGATTCTGGAGGACTATGGGCTTCAGTATTTCACAGCAGACGATTTATTGGCATTACTGAGAACTGATATTCACAACTCTAATTCAAGAATGTACGGAACGGAAATGACCGAAGAATGGCATTCAGCTGTTGCTAGACTGCTTTGTTCATGGTTTGATCATGGCTTTGCTGCGGCAAATCAATTAAAGGAATTGCGTTTGATTCCCCTTAGATACGGGACATGGACTTCTGCTGCGCGGAGTCCAGTATATTTTCCAGAAACAAAAGGCATTGACATCCCTGAAAAGCTGGATATTAGAGTTCTACAGGCTACGGCAGCGTCCAATGTCAACCGAAAGAGGCTCTTTGAGTATCTGGGTGCTTCAGAGGCGGATGATGCTATAGTTAGGGCATCGATACTAAGGGCATACACGTCGGCAAACATTATTCACCTCAAGGAAAGTATGGCTTATTTACGGTACCTATATCTCACACACCATCCTGGGGTATCTACCAAAACAGAGCTTAAAAATGTTGTGGTGGTGGATGGCCAGAGGAATCGTTGTCGGCCATACCAGACTGCCGTTTACCGTCCTGGAAGGACTCACTCTTTAAGCCCAGAGTCCCTTCTTGCGCCTGACGAGGCAGCTCCCGGATTCTCAGTTCCATTCATCCATTCATCGTACATGAGAAATGCTCCAGAGAAACCTACTTCAGACCATCCATCTTGGGAGACGTGGCTTTCCAACTTTGTTTGCATACGCGAACAGTTACCGCTTACCACATACAGTGGAGAAGCGTTATCGGAAGTTGTAATGTATGTCCATGAACACCGTCCAGAGCAATTTCTTGAACTGCTTAAGTATCTTTGGCGGAATGCGAGATTAAAAGTCAGGGAAAACCAGACTCTACGGCGAAACATCAAAGCTTTGCCCGCTAAAGATCTTTGCAGAGTGAGCTACCCCATCTCCCTGGGGGATACATGGCTCCCATTTGGGAATCTTTGCGGCCAAGTATCACTATACATGGAATTTCCGACACATTTCCCATTTCTCAAAATCGATAGCACCGGCTCAGCTGATACATTTGGTTTCGAATGGAGCTTTCTTACACAGTGTTTCGATGTCAGGAAAGAGGAAAATTTAGACTTCTATATGCAAATGTTGTGTTATATTCAAAAATCACACCTGGATGTCGTATCAGCTCTTCAGAGACAGAAGATATTCGATTTATACGCTGCTATCCACGCGAAGCTAGCCGTTGCTGGTAACCAATTGGAGGATCAACTCACAATTAAGTAAGTACGAAGAAAGTTAAATTTGGGTGTATTGACTGATAAGCTTGATTAGGGCTTTCTTCGCAGAGGCCAGAATTCTTGTGCCAGATGATGAAAGCACCTTCTGGCTCACAGATGGTGAAGTCCCCATCTGGGCATCGTCTTCGGATTGCTTGTGGCTCGCCCCCCCTGACATGCGATCAAAGTATTCTCTCAGTAGCCTTTATTCGAGAAGCTTAGGCGGTGATCAACTGGAGTATATAGGGCGCCTGTTTCAAAGGATTGTCGAAATACCTTCTGCCTCATTACTCGACATTGTGGCTGAGTTGGAATTACTGAAAGCTGAAGGTTGTGATGACCTTCAACAGATCGATCGGTTGTATAGATATCTGAGAAAAATAACCCCCCCTATAGACGATTTGAGGTGAGTTCGGTGGCACCACGCAGAACCAGAGATTTTCAAAATAGGCTGATAGAAACACAGAGGCGTATTTGCCACGAAACAACTAATATATGCGAAATGTCGTGGCGAATGGAGATGGTGCAACATCTCCGATTGTCTCTGGTCTAGTACGGTTGAAATCCGGGGTAAGGTCACCTTGGATTCGGACTACGAAGCCCTCAAATCATTTTTCGTTGAAATGCTAGGCGTTACATCACTCACCTTCCAAATGCTCTATGATGAATTGAAACAGCCGTCCCCGCAAAGTGGTATCAATGACCTTAAAGTCGCCATCTTATCTCTAAGCAGCCAACTCCAAACCAACTTGATGCCATTGGATCCGCAACCAATTCTGGATGCTAATATTTTCCCCGTAAGATACTGCAACGGAGAAGTCGCCCTCCGGTCAGCGAAGGTGGATTTTGCTATTCCAGACAGGGATTATTTAAGTATTGGATTCAAAGAGAAGATAGCGATGCTGGATTTTGATCTGGAAGATATTTGTCGGCTGAAGCCATTTTTCGAGTGGACAAAACTTCAAGGAAGATATCTCTCTAATTGCGTTATGGAGGGAACCTCTGTCTCCGAGACAGGACGACCCATTTTGGTAAAAAATAGGGATTTGAAGCGTAAAGCTTATTATATTCTTCGGTATGTAAAACATTTCCATAAAACTGGACTTAACGATGCTGATGGTCTATTAGAATTGCGGCTACCTTCAGCAGCCCCCGTTATCTGGCAGACCCATCTGGATTTTACCAGCTTTTGCGGACAATGAACACCATGGAGACAAATCGTATATCTTCTACCCTGAGTGTATCACAGAATAACGAGCAATTCTGCGTCGAGAACGTTATTGGAAATGAGCATATTGAATGCACCTCTTCCGGACTCACAATTTTTGTGCCTCGGAAGAGAAAGCCCCAGACGATCTGTTTCAGCTCGGCACTGCCGAGAAAGTTCGCCGAGTGGATAATGCAAGATCCGAAAATGCAAAAATCTGCCGCAGTTGAGAGTGAATTAGTTAACACTCTAGCTATTGTCTTTACATGTGATCGTTCTGTTCTCAACGAAATCTGCGACCGTCATGGAATCATTCAAGTTGGGGTGTCAAACGAGGATATCGAAGACGATGAGGAGGAGCAGGACGATAGTGATTTCGAAGAGGAACATGGTCAAATTCAGGAACAACTACAAGAGCAAGAGCAAGAGCAAGAGCAAGAACGAAGGCAAGAGCAGTCGCTACGCCTTAACAACCGTACATTAAGCGAAGGGACCCCATCGGAACAGCTATCTACCACAAGTCGTTCGCCAAGTCCTTCGTCAACAAATACTAGCTTTTATGAGACGTCAGAAACACCCTATTTAAGACGTCAAGGAAGCAACTCGGAGACATTAGCCGAGACCGTCATTCGGCGAAGTCATCTTTCAAATCACTCGCCGCCGGTTGGCCAAAGGCAGGAAGATATACCTTCTCATCAGCAACGTTCCATTCTTTATTCGGGCCATTTGAGCTCTCCTGATTCATCTTTGACTCCAGTAGAGAGTCGTGAGAATTTGGCATCTTCGGGGGCGTCTGACGATACGCAGTATGGCGTGCTTTTGGAGAGGGTTGTTGCCACAGCTCAGAGTGCTACATTTCCTTCTCAAGGTTCTTTTGATATGAGTGACTTGCGCAATAACCTTCCTGGACAGCTCAGCGATGATACATTTGAGAGTTTCGATGGATTGGGTATTGTCACTCGATTTCGATCAGCGAATCAGCTGGAGCGCGACAAGAAAGTCGGGGCCGCGGGCGAGCTATTCGTGAGTATTGCAAGTAGCGCAACATGAACTTTAAGGGCTAATTGATTTTTTATTGCAGGTGTTTGAGTTACTATCCACGCTTGAATTGCCCCGTTGGAGTAACGAGAACTGGCAGAGTACAATTAGAAGTTACGTTAGGGCCCATCCTAACTATCGCAACATGGCTAGTTGGCGTGGTAGAGAGACCGCAGACCTGGTTTACGACGATACTGAAGGCCAGCTCACTAATACTCTCATCGGTTGCGGCTATCTCGATCAAGATGAATGGCATAATGCTCGACCCAAGTACTATATAGAGGTAAAGACTACTACAGGGCCACGCGAGACCCCGTTCTACATGAGCAACAGCCAATACGAGCGTGTAAGTAAATTCCAAGAGGGTTGATCCCTGCGAAGACTAATGAAGTGCATACAGATGAGGCGCACACACGCAACACCGGATCGTTCAGAGATATACATGATCCTACGTGTGTTTTGGCTTAATAGCGATAATATTAGCATGTGCGTATACTTTGACCCTGAGCAACTGAGGCAAGACGGGAGATTGTTATTCACGGCGCAAACATGGTCTGTCACGCCTACTGTGGAATCTGAAGATTAATTACTCTGCCATGGTGTGGCACAGAAGGGCTAGATTAAGCCCAAAGCTTTGGCAGGAGGGCACGTTGCCAGAGCATTGAGAGGTAGCATCTGTATCTAACAGGCCATCGCATGGCTGTCTTGATGCTGGCAATTTCTCCAATAGAACTTTTAGAGTGTATCAATAACAAGAAAATTATGATCTAACCAGGCTTACACGCGCAGTACACTAGCGCTTCAGCTTCCGTGGCAGCCCCTGATAAATTGCCTGGCCTCCTTCAAAAGTTGCTCTACCTTTGAAACTATGGATATTGCATGCATAACACTTTCTCTATTTGTCTCGATCTATAGTATTTATATTTATAGGTGCCTATATATCTTATAGTTGTTGGCTTGTTCCGGTTTTAGCGGAAAGCTTCTATAGCCCATTAACTAGACTATAGGCAGCTTCAATAACATTTGCAGGTTTATATAAAGCCACCCCATCCTCAGCAGGCCTATTTCTTTATTAATAGACTCTTGGCTTGTATATTTTGAAAAGAAGCGGCAGTGTAGAGGGCTTCCAGTATCTATCCAAGTGACTACGATGGTTGGCAGTCTACTGCGTGTTTACACCTAGATAGCGTCGATTACAAATAACAACTTCACGCTTGTCAACATCAGCTATTGTAATGAACAGCCCTATTAGCTTATTCCGGTTGGAGAAGCTCGATTATACCTTTCACATTCATTTTGTAAATACAAAGCAGGTGTATTCTTAGTGAACAGCTAATTCACGTCAGCATTAATACCAAGTAGCCGAAATTGGCCCAGTCAGTCCAGCTTCATTCAACTATGTAACCACTGCTGTCTAAATCCGGATAATGGTAAACATTAACTTGCATATAACTAGCATAGCCAAATCGCCACTCCACCTGCTATTCTTCCAAATCACGCCGCTGCTCGTCAGCCGCCAATTAAGCGTCTGCTTTCCCCTCCTCTATTCAAAAAAGATCTGTCAGCTCTCAATTCTCCGGCTCTCCCCATTGCGTCATGCGCGTCAAAACCACGAGCTTGCGGGGTCTTTCACGCGTTTACGCTCAAAACCTACAAACCCAAAAGCAGAAAAAAGATGAGTAACGGAGTTGAAACAAACCGTTGATTAATAAGGCCATTTTTCGTAGCATTTAAATACATCTTCATACCTTTTTTGTTTCTGTCTTGGTTTATTAGTTTCCTTCCCGTGGTTTCAATTTTGTAGATCATTTATCAGTTAAAATAACACTTTGACAGTAGCCAAAATGGGATCCAAGTATGTCACTACTCTCACCACAGTTGACGATAATTATCATATCAGTTCCACCTCTCATTATTGCAATTCTCGCACACCTCAATCACAATAACATTGCGTACTAAACATTGGCTAACACAATAATCACCAACAGCCTCGTCGAGCTCGCAGACCGTCTCCTAAAGAATGGCGCTCACAAAGTTCTCCCCACGCCTCGCCGAGTTCGCGTCGTCTTCAACCAAACTACCATCGTAGATACTACCCGAGCGGTCTGGGTTTGGGAACACGAATGGTACCCTCAATTTTACATCCCCTCCTCCGAAATCAAGGACAGCACTCTCAGCGATAGCCAATCTATCGAGAGCGAAGGCACTGCGAAGACCGCAGCCATTGTCAAACTCACAGTTCCGGCAAAAGTGGGCGTTCCAGAGAAGACCACAGACCGAGTACTGAGGTTTGACAATGACCCTAGTTTGGGAGACTTGGCAGGACTTGTGAGACTAGAGTTCGGTGCGATGGGTGAGACCTCCGATATCCGTTCCAATCCATACAAATCTTTCATAATACAAATGCTAACCTCATATTAAAGACACATGGCTTGAAGAAGATGTCCGTATTATCGGCCACCCTAAGGACCCTTTCAAGCGCCTCGACTTCCTCCACTCCACTCGTCCTTTCGAAGTCCGCATCGATGGCAAAACGGTTGCCAAATCCCCCTACGCCATTCACCTTCACGAGACTGGCCTCAAAGTTCGCTATTATGTCCCCCTTGCTTCTATTGATCCATCTCTCCTTCGCCCTAGCACTACTACATCAATCTGCCCTTATAAGGGCATTGCAGAATACTACAATATCGTCCTAGATGGAAAAGAGTATAAGGATATTGTCTGGTATTATAACTTTCCGATTCAGGAGAGCATTGCCATTGCAGGCTTGATCTCCTTTTATAATGAGAAGGTGGAAATTTTGTTGGATGGAAAGGCAGTATAGAGGCAAACACCTGGATTCAACATAAGACAAAGCTGGCGAGAGATCAAGCGAGTCGGCCATGTATGATTTACGATATGATATATTAACGCAACAAGGCAAAACAATTGAAGATTTACAATAAAGCTCTTTGAGTAGAACATTAGTATAAAGTGACCATATATTGCACACTATCTACTTGCAGTCTTCCTAATAGAAAGCCTATACTTTATATATGCCAATTATTCCCGTCGTATATACCTAACACCAATCATACCCAATCACTAACCGATAAAATCCATATAATAAATAACACAAGCTAATCTACGCAGAGAAAGAGACTTCCCTTGTCATTCATATTATTTTCACCTTTCATACCCATCTCATTTCCGCCATCGTTTACTCACAAACGTCTTCTTCACATACAGCTGAAGCACGTTTCCAGCACCACAATATTCTGTAGCATTTCCAGGACACACAACATTGCATTCGGAGCTTGATACGTTCTTGCCTGGTGTAGAATCGGCCCAGCCCGCAAGATTCAGAGTATTGCCGCACCAACACTCTTGACCATACTCAACACCAGCGTACTTATACTGCCCACAGTGAGATAAGCAGACTTGCGGTGTCATAGTCGTGTCATTGTTATAAACCTGGTTGTCCATCAGTTTACCTTCCGAAGGCTCTGCCAGGCATCCATAGTAGGTAAAGTTCTTATTGCCATGGAAAATAACAGGACCAGTCGGAGATGGTGATGCAGACGGCGCAGATGAAGTAGCTGCTTCTGAAATAGTAGTAGCTGCTCCAGAGCTCTTGGGAGCTATTGAGGTGCCAAACCCTGAATTTGCAGTCGTAGCTGTAGCGTTGGACGAGAGCTTGTATAACTCGAGTCTAAATCCCGCGCCACAGAATTCTGTGTTGTCTCCAGCACAAGGGAACGAACAGTCCCCTTGGTTGGTAGCTTTGACAGTGCCTTCCTTCAAAACATTGCCACAGTAGCACTCTCTTCCATACTCGGTTCCAAAATAAGTAAACCCTTTGCAAAAAGTGGCGCAGGACTCGAGTGTCATCGAGTCGTTCGCATACATCTGGTCAATGATGGCACGATCATTAGGCGGCTCGTCCCAGCACCCTTGAAATATGTAGTTGTTCACAATCTTTTTGGTTGCAGGGCCGGTGGGAGTGGGAATAGACGTAGCCGTCCCCGAGCTTGTAGTCGGAGGGACAGTAGTTGGAGGGCTGAGGGTTGAAGAGGCAGCAGTCGCGGGAGCAGAGCTTGTAACCGGAATACCTTTAAGCTGATAAACGTTGAGTCGATCCGAACCGCCGCAAAACTCAGTCGAGTTACCATCACAAGTCATGCCGCAATCCCCAATCGGAGCAGGAACAGACCCATTTGCGAATGAATTATCACACCAGCACTCTCCACCGTACTCAAGGCCAGCATAGATGTAGCTGTCTGCCTTGCACGCCTCTATACAATCTGCGACAGTCTTGTTGGTAGTGTCTATAAAGTTGGCGAGAGCCCGCGCATCCGTAGCTTCAGTAAAGCAGCCAATACTGGAATAGCCATCCAATCCGGGGTTGACTGATGGTCCTGTAGGGGTTGGGCTGCTGGACGAGATGCTAGTGCTAGAAATACTAGTGTCAGTGCTTGTGGCGATCACAGTCGTACTTCCATTAGTAGGAGGAACAGTGGTAGCTGTGCTAGATACGGCTGAAGTTGTTGTAGAAATAACAGTAGTGCCGAGTTTGTAAACGTTGAGGCGGTTAGAGCCACCACAATACTCTGTGGAGTTGTCATTGCAGGTCATGCCACAATCCGTAATAGGGGCAGAAACGGAACCATCGCCAAATGAATCACCACACCAGCACTAAACACACAAATGTTAGTAACAAATTCTCCCCTAGTAAACGTACGGCATAAACGACTTACCTCTCCGCCGTATTCGACGCCAGCATAGGTGTAATTGCTAGCTTTGCAAGCGTCTACACATTCTTTTACAGTTCGCTTATCCGTATCAAGCTCATAAGGAAGAGCGCGTGCATTGGTAGCTTCAGTATAACATCCAATGCTGACATAACCGTCAACACCAGGATTTACCACGGGACCACCAGTCGGTGGTGGAGGGGTCGTCGAATTCGTAGACAAGGAATCGGCAAAAAGAGAAATAAAGGCCTCCGTGCCGTCGCCGTTTCCACCACAAACTTGGTTAATATCTCCACCGCAATAGTAGTTGCAATTAGAGTCATCAACCTTGAGAATAGGAATCGTATTTCCTGCCCAGCACTCTGTATGATACTGTGTTCCGCAGTATGCAAAGTTCTGCTCGGCGCATGCTGAAATGCACATGGCGTTGGTATTATTATCATTTCCGTAAAGCTGAGTAGACAGTTGACGGCCTGGGTTGTTCTCCTTGAAACATCCAATGTAACGATATCGGCCCTGGTCACTGTTGGGCAATAGAGGAGGAGCCTGTTCTGAGACGGCTTGGCAAAAGAATTGTATAAACTGCTTTCCGAACTTCGGATCGTTGGTATTCATTGTCCAAGGCGCTGTCCCGTTATAAGGATCGACGTTCCATTGCGATTTGGGGACAGTGCACGTGAGGGTAGCATTTGCGCTCTCACCCGGAGCCAAGGACGTTCCTTCAGCAAGATCGACCTGATTGACGGCTCGAATGAGACCAGCAAGACCAAAAGGAGGCTTGGAGACAGTAAGAGAGAGGCTGACACCGCCTTCCGGTGCCTTATTAGTAACGCGAAACTTGAGTGAGCGCTCGTTGTTCTCAGTGACGTTTCCAAAAGTGAAAGGAGTTCCATTAACGTATGGTACCCAGCCAGACGCATCAGGAGTCTGAAATTCGAGTAGCGCAACGGCGGCGGGGCCAGAGGAGCCAGCTATAGAAATTGTCTGGTTACCACCATCAGAAACAAACATCACAAAGCCAGAAAAGGTGCCGCTTTCAGAGCCATCAAACGTAATCTGTATAGTAGAGCTCCCTTCAGCTGCAATGGAAGAGGGGATGTTCTGCACAAGGAATTTACCAGCTGTTAAGTTACCCGAGCCGTTCCACGTTTGCCATGGACCAGTGGAGCTAATGTTAGAATACCGGACACTTTGGAAAGTAAGGGGCCCATTCCCAAGATTGGTGAGTATCATGGTCTCTGTGACGCCATCAGGGTTCTGCCCAGTGACAATGCCTTGGAAGGTAATTGTAGTTGGGGCAATTGATAGGAGTGGGCCAGCGCTCTGTCCAGTGCCGGTTAATCGAGCGTGAGTATTGGGACTGTAGCCAGCAACATTGTTTGTGGTATTAACGACAACATCATTCGAGATGAGGCCAACGGTGGTAGGACTAAAGCTGGCCTGGATGGTAAAAGAATCACCTTTGGCCAACTGAAGCGGCGTGGTGGGAAGGCTTGAGATGCTGTAATCTTTCTTAGAATCAAGCGCAATGCCGGTAACGGTTAGGTCGATCAAGGCTGTGCACTTGACGGACTGCGGGTCGCTGGTTGCTTTGAGATTAACATTACCAAACGCAACGGGCGAGGTGCAGTTGAGAGGCGCGTTAACGGGTGATCCAAAGCCATAGAAAAGGCCTTGGTTGGTCCCGACGTACACAATTCCATCGCCAAACACAGGTCGAGTAAATTTCATGACACCGGGGATGTTGAACGAGTTGATCATATTGAGCTTGCCATTGTTGGGAATAGCATCATAAATGCGGAGATTCAGACCTTGCACATCAGTCACCCAAAAGAGACCTGTTCCTGGCTGCCCGTTGAGAGAGGTTGTTGTACCATGGCTAACACCGAGAATATATGCGTTGGTCTCAGGGCTCTCAGCGACCTTGGTAAATGAAGGAACGCCGGCATCACAAGAGAATTTGAAGACATTAGATGGATGTTGAATAACGTTGATGTATATATAGCCACCCTCCAGAGGATAGACGCCAGCGCCAGCGTAGACAGAGTTATCGTTCTGATAGACTTGAATAGCAGCGTCCAAGTTGTTAGGGCCATTTCTGTAACCTCCCAGATTGTCCATATTGAGCCAATACGTCTTGCCACTCTTTCCGGTGACAACTCCGATGCGCTTTATATCGCCGCAGGAAAATTCACTTGGAAGGATCTCAAGAGGACTCGTACCCAGATCTCTATCAGCGCCATCTAAAGCTTGCTTCTCCCATGGCATGAAGAAGTCAATCAGGTTTAGGCTGCCATCAGAGTTGACCGTCATGTGGACGGCGGCTTCTTCTAGTGAAGTGGGAGGATTAAACCCCTTGACAGGGACGTTGGACAACTGTGACGCGTAGCCATTGCCGGTGGCATACCAAATAGAGCCAGCATCGTCAGATGCGATACCTCCACCAGACATCCAAACTCCTGCACCACGAATATCGTTGGGCACGCCTTTGCCTTCCATGGCATAGTATTCAACCAACTTGCCACTTGTCTTGTCCCAACCGATGATCCAGCCGGTAAAGTTATACTGAACACAATGCGACGCAAATCCAGCGTAAATGAACTGGCCAGTGTGTAGCAATGCAGTGCGCTGGTGGTGAATGCCTCCATTAAACATTCGCACATCGCTGTTGCGGGCGATGATTCCTTCCAAGGGAACCGGGAAGTTGGGTCTCTCGCTGAGATCATTGGCATCCAAAGCGTGGATAAAGTATCGGCCGGCAGGACGACCCTGAGGTGTATTTAACACAGCTTGATTGGCATATGTCTTTGAGGTGTAATAAATGGTATCGGTGTCAGGATCGATGACACCAGTAGCAGTGATGCCAATGTTGGGGTTAATATCGACACATCCATCGAGATCGGCAGCCAAGAAGGGAATGTGCAGATTCCTCGAGGCCAGGATCGCGCCGGTCTTTGCATCGAGCTTGTAGACATTGTTTTGTGTAGTTGCCACATACACGTACTGCTTTGTCCCACCACTGGGGGTATAGACGAGAGGCTGGGAGAAGATTTGCTCGGCCGCACCGCCGTAGACGCCAGGAAGGAGGGTCTGGAACAATTGGCCAAACGAAGAGCTCCCCACGACAGAGGGATCCATATTGTGATTCCTAGTTGCAATTAGTTACTGGTAGAAGAACAAACAACTCCTGGCTCTCTTACGTTTGGTATCCGGCCCTAGAGTTATCACCGCCCCAGGTTATGGTATCTGTCGACGCCAGCCCTTGGGCCAGGCCGACAAAGGCCGTGAGCAGCAGTACCGCTAAACCCATTATTGCAAATATCAACGATGGATGCGAAGCACAGTTGTGTCCAACGACAACCAAAACGGCGGAGACTCGCCCATCTTAAAGGAAAACGAGATGATAAGCCTCTGAGCTAGTCCGCCAAGAGAATATACAAGACGGATATCGCTCGTACTCGATATCGGTACCCATGTCCGAGAGAGTTGAGAGCTGAACAACCCTGGCCGGGCCTCGGAATGGCAGGAAGCAGCCGTCATGCCATGGTCACTCGCTCGGAATCCTCAGGGACCCATATCTTGCCACTTGGCTAGCTCTTCAACTTGCCTTCACCGGCAGACTGGTGGAGACACGGGCTGATGGCGCATCGAAAAAACGCAGCCGCACAGCCAGTGCGACGTGGACGGTGGGAGCAGCAATACCCACAGACCAGACCTCGTTCACCATAGGTAGTTCCAGGTAGAAGTAGGCACATGCAGTGCAGAAGCAGTCAACCGGGGGTTTCGGCAGGCTTCCGTAGCATAGTAGGTAGAGAAGCAAGACTAAAGCTGGCGTCTTGGGGGGCCAAAGAGCGGATTGTGATAGAGCAACAGAGCTCAATGTTTGCTTGGCCAAGCCGAGTCTGGCCAAGCCGAGTCTGGCCAAGCCGAGTCTGGCGCAAAGCCACCACCGCTCAGCTAGGGACAAATCAGATCTAGCCGCGGCCTCTAATATCGGGTGCCTGGCGGGAATCCCCTGCAAGGTCGGTGGCGCATGGCGGCATAAAGCGTGGGAGCAGTGCATGTAGCTTACAGTAGATGTAACGGAGGGCAATCGATCTCGGGGGGAACCAAGATGCGCAGCATTAGAGCTACAGATGAATTGGTAATACATAGATAGTAGTATAAGCATCTGTGGACTGGCTGTGGCGTTGCTGTAGAATTCATGTATGCCACGTTGAGACAACATACAACATACAGTACGCAGATAACCAGCATAGGACTGATAGCATCTGCACAAGGATAAAAATGCTATGTATATGTACTCTGTGCTATCGTAGAATACTGTAATACAGGCGCAACGTCAGGCCCACTTTGGGCAAAAAGAAGCATGTTAAGATGCATCATTTGCAGGCTAGTAAGCAAACCAATACGAATCCTAGTAATAATAGTAGCAGTTCCAACATGCTGGTGTTACTAGCAATTTCAAGCTGAGGAACAAAAGAAATTTTGAAATGCATCCGCCCTATCCCTTGCTTAAGGATCAAAGCTGCGTCTATTATTATCCTTCAAGAATCCTGCCTACAAACCAATAATGCTTGGCGCCCTGAACAATAACTAGCGGCATCTCACTGCGGCTGTCATGCACAGATTGTACATGTATCCGATACAAAAATTCCGCTCTGTACTTCGTAGTGGTGCTCTCAACTGCATTCGCCGAGAGCCCTGTCTTAGATACGGCAATGCCCTGCCATTGGCATCTCTCACCGGCGACGACACCATCACTTCACGTTCGCCAGCTGAATCTGAACCTTGCACATAGATTCGGACATCCCCCTCTCCCACAGAGGAGAAAATACTATTTTTTCCTACGTGCGGCCAAAAGCGCCCCCAATGCTACCGCCACCTTGATCAGGCGCTTAGGTCTAGATGCGCTCACATTGAGAATGCGTATACTGTATAACCCCATGTGCAAAAACAGCTCTTGCCGTTCAGTCTAGGTGTTTAAAATAATTTCCTTTTATCAATCTGCATGAGCGAACAGGTAACCCCCCGGTTTACTGGATCCACGTGGTCGGAGGATTGATACCACCCGCATTATGGGTGGCGCAAGCTTGCCAGAGATATTGGCCGTAAAAGGAAACCCATGAGCAATATTTGCTCCCTGGTGGGAGGCGAAAGGAGCCATATTCGGAGATTTACGACGGCAAGAGTATTTCTCTTTACGTACCGAGTAAAGCTTTACAGTCAATCGAGCACAATTTCATGCTCACCTTTCTACAGTTCAGCTAGCCGGTGCAGCTGAGCTTTAATAAACAGCATACGGGTGAGTATGCAAAAAGAAAAGAATAAAGGCGTCTTAGCTATACTGAGGTATCAATTAGCTAAGGAACATTGAAGCAAGGGAACTGCTGGTTAATTACAGCAGACGCTTGTCTCATCCTATCATCTCCAATTTGTTTTCCGGTGGCGATAGCATTTCTTGGTGCAGCCTGCGGCGATATCGCTTTGAAACACCCGACGGAGAAAGTTAACGATGTGGTGGATTATTTACAATATTTCTTACGAGTCGTATATCAGCGGTCAAAGAGCAAAATCTCAGCCCAATTTTTCTACTCATTCAGTACCTCCAACCTGTATTAAATTCTCGCCTAGCATTGCAAGGCTATTTTGTGCACTATTGGTTATCATGACCAAGTTCTCAATGCTTTCAGAAGAAAAAGAGAAGTGACAATATGAGAAGACGAAAAGTAATAAACAGATATAAGACCAACCAGCTACTTGCATCGCCCGCAATAAACACAAAGTTCTCTCCTCGCTCCACTAGCTACTGGACTTCAATTGCCGCACTTTGTGCAATTGCGCCTGCTTATCAAAAGAGGTTCAGAATCCTCATCTCTAGGCACACTAAGAGTAAATTTGTTGGCTACGAAGTACTCGGCCGGCTTTTCAATTTTGCACTTCGGGCACCTAAATTCCCATCTGAGAAAGATCAAGCCCTTCTTCCGGAATGGTATCAAGCTATGTTCTCTCCTAGTCAAAGCACTTTCGAAAGCTTCCACGACTAATCTCTTATCTTTAGTCGGCAGTTTATTATACCGTCCAGTTATACCACCAAGGTAATTAAACTCTTAATATTTACAGCATAAGTAAATGGAAGCCTTTTAATTTTATAAATCTTAAATCTTGTTTCCAATAGGCTTTTATATTGCTTTACAGTTAGGCACTAATGCTATAGAGACATTTAATCTTAAGCTATTTATACTACCAGAGCGCGCTGGTAAATAGTAAGGAGACTTCCAATAACGGCTAATAATAACAGTGTCTGTATAAAACTGCGCTCTACAAGAGCCACTAACGTAAGTACTATAGGTAGCCAGCTGGATTTATCACAGACTACCTCTTTAGATTACCTCGATGGACAATAGGGTAGCGCTTATATATACTAATCAAGGCGCTAAAACCCCGCAGCAGGTGTACCACTATATCCGTGCTTGCCCTTTTGGTCTTTGAAGCCCGAAAAGGAAAGTATAACAGAAACGCCATAAGTTGGTTTATCTTTGTCGTCGGTGCTATTACATGTTTAAAGATTTATTCTAGATTGAGAATCACATACAGCGTCGTTAATCTCGTGGGATGGAACGTAAGATTGACTGAATAGCCGGTTACACACATAATTTGGCCAAATGCCCGCTTAAAATCGATCGCTGGAGAAAAGTCGTCAACCGCATGGTCCGTGTGACGATAGTATAGCAGTATGTTATGTTCGCTAAATGAAAATGATTCAAATAGTGTAGCACTCAACATATATGTTAAATTTTCACCCGGGAAAGTGGAGATATTCTCCCTTGTTCATACTATACTCCGTACTCCTAATGGAAAGGTGGAGATATGACAGAAGTTGAAAGTTTATGTGACGTAACACTCCAGTTTGCAGTTCAGGAAGCATCAGTCCGGTCTTGTGCTGCAAGAAATGGCGAAAATTCATAGTATTAAGAAGCACTGTTCCAACGCTATCACACATTATTACATAAACGTCTACTTTTAGTTCACGGCAATCGTTGTAATGCATTTCTCTTGTGCTTGGAAGCTCGGCCGGTGCGCCTTTAACAACAAATTATTATACCAAAAGAAACGATATATGAATACTTTGAAACACATTATAGAACACTGGCTAATTTACTTCATGGATGTTAGTTTAAATCCTTCCCCATACCTCTCATTAAACTCCGAAAATCGATTATCTCTTTGCATTTCGCCTGGCGCTGCCGGGGCTACTTGGCGCGGCTGCAGTTCTTCGTTATGGATATTCCGAATGGTAACGGTTACCATGTCCCGCGATATCGCCCGCACTGTCTCATTGTCCATGCGCCCACCGATCTGTCTCGACCTCCATCCGAGTCCTCGATTCGTCCCGTGCAAAGTCTTCTCATCGGTGGTAACCATCACCTGCATTGCGTCACCCGTTGCGTGGTTCTCGATAACGCTTGCCTCGTTCTCGAAATAAGTATTTGCTTTGGATAAGATATCAATCGACTCAAAGGTGGACTCCCATTCATCCCTTAATCTTGCAATATCTGCAACTTCTTCAGGGGATGTCGTTGAAGCTTTCATCTTTTCCGTCAATTGGCTGAAGAGCAGCTTCTCGTGTGCTCTCAACTTTGTAGCCATACGAGAAAGGCTAGTTTTGCACTCTTCTAGTCCTTCATGTGTGATTTTTTCGGGTATAGAGCTCGTACCGGTACTGCCGCCTGCACTTGGGGTAGGAGTTGTCGCAAACTGGAGCTGGCTAATGTGCATGGACAATTGAGCGCAAATTGCGAGACTCTTTTCCGTGCTTGCTTTCTCTTCCTTGATCTGCATCAGCTCAGATGTGTTTGGCGTAGAACCCGCGACACTTTTGCCTAGCATAGCGTCCATTTTCTCATTTATTGTATCGAGACGGTCCTCCAAATTTTCCTTGGCACTGTCGAGGAGCTCTTTGTAACCCTCTATGGCTTCAGATGTGACGGCGGATCTGCGGCTGCTCAGGGTAATAAAGTCAGAACTGTCTTGTCTGTGGCACACCCAAAAAGCACTTACAGGTTGGCGTCTGTGAGGGCAACGTTTATGGTCATTTTGTAGCTGGCCAGCAGTCTTCTAAATCCATCAATGTCGTCGCCCATATATTTTAGCCTCGCCCAGTCGCGAACGCTCGCTCGAGAGCCTGTAGACCGTGACGAGCATTTCTGTATCTGTTGCTCAAACACTTGGCAAGCTTTGCCGCACTGTCGCAAAGGTAGCTCAAGGGAAGAAAGGTCAATATCAGTAGTAGCCTGGACTGTTTCGACCAGCGAAGCCAGTACGCCACTAAGTGCGCTTGCCTCCTCTGCGAGGTCTCGCACTCGCTGCTGGTGAGACTGGTAGCTACTGATTGTCTGGTAAAGCGCGATACTGGACTGGAAGGCGAATTGGCCCAAGGCCAGTAGCCCTGAGGCTACTCCGATAGCTTCTGCCATTATGCCGGCTTACTTTAACGCTGTAATGCTTTGCAGAGCATTCGGGGAATCGAGACTGATGCTTTCAGCCAGCCCATGGAACTCAGAGGGGATATAAGAACTCGCGTAGGAGGGCCTTAGGCAACAGCGCTCCTCTTCTAAACGCCGGGGATGAGGCTCTCATATTTTACTGGCAGAGGAAGCGCTCAGCTTAAGCGCCTAGGGAGGGCTCGAATCCACCGTTGTGCCGTCGTAGGAATGGAGAGGATTGGCTTATTAATTTTGGTGGCCTGTTAGCCCAAAATCTCAGCGGGCGGCAGCTAGCCAGTTGCTAGTCATGTCCCCGCCTCAGCCTGTAGCGCTATTACGAGGTAGATGGGGTGATGTACGGTTTATAGATCTACAGGTGAGCATTTTGCTGTTGTAATTTGACCAAGGCCAGTGCTTATACAATGACGGGTAACTGGATGCTGAAGAACGAACTGCTCGCAAAGCGGTCAGTGTGGCGGCACCAGCCGAAGTGTGTCTCTCCCACCAACAGCTCCTACTAAGTGCCAGCCGATCCAAGCGTCAGTTACACAGAAGGGGTTTGTTAAATTGGACAATCCCCTTACACGGCCCAGCTTAGCTGGGCTTGTTCTAGCTGACATACTGTTGAGTATTGTAAGTAGCTCGTCAACAAAAGTTAAAAAAAAAAGCATGGCGGGGCAGCAGTGTGCTGATAAGAGCAACATGAACCATGGAACGCTTAAATCTCGACTGTTGCTTCATCCCTTGGCCGAATTTGCAATCATCAGATTGGCTCTTTACACATCCATCTTCTGATATGAAACACGAACTGTCACATGGTAGCGACCAACTGCATATCTATATATAGCAGAATGGTGTATAAAAATAACCAAACATCATTCGTCAGCGACATGCTATGGGGTCCACAGCGACTACAACGTCTGAGCCTTTTTCCATATAGATGGCCCGCAAGACAGGGCGTTTGAGAGACAATAAATACGTGCTTCCTTTGTTCACTATTGACATTAACCTTATCATTGTAGGCTTTTAATATAAACTTTACCACTAGATCTCGCTTCCAGATTCCATGCCTATGTTGGAAACAATGATACACCTTCTCTGACTTCTATTTCAACCGACATGATGATATTATGCTATAGAGCTCAATCCTTTTTTGACAGCGGATATTTTGGTAATAGATGTATAAGAGATGTTTGTGTGGAAGATGATTGTTGGCTATACTGGCTGTTGTTGTAAATGGAGTCAGTGTCCATCTCACATGGTCTATATAATTTTCTCAACAGCGTTCTTGCAATACATTCATTCACATTACGATTGTTTTTAGCATCATAGCTGAGCACTTGGGATCCAAACCTGAATTTTGGCGACGCATGCAGAACTCTTGTTCACCAGCAGACCAGGCGTTGAACGGCCATTTGTTCTCGATCCGTGTACTGTGTACGGTTACACATACGACACAAGTATAACATTTTGTGCTGTCTCTGAACGATAGATAGTGTGCGATTATCGTGGTGATTGGACACCAATAAAGCCCTTGATCGCTGCGCTGTTCGATTGGAGAAATCTATAACTTTTATATAAAACCCGAAAGTTACAATCATTTTTTCCCCCACTTTTCGAAAATTCCGTCTCAACTCGCCACTCTATGATAGATATTTGGACATTGATGTCACGTCGATGGAAATCAGGCTTACCAAATGGCCAATAGAGCTGTTTTCGGAATGTCCATTAGTAAAATATAATATCGGCGTATTTAGAGGGAAAGGAAGATGTAATGACATAGAAGAAGAAAGAAGATGCATTGTCATACAGCTCTAGTTATAGTGATATTAGGCTACGCGCTACCTAGTAATGAATTGGTTAAGTCATATAAGTTGAGCAGAATCCAGGCCAAGGGATCTATATCACCGTGCTTGTATTGATGTAAATATCTCTAAAGGTGTTTGGCATGTAATTAACTACCATTCCGCCGTTGACGTTATAATTCCTTCACCTTCTAGGGGAGTAATTCCTATTTGGATCACCTGGAAGGTCTTGGATTCTCCCTGATGAAAGTTGATAATCTCCCCAATCATTTTCGTCATAATGCTGCTCATCGCAGCTCATACAACAACCCACGCTCTTCAACTTGAAATCATTGTCGGTGACTTTGATTTCGAAAGAATTTGCCTCTACATATCCGGAAAGGTCTTTAACAACGTGGCATTCGCTGCACTCGAATCTCCAGTCGAGCTCGGCGAAGAGCATTCCTTCCTGGATAACGTCCAGCCTGTTATCCTCTATGACCTCTTTAATAGCGTTCACGATCGCGTATCCATCGTTAGTATCTAGGTTCCTAGCTCTACCTTTGTTGCGGATTGACGAAGATTTGCCGCCAATCCTAATCTTGGTGTCGAGAACTCTTCTGACTATCCGCTCATTCTCCTGTCTGGTGAGCCTGTTCCTGAGACGAAGCGACATGGCGATGATATTTTTGCTCCTTGCGAAATGCTCTGTTTAGTAGCTGATGGTTCAGTGGTATGCGGGCGAGGGATATTTATTTAGAAGATATTTCCTGAGTCTGCTAACGATTAATGCAAGTAGCACCCAGTTCCTTGGTTTATATATTTTTCTAAATAATTCTGTTACATTGATTCACTCATATTGTAAATGTTTTTCCTTTTAGGAAACCACATCGGATATTGAACTTTGAGAGCCGTGTATGGTTACTCATGCATTGAGACCTGAATACGAGAACAATCGTTGGCCGCGGCGGCCAAGCAGTGACAATGTTCTCATTTGGATCTAGATCAGTGATGTTTCGAATCCGAGCCATGCCTAGCAAAAGATTGCCACGTCGAATACTATAATGGTGAATCGATGCGCAAAGCGGTGAGGAGTCGCATTGCTACAACAGCTACGTCCATGCACTCGCAAACTTTGCGCTCTATTGCATGTGCGTTCCACTTTGAGGACGTTCAAGCGCGTTGAATAAATGCATTGAGATTCACTGCAAATAGGCCAATCACGCACTAGATTGCTATACGGAACGCCAGTCTTTTTATTGAGACTTTCTTTTCTTTCCTTTCTCTCTCTTTTTCACTTTTTTTTTTTCCCTTCCTTTTCTTCTAAATTTTTTCTGCTTCTCTCGTGATACTATCCACGGATAGTCTGTGCCGTGACGCACGATCTTCAATAGCGAGTTAGTCCAGCGCAATGTTAGCGAATGTGTTAGCGAATGAGAAAAGAGTACCTCGCTGGAGCTGCCAGGCGCTAGTTGGCCAGAGGTACCGCTTGAGTCATAGAAAACAGTTATGCGATCGACGCGGCCGATTGCCGGTCCGAAAATTTTCACCCCACCACGACTGATAAGAGAGGGGCATAATTTCTATCATCGCAACTTTTTTGCTTGGCCTGGGGCTGCATCGTCTCTCCGGTGCAAAAGCCTTCCGTTCCATTCAATCGTCTTATGGCATCAGTGTGATTCTTCTCCGCCGCAGAAGTCCTCAATATGCCGTACGAGGTCCTTGTCGGAGGCTCGTGCTACACGGCCCCGGATGCCCAGAAGCTGAGGGAGCTCATCAACAAGTCCAGCCCCTCCAAGGTCAAGGACATCCAGGGCCAATGGATCTACTATGTGAACCTGCAGGTGTCGTCCCACGACACTCTGGAGCAGGTCGAGGAGCTGCTGCACGACGTCAAGGGCTGGGGGCTGGCTTCCGAGACTGCCGGCAATGCCATGACCATCTACGCAACGCCTCGCTACATTTCGCCATGGAGCTCCAAGGCCACCAGCATTGCGCATGTCTGTGGCCTGAGAGAGCGTGTCTTGCGCATTGAGAGGGGCCGTCGCATCTCCATTGAGTTTGAGGAGGCCTTGCCCGAAGGCGGAGATGCCGCGTTCCGCGATGTGCTTCACGACCGCATGACCGAGCTGTTCACCCCTCAGGCGCCGTCTTTGGTGCAGATGTTTGAGTCCAAGTCTTCGTCTCCTCTGGTTGCTGTCGACATCTTCGCGGACAAGGAGGATCCGATGCGGATTCTCAGAGAGTACAATCTCAAGATGGGTCTGAGCCTCGACGACTCTGAGATGCAGTATCTCGTCGACACTTTCACCAAGCTTGGACGGCCGCCTCACGATGTCGAGCTGTTCATGTTTGCCCAGGTTAACTCAGAGTATGAGTGTATCCCTGTTTGACTCTCATGAGTGGGCTGCTCACTGTTATATACAGGCATTGCCGACACAAGGTCTTCAACTCGGCTTGGACCATCGATGGCGTCGACCAAGATAAGAGCCTGTTTGAAATGATCAGGACGACTCACAAGACCACGCCTGATTTCACCGTTTCTGCTTACAGTGACAACGCGGCGGTTATTGAGGGCGATCATGCCAATGTTTGGGCGCCGGATTATTCCACCGGCTCATGGAAGCTCATTCCAGAAGTCGTCCATATCCTGACCAAGGTTGAGGTATGATTTTGCATGGCGATTGTCTCTTGCCAGTAAGCGGTCTTCTAACAAAGCTTGCATATTAGACGCACAACCACCCCACGGCCATCTCGTAGGTTCCTCCCAGACTCCTTTTTCCCTTGAACGCGGCAGAATTCCATTCGTTACTTGCCAATTTTCAATTATAGACTGTTCAAGGAGTAGCAAATGCATCCATTTGGGGATTTTGGTGTTGGAATAGAAGCTAATCATGTTCCCTTAGACCTTTCCCTGGAGCAGCCACCGGCTCAGGCGGAGAGATCAGAGATGAAGGCGCAGTCGGACGCGGTTCTACGACCAAGGCCGGCCTAAGCGGCTTTTGGGTCTCAGACCTGCTTATCCCTGACAACAAAGCGCCCTGGGAGGCTGACATTGGCCGGCCTCGCCACTATGCTAGCAGTTTGGACATTATGCTAGAGGCACCAATTGGTAGTGCGCGGTTCAACAACGAATTTGGCCGTCCCGCGCTCGCAGGTTGCTTCAGGACACTCCTCACACCTGAGGATGCTAATGATAGCTCCGATTTATCAGATGTTGCAAACTGGCGGGGCTATCACAAGCCCATTATGATTGCTGGTGGTATGGGAACTGTGCGACCTCAGCATGCTGAAAAAGAGCAGAGGCATGTTCGAGAGGGCGCCCATGTCATCGTTCTCGGAGGCCCTGCAATGCTCATTGGCCTGGGTGGCGGTGCCGCATCTAGCAGCGACTCTGCGGAAAGCAATGCGGATCTCGACTTTGCCAGTGTCCAGCGTGGTAACCCTGAAGTAAGCAGACTCGTTACTGGATGATAATTCAGACACCTAAGGAAACAGCTACTAATAGTAGTGCAGATGGAACGACGCGCTCAAATGGTCATCAACACTTGCACTGCCCTGGGTGACCAGAACCCGATAGGCATGATCCACGATGTTGGCGCTGGTGGACTGTCCAATGCTCTCCCTGAGCGTGAGTTTACGCACCCCCCCTGTGATATCTTTTGATCTATTGCAGTTCTAACTTTAACCAGTTGTGAAGGACGCTGGATTCGGAGGAAAATTTGAGCTTCGCCAAGTCGAGAGTATGGACCAGAGCATGAGCCCGTTGGAAATTTGGTGCAACGAAGCTCAAGAGCGATATGTCCTTCTTATTAACGCTGATGGCATGAACCGCTTCACGAGCATCTGCCGACGTGAGCGATGTGGATTTTCTGACGTCGGAACTGTGATCTCTAAAGATGAGCACGGAGCTACTAGTCTTATTCTCACCGACAGAGAGTCCAAGGAGTACCCCAGGCCGATTGACTTGCCCATGGATGCCCTGTTCCCTCCTAAGCGCTTATTGAAGAGAGACGTAGTCTCCAAGAAGCCCAACTTGCTTCCTTTCAATGCCTTGGCCAGCCTACAAAAGGCATATGGAGAACTGAGCGGAGCCGACTTGTTTAAGAAGGCTGTTGAGCGCGTCTTCTTAATGCCAGCAGTTGGCTCCAAATCATTCTTGATAACCATCGGCGATCGAACTGTCGGCGGTCTCACTGTGCGCGATCAGATGGTTGGACCTTGGCAAACCCCAGTTGCCGACGTTGCGGTAACAGCCACGTCGTTCCACCTTGATACCAAGCAAAAGACTGGTGAGGCCATGGCAATGGGAGAGAAGCCTACGCTTGCCCTGATTGATCCTGCTGCTTCGGCGAGAATGGCCATTGCTGAAAGTTTGATGAACATTGGTGCTGCCGACGTTACAGCCGATCTGCGACGCGTTAAACTCTCTGCCAACTGGATGGCTGCTGTGAATCACGCTGGTGAAGGAGCTGCTCTGTATGAAGCAGTCCAAGCAGCTATGGAAATGTGCACCAGACTCAAGGTCAGCATTCCTGTCGGCAAGGATTCAACGTCAATGAAGGCATCGTGGAAGGATGGAGAGGAATCAAAGAACGTCACGGCACCAGTCTCTGTGGTCATTTCCGCCTTTTCTACCGTGCGTGAGATTCGCAGCACTTGGACTCCCCAGCTTCGCAGAGTGGAAGACGTTGGGGAGACTGCTCTCATGTTTGTCGATCTTGCAGAGGGACGAAGAGCCATGGGTGGCTCAGCACTCGCACAGTCTCTCGGCGCTATTGGTGACAAGGCGCCCGACATGAAGAACTTTGATCTCATCACGGACTACTTTGATGCCCTGTCTCAGCTCCACAGAAGCGGCGTTGTCCTCGCTTATCACGATAGGTCTGACGGTGGTCTCATCGCGACCGTAGCGGAAATGATGTTTGCTGGTCGCTGCGGTGTCGACATGATGCTGGATGGAATCTCCAAGTCGGGCAACCCCGAAGATATCATCGATGCCATGTTCAACGAGGAGATTGGTGCTGTCTTCCAGATCCGCGCTGAAGATGAAATCAACTTCAAGCGGTGCTTCGCTACCTGCGGACCTCCACCCGGCCTAATCCGCAAGTTTGGTGTCGTTCGAACAACAGGCAAACAAAACCTGAACATTCGCTATGGAGGCACAACTTTCACCACCCTTGATCGAACCGAGATGCAGCAGTGGTGGTCCAAGACGTCTTTTGAGATGCAAAAGATTAGAGACAACTCTGCTTGTGCAGAGTCTGAATTCTCGACCATCGCTGACTCTACGGACCCCGGCCTTTCCTACAAGTTGTCATTCAATCCTGCCGAGAATATTCTTCCTCTGACGTCCTCCATCACCGGCTTCTTTGGCAAAACTCACCGCGTTGCTATTCTCAGAGAGCAGGGCGTCAATGGTTATGCAGAGCTGGCCTACGCTTTCAAGGCGGCCGGCTTTGAGCCAATTGACGTCCACATGACTGACATTTTGGACGGCCGCTCACTTGCCGACTTCACCGGTTTAGCAGCTCCTGGTGGCTTCTCGTACGGTGACGTGCTCGGCGCTGGCCAGGGTTGGGCCAAGTCGATTCTGATGCACGACAACACTCGCAGGGAGTTTGCCGCCTTCTTCAAGCGCCCCGACACCTTTGCGCTGGGTGTGTGCAACGGCTGCCAGATGCTCACCAGAATCAAGGAACTGATCCCCGGCGCCAAGGACTGGCCCAACTTTGTGGACAACACCAGCGAGCAGTTCGAGGCCCGCTACAGCATGGTCAAGGTGCAAGTCGACAAGTCCAAGCCCTCCGTCTTCTTCCACGGCATGGACGGCTCCGAGCTGCCCATTGTCGTGTCCCACGGAGAGGGCCGCGCCTTGTTCTCCTCGCCCAACTCCCTCCAGACCCTGACAGAGTCCGGCATGGTCCCCCTGCGGTACATTGACAACCGCGGCAACGTGACGGAGCAGTACCCCTACAACCCCAACGGCAGCCCGATGGGTGTTGCTGGTGTGTCGAGCCCCGATGGCCGTGTCGTGGCCATGATGCCTCACCCCGAGCGTACCATCATGGCGGATATTACCAGCTATGCACCTCCGGAGGATCTTGAGCAATGGGGCGAGTTTGGTCCTTGGCTGAGGATGTTCCGCAGTGCCCGCAGATGGGTTGGTTAGAGTCACTCACTGACAAGTGATATTCTGTGTTATAACTTGTTTCCATTACATGTCATGTTGTTTTAAAAAAAAACGAAACTTTAGAAAATATTCAACACTGTGGAAGGCGTATGTAGGGTGGGTTGATTGATTACGGGCTGGTTTTACAAGGACAGGAAAATTTATCCATACAAAAACAAATCGAGATTGAACATTGCACCAATTGTAGCTTAAACGAACAGTGTAACTCTTGACTTGTGTGATGATAATTTTTTTTTTTTTAATTCTTTCTTTAGTGTTGTGCCATTACTCATGCATTCGGCTTAAACAGTCAGTTTGACTCGGCCGATTATACATGCTTAGCTCGCTCATAGGGGTATTTTCCGCCCTCCCTTATGCTATTTGATTAAATAAAAAGAAAAAAAAAAACATGCCAAGCTACCATCGACTACCAAGGTATGCCTATTTGCCCATTTCAAATTCAATTTCTTCACTCCCTCTTTTTAAAAATCCTTTACAACGCTGGCCCTTCCCAAGCGTCCCGCCACAGCCTTACATGCCACGACTGTTTATGCGGAAAGGAAATCTGCCTCTCTTTTCCAAAGCCTGCTTCGTCGAGGTGTCGCATCATTCTATCCAATTCATCAGCATCAGTACAAGAAAACGCTAAAAGAGAGAAAAAGAAAAAAGGAAATGCTCACCTAGCATTATCAACCCGCGGCTCCAGCGACACGCTCATCGTCCGATTATCCGCAATAAAGCACCAGTGCACAAGACTCGTCAGCCAAAAAGGCACTTTCCCCCTCGCCCACTCCTCGCCAATGAAGACGTGTATGCCGCGATCAAAGTCGCCCGCGCCCGTGGCCAGGTGTCGACCAAGAATGTCCTCCTTCACCCAGTAAATCTCAAAATAGCCAAAGGGGATGCCGTCCCATGAAGCGATGACGGGGAACGAGTGTCGCTTCTGTAGGACGCCCTCTAGGAAGCCCGGTTTGTATTCGCCCCAGAACTCGCTGACTCGGGGTTTTGACATCCATGTTTGCAGGAGCTGCATGTCTGTCAAAGACGTCAAGTGTACGTGTTCCTGGGGCTTAGATCCAATGGGGCCCAAGTAGGGGACTGGCTTCGTCGACGTCGAGGCAACCCGCAGAGACAAGTACCGACCAACACTAGGCACAAAGCGCGAGTAGAAAATCTCCCCCATCCTATGGGGTTTCGGCCGTACCGGGTGTCGAACGCCATCTGTAAAGGTGTACTGCAGCGGAGGAGGGGGGAAGTACGTCGGGAGATGCGAGGACGAGTAAAAGGGCCCCATGGGGACGGTGATGGTGTGCGCCGGCGGGATGCTCGTGGGCATGGGCCCGCCAGGCAGGTCGTTGTCCAGGCGCGCGAGGCTGTCCATGGACAGGTAGTGGCTCATGGACGACTCGCTGTGAATGGGCGAGCTGGGACGACTAGCCACCGGCGACCCAGGCACGGACGAGAAGGACCGATGGTTCGGCTGCAGCGTGAAGAGGAACAGGTGGCCGGGGATCTGCCAGAACATGCGCTGGGTGACAAACATGCGCGCCCACTCGTCGCCGCAGTCGTCGAGGCTGGTGCCGCAGGCCGAGTCGGCGGCGGCAATCAGGCCCATGCGCTCCAGCTTGGGGATCAGGTTGCGGCCGCGCAGCACGCCGTCGCGCTTGATGTTGATGCGCCACTCGCCGCGGGGCTTTGCGTCGGCGGGCGTGTCTCTGGCGGCGGGCACGTCGAGCTGGGCGCTGGGCTTGGGCTGGTGGAAGTACCAGTACAGCGTCACCCACATCATCATGGCGATCTGGCGCGTGGGGCTGGCGGCGGGCTTGAAGTCGGAGTTGGACGGGTTCGAGATGGACGAGATGAAGAGCGTGTCGTTGTGCAGCGTCGGCCGCACAAAGGGGTGCACGCGCGTCTTTGTGCGCGACGACGACGGCCGCGACGACCGGCTCTTGTTGCTGAAGTCGTCGTTGTCGTCGTCGACGTCGCCCTCGGTGGCGAGCGCGGCGGCCTCGTCGGCGTCGCTGCGGCGGCGGCGCTCGTAGGGCTCAAAGGGCGACTCGACCTCCTCCTCGGTGTGCAGCACGACGTTCCAGCCGATGGGGAAGGCGTTGGGGTGCATGTTCATCTCGTGGCTCTTGAAGCCCAGGCCGGCGAAGACGGGCGTGACGGTGAAGGTCTGGCCGTCCGGCAGATGCAGCAGCTGCGGCGCCATGATATGATGCCGGGGGTTTGTCTCTCTGCGTCTGTCTACCACGGATTGGATTGTGTAGATGTAGATGCTGATGCTGATGTTAGGAGCAGGAGCAGAAGCAGAAGCAGAAGCTGAAGCTGAAGCAGAGACGCAGAGACGCTGCAGTGCTGGAGATCATCAGCAAATGGAGGGACAATCAATGCAACGGTGTGTGGAGCGAACAGGAGCAAAATGCGGCAGCGGGGGCGGGGTAACTGCAGCAGCTGAAAGAGGAGCTGTTGGCAGCAGAGCATCCAGAGCTTATGCAGCCATGGCTTTGCCCCGGATTTATATCCCAGGGTGCGTTGCTGCGATGCATCGAGATGGAGTTTTTGGTGGTGCGTTGCTGGCATGGGCGCGGGTGACATTCCAGCCGCCAAGCAGCAGCAGCAGCATCAGCATCAGTTGCATCACATGCTTTTTTTTTTCTTCTTCCCTTTCTTGATAGAATCACAGCATTACAGCACTTCTCTCTCTCGCTTCATGACACAGCTGAGACAAACTTTTTTTTTTTCCTTCCCCCAGCAAACAAACATAACCGAACGAGCTGCTGTGGCCTGACCAGCGCAAATAGTCTTGCGCCACTGCCTCTTTATACCGAATTAGACGCTCCCAGACAGCCGATGGTGGCACACTAGCAAATAGGCCCATTCGGCTGGGCGGACCGCGTCGTTGATCCGGCAAATATTGGTGACGAGTCATGTCTATTTCGTCTACTTGTACGGAGGAAACTGCTCGTTGGATGTAACCCTATTCAAAGTTGATGTGCTCTCTGCTCGTTGCTTGTCCGCTCATCTACTAATCTATGCTCTCGACTATAATCCCCGCTCGCATCTACATTTGCCAAACGCCATGATATTGTATGTACGATCCATATAAAAAACATCAAATCTTTGCTCCAAAGATACCCGCCCTTAGCTCCGGCTTGGCTCCTCTCTGGTCTTCTTCGACTGCTGTATCGTCTCGTCGTCAACTCCAACGTCATCGTCATCTCTGTCCTTCTTCTTCCCATTCCTCTCCTTCTCCAATATCTCCTTCACCTCCTCTCCTCCCAGATCCTTCATCTCATCCCAGTCATAGCCGTACTCCACCGCCGCGGCCTTAATCTCTCGACGCAGCGTGTTCGCCTCGTGCACCAGATGCTCCCACTTCTGAGGATCAAACCCTCGCTCCTGGTACAACGCATGCTGCCGCCGTGATACCGTAATGTTCATCGCGGCCTTGTAGCTCAGATCTCGGCTGATGAACAGGAACCACAAGTAACCACCCATGATAGTCGCCAGTCCAGCCAGGTACGTGATCGGCTCTACCAGATCCCATCCAAACTCGGTATGGAACGTCACATAGTAGACAACCCCCCACCAGCCGGCGAGAGCCGCGAAGCCTCCCTGGGCCAAGCGGTGCGCCCCCTTGTGCGCCAACAGATCGCACTCGGATTTGATTTTACTCATTTGGTCAATGTCTTTCGACATCCGCCGAAGCTGCAATCGCATGTAATACGTCCGATCCTTGAAGCTGGGCACCGCCACACGAAGCTCCTGGTTGAAGCCCTCGATATTAATCGCAAACTCGCGCCCACGGGCTGCATCTCGAATGAAGTCTCCAACCTCGGTGCTGCCACTCCATCGAACCCAGTTCGCCTCCTTGTCCTTTGTGGGACCCTCGCGGCCCAGTCCTGAATACGTCGCCACATTGCTCTTGCCGCGTTCTCCCGATCTCCCTGGGAACTCCTGGTGATCGGCCTCAGCTCGAAAGATGATATCAGGCAGCTTTTCGCGGCCACGGACCAGCAATGGAGGTATCTCTGCCTGTATCAACCGCTCAAGGTAGGAAAGCGGCTGCTGGGGATGCACCAGCAGCGCCAGCGGCTCTACCCTTTCTCCCTTTTTTTTGTAGCTTTCGTCTTCCGATTCATTAATCGTGTCCTGCTCGGGGTGGAATGGAATGGGCAGTATGAGCTTCAACAAGCGAGTCGGCGTTGTAAGAACCCGTCCTGAAAACTCGGTACGTCAGTTTTCAGTGAACTCAATTGCTCCGTCATCCATCACGGCAATACCTTTTGACTCGTCTCCTCCAGATGGATCTGGCGACGTCTCTTTGTACTGTTTGCTGCCGCTCAATCGGTGCCAGGGCCTGTCGTCAGCCTTTTTCTGCGCTCCATGGCGTCTGCCATCTTCCTCATCCGCCTCCTGGCCTTTTTCGTGCAAGTGCTTCGATTTCCTCTTCGACCCGTCCTCATACAGCCCCCGCGACGTCGAAAAGTTTCTTATAGGCGTGTGAAATCGTTGCTGGATGCTTGGCTTGAGCCATTGATGCGCTCTTGGCAGTGCCTGCGACCTAGAAATCAGCGGCAAGACGCCGAGGCTTGATCGCGCGCTGGCCCCAAACATTGCATATTAGGCCGTTGCCAGTCATGTGCATTAAAAAAGGTAAAACGAAGGTAAAGTTGATACAGATAATTCCGCGTTGAAATTGTAGATAAATAAAGGACAATCGCTGTGAAGCTGGTTCCTTGGAATAGCAATAATCATGACGTCACGGGCCGCGTTGGCGATCAATTGTGGCTCCCTGCAGCCAATCCATGTTAGTCGTCGCAGCATCTAAATTGCTAGTTTCGGCCTCCAGTTGGAGCAAAACAGCGACTGATAACATCGCCAAACAAAATGTTGGAGCTAATGTAATTTGAATAATATAATTACTCCTATGCGATTAGACTTTAACATCAGGGAGTGAATAAACTTAGGCTCACTCGTGGTGGCTTGTACTGGTAATAGGACCCTTGAAATCTGAAGCCATGAAATCTTAAACCATGAAGTCTTTCGCGAGGAGCAATAGCCAAAGCAGCCAGGGGTGCTTCCATAAAAAGACTCTTTCCATATTGAAATTATAATGTTAGAACTAAAGAGGTATCGAAGTCATAGTGTTGAGATAATACACCCCCTTAAATTCTGTACGTAGAGACGAGTAAACGGCGGCGTGCTGTCGAGGGGCAACGCCCCAGAAAGAATTGCTACGCTTCAAATACGCTGGGCAAGAGCTATACTTAATGATGTAAATGGGAGTTATATGTACCCCAAATGTATTAGTTTGCAAGATGTAGCATACAGCAGCACTAGATCTTGAACATGTATTTATTCTATCGAACCTTCGTGTCGCAGACGAGATGACCCAAAGGTACAAGACATCGAATTAAGGGAAAAACCATATAAATATGCCCTAGAGTATATAGTATAATGAGTTGCTTGATCCAGGGTTTTGGATTTTGAAATATGGATCTTGTTGTTTTAGGAACACGGGGCTGGAATTGCTAGTGCATAGTGCGGTGATAATTGTAGACGAACAAAGTCGGTATAGCGGAGCTGCAAGTCAAGATATTGTGAATTATGCGATTACTATTAAAATTATGTGTAAGTTTCTCAAACTTTCAACGGTATTCGAGCCGAAGTTAGTTCTTTTCCCGACAGCATGGTAAGTGCTGAAGCTACAAGACTAAAAGGAGGCTGTTGGCATGGCGGCACGACAAGAACGCAATTACGCGTCAGTATTGGCTTTTCCTTCTCAAACGTCTCCTCGATTTACTTTCAATGTTTCTGGTAAACCTCCGTAGAGTATCCATTCAAACTCTGGTTGAGTTTTATGGCGCCTCTAACTGAGACTTTGTCCGATATCGAGAGGAAACTCTGTTCAACAATTCAATCAGCCACTCAGGTCCCAAGAGCTATATATTATGCCCTTTTTACCAGAATTCCATCCGTCCTTTATTTCTCTATTCCATTCCATTCTTATCCAGCCAGTTGACAAGGTTTATACAAGTTCTTACTCACATTTCACCATCTTGTACCTTCGACACACTGGACTCTACCGCTTCCAGATACCGATAGAGACACACGCCTACTTACGTAGTTACATTGTATGTCTGCAAAGCATTCAGTCCAAATTATTTATCCAAAGTACCTTTACTAACCTTCATTAGTTGATGTCCTATTGTGACATCTTATAACTATCATTCACAAAAGGGTCACTACAAGCCCCATTGGCTTCCACCACACGAGAGACATCTCCTCCTCTTGCCACAAAATGGAGATGAACAACACCAACACCGCCTTCGTCAATCCTGCCGGAGACGGTGGTAATAAAGAAAACGACCCTCACCTCCCCGCCGTTCCCCCTCGCCCTAGCAGACGTAATCGTCCCCAGCAACCCGTGGCATCAGCCGGGTATCGACTTGGTCCACGAATCAAATTGACCAAGGAGGATCTCGACTTTGCCATATACGAAGACGGGACGGCGCAAGATATCCCAGAACCTCGCCGTGAGTACTATGGCAGCAACCTCCCGGCCCTCCCCGACATCACTAACGGGCAAATGTACAACTACGCCCTCACCCACGTCCTGAAGCGCGACTACAACGAGCTCATGTACGTAGCGCTCAGAACCGGGGACAAAGTCGCCATGGACGTATTGATAGCCAACGAAATAAGCTACGATAGTGTGCCCATGCTGGAGCGAGTCACCGGGCTATACCAATGGGTTGCCGGGTGCAATCCTCTGGACGTCTGGCTGTGGGTCCAAGATAAAGGATACCACCGATGCTGGAACAATGACCAGAGGAGAGGCTTTACGAGGTTCCTGAGGTGGATGGTGCCGCTTGTGAGGGAGGCTGGGGATAGCGAGGGTAACGCGGTCATGATGGCCATGGATGAGGTCAATACCCAGATCATCATGGAGCGGTTTGAAGAGTTGGGCCTTCCGAACTTGACCATCGAAAAGGCCAATTTGAGCGTCTTTTTCACTCCCTGTGGAGAAGATAGGCACGTCATTTATAGGTGTGACTTTACGGTGGAAGAGCAGCGCCTTATTGATCTGCTCTGGTCGGAGCATTGGGGCCTTGGATAGGGGGTGAGGTTGACGAGGTGGATGAAGGTGGTAGAGTTGGGTATAAGTTTGGGGGCGGCATTGTGACTAGCATTTTCAAGACTTTGCTTTTTTAGGGATTGGATGGGGATGGCGTTTATAGAATTGATACCCCTTTGATTTGGCCGTGATTTGGCTTAGCTTGACAGATTACTTGGTGTCCGTCTATCCGATCTCTTTCACGATGATAATATTAGATTTTATACTAGAATTATGACAAGATTCGAACATAAGCAAACTCCAGATGATGAACGTATCGCTGTCTGTCCATCCCACCAGATTCCACGAAGGCGATTTTTTCCCAGTGCCATCTATCGTACCTGAACTCAATGCTGAATGCCGTGTCTTCCTATCTAAGTTGTCCAAGCTTGAAAAGAATATTTGATTTGCTCTGGAAGTTTACAGATGATATTTCGAATAACTTTCCTAGCAAGTGCCTCGCTCAATTCGTCTTGCCACTTCTCACTCCGAATTCTGTTCCACATTAGCTCGACTTCACTGAGAAATTCTTCGTGCTTAAAGATTTATGATGATATTGACATCAGTTGATGGTCTAGGAACCTTGGTCTAACATGTCCTGCTTTGTAGTTGTATTTGAAACACCAGTCCCGCTCTGCTCAAGTGTTCATAGTAGCTGAGCATGACGACGGCAAGGCTCAATACAACCTAGTGTTGGTCATTATACTTAATCAGGCCACAAAGTGTAAAATGTGAATAACAAAGGCAGTATAGCCATCTGTCATACAGTTTTAACAAGAGATATATATCCATTAAGAAGATATACCATCAAAGGCGAAACGAGTACTCCGTTTTAGTAGATAGATGTAGTGATATCAAGTCAGAACAATAGGGCGACAATGGCAGGGCACGCACCAGGCCACTCGTTCATTCATATTATTTCCCCCGCTTCCCTCTCTTCATTCAACTTCAACTATAAACATTGTAAATATTTAATTTCGGCTCTCTATATAAATGTAATAATCGCACTGCAACTACATCCCTAACGCCATACCTTAGTGCACCTCTTAACCGCTACACTATCACAGATTACTAAGCCTATTAGCACGCGATTCATGGTGTCGTATTCTCATAAAATTCCCATCAACAACATCACCTAGCATGGTAGGTATCCCCTTTCATACACGATGATAGGCCCTTGGAAACTGTGCCGTATAATCTGGCGCCTATTCTTGGCCATCTTCGGGTCTTGGTTGCTTCTCGCCCTGCTGTGGGCGCTTCTTCCCTTTCCTTCCGCTGAACACAATGACAATGGCACCGACTACGCAACCAAGGTCCTCCTCAGCGGCAAGACACTGCGCCGAGTATACTGGTAATGGCATGCGAACCGAATGAATAAAGACAAAAAGACTAAACTTCTCATCCCTACAGGAGCTCCGTAATGGTCGATGCTTATACTTCCCGACAGGGCTTTGCGCTTGACTACAAGCTCGATAGGGCCAACCTCACCCTTGCAGTCTCGGGGCTGGAACAGCCTCTAAGCATATTCCGCCATACACTGGCTGATGTCAACGGACGCATGGAGGAAGCCAACGTGACTGCGCGAGCGGGTGATACGGATGGCGCCAACTTGCCGTGGTTCCCGCAAGCAGATGCAATCTTGCTCTTCTGGCAAATTCACCGAGAGTATGCGAATGTTCCGCTCACACTTCAATGGTCGGCGCAGGAGGCAGGAGTGGTGCAGAAGTTCGATATATCACTGAATGGGCGAGGACACGGAGATGATGCGCTTTTGTCTCTGAAGATGTGGGGGAACGACACCTCGACGATCAGAGCCAGCGTCCCATTGCAGCCGAATTCTTCATCGCCATCCTACACGTATCCTGTCCGTGTCGCGGTCATCCTGGTACTCGCACCATTTTCACTCTTGTTCGCCGATGTCGTCGAATCCTTCGGGGGACTTTTCAACACTCTTGTGTCCTGGATCTTCACGGCCATCTTCTTTGGACTCGTGGTGTCAGGTGTAGTTGCAGCTGGCATGTACTGCTTAGGGAAACATCCCCAAGAGCTCGTTGACATGGTTGGAGATGAGCTGCAGAAGCTGAGAGATTCCGAGGTAATGAGAAGGTGGAGAGGCACAGATGGTGAAGAGGTACCAGCGGGTAATTCGCCGGAGCAGAAGAAATCTTCGACTGAAGCGGATGTCAGCCACGTTTGTTGAGGATCTGATGGAAGGTATTTGTAATTTGGCCGGCTCAAGGCCCAACGTTGACAAACCTCCTACATATCAATCATATAACATATTACCGGAACTTATCGTCAAGTGACCTAGTTTTTTTTTTTTTTTTTTTTTTTTTTCCACCTCGCATAATACATGGCTTCTATCGCGTGTCTTGCTTGTCTCTGAAATAGCTACCCATCACAATGGGCGTGGACGGAAAGAGGTTAATAAAGATGGCGATACCATAACCTCAAATGCGTGTATCATTAACTACTATAACTCTTTCGCATGATATATATTACATGCATGTTGAGGCTACACGCCTTCTTGAGCTACGCTGCGGATTGTCTCGTCTTGCAATGAGATCTATGGCCCCATTAATGGTTCTCTGCATATTTTATTACAACGTAATTGATACAATTCTTTGAATAAGAAAGGTCGGCCATTCGTTTCGCCTTTGACAATAGTCGACATGCAACCAACTGGAGTTTGCCATTCTCTCAAGGCGCAGACATCATCCATATATCCATGTAAGCTCTCGTACTCGTATTCCCCCAATCCCCCATCTAAACCCTGCAATCGTGGATATTAGCGGCGCTCTTGAGGCGTGGTGGGGTGTTGCAGCGCAGGCCCCGCGCCAGAGACCCGAAAACGAAAATCGCTTCACGGCCGCCACCAATGGTTTGGCTCCAAAGGATCGAGAAAGGAGATCAATCAATCAATTAGCGGCGCACATACAGAGCTGGGCACTATAATTTAGCGCCTAGTAAGGTATAGCATGTGGACGGGCGGTGCCTGAGCCGGGCGGTGTGAAGGCGACGGCAGTGGTGCTAGTCGCTTTTGCGCCCAACACCATCCATTCTCACCACTTCTCCTTATCGTCTCCCCGCGGGTCGTCGCCATTGTTCTCTCTTGCAGCAGTCGTTGGAATCCAGGTTGCATAAGAAACAGGACCGAGCCACACAGTCGCCAGTTCTGCCACTTGTTGTCGCATTTCACAGAGCATAAACCGCCATCATGTCAGACACAAAGGTCTACCGCGCGAGCACCACCGCTCCCGTCAACATTGCTGTTGTCAAGTACGTCGAAGCAGTTGAGTCTTACGCATGTTGCAAGGAAGAATAGCGGCCTCAGAGGAGAATAAGCATCACTAACAAACATCTCCGCTCCTCAGGTACTGGGGCAAGCGCGACGCCAAGCTCAACCTCCCCACCAACAGCTCCCTCTCCGTGACGCTCTCACAGAACGATCTTCGAACCCTCACCACCGCCTCCTGCTCCTCCACCTACTCCGGCGACGACAGCCTCCTCCTCAATGGCGAGCCCTCTGATATTTCCGGCGCGCGAACCCAGGCCTGCTTCCGCGAGCTGCGCGCCCGCAGAGCTGCGCTCGAGGCTGCCGATGCCTCGCTGCCCAAGCTGTCGACCTTTCCCCTGAAGATTGTCTCCGAGAACAACTTCCCCACGGCCGCTGGTCTGGCGTCGTCCGCTGCTGGATTCGCAGCCCTCGTCCAGGCCATTGCCAACCTCTACGAGCTCCCCGATTCTCCGTCTGAGCTGTCCATCGTTGCTCGCCAGGGCTCCGGCTCTGCCTGTCGCAGTCTCTTCGGCGGCTACGTCGCCTGGAGAATGGGCGACAAGGAGGACGGCAGCGACTCCAAGGCTGACCTCGTCGCCCCCGCATCGCACTGGCCGAGCATGCGAGCCCTGATTCTGGTTGTCAGCGCCGCCAAGAAGGGCGTCTCCTCCACCTCTGGCATGCAGCAGACCGTCGCCACTTCGGGCCTCTTCAAGTCGAGAATAGAAACCGTCGTGCCCGCCAACATGGCTCTGATGGAGGATGCCATCAAGAACCGCGATTTCGCCAAATTCGCCGAGGTCACCATGCGCGACTCCAACTCGTTCCACTCCACTTGCGCCGATACCTACCCTCCCATCTTCTACATGAACGACGTGTCCAGGGCCGCCATCCGCGCCGTCGAGGCCATCAACGCTCAGGCGGGCAAGACAGTCGCTGCCTACACTTTTGACGCCGGCCCAAACGCCGTCATCTACTACCTGGAGGAGGATGCGGCCACAGTGCTGGGTGCCTTTGCGCCGCTTGTCGCCTCCACAGACGGCTGGAAGGACGGAAGCGCCACAAATGCCACCGTCAAGCTGGACGAGGGCATTGCAAGCACAATCAAGGAGGGCGTCAGCAGAGTCATCATGACTGGCGTTGGCGAGGGCCCGCAGAAGACGGATGAGTTTTTGATTGCTGAGGATGGCTCGCCCGTGAAGCGATAGAGGAAAAAGCAATAGAAATACGGCGTTTTTGTTGGGATGTAATAAGCTGTTCATGTGTCTATGGCGAACAAAAAAGTTGATACATATAGGTACAATCTATAGATGACTTGGATACGAAAGATAATTTATTTTGGGAATTACTATTCCGCACCCCAGTTTCATTATCCAGCAACGTGGCCGTTAGCAAAGAGATCAGCCCGTAATGTAAAATATTTGGCCAAATTATAATGTACTTATAAAGTAAAGGTAAAAGAAGCAGCAGAGGCCAGTAGAGGCAGAAGAAGCAGTAAAAAGAGTAAAAGATTCGAATACATGTAATTGTATTCACGGCGTTTAGCTACTGCTAGAATGTTGGATAAACAATATCAGGGCGTCTAATGACAATTCCCTTTATTTCAAATAATCATCATGCCGTACAATCTGATATTTGGCCATTGTGTGGCTCAAGCAGCTGCTGGCACTTTATCTGCCACTTCTGATTCACCTGCCATGCGCCGCCGCCTCACCCCTGCAACTACAACTTTCCTTCTGCACCATTCACTCCGAACCTGGCGCGCACTTCACACGCCTCTTTCGATTCCCTCGCCTAATTAAAATCTCCTGTTTCTTTAATCCTATCGTCGTTAACCTTTTTTTTATTTTATTTTTCCCAGCAAGCCTTGTTGCACGCAATTCTCTTCCTGCATCATCTACAAAGCCTATTAGCTATCCATCTCGAGTTTACTGATACGCCTTCAAGTCCCCAAGGCCAAGCAAGGCAGCCATGCTGTCCGACGAGGACGATCCGATGGAGAAGATCACCGATCTGTTGGCCTGGGGCAACGATGTTGAGATTGTAGAGCTCGACAAATCTGGCCACCCGCAGCAGCAATGGCTTCATGCCCACGACGGCCACATCCTGCCTGTGAGCTGAGTCTTTCTCTTTCTTTCTATCCTCCTCCCTCTCCCTAGATATTCTTTGTGCCAGCACAGCGTATTCTAACTGCTGAATCTAGATTCAACTCAAAAAGAAGTCCAACAGCCTGTTCTTTCGCTCTCTTCGAGAATGGCGCAAGGCAATGCTTGACTCGTTCCTCCCAGTCGGGTTCCCACACTCCGTCTCAAAGGATTACCTCGCATATCAAATGTTCGATTCTCTCCAGGCCTTCTTCTCAACCATCAGCTCGCTCCTTGCCAATCGTGCCCTGCTTCAAGGCCTGGGAGTAGGCGATGCTTCGTCTTCTGCTACCTTTGCCCTCCTTCTCACAATTATGAAGGATGCCATGTCTCGTATTGCCACCATCGTCTTCGCCCACCGCTTTGGACTTCGCATCGAGCCGGATGCCAAGCGCTACCGTTTTCTGGCAGATGTCTTCAACGATAGCGCCTTCTTCTTGGAGCTGTACAGTCCATATTTTGGCTCTTGGGGCAAAGTCGTCGCGCTCAGCACAGGTCAAGCGCTCAGGGCCTTATGTGGTGTTTCTGCCAGTGCAAGCAAAGCCGCTCTAAGTGTTCACTTTGCAAAACATGACAATCTCGCAGAGCTCAACGCAAAGGAAGCCAGCCAGGAGACAGCCGTGGGATTGATAGGTCTGCTTGTGGGAACGCTGGTTGTCAAGATGATTGAAGATCACTCCAGCGTCGTTATCTTGATGATTCTCCTCGTCATGGCCCATCTCGTGACGAATTATCTCGGCGTATGCAGTGTCTGTATGGCAACACTGAATCGCCAACGTGCTACAATCCTGTTTGAAGAATACCTTCGAAGCGGCACAATACTGTCTCCCGAGCAAGTTGCCAAAAGAGAAAACGTCATCTTTTGGAGTCCTATCATGCGCAATCTTCATGGAAAGAAAGTAGTTCATGTCGAATTTGCCGAGAGCTATGGCCACGCGATGAGCTGCTCCGATCCGCACGACAAGCTCATCATCGTCGACGGCATCAATCATACCCGGTTTATCTGTTCTCGTGTCCCTGGTCGCCTCACTCCCATCAAGCTCCTTCTGTGGGTGGGTGCCCAACCTATCGATGCTATCCGAGCATGGTTTGCCGCCATGGAAGTGGCATGGATGATGGGCGATAATGGCGCATACACACAGAAACTGGACCAAATATTCTGCGACGCCGGGGTCGAAGGCAATGGCAGGAAGTTTAGCATCGCGGGCAGGGACAGGGACAGTGACTTTGTGCCGCGCTTCAACCGTCCCGACCTCTGGGCCAAGTTGGCAGAGCAAGGCTGGGATTTTGAGACACAGGCTTTGGAGACAAAAGCCCCTGTGCGCTTGCAGATTCGGCGTACGCGTGCAAAGAATGCTTAAATGGTTTCTGCTGCTAGGAAAAGTGCGATGATGGACAAGCTGAAGGGAAGACCTTTTCTTGCTATTCGCCGGATATGGCTGGTACTGTATTATACAGATTAAACGAAGATAGGACCATAACGAAGAAACGACATGACGCATTGACGCAGATGAAAAAAAAAGATGTTGTAATCGTAAATCGTACAGGGAGATTGTATTGTACAAGGAGCCTTGTCAGCTCCATTTATATCTATCTAATGCAGCATGCTTTTTTTTTTTTATCCAGTCCCAAGAAAACGCCCATTTATACATCCCAAACATGAATCATTCCAAAGGAGAAGATATTACCTCACTTTTATAACATCTTGCTCTCCCTCACGCAAGCCCTGTCCACCTCAGAGCCCGCATCTTCACGCCCTCCCACGTATTCAGCTTTGGCCGCACATCGAGATAGAAACTCGGCCCGCCAGCAGTGCCGCCCGGTCGGCCGGCGTAGAAGTCGATCACGTAGTCGACGCGAGTGCCGCAGCGGTCGATGACCCAGTCGTGGCGATCAAAAGGCGCGGTATAGCCTAGGATGGTGTTGATGCGGGCGGTTGGGGTCATGCGCTCGCTTTTGTTGGCAAAGGAGGTGAGTTTGGGGCCGCCACATCTGGTTTTGGTAATTAAGTTAGATATTGTAGTTGCATTGTTGTGTAGATGTGGTAGAGAAGAGAGAGATGTCTTTTTGTGTTGAATGAAGTTTGGAAGTATAAATAAGAGACAAGTTACGCACTTTGATTCAATCAGATAGGGAGCTTCCCACTCCTTAATCTTCTCCCACGCTCGCTCGTTGACAGCATTGTGGATCGGCACCACCGTCTTCATGTCCACCTCGCGAGCGTCGTAGCCCTTGCGCTTCATGGCGTCGAAGAACATCTTCTCGGAGGGGTAGACCCAGTTCCCGGAAGCGTCTACGCCAGACTCAATCTCCGCATTGGAAGGGTTCGCAGAGGCGCCATGGTCGACGGGACATTCGTCTGCATTTCCTGAAAAGGATCGAGGGATGGAAGAAGTGACTCGCGCGCTGTCGAGGCCGGGATTTGAAGATATCGTGGGGTGGTTGGCGGGGAGCTTTGGCGTCTCGGCGGAGGGTGACCAGATGAGGGAGGAGAGTTTCTGGGTCCAGGACGATGGGGGAGCTGCGCTGGAGGAGTGGTCGACGGGGCACGTTGCCGGCTGGCTTTGGCTCTGCTTGGAGGCTTCGGCGGCGCGGGCGGCTTCGAGCCAGGCATCGCGGGTTTTGTGGTCGACGGGACAGGCCGATTCGGCGTTGTCTGCCATGCTGGGCTTTGTATCTGTGGAACGCGGACGGTGCGTTGTGTTTATATATTATTAAATGATGGGATTGATGTGTATACGATAGCACTATGCTGAGCTAAAAGCTGAGCTCCAATGTGTTGTAAAAGAGGTTTGTGGTTGGCCGAATCGGGATTCGCAGATTAATAATTTTTTCTGGATACCGGCGCAAAAAGATTATGGGACGTTTTTGCGATCGCGACATCGTGGTGGCTTGAGCCGAGAATTTGCCGGCAATTACCTACCAGGTACCTAGGTAGTACCTATGAGATTACAGGAACTGAATAGTACCCTACTACATAATAGCTATTGCAAGAATGGTATTATGATTGGCATTCTAAGGGAATGAAATTTGGGCCTTACAGTACATTATGAAAGTAAAAGGGTAAAAAAAAAAAAAGAAAAGAAAAGAGTAAATTGAATCATCATCAGAAATAATGTTCCAGGGTGAGGCTCCAGTAAAAGGTGACGATCATGCTACATTGGCCAGCTCTGGCGTCAACGTTGTCAAGCTGTGGAGGTCCTCATCATCATAGATGCCTTGATGCCAGTCTTGCGAGTCCATCTCGCCATCGCAGAAATGAAACTCTATTTTGAAGCTGTAGTCAATCACATATGCTATCGTGGTCCACATTTCGCCTTCGTTGTGGGTATCATGAAATCATACAGCGCTTCTCTGAAGTCATCCAGATGACATTGCTGAGTTTCTGGCAGATATAAATACTGCGGTTTTCACAGCCAAATTTCAATTTTGCATCAGTAAATCTATCAATTTCTTAAAAATTCACTCAAATATACAGAATCAGTCTCGAAAATGCCCAACTACGAAGAAATTTCACGTCGTGCCGAGGCCGACCTCAACACGTATCAGTCCAAGACTGGAAACGCTCGTCCCCTAGGCTTGGATGACGCCGGTGTCAATTCTTATGCGGAAAAAAAGTTTGACTCTGCCGGAGTTACCTACGGGGATGATTTGAGCACAAACAGAGGCTACAACAAGCGCATCCCTCCGAGTGAGGGAGGAGATCTTGATGCTCGCGGAAGGTGAGTCAGCTCTCTCCCATCTACCCTAATGTTAACTTGACTGTGTTGATGCCAGTGAGAGCAAAATGCTAATACAGGTGGTTTCACAAACAGACAAGCTACAGGAAATCTTTACGAAGGTCAAGGAGGACCGGACGATAAGATTGCTGAATCATACCGTCAGCAAGGCGGCCAAAATGACATCGATATTGTAGACGCACGAGTGTCCGACACTGGGGGTCTTGGCAGCGCCAACGACATTGCGACTCAGGGAAAGATTGCTTCCAAGGCAAACGTAGGAAGAAACCCTCCGGGAGCTGGAGGATCGCAATTCAAGGGCAGCGAGTATTACACTCCTGAGAGCGTGCCTGATAGTATCTCTGCGGAGGGATGGGTAGCACCAGAGAGTGTGACTGAGGCGAGTCGGGAGACGGAAGGGTATTCGCAGCGATGAATGGATAAACTTGTGTAAAAGAAAAAAAAAAGAATAATTGAATGAATGAATATGAATTTTACAGCTATTTCCTCTCCAAGTTGTCGCATCATAAGGTGGAAATGGGCGTGTAAGTGCCAGAGGCTAGACCGTAGTACTAGTACCAAATACCTGGCTGCGTCATAGTGTCTGTCACTCCTTATCGCCATCCTTATCGCTAGCCAGTACTGTCTACATTATGTAGCGTGACCTATCTCAGCCACTGACTCTAAGCATCATCTCCATCCTCCCAAGCTTATCCAGAGCTCACCAGCCCCATCATGCTCCTTTCCTTATGATGATTCACTACTTGTGCTTGATTCTTTAGAATGTCTAGTCGACCCCCATCCGCGTCTGGGCTTCTTCCCATGCCGGGATCTCCGTCGTCGTCATGGGCAATGTACGGCTCTCGGCTTCGGAGCTTGGTGAAGCATCCCAACATGAGAGTCGTGGTTGCTTTCTGGCTTCTAGGTGCGCATTCTGACCCAGTTACTGGCCATATAAATTCAGTGCGACATGCGCTGGGCTAACCGTTCGTCTTGTCTTTGCGCGCGATAGGCCTAATCAACAATGTGCTCTACGTAATCATCCTCTCCGCTGCCCAAGACCTCGTCGGCTCGCTGCCGAAAGGTGTCGTTCTCCTCGCCGATGTCGTTCCCTCGTTCTTCACGAAGCTCATCGCTCCATACTTTATTCACCGCGTGCCATATCCAATACGAGTCCTAATCTTCATCGCACTATCCGCCGGCGGCATGCTGATGATTGCGCTTACTCCTCCATCCAAGTCGGTACCCGTCAAGATGGTGGGCGTTGTCTTGGCCAGCCTGAGTAGCGGCGGCGGGGAGCTTAGTTTCTTGGGGCTGTCCCATTACTACGGACATGCGAGCTTGGCGGGATGGGGATCTGGCACGGGCGCGGCAGGCCTCGTCGGTGCTGGTCTTTACGTGCTGTTGACGGACTGGTGGGGATTCACTGTCCAACAGAGCTTGCTCTTCTCTGCGTGCCTACCCGCCATCATGTTCATCAGCTTCTTCTTCGTCCTCCCGCTAGAACAGCTACGCCAAGGCAGTACGCTAAAAGAATATGATGCTGTTCCCGGAGGGGACGTAGAAGACGAAGTGGATGGGGAGCCGAGGGAGCAGGAACTGGCAGCTAGCACTTCTGCCCTGCTTGCGCCAGAGCCTTCCGTTCTGTCGGCGAACACTGCCTACGCGATGAGCAAGGGCGATGGAAACTCGCTCAATAATAACTTGCGGAGAGCCAAGTCGCTGGTGATACCGTACATGGCTCCTCTGTTTATGGTATACGTCGCCGAGTACACGATCAACCAGGGCGTCTCTCCGACACTGCTCTTCCCACTCGAATCGTCACCGTTCAGCGAGTACCGCGAGTTCTATCCGTTTTATGGATTTCTATACCAGCTCGGCGTCTTCATCTCGCGATCCTCTACGGCTTTCGTCCGTATCCACCACTTATACGTTCCGTCTCTGCTTCAAGTGGGAAATCTCATCCTGCTGACACTGCATGCCATGTTTTTCTTCATCCCCTCCGTCTACATTGTGTTCATCATCATCTTTTGGGAAGGCCTCCTAGGCGGCGCCGTATACGTGAACTGCTTTGCTGAAATCATGGAGAAAGTGCCAGCGGAAGAGCGAGAGTTTAGTCTGAGCGCTACGACAGTGAGCGATAGCGGGGGCATATGCATCGCGGGATTGATTAGCATCTTGATGGAGACGAGTCTCTGCGAGTACCAGGTCTCGCATGGGCGGGATTGGTGCCAGAGGATTGGACCTGCGCACAACTGAGGAATATAGAGGCAAATAGTTGAGAGAGCAGACATCAAATGGAGTAGCGTGAATGGTTTAGTGGTAAAATTCTCCGTTGCCATCCGCAACGTCGGGGAGCCCTGGGTTCGATTCCCAGTTCACGCATTCGATTTTCTTTTTTGGCTGCTCTTTGTAAGACGCAGCGAAACGAATATCGCCTAGAGCATCACTCTTTTTTACTCGCTACTGAAAGTTAGGATACGCTCTGGACTGTGTACTCTATGCATCGTACTGTCCACTATGAAAGAAGATATATTTAGCAGCAAGCGCCAATGGATTTAGTATTACGCAAATGCCGAAAGCAGAATTAGTTGACATTGTTAAACTTTTTGACTCTTCAAATGGTGGCGTTCAAAGTTCTCACGCTCGATACGGTTGCTGATGGCCTTTTCCTCTTTTGGGACATACTACACAGTCTTGTCGCCAGATGCCTGTCGCGTGAGGGGACAAGAAACGATTATATTTGCGTCTTGAGTTTTAGTCAATCTTATGGGAGGGTTGTATAGTTTGTGTAAGTAGGCAGACTATGTGCCAGGTAATTGTTGGTTGATTTAATGCTGGCTTTTCCAGTAGTTTACCTGCCTGTACTATGAAGTATGTGTAAGTGATAGGTACTATACCTGTGTTGTCTAATTTTTTGGTCCTGACCTCAATCAGGCTCACCAAGGTCATTGGTATCCATAGATTCTGACTTTCATTTTTGCCATTGCGACAGTAATCCCATTCGAGTTTGTATTTTCTGTCTCTCTACATTGTATTCAGGCAGAATTATTGTACTACGACTTTCAGTGGGGTTCGCGTTAAAAACCATCATTTTTGGGAGTGCCTATTATGTACCTACGTAATTTCCCATCAACTTGATGCTACCAACAGCAGCATCGAATCACAGAGCCCGAGTATACTAAGGAAAGGAAGAAAGGAAGAAAAAGGCAGAGGATTCCTTGCTCTACTGGAAATCACGACATCAAATCCGGCAGTGTTGATCGGCCCTTGGCGCTAGATGGCTTTCGGCATTGAAGCACAGACGCGCTGAGCCCAGCGAGTGACGATGCGGTACAAGGGCCCAAGTCCTGAAGCAGCATTCGATATTGCAGGGCACACGAAGCCCGAAGCCGGAAGAGGAGCTTGAAGCGGCGATCTGGGAGGATGGATGGATGGGCGGATGTCGAATTGCTGCAGACTGGGCCGTTGGTCAATACGAGCAATGCCTCTTGGCGCATGCGATGATTGGCTGTTGATGGCCGCCAAAGGATTACTTTCTGCATTCTTACTACAGTATGTACATATCGAGGTAAACCATCGATTACCTTCTCTTGGTAACGCAGCTGACAGCCGATTTTAGCATGATTTTCTCGATCCTCAGGTACAAATACGCTCCACGGCTGTTTACAGCAGCAGACGGCAGCATACGTACGCACATCCGGCACACAGCTGAAACGATAATTGCCCCTTGCATCCGTCACTCCAGCTCCTCTTCTTATCTTCTTACTCATAGCACTAAACAACCCCCGCTTGGCCATCTACTACTACTACCGGCAAAAAAAAAAAAAAAGTCAAAAGCAATAAAATCGTTAGCGGCCACCAATTGAAGTGCCCCCCCCCCTTGCCTTAGAGCCGCGACCATCGCTACCAGCTAGCGACTCACAGGCCCCAAACGTCGCTGCAAATGCGCCGCGCCCCATCATCGCCAAGGCGCCAAGGCTGGTGTCTGGTGCCAGCTGTTAGCAGGTCCCCAGCGCTAGGATGCCGTGCCGAGCCCCTTTTCCAGGCCTGAGCGTTTCGCCTGTGCCGGTTGATTTGCCCGTCTGCATCCTCTCGCCTGGTCTTGTCTGTGTGCTGCTTCGCCACGCTTTCGTCGTCCAACCCTCAGCTCGAGTCGCTGGCTCTCTCTCGTTACTCGTCTTTTCTCTCCTCTCCTCTGTCTCCTGTTTTTTGTTGTTATTGCCCTTTTCTGTTCTCTTCTCCTTCTTTTCTTGCCAATCGCTTGTCCTCCGCCTCCTTCGTTTCTGCCGTCTGGTGGACTCGCGGATCGTCGTTCGCTACCAACGCCCGGGCTCCACTCTCTTCATCCTTCTTTTCCGACCACTTCTTTTGCGCCGCGACACAGGCACAGCGAGCCTCGTCTCCCCTCCTTGTAGCACCGCTTCGTCTCGCCAGAGCATGCAGCGATAATGTTCGTCGGCGGCGTGCGATCCTCCAAGCTGTCGGCCCTGCTGGCCGGCACAATCATCTTCATCATCGTCTTTGCCGGCCTGGCCTGGAACCAGATGGACTCCATCGAGCTGCCCAACAGGTACGTCCCTCCAGATCGCCTCGTACAGATCGATCGCATCGTGTTCCCTGCCCGCAGACCACGAGGCTGACCCAGCTTGTCGCCTGCAGAACGCAGCCAAACCAAGAGTCCGCGCCCTTGAAGCCCGGCCAGCCCTCATCGCCATCACCGCCCACTGAGCCTGTCAAGCCGCAGACCAGCTTCCGCGATGTGTGGTTCGAGGTGCACAAGCCTTCCATCAAGCCTGACGCACCATTCTACCAGCCCTTTGGCGCCTTCAAGTTCGAGCAAAAGCACCAGGTCCACTTCCCAGAGCCCTTGGGCGAGGACCTCTGCATCATTGATCTCGACAACCGGCCCTTTGATGTCGCCGGCCAGGTCTTTGGGCCCACTGTTATGAGCTGGGACAAGGATGCTGAAAAGGTCCACGGCCTGTCTGTTGGCGTGCTCAACCACTGGCTCTATGGTATGTTGCGCACTGCTACCACTGCTGTGGCAACATTGACAGAACAGTTGAACTAACCTCATCATCTGCAGCTAAAATCCACGGCTACAAATACTACTTCGTCGCCATCGAGAAGCCCGAGGACCGTCGTGCTTCGTGGAAAAAGGCCCCGGTCATCTCCACCATCCTCAAGAAGCACAAGACCTGCCTGTACCTCGATTCCGACGCCATCTTCCAGAACCTCGACCTTCCTTTCGAGTGGCTTTTGAACTACTGGGACATTAGCCCCACCAACAACTCTCTCGCCCTGGCCGTTGACCCTGACCGCGAGTACAACAAGGACAAGTTTGGAAAGCTCATGCTCAACACCGGATTCATCATCACGCAGAACAACGCCAAGACCTACGAGATTATGGACGCCTGGGCGGGATGTCCCGAGGAGAACGGCAAGCACCCCGAATGCGTCGAGTTCCGCACAAACTCTCCCGGCCGGCCTACTGACCAGGGCGGTTTCGGCACCTTTATCCGATACGATTATCCCGACGACATCAAGCAGCTCGCCTGCACCGACGCCAACGGTTTCCCTAACAGCGATTCCGAGTGTGAGGGCCGCTTCATCCGCCACCTGTGGACCGGAAAGGACAGCTGGATCAAGATCTTTGTCGGCCAGCAGGTTCCTGGCGCCTACCTCGAAATGTTCCACAAGGAGTTCCTTGAGGCAAAGCATGAATTTTACATTACCGAGAAGGATCTCATGGCCAAGGCAGCAGCCGAAGAGGCCAAGGTCCCATCTGAGGCGAGGCCATAAATGGTTTATACGCTATCGTTTTTGAGACGGATCCTTCATAACGAAACGACACGACAGGACTGAGAAAATACATCTATATCGGCATATAACAAATGCACTTATAATACGGCCAGCCATTTCTACTAGGCCATTTTTCAAATCGTGTTTCTTGGCTTTCTTAACTGTGTCTTAATTTTTTTCTTCTCTTTTTTCCATATACGATATGTAAGCATTAAAGACGCAAAGAAAAAAGACTCGTCATTTTTTTTTTCTTAAAGAGAGGGCGGTGGAATGGAAACTTTCAAACAGGAAACGCGATTTGTATATATAAAGAAGGACGTTATTTCTTGGGATCTCTTTTTTTTTTTTCAGCTTAAGAAAGCTCTCTGGGGCGTGGATAAATAGCGAATGGTGATATACCTTGCATCATAACTGAGTGAATGGACGGCAGATGGTTAATATGCTGCTGAAATAAATATTTACAATGACTGGAGGATGGATGCTTGTCTGTTATATGTGCATAGCCAATGGTGTATTGTGTTCTATGAGCTGAAGCATGTGTGCCTGCGTATAAGATAGTTTTCCATGTTTTGTGTGAGCGGTATGGCTCACACGAAACGTCGACCTCGGGGGGGAATCCTTAGATGAGCCATCAAAAAGGCGTCCCATCTGATTATGAGGCAACATTCTATTTCTGGCTGTGATGTGAGGCTGTGCCGTGTTGTTTGCGTGAGAGTTGAAAAGGCAAAGTTGTCGGGTGAAGTGCCCACATGATCACTTTCAAGCAGCACGAAAATAACCCATCTTGCAAGAAGAGGCAATCTGGTGGACATGCAGATGGACATTGATATGATCATTTCATCATCATTTTGCTACAGAAAAGATGGTGGTGCATGAGTTAAAGCCGTTAAGTCTCTATCCAGCCTCGTAAATTCTCACGCTAATCGAGAGAAGACGCGAGGAAAAAAAAAGGAGAAGAAGGGAATAAAAAAAAAAACATCATCCTCACCGCCTTTAAAACTATGTCGATTTTCTGTGTAATTTTATCCTGCGAGGACCCGGTTTCTGTGACACGGCGATTGAGTTGGACAGGAGGCCGCGCATGAGGCTTATTGAAAACATGCAGCAAGGTTGGTGCTACGGGGGTGTTTTGAGTCACTCACGACAATGGAGGGCTGTTTTTGAGAAAAAAAGGTAAAAAGAAATCAGAGAGAGAGAGAGAACTATAGAATATAAATCAAGAATTGCCGTCATAGGAAAAGGCACATTTGGCCGTCGTTGATTGCCTGTGTTTTTTTTACAAGTATCCCAGCATCCATATCCTCGCTCGAGCAAGTCTCTTCTCCCCCCCTTTCCGCTTACACACACTACCTCGTCCGCACAAAGCCTCTTTGAGCGCCCACCACCGCAGCAGCAGCATCTTCTTCACGTTCGTAGCCCTCCTTCTCCTCGTCGTTGCCGCAGCCGCAAGTCGGCCGGCCCGTTTCCCGTTCCTCCATCCCAGTCTTGCCACGGCCGTCTCGTCAGAAGTCTCCACTGCACCGCCTGATTTCTCGTCCGCTGCTGCTCTGTTTGCCGCTTCGAGACGGCAGGCCTCGCAGCATCTGTGCGTGTAGACCTCGTCGGGGGCGCGCTCGTACTGGCCGTTGCGGCAGGATAGTCCGTGGTGGTGGATTCGCCAGTGGGAGAGGGAGCCGTTCCAGCAGGGGACGCGGTTGCGGCGGCGGTTGAAGGTGAGGAGGCAGGAGGAGCAGCGGTTCCAGGACTGGAAGTGGACGCACATTGCGTTTTGATTTTGTGTGTGGATGAGTTTGGTATATATATATATATATGTGTGTGTGTGTGTGTGCGCGTGTGTTGATGGCTTGTTTGTGTGGAATATGGCTTCGTTGACTTGGGCAGATGGGGATATAAAAAGCTATAGTTGGGTCTGCGCTTGTGAGTGAATAGTGTCGTTCATAAAGTTCTTTGTTTTCTTTGTTTTACGTTTTCGATCCGAGCACATAGATAGGGTGAAGAAAGGATTGGTTATCTGCTGGATGGCCCTCTTTCTCCCAAAGAAAACCGAGAGTGTAGGCCGGTGAGGCAGCCCCTATCTATATTTGAATCTGCTCGACAGATACGGTGTCATGGATACAGCGCCTTTTTTTTTTTTTTTTTTTTTTTTATATCGTATGTGTTACAAATAGTCTCGTTTGAGTGGGAGGACGTGACCGAGCCAATTTTCCCCCTTCCCCCTTTGTGAAATCGTGCTTTGCATCATCGGTTCGTGGCTAGACGCTCGGACGATCATATGGGTCAAATAAAGTTGTTTGCTATTTCCCTAGTACTGCCTTTTGTAGATGGGCTTGTGGGAGGTGAAACACGGGGTTCTCAGCAGTTGCCGCAAGGGTCTTTTTTTCTCTCTCTTTGTTCTGTGGCTTTGCTTTTGGAGGCGGAGTCCCGATGAGTCTGAATTGGAGGATGGCGTGTTGCTTGTTATAGCTATTTTTATCTTTCTGTGTAAGTCTAGATATCTTCAAGTATGGTGCCATGCACAATCACAATCACGCATACGATTCGCTGTTCAATTTTATTTTCCTAGGCAAGGCTTCTCTCTTTTTCTCTCTCCCTCTCTCCTGTTTCTTATTCGCCTAATGTACGTCCGCGTACAGGCTCGCAGACCCCCCCCCCTGACATTCATCTCAGAGCATCATCTGTGGTAGCACCAGCATGTCGTTACATGCAACTGGGACGCATACATATATACGGTAACACGAGTGACAGCTCATCAATGGGCGGTGCATCTGGCGGTGAAGCTCTCCCGACTCGGCATCGTTGCGCACAGAATTTGCTGCTGCTGCTGCTGCTGCTCATGGCAGCGGGGGTGTGTCGTGTCGTTGCTGGAAAAGAATCTCCTCTCTCTCCTTCACATCAACACTCCAAATCTGCCCACACAACCATATTATCTGGTGGATCAGGCATCTCTTTAAAAAACTTTGCAACCTCAGCATCGTCATACCTCATGCTGAAATGCGTCAAGATAAACGTCGTCCGCGGCCACTTGCGGATGATGGGCTCCAGGTCGCTCCACAGCGTGTGCTTCGTCTTCTCCGCCTGCGCCCGATGCTCCTCGTACAAGAAGCTGCACTCGGTAATCACCACGGGGATGCCCTCCTGCAGCCACGCCGGCTCCTCAGCCAGCGTCTGGGCCGTGGTGTCGCCCATAAAGGCGAAGATGGGAGCCGTGTGAGGCGCCGTGAGCTCCTCGCCGGCCTTGCGCTTGGCCTGCAGCTCGGGGCCCGACAGAGCGGCGAACTCGGGCTTGAGGCGCTGCGTGGTCTTGCTGAAGACGTAGCCCAGGCAGGGCACCTGGTGATGGCAGCGGAAGGCCGTGGCGGAGACCCCCGGGGCGCGCCGCAGAGGCACCGAGTCGCCGGGCCGCAGCGCGTGCGTCCGGTGCGTCCCGAGAAAGGCCGTGGCCGACGGCGTCCGGCCCAGCTGCTCGCTGCGCGCAACGACGGCGGCGTCCACGGGCAGGCCACAGGCCGCGGCGTCCTCGGCGCCAATCTCGCCGCCGCGGTTCAGCATCGTCTTGGCCAGCACAAAGTCGTCGAGGGCGGCGCGCATCTCGGCCGGGCAGAAGATGTCCGGCGGGTCGTCGCGCTTGACAAAGGCCGGCGCCAGCAGCGTGTGGTCGCTGTGGCCGTGCGTCAGGAAGATGTGCTTGGGGCGCTGGTTGTTGACCACCAGGCCGGCGTCCAGCAGCAGGTTGAGCGACGGGAGCACAAACGACGTGTGCCAGGCGGCGCGGGACCGGCCGGTCAGCACGAGCTGGCTGTGCGGCTTGGGGAATCGCCATTCGAGCACGCTGGACCGCGGGGACTGCGGCAGGGGGGCGGCGAACCGCGGCGTGGACGGGCCGGCCATGGGTTGGATGCAGAGAGACTCTTTGTTTGTTGCGTGGGAATGGCGGTAAGTGATGGCGATGGTGATGGTGCTTTGTGGTCTTTTGTCAGTGCCGGTCTTGGTGTTGAGCATGTTCTGCTGCCGCCGCTTTAGCAAATTTTAGTTGTGTTTTGCGTGAAGAGTTGTTCGCTTTCGCCACTTTTTCTTATATTGAAACACACTGCCAAATGGAGCCACAAAGCAATCCGGTACTGAAGGGATCAATGTTGGACAAACGGTGGAATAATCTTGTATTTTCTTTTAGGACACATGTTTTGTGTGTTTACTGTGTAGAGACTGTTGAATTGATACGTTCTCTTCTTCAACTACTTGCCAAATGGTACATCAATGCACTGTTTCCTCGTGCTTGTTTTCACGACTTCCCTTCCTGCAAACGGGAATAACCACTTTGCAGGACCCACGAAACATTTTCCAATTATTAATACCCCTATTTTTAGCTCGAATTCTTACTTGTCTCTTTTTCTTTTCAGTTGGATATATCATGCTTTTGTCATGATATATGTAGAAGTCGTATAATTGTAGGGAAACAAAGTATACTAAGGACTATGCTGAGGGAGAAAACATCTCTGTGATAATCTTTGCATCCGACGCAAAAAGATACTTCCTACTGATCGATTTACGAGTTACATAGTGACTTGTAAGCGGCAAAGCTCTGAACTTTGGTTCCGAATATACCCATCTCTGCAGTCGCAAATGAGGCTATATCATCCGCTGAAGTTGAGGATCTTTGATCATTCGACTCCGTAGAGAAGTACAGCATGTCCATATTTATCGAGTCGGCAGCGAGGGCCATTGGCTTAAGCTGCGTCCTGACGTAGTCCACTGGGCTCTCCCATTGCACATGGACTCCCGGGATTTTGGCGCGGATTGCCTGCGCGGTTACAATATCATGTATTACGAGGCCTTATTGCCAAACTTATTAAAACCAGTCATAATGCATAGTTAGTTATTTGATGTCATAATCCACATGTTAAACAATGGACTTATCGTCTCCTCTAATATCGCTTTTCACAAAGCAGAACTAATAATATCGAAAATATTCAACACCAGAGCTGCTTTGGTAATAAGCTTTGTATACACTACTAATATAGTACATGCACCGCTGCAACATATCATCAAGGCTATCTCGGCACATTTCTATCACAATGTACCTAGGGACCCCGTGTTCTGGATGAATTGATTTAGGGTTTCTCTACCTCCTGGAGCCAATATCGGTAAGAAAACGTTGGTGTCCAGAAACGTTCCCACATGAAGCCTACTTCGGGATTTGAAACATTGGCCTCGACAAATCGCTCCAAGGCACGTTCATATACTTCTCGTGGATGACTTTTAATTGTATCTCGTTGAACTGCAAAAGTACCACCATGTGCGGCTCGAATAGCTGGCGGGTGCTTCTCTTCTAACACAAATTTCCACAATTCTGCTGGTGTATACGGCGCAAAGACAAGGGAGCTTAGCTCGCTTGGTGTTATCCAGATGCTTTCTTTTGGATCAGTCCAGTTAATCTTGGCCCAATCATCTACATCGTGGAAAAGACTGGAATCAAAAGGATTGACTTCGCCGGGTTTGACTCGAAGCGCCACATCCACCATTTTGCTCGTAGTATTGACAATGGACCCAATCAGATCAAATGGGTCTGCCTGAGAGAAGACCATGTAGTCTTCTAGAGAATTCCAATTGTTGACAATGTGGTACAAGTGCGTATGTCCCTCTCGGCCGATGTTGGGTAGCTCAACGTAGGAGCGAAAAGCGTCGTGGTTAACTGTGTCGTTGGATTGTGGGATATGACCCTTGTCATATACATAGGAATACCTGGCTACCGGGAGCCAGGGTGCGAGGTCTTCTTGAAAGCGAGCTACAACAACACCTATGCTTGTGGTCGATACAGGCCACTGGGGCATCGTTGCCGTTGATAGAAATGGACTCATAGTAGCAGTACGTAAGGAATATGAATATTGCCAAATAGGTTTGCAGAAAGGGACAAAAAACTGAGAGTGAACTACGTTTGGACAGATAAGGCGAACTTTGTTAGACTTTTTATATGAACGCAGTCAGCATAGGAAAACCTTGAATAGGAGAGAAACTCGAATCCGCTGAAAGGTCAGCACTAAAAGCTTCCCCCACCTGTCAGGATATCTACTTAAGCCCCTATAGAAGAACATGAATTTTTATAATTGGTGTAAATGTTTCATGCTGGTAAGAAATACATGAATTTTGCATCATAGAGTATTGAACACCGTGCTTTTAGGAAGATTGATTCAGAAGAGAAGGCCCCTGAGCCATACTACCGCATATATATAGACTCAGCTATCTAAATTTAATAATACATGAAAAAAAAAAAAAAAACCATCAACCATTTTATCCATGAAGAAATAAATGATAGCCTAAGCTAAACAAATAGCATCCCGATCTAATTACACTCCATGTCGTTAAACAATCTGAACGTAGCAAAACAAAGCGAGAGAAAACAATCATCTACGGCTGTCACGTCTTCGCTGGCCATGGCGTTTGTAATGTCATTGCTATAAGTTAAAGAATGATCTGACCAACATAGCTATTACAGATAGGAAAAGGAGCTTAACATACCATAGACAAGAGACATTTCCGTCTAGCTAGTATCTTCTGTTTTCCGATATAAGACGAGTATGCTGCGGAGATGGATAATCCACCATAATTAGCATCATGTCAGAAATTAACGTCGAAAAGCCGCTAAAGAAAAGTTGTCACAGTAATCTAGATTTTCCCCTTATCAATCAATTCCGTAGATAATTACGTCGCTTACTAAAAGTGAAATAGTTATAGAGAGGATACAATATATACCCTCTATAGCCAAATTGTATGAACATGGCTGTGGCAAGTTGACATTTCCTCCTATCCATTTTCCGAACATTTATGCATCTAAACATACCAAAAGTTCATTGATAGACTCTGCTGTATATATAGCATCAAAGCTATAGATTTTTGTAAGCTGATATGATATGTAGCGTCATACTGATATCAGCAGAACCACTTTTCGTAATAACCTCAGAAGCCTTCAGTTCTACTACATCTCATCACGTTTCCTCCGTCTAGAATATTACTCTTCGATTTCTATATAGGGAAGATTTCATGGTCATCTCAATAGCAGCACTTGTAGCTTTTCCTTTTCTCTACATCTTCTGGAATAATAGACTCTGAAAATGAGACATTAGTCTCCAATTATATCTCTTCCTTTAGCTATTTGCCGTTTTGCAAAATTTCTCTATTTTCATCTTTTCGGCCTCTCCCGCGTATACTTATTGCTGCTTAATGATTCCACATTGGAATCTCAGAGTATCAATTCACGCCAGGCAGCTATTATGAGCAGAAACCGTGTAACACTTCAAAAGAAAATAAATGCCACATCACTGAGGCTCCATCAGCCGTTTTATTCGTGAGCCAGTGGCAATTACTCGTGTCGACAAGACCTGCTCCTCATTTGGACGTTTTGCACATATTTTCTTCAAATTCTGTTGAGTTTTTCCATTAATTATTCCACATTATAGACTAAATAGAACGCCATACAGCCAGCTTCCTGCTGCTTCCGAATTTTAATGCACATCGTATAATCGCCATATTCTCCGCAGATTTATCTCCGCAATTGTCAACGCCAGATCTTTTAGTACGTGATAAACGCCGAATGGCGGCCCCGAGGCTCCACTATCCGCTCGCACCCGCTCTCATCCGCTCTTGCTAGACCCGCTAAGACAGGCCATTGCGGAGGAATACAGTTAAATGGCTTCATGAAAAAGAACATTTATTGAACAAAAGAGGCTAAATGATACCTTTTTCGAAGTTGAGTCATACCGAGATCAGAAAATTTGAGATGATCTAGTGATTGCAAGACAGAGACTACCCGGAGTGGCTTGATCATTCAAGTATAAAGATGGAACTTCCTGCTCTCAAGAGATGGTATTCCAACCACTCTCTTTACCGGATACTTCAGTCTCATTTTCACATCATCTACACCAGAATCGCATCGAACAAATAAATACAATTTAACAATAATGGCTCCTCAAACTTGGCTCATCACTGGCGCCTCATCTGGCCTTGGCCTCCATCTCGCAATTGTCGCTGCGAAGCAAGGCAACAAGGTCGTTGCCACAACACGTTCACCTAAGAAAGCTCAGCAAGTTCAAGATACAAATATCAACTTCGTCTACCTTGATCAGAATGAACCTCTTGACAAGATAAAGGAAGATATGAACCTCATTATCTCCACTCATGGACCAATCGATGTTGCCGTTAACTGTGCGGCTTACGTCCAAATGGGTGTTCTTGAAGATCTGACTCCTGAAGATACATATCAACAATTTCAAACGAATGTTTTTGGAGCCCTCAACGTATATCGCGCCATTCTACCTCACATGAGGAGCAGAAGATCTGGAACTCTGGTAACCATCGGGTCAATGGCAGCATGGTTTGCCCATCCAGCCGCGAGCATATACAACGCCTCCAAAGCAGCTCTACGGCTACTCAGCCTTGGTCTCGCCGGCGAAGTTCGACCTCTTGGCATCAAACACTTGCTTGTCGAACCTGGCCGGTTCCGTACAGAATTGTTGAAGCAGGATGGGGATTTTAGAACATCAAGTGGGAGCGGCGGCATCGCCGATTACCGAGAGCTAAGCGAAGCAAACAAGCGTGATATTGCTTTTGAAAGCGACAAACAGCGTGGAGACCCGGTTAAAGGTGCCCAGGTTATCTATGACGTGGTTACTTCTAGCGGCATGGCTAAAGATAAAGAAATGCCTTCGTTCTTGCCTCTGGGTGCTGATGCGATCGAAGACATTACTGCTGCCGCAACCTCAGCGATTGATGTGTGTAAGGAGTGGAAAGACATTGCTAGCTCTACAGATTATTAGAAAGTCTTGTCCTTTGGTGCTGAAGCTGTCGAGGGTATTTTATTGCTTACATATTTATAGATAATGCATCACTTATTGTTTTGCGTATAAAACTTTTGCATTCTTTTTTAAATATTAACTTCTATATTTTATAACTATATTGTGTAAATCGCTTATAAGCAGTATTTATGAGCAGCATTAACACATATTGACTTCAGCAGTATTGGTGGTTCTTTTATGAACAAAATAAAGTAAAATCTAACGCACACTTGTCACACATGGCCATGTCGCACATTCTTGAACAATTGTTACACTCTTTTCACCGTCGCTGTAGTTGTTGCCACTGTTATCATCAGCCTCTCGCGTCTCCTGGGACCCGATATAATCTTGTGTTGAGGCGCTGAGGGAACGTTGCCACTGAATCCTGGATGTCTGGGATTTCTAACTCCTCTGACAAAATTAGTGTTCTTCATTTGCGCTTGACTAGCTGTTGCGCGAATTAATGTCGGCTTAATACTCAAGGAAGAAGCGAGGCGGGTTGAATATGATGTAGGAGAAGTACATCTTTATTGACACTGTTGAATGAGGCTCGAAATATTGCTCATTAGCTTCTTTAAACCTTGTGAATAAAATGCACCAAGTACATCGGGTGTATCAAGACATTAATGAGTCCGAGGTTTGATGAGCGAATGGCGGCTACTTCGTTGAGTATGGTTGGTGTCAAAGTGGTCTTTAGATTCATTAGCGATAGCTCGGCGATCAAGCTCTATCATGCGTAGAAATATATCGCTAGTTCTATGGATTAATAGAAAGAGAATGATCATGAAAATGAATCTAGAATGAAGAGCTAGTTATTCTAGTCAATAGACTAATATGACCACTTATATATATATATATATATGTGTGTGTGTGTGTGTGTGTGTGTGTGTGTGTGTGTGTTTTGTCATAATCCATGTATTATAATCGTCTTTAACTCGCTTTCAATTTGCATGCCGCCACCATTACCCGAAAGACCATCTTCTTAGCTGTAAGGAGGATTTGCCGTATTTTGAATGCTTTTATCCAACCATATCGGCCCCACTCTACACCATAACGTCTCAAGAAATAAAGCATATTCGGCGCCAGTTCAACCACTTATTCTCACCACTAATTCTATCAATGATGAAATAGCATTCTTTAATAGAGAGAAAGAATACCAAAGCGTTTTTGTCTATTCGCAGGCTTATCCTCAGACTACAATCTCTGTTTCACTTTGACCCCTCTTGGGTGCTGGCAATCGCTTCGTACTACTATTATCAAGATGGATATATTGCGATAGGAACAGCCTTTCGATGTCCTAAATAGCCCTCTTTTCAGACTCTTCATAAGGCTATGTTAAAAATTGTACATCATTTTAATTCATGACCGGCATGCTTTGTAAGCTCGGAAGGAGTACGGAAGCTCTCGATGACTAGAGGGAACTTGCACTGTCGTGCTAAATCACCCCGCATATTGAAGTCCCTTCTCCGCGTAATTGAATCCAACATCATCCCCATTTTACCTCGCTGTATTTTCAAATTCCGTTTACCGCCCTATAGACACTCAATATGACTCAAGACGAAAAGTTGTTGCTTCAAAATGCTCGTCCATATCCGTTTTCTTGCCCTACTGCAACCACGGCCTTTATTATAATCGATATGCAGAGAGACTTCTTAGATCCAAATGGCTTCGGGTCAATTGTTTGCGAAAATCCTGCTACCTTCTCATTTGTTCGCAAAATTGTTCCAAATGTTCAGAGAGCTCTCGAAGCAGCTCGAGCTATTGGGATGCATATAATTTTCACCAGAGAAGGCCACCTTCCGAATCTCTCCGACCTACCAGCTGCGAAGAAGTTAAGACAAACAAGAGGACCTAACGGCAGTCAATCAATGGGTATTGGTGATGAGGGCCCCATGGGAAGGCTTCTAGTGAGAGGCGAGAAAGGCCACGATGTTATTGACGAACTAAAGCCATATGCTGGGGAACCAATCATAGATAAGCCTGGGAAAGGGAGTTTTTGGAGCACAGAATTTCACCGATTGTTGTTAGCTAGAGGTATCACGCACTTGATCTTTGCTGGAGTCACGACCGAGTAAGTTTCAAGCGAACCATAATGGCAAAACATGCGACTGACTGCGTCTGCAGGTGTTGCGTAACGAGTACCTTGAGAGAGTGCAACGACAGAGGTTATGAATGTTGCGTTCTATCAGACTGTACGGCTGGATTTAATGAGCGAATGGCGGCCACTTCCTTGGATATTGTTTGCTGCCAAAATGGCCTTTTCGGATACGTTGGCCATAGTTCAGAATTTGTTACGGAAACAGAGCAAATCCGCCAGCTAATTCCATCTTCGACTGTGAATGGCCTTAACTCTCCAATGCTTCCTTCTATCGATCAGCTCAAGAGTCTTTACAGAGATGGCCGTATCACGCCACATGCAGTTATAAAATCTGTCTTTGATCGCATATCGAAATACGAAGATGTCAATCCAGCTGTTTGGATCTCTAAGCAGTCTCAAGAGGATGTAGTAGCAGCTGCTGAAAAGTTATGCACAACATATGCCGGAAGGCCTCTCCCTCCTCTTTTTGGCATCCCGTTTGCGACAAAGGACAACATTGATGTTGAAGGAGTGGTTACTACAGCAGCATGCGAAAGCTATGCGTATACAGCTACTTCTACAGCTCCATCAATTCAACATCTACTCGATGCGGGGGCGCTGTATATAGGGAAATTGAACCTTGAACAGCTTGCGACTGGCTTAGTGGGATGCCGCTCGCCCTACGGTGCTCTTCACTGCTTCCATAGCAAAAGTCATGTCCCGGGTGGCTCATCTTCCGGATCTGCAGTCGCCGTCGCTGCTGGACTTGTTTCCTTTGCTATTGGAACTGATACAGCTGGGAGCGTTCGTGCCCCTGCTGCATTAAACGGCGTGGTTGGCTTCAAACCCACCAAGGGCACTATCTCTGCTAGAGGTGCGGTGCCTGCATGCCAGAGTCTCGATACAATTGGCGTTTTAGCACTTTCTATCGCCGATGCAAGACAGGTCTGGTATGTGCTTGATCAGTATGACTCTCTAGACCCGTATGCCAAACCACCTGCAAGCTTGCCAACCTGGATGGTAGATTTCCGAGGACCAAGAGAGGGGGGCTTTACGTTTGGTGTGCCTCCAGATTCTCTTTTACAACTGTGTTCAAAGGAATACCAAGAGCTGTTTAATAAAGCTGTTAAAACGCTGCAGTCGCTGGGGGGAACACTCGTCGACGTTGATTACACGCCATTTGCTACAGCAGGCGATCTCATTTATGGTGCGTCCCTTATTTACGAACGTCTCGCTTCAATCGGCTACGAATTTCTCTCAGAGAAGATCGATACACTACATCCGACCACCAAATTGGTCATTCAGAAGGTTCTCTCGTCGGATTTAAAAGGCTGGGAGGTATATAGAGACCAGGCCATACAAATGGAATGTATTGCCAGAGGACGCCAAATCTTCAACAAATTCGAAGATGGTATCGACGTTTTAGTCGTGCCAACAGTACCATGGCATCCAACTATACAAGAAATACAAGACAGTCCACTAATTCCGAACTCCAAGCTTGGCATATTCACGCATCCAGGAAATGTTATCGATTTATGCGGAGTCAGCGTCAATGCCGGATGGGTTAATGAGGGAGGAGTTCGGCTACCATTTGGCATCACATTTCAAGGCGGCAGTGGATACGATGGTAAAGTGTTGGATATTGCAGCTGTTTTTGAAAAGTATTCGGGAGAAAATCAGAGTTCAGTTTAGTAAGCGCAGCTGCTATACGATATGTTTCGGCTTCATCCCAAGCGTTTGCTCAACTATTACATCTGATACCGTGCTTCAAATTCTCAGACCCCGAAAGATACTGTTATAGTATTTCGAGAATTAGTTCGCGATGGAAGAAATCATGATGGTTATCTTATGCCAAGTTATTTGCTGGCTACCGTCAGTATATGTGATTCATGTTGTTTTCTCTAACTCGACATACGCGACTGCCGATACCAAAGCCGCCCCTCAATCTCTTTCCAATTTCCCCAATCACAAGTATCCCGAGCCCACTGCCGGTGCGGAGATGCCGCTAATGCTACCTCCGCGAAGCCCGAACAAATCGCCCACTATAAGTGGGACTAATGGGTTGAGAGCGAGTTGATAAGTTGTTAAAAGGCATGAGCCTGGCCACTGCAAAAATGTAATCTATTGTCAAGATAATATCATATTTTGATTCAGAAGCTACATTTACCTAATCGTTATATCGCACCTACGCGACTACACTCGAAGGTTGTTACAGGCACAGCGTTAAGATGGGCAGCCCAGTTCCCTCGCTCCAAACTGCAGCCGTTATAGAACACCCAGGCCCAAACGGTATAGTGCGAATTGACGACGCCCATCCCGTAGAGACACCAGGCAAAGATCAAGTTCTTGTCAAATTAGCTTATAGCGGTATCTGGTACGTTCTTGACTTCTCTTCTTTCGCGATGAGCATCTTAATGAACATCATTTCAGCGCATCAGAAGTTCGGGCACTGCTGGGCTGGGCAAATTATAAGCCGGTTGTTGGCCACGAGGGAGTTGGAATTGTTGTGAAAATAGGCGAGAATGTTTCAGAGTCAGTGCTTGGACAGCGAGTAGGCGTGAAATGGCTTCACAGTGCGTGCGGGCTATGCTCTGAATGCCAAAGAGGATCTTCCAATCACTGCATTAAACCAGCCTTTACAGGTGTTCATGCTCAGGGAACTCTACAGCAATATGTAATCGCCGACTCGCGATACTTGACCGTAATTCCAGACGGCATTCCCGGAGAAGTGGCTTCTCCTCTGCTATGCGCGGGATTAACAATGATGGGTGGCATTGCAAAACTTGACGAACATATACCCAAAGATGGCTGGGTCGTAATCTCAGGCTCGGGCGGCGGTTTAGGACATATCGGAGTTCAGATCGCCAGCAGATTAAGGAAATTTAGGGTTATCGCAGTCGATTCCGGACTATCCAAACGAGAGCTCAGTCTACAATGCGGCGCCCATGAATTCATCGATTTCGCTACCGAAGATGTTGAGCAGCGAGTCAAAGAAATAACAGGTGAGGGGGCTCATGCTTGTCTCATTGTTTCTGGATCAGAAGCCGCATTTGAGCTTGCGCCAAAGCTGGTTCGGAACAATGCATTATTAGCTGTGATAGGATTACCTGCCGCCACCTTCAACTTTCCCTTGGCAGCCAGTGTATTCGCCGCAAAAGGTAGAGTCATAATTTCGTGAGCCACAATACAGGAAAAGGGCATCTTGCTAATCGTGTCTTAGCACTCACGGTCACCGGCGTCATGGTAGGGACTGAGCAAATGATGGAGGAGCTTCTCCAACAAACCGCTGCAGGAGTTATCCGTCCTATGGTCAAAGTGGAAGAATTTTCAAAAGTTCCAGATATTTTTGACAAGTTGAAGAATAACCAGGTAACGGGACGAATAGTGGTGAGGATTCCTCAGTGAGGGTATTGAGAAGGTGGCGTTTCTTGGTTTCTTGGTCAAATAAATGGAAATATCACGGAAGCACATATTAGCAGCCTCAGTTACAGCTACATAAAAGTAGATTTGAAATAAGATGCATACAATACACTCTTACTCTATTTCGCAACTCTTGCATCTTGGGACTTTACAACACCGACTCGGTCATCTCCACCAAAATTCCACTTGTCTTGTAGATCACCATCCATATTCCGGCCCGGCACGTGATGCTCTCCTGGCTCTGACGTGGACTCATTTGCGAAACGTTATTTTTTTTTTTCTTTATTTCGAAACTCTAAACAATATCGCTACACATACATCTTTGACAGGAGCTTAGGTGAACAAATTGCTTGCAATTGTGGCCCAAGATGCCGTCCCCAATGATGACAGCCACGCTACAGGCGGCGTTCCTGTCGACCCTCTCAAATTTCTGTGCCCAGTTTATTGAGGCATACTGGAATAATGTAAGACTCTCTAATTCGCGCAATCCCATTGGATAAGTCTCAAATGCTCTTTCACAACGTTCGACGTCTCACACTCATAGCGATGACAGCGTAACTTTTATTTGGACTTTATCCAGCTCGCACGGTTCATTGCATACACTCTCATCACTGCTCCGCCAAACTACATATGGCAGCAGTTCCTCGAAAAGGCTCTGCCGGCATATCCGCCTATACGTCGGCAGCACAATCATGGTGATAAAGACATCGAGCTCAGAGCCATGGAAGATTCCATTGGAGAAGGGATCGAGCGTCAAGACGATGGACCGGTGCAATCCAAATTCAGCATTCGCAACACACTGGCCAAATGGTTCATTGACTGCATCACTGCCGGAGCTATTATGAATACAGTGGCATTTTTGGTCGTCATGGGGATTTTAAAGGGCCAGCCCGCCATTCAGATAGTATCCAACATTAAAACTGTGAGGGTTCAACCATTAGACTCTTAATGCTGCTACTACAACTAACATCATCTCAACCAAGGAAACAATACCTATTATTATCGCAGGGTACAAAATTTGGCCAATCGCTTCAATTGTTAGCTTTAGCTTCATTCCCGTGCACCGCCGCATCGTTTTTCTGAGCTTCATTGGCCTGTTGTGGGGAATCTACATGAGCTTGGTTGCGGCTCGGGTTTAGCTTAAATGCTTATCTACAACTTAATACATGTACTCCAAATTATGTTTGCACAAGACAATCTAGATCGGATACTGAGGTCGTGGGATGTATGAACAATCAACTCCAAGTACCTGGATAATTCAATGCTGTTTATATATATGCCCTATTAAGGGTTACAAAGCTATGTACAATGAAGCGTTATTCACACAAGAGATGGTTCATCTTTCCTTGTCATATTGCGCACTGGCACAAATGTCATGTCATTAATCGTTTAGCATTGCTGGGGCCTCCAGTTAGGGATAATGTAGCCACCATTAGGGTTGACAATGTCGAAGGTGTCCTCGCCCCTCCATGCGTGAAGGAACCAGCCAACGTTCTGGGCCTTGAAGTAAGCGCAGTTGTTGTCAAAAGTCTTCCAGTAGTTGGTGTACTGAGTGACGCCAAGGTCCTGGTGTCCGGGGTAGTGGTCGGTAGGACCCCAAGCCCACTGAGTCTCGGTAACAAAGGTAGGCAGGCCAACGTTGGCCTTGACCCAGGCGATCTGGGACTGGATGTAGCTCCAAGCTTGCGACTCGGGGTTGTTGAAGTGGTAGAAGGGCATGGGGTGGATGTGAGCAAAGTCAGAGTTGGCCTTGACACCCTTGCCGATAGAGCCGAGGCCTTGGCCATTGTTGCCGCTCATGGTACCGGGTCTATCCCAGTCCTCGCTGATACCGGCCTGAATGCCCTTGGCGTTGAGAGTGGCGCGGAACTTGCCCAGGTCGTTGACAAAGTTGCCCTGGTCCATACCATCACCAACGGGCTCGGAGCCGAACTCAGCCCAGTGGACGACATAAGGAGCAATTGCCGCAACGGACGGGTCGTTGATGGCATTGTAGATGGCCTGTTGGGACTGCTGCCAAACATTCTGGAATGGTCTTGTCAGTACTTGGGTACTCATACATGTAAAAGTCAGATCGTCATATACTACTTACACCATCGCCAAAGTTGGTCCAGACCTGGACAATCAGGCCCATGCCGTTGTCATAGGCGGCCTTGATGGCATTGATGAAGACACTGGACTGAGTGCACGTAGGGTAGTACATGCGCACAATGCTGGCGCCAAAGTCCTTCTTCTGCTGGGCAAAGTCCTTCTTCATCTGAGCGTAGCCGTTGTCAGAGTCAGAGCAAGTGCTATCCTCGAGAGGATACGAGAAGCCCATGAAGCCATAGAAGTCGGACTGAGGGCACCACCAGTTGCTAAGAGCAGTGCTTGGGGCAGCATAGTTGCCAGGGAAAGTGGCGTTGCCAAAAGGAAAGCAGTTTCCGGCAGCAGCAGTAGTAGGAGCCGCAAGAGCGGGAACAGCTGCCAAAGCGGCGAGCGAGAGCAGCGAGGAGATCATGGCTGCGAATTGGTCTCTTTCCTTACTAGATGGCGTAGTCTGGTATAAGAGGAGATGGAGTTGAGTGATAGCCTCAGCCGGGAGAAAAGCAGATGCCAAGCCGGGCTATTAATACTTGTCGAGATCTGGTGAGGCCTACAGGCGGCGCCTGATCAGCCTTGTAAGCCGTTCTCATCAATCACAACGGAGAAGCCATACCATTCCATACCATGCCATACCATACCATACACTAGGTACTACTATCCACACAAGGGTTCCTCGGCTCCTCGTTCTTCATGCTCGCCACTCCACTCGCTCCGTACTCCTTGGAAGTTTTCTCCGTATGATTGCGGATATGTGCTTCGTATACGGGCATGCAGACGGGTATCTTTCTCAGGAGGCTCAAAGGAGCAGCTGAATATGGCCCAAGGGCCATGTTCCCCCACATAATCAGCGTGCTAGCCAGCTCAGACCCTGCTCCCCATAACGCGAGAGCCCAGTAGTGTGTGCGTTCCTGGCGCCATATGGACGGACAAATATTGGCCGCCATCAACCATAAACCGGGGGAGACGAGGCTATTCGATGCGTCCTCTGCGAGCCAGCCGGGCCAAAAGGGCCGACTGCACACATTGGGCCAGCCAGCCTTAGCCGGCAATTACGGCAGGGCGCCGACTGGCAGGCATCAAATCGGCAAACGTTCCATCGAGCTTAATCGCCATATGCATTACCCTATCCAGTTGTAGCAAGTGAAATGAACGGGGTAGTCAATCCAAGATCTAGCTTCCTAGATGAGAATCGAGAAATTCGGACCTGACCGTTAAGCTCGGCCTAGCAGGGAGCCTGACACGCGCTACTTTGGGGCAAGCCCAGTCCTGAATCGCGCTTGTTGTCATGCATCTTTTCATTTTTGGCTTCTGGTGCTCTTCCATTGATTCTATTTGGTCATAGTCTCTCTATTTTCCTGCTGGCCGTTGAGGGGGGCCGATCAATTCGACTATTCAAGGTCCACATCCCTGTGTCAAGTGACGGCCACTTTGATGAATCAGGATGGTCCAGAGAAGGGTCAACGAGGCCGGATTAATAAACAGCAGTGGAAAAATTAGAAGAAAGTGAAAAAAAGGCTTAGAATTAACGATAATTGCTGTACCATACTGTAGTCATCCTCTAATTCGTGGAGCTTATCCGTTGTAATACAGTGCAGTCAGCTCTCTCCTCTGGGCGGCACCCCTGGTTGCCGATCGTTCTGGCTAGAGCCTGTTGTGAGCTTGGCAAAAAGCCTTGCTAGCTCATCGACGAGATAAAAAGTTATGCTGGGATCTAATTTTAAGGTTACATGTACTCCGCCGGTTCCTCCACGTTTGTGTCCGGACGAAGGATTAAAGAATACGAGTATTACTCATATGAGTTGTAAGTAAGCATCCATCATTAATAGAATATGCTATAAGGAGTATATCCTTCGGGTATTTGGCCATCATGCAGTTTCTTGGGGGAAGGAGATTCGTGAGCTGATCCTCAACGGGGGATGAGCCTGTTCTGATGACTCAACAGGCACAGAAACAAGGTAAGTAGGCAATAATACCTTGTACCGCAGCTCGCTTTGGAGGACATTAATTGGTCTCCAAATGCCCATTTCCAGTCGTTGCTCTATTCTCTTGTTCCTCTGTGCTCGCGAGACAAAGAACGGGTTTTTATGCCCTACTAAGCGTCTATTCTAAAGATCCACTTCCGCTATAGCACCTTGAAGCGGTGTGATTCGTATAACCTACCTATACGAGAGCAGCACATTAAGGCTCTTAAATCTAACACGGACCTGTCTAAAACAGCCATGGTGCGATGCATGGGAAGATATTATGGGAGCCATTTCCCAACGGCTCTAATGTACATTTTTTCCGTGAAATTAGAAAAGGGGATGATATAGGACTATGTTTCAGCCTCACGCTTTTTGTTTATGTCTATGTTTAGAAGATGACCTTTCTGAAAAGGGTCAGATCAAGAGGCCCGCTCATCATCTCAGACGCCTCCTCTTACTACATACTAACTACCCTGTTTGTTTGCTTATTCGCACGAATCGGGTAATAAGATAGTCTACTAAGCAAAACAGAGGCAAAAACAACATCAAGTAATATTTGGAAGGAGGTATCGATCACATGTAATACACATACCAAATACTATGTAGGTATTTGCGTCCTAAAAGATGCGCCTACAAAGCCAGTTGAATTGCAACTTGGCATTCATTGGCTCATCACAATATGACAGCTTTGGCATATGCATCGAAACTACGTCAGACAAATGATTAAGCTTCACCCAGGACAAGTAAAGCATGCATATCTCGCACAATTCTATCCATGCAGAGGCTGCGGAACGGAGATTATCACTACATGCCGCCAGTTAATCCCAGTATATCCTTGTCAACTTCGTAACCAATGCGATATCAGATACATATATGTCGACTTGCAGAGTTCATGCAATACAACTTGCCAACTCAATTATGGAGTTTACTTACCGTTAACTCAAGATTCAGCTAATGATAAACAGCGCAGATCATCAGTCGATGAATTAGTCCTAGGTATATTCAATAGTACCACCGACAATCCGCAATGTACTGGCTGTCAAGATCCCGGCATTTTCAGGATCCAGTCTTATTGTAGCCATACCACGTGTAGCTGCGTTAAATCCCAGAGTTGTAGTGTCAGCAACGCTAGGATCCGTAACATCATGCCAAGACGTTCAGCTGCCTTTACCGGTAGTTGCAAGGTCTAGATCCATAACGTACGAAGTCTCGGCTCAAACAACAGCCATTATTGTCAGGTATCCTATTTAGAAAAAGACAGCCTTCCACACGCAAGGGACCGCCAAGAAGAACCTGTTAACAAAGGTTAAGGAAAGGACAACACGAGACTACCCCGATCTGTGAATGGTGTGTGAAACGTAATAGGGCGCATCTATTTCAACAAGCTAAACATAATATATATACAGGTGCTCTCCTAAAACACGTACACTAAGATTCCAGCCCGCCCAATGCTCTAATCTCAATCCTTTTTTTTTTCTTTCACATAGATGACATTTCATTTCAACGTTGGTAATTTTTTTATACATGGTATTTAGCTGCTCTCAGCCTGCTTCAACAAGCCCTCGAGGTTGATGCTCTTGGGGCGTTCAATGGGGAGACCCAGGGCGCGGTCCCAGATGAGCTGGGCAAGAGGACCCAAACCACGAGAAACACCGAATGTGGCGGTGTAGTACAGAGTCTCGTGGAAGCCGTAGTGGTGGAAGAGAACACCGGAGCTGCTGTCGACGTTGGGGTAGGGGTTCTTGGTCTTGCCGTGCTTCTTGAGGACCTCGGGAGCGATGCGGCTGTTCTTCTCAACCAGCTGGAAGACGGGGTCCTTGGCAATGGTAGGGCGAGAAGCAGCATAGTCCATGAGAGCCTCGAATCGAGGGTCAGGCTTACGCAGGACGGCGTGGCCATAGCCTGGCACGACACGGCCAGAGTTGAGGGTGGACCAGAGGTAATCGTGGACATCCTGCTCGGTGTAGTCGGCAGGGATGGCCTCCTTCATCTGGAGAATCCAGCGAAGGACTTCCTGAGCGGCAAGGCTAGAGAGAGCACCATAGTTAGTAAGGGGTGGGAGAGCATCTTTGGGGGGGAGGGGGGCTAGATTTACCCGTGAAGAGGACCAGCCAGACCCTGGAGACCAGCACTGTAAGAAAGGAAGGGATCGCTGAGAGCACTGCCCACAAGGTGAGTGGCGTGGGCAGACACGTTGCCACCCTCGTGGTCGCCGTGGAGAGCGAGGTAGAGACGGAGGAGGTCCTGGAAGTCCTCGTTCTGCTTGCCGCCCTTGCCGAGCATAGCAGCAAAGTTGTAAGACCAATCCTGCTCAAGATCAACCTCGGCGGGGAGAGCACCGCCGCCCTTGTAGGCATTCTGGTAGATCTTGGCGGCGATGGTGGGCAGCTTGGCGAGCAGCGAGATGCAGTCGTCAAAGGTAGGCTCCCAGTAGTCGGCCTTGTTCAGGCCCTGCTCGTAGGCCTTGGCAAACTTGGACTCGTAGTTGAGGGCCGAGACGGCAATGGCGAACTGGGTCATGGGGTGCAGGTCCTTGGGGAAGTCATCCAGCATCTTGTTGATGAAGGCGGGGATCTGGGCCTTGGAGGCGAGCTCGCGGGAGAACTCGCGGACCTGGTTGACGGAGGGGACTTTGCCGGTCAGGAGCAGCCAGAACATGGACTCGGGCAGCATCTCGGTGCCGGTCTTGCCCTTGGGGAGCTCCTTCTGGCAGTCCTTGATGGTGCGGCCGTGGAAGCGGATGCCCTCGTTGGCGTCGAGGACGGAGCCCTCCCAGACCATGGCCTTGAGGCCGCGCATGCCGCCGAGCGTGTTCTCGACCTTGACCTCGCCAATGACCTTGCTGCCATGGGCCTTGACCTGCTTGAGAAGCTCACGCTTGGCGGGGATCACCTCCTTGAGGGTGGTCTTGAGATCGGGCTCGGCGGTTGAGTAGCATCGTGCGGCGTTGGCGAGGAGAGCGGCACGGGTGTAGGGCTGTACGCAGAGCAGAGCAGAGAGTCAATTGAATGTCCCACGGCCGTCCAGGCTGATCTTGACTGACCTTGAATGAGCGCAGGGCTCGAGCAGACGAGGTGAGGTTGAGGGCCATGATTGCTTGCAGATGAAGTTGAGCCGAAAGCTGTTTGGATGGCGGGGCAGTCGGTTAGCTATATCAACTACAGGTACTTACTGCCTGACATGTGCTGCGCCTGCGTAGTACTTAGGTAGGTAGCTACTAGGTGGTATATTTGCACATGCCACCAACTAACAAGACGGGGCGCGATACTTACAGCTTCTGGTTCCCGCACAACACAAAGATGATGGATTGGAAACTCGAGAAATCAGGGGAAGGGAGGAGACCGAAGAGATTAAACCCCAGACTCGGCTACAGAAAACTTTGTCCAGACGCTCCCCTCCGTCTCTCCGGCCAATACAAAATCGCCAGACACGGCCAGGCACGCCCAAAAGGCGCAGCTTCGGCCAGCTCGTCCGTCACCGCTTTGCAACAGCCGAAGAAAGCCGTCGCCGCTCGGCCCGCCGGTAGCCCCGCGGCTGCTGATTGGCCAATCTCGCCTGCATCGGCCCTCAGTCTGGGGTGCAGCCCGAATCAGCTCTGTTGCCATGCTTTGAAATAAAAAATGAAGACGCTCGAAATGCCAAGTGCTATGAAGGATATAACGCGGAAAATAAAATAAAATAATAAAATATAAATCAGCGAAGCGCCGTTTGCTCTCTTTTGCTTTGCCTCGGTAAAGTAAGCGCGGCAACAGGGTCTCTCTCTCTCTGTTTGTGTCCATCTCCCGCCACACCACAAGCACCAGCATCACGATGATGCGAATAGCTTCAAGGGCTCCTCAGCGGGCGTGCGCTCTGGTCTCCTCCTCCACAGCTTCGGTCGCCCTTCGCCGCACCATCCCACGCGCTGTCGCCATCCGTGCCATCGCGACCACCGCCCGCATGGCTGCCTCAGCTCCCTCTCACTCCATCCCGCCAGCCGATTCGTACCAGCTGCTGCCCGAGGCGCAAAAGGCCGGCGCGGCTGAGGATGCCCTCTACGAGGCCCAGGTCAAGGAGATCGAGGAGTGGTGGGCGTCACCTCGATTTGCCGGCATTCGACGGCCGTACAGCGCCGCGGACGTCGCCTCGAAGCGCGGCAGCCAGTACATCAAGTATCCCAGCTCCGTCATGGCCACCAAGCTGTTCAACCTGATCCGCGAGCGCGAGGCCAAGGGCGAGCCCATCCACACAAGTAAGTCGAACTTCAAGGAAAGGGAACATAAAGGGAACATAAAGCGCAGAATAAAAGGCACGCAAAGCTGACTCTTGTAATCACTACCTCTCAGTGGGCGCCATCGATCCCGTCCAGATGACCCAGCAGGCTCCTCACCAAGAGGTCCTCTACATCTCCGGATGGGCCTGCTCGTCGGTCCTCACCAGCACCAACGAAGTGTCTCCCGACTTTGGCGACTACCCCTACAACACCGTCCCCAACCAGGTCCAGCGCCTTGCCAAGGCCCAGTCCATGCACGACCGCAAGCAGTGGGACACGCGCCGCAAGATGACCCCCGAGGAGCGCTCCAAGACGCCCTACACTGACTACCTCCGACCCATCATCGCCGACGGTGACACTGGCCACGGCGGCCTCTCGGCTGTGCTCAAGCTGGCCAAGCTGTTTGCGGAGAATGGCGCCGCGGCAGTCCACTTCGAGGACCAGCTTCACGGCGGCAAGAAGTGCGGCCACCTGGCCGGCAAGGTCCTGGTGCCTACGGGCGAGCATATCAACCGTCTCAACGCCGCTCGTTTCCAGTGGGACGTCATGGGCTCTGAGAACCTGGTGATTGCCCGTACCGACTCCGAGTCTGGCCGACTCATCTCGTCCGCCATCGACGTCCGCGACCACGAGTTCATCCTAGGAGTTGCAGACCCCTCCATCGAGCCCCTCGCCGAGACGCTTCAGGACATGGAAGCCAGGGGCGCCACCGGTGCGGAAATCGATGTCTTCGAGGCTAAATGGGTCAAGAGCAGCACCTTGGTCACTTTTGATGAGGCTGCCGTCGCACACATGAAGAAGGAGGGCGTCTCCCAGGCCAAGATTGACGAGTATCTCTCCGCCACAGCCTTGGACCGCGACATGGGCATCGCTCGCCGCCGTGCCCTCGCCTCCCAGTTTACCGAGACCCCCGTCTACTTCAACTGGGACGTCCCCCGTACTCGTGAAGGCTACTACCACTTCAAGGCTGGCATGGAGGCCGCCACCAAGCGCGCCCTGGCATTCGCCCCGTACGCTGATCTCCTCTGGGTTGAGACTGGCGACCCCAACGTCGAGGTTGCCGCCAAGCTGGGCCGCACCGTCCGCGCTGCCAACCCCGGCAAGTCCCTCGTCTACAACCTCTCTCCCTCATTCAACTGGATGGCCCACGGCTTCTCCGAGGAGGGCCTCAAGTCGTTCATCTGGGACATCGCCAAGGAGGGCTTCACCCTGCAGCTCATCTCACTGGCAGGCTTGCACTCCACCGCCACCATCACCAACGAGCTTGCCAAGAAGTTCAAGACGGACGGCATGAAGGCATATGTCGAGGTTGTGCAGAGGCGAGAGAAAGAGCTGGGCTGTGATGTCCTGACGCACCAGAAGTGGAGTGGCGCGAGCTACATTGATGGCATTTTGGGAGCCATCCAGAGTGGCAGCTCGAGCAGCAAGAGCATGGGAGAAGGCAACACTGAAGGCCAGTTTGACTAAGAAATCTAAAACAAGATGAAAATCGTAACTTGATGAAAGAAAAAAAAAGAAAAAGACTGCAAAGAACATGTAGATATAACATAAGTGACATTTGGGCGGAGTTGGGTATATAGTTTGTATGTGGATGTGTATATATATATATTTTGTTTCATGCAATACACACATTTTGCGATATAACAATTGCATTCACTTGTCAAATATGGCCCGTGGTCGATTCAATCTATTAATTCATACAATTTTGATTATATATTTATTTATTTAATTTTCCCTTTTTGCCAGCATTTCCTCCATTTAGTCCAAAGAAGTCTTCAAAGCATTGTTGGTCGGCGCAGGTGCCGCAGGTCCCTCAGGAGTGACATATGCCTTGGTCATGCCACCATCCACCACAAAGTCGCTGCCGTTGACAAAGCTGGCCTCGTCGCTGGCCAAGAACACGACTGCGTGAGCCTGCTCCACCGCCTCGCCGAAGCGGCCGGTGGGGAAGTGAATCTCACGGCGCTGGCGCTTGGGCTTGTCGTCGCCCAGCCAGTCCTGCAGCAGAGGCGTGTTGAGAGGCGCAGGGCACAGGCTGTTGAAGCGGAAGCCCTCGCGGGCGTGCACCATGGCCAGCTCGCGCGTCAGGGCAAGCACCGCGCCCTTGGAGGCTGTGTAGGCCAGCTGAGGGGTGGCGGCACCGACGAGGGCGACGACGGAGGCGGTGTTGATGATGGATCCCTTGGTCTTCTTGTTGCGGCGCAGAGCCAGGACGGCGTGCTTGCAGCCGAACCAGACGCCCTTGACGTTGATGTTCTGGGTGAGGTCCCAGATGGCCTCGGGCGTGTTGATGGCATCGTCATCGTTGGCGTGCATGATGCCGGCGTTGTTGAAGATGACGTCGAGACCGCCCCAGGAGTCGAGAGACTCGATCATGGCCTGGACATCGGCCTCCTTGGAGACGTCGCATTTCTGCGGGAGAGCACGTAAGCATGGGTCTACTACCACTTTGCCAATGTGTAAACATCATGGGACTGCACATGACATGGCATGACATACTCGGGTTTCCAGACGAGGGGCTGAGGGGACGAGCTCCTTGACCTTTGCGACGGCCTTTTCCAAGGCAGGCTCGGAGATGTCGGCCAGAAGGACGTTGGCGCCCTCCTTGGCGAAGAGAATTGCAGTCTCAAGACCAATGCCGCTTTATGAACCAAAAAAAAAAAGTGTCAGCAAATACCGGCTTCTTTTTCATCTCATCCGTCTATCCATCTTCACGGCGGACAGGACGGGAGAGATATGAGAGGACAAAAACTCACCCCGCGGCACCGGTGATGATGGCGTTCTTGCCAGCCAGACGTCCAACCATGATTGATGACTGTGTGTTTGTTTTGTTTGCTTGCTTATAGTATAGAATTCAAAGAGAAGCAGATGCAAAAGTGGCGAAGCTGAGGTTGAGGTTGAGATTGGGTTTTATCTTGGGACGCAACGCAAGGGGTGGAGTGGCCATCTGATGCGTTCCGTAATCTGTCGTACCTGAGCTGGGCCTCCATGGTGGGGTTTTTGGCAGCCGTGTCCGGAGAAGGCTCGAGGCCGAGTATTAGTCCTTCAGTAGCCGCGGCCCTTGTGATTGATTGCCCTGCTGTGGAACATTGGAGAAGGCTTCCATTACTATGTACTACCGTTAGATCGTTGCCTGACGCGGACGGTGCTGCTACGATGCTCAGGGGCACGGAGCAGCTCTTGATGCCCAGCATTACTGCATCCGCACAAGCAGCAGGGCGCCCTATCGCAACGGCCCTCCAGCACTGTGGCAGTTGCTAGAAAACTTCCCAAAGCAAGACTAGCAGCGAGGCTGGCGCGTGCTAAGCAGCTCATTAATCAGGCTTCCCCATCCCGGTGGGCGTGAGAACGAGCCATGAGTGGCCCCGGTGGGCAAAGTATGACATGCCCGGATCCATCAGAAGGAGGGGACCCCTAGATTTGCGCGTTGGAGGGGCTCCGACAGCGGTGACTGAGGGGGTTTGGCGCTTGGCGTGGTTCTGGGCAATGGCTGGAGATTCTATACGCGTAGACAGGCCGAGAGCTGGAGGCTTCATGCTGCTGCGGCTGTGATGTCTACTACAGGTATGTCATATCAAATATCAAACATCTGATACCAAAAGTGCCACTATGCTCATCGTTACATGTACTAGGCCATATACATTCAAGCACGCATCACATCTCAACTCCCAGCGAGGTGTGCATGGTATGCATACAGCACATGTATGTATGTATGTATGTGTGTATGTGTGCATACAAAGATAACAGTTCCAGCCCATGACTCGATCCGCATCTTCTCCAAAAACCGCCCCCCTCCATCCCTCCATCCCCTCCATCCATCCCCAATGATAACGATTTAGCGGTTGCGGCTAGCTCTATCATTAGCCTCCTCCTGGTTCCTGTTTCCCCTCCTCCACGGCCGGTAGCTCAGCCATGATTGCCTGAGCCGCGGCCAAGATGCCCCGCAGTTCTGGAATTGACACTTGATTTGGGCGCTGTCGCTCTCCAAGTTGGCTGCATCATAGACGACCGTCTCCAACGAAACCAAGAGATCTCCATTGCTTGTCGTCGCGCGCCAAACGGAGCTCCAGTTTGCGATACGTAATCTAAAACTGCTTGCGAGATCCGGGGGAGACGACGACTCAGAATAGTAAAGAGCGGGCGATTAGAAGGCTGCGGTGGATTCTGTTTCTTGTGGCAGCTTGCGACTCTTTTTTCGTCCTAAACCCATCTTGGGAGGCTGATCAGCAGTATCGTCGCATTCCACTAATAACCACGGCTCCTACTTCTCTCTCTCTCCTCTCTCTCTCTCTCTCTCTCTCTCTCTACCTTCTTGCCCGTCTTGTTACCCCATCTTTGTCTCTCTCAACTCGTCTCTAGCTACAACAACCTCTCAACAGGATCGTAGTAGAAGATTACGCCGTGGATTTCATCATCTAACTCCCCTTCCTTTTACTTCGTCCCTCATCACCATGGCTCCCAAACCCACCATCACGGCCGAGGCCCTCGAGGCCCTCCTCGAGCACGACACCAAAGTCAAGCTTGCCGGCCTCGACGTCGACGGCATCCTCCGCGGCAAGCTCGTCTCCAAGAAGAAGTTCCTGTCCATCGCCACCGCCGGCTTCGGCTTCTGCTCCGTCATCTTCGGCTGGGACATGCACGACATGACCTACATGCGCGAGCTCAAAATCTCAAACGCAGAGAACGGCTACCGCGACCTGCTGGCCATCCCGGACCTCAGCAGCTACCGCAGGATACCGTGGGAGGGCAACGTGCCCTTCTTCCTGATTACCTTCCACGACCCGGACACGAAGCTGCCGATTTGCGCATGCCCGCGCGGTCTGCTGCAGACGCAGCTGGATCGGTTGCGCACCAAGGGCTACGGCGCCATGGCTGGTGGTGAGTTTTTAGATTCTCGACTGGGAAATCTTCTCTCTATAATGTAAACAAACGAGGCTCTGTCATATTAACCTCTCTTCTCTTCTTCTCTCTTTCTAGCTGAATACGAATTCTACACGTTCCAGACCCCAGACTCGTCTTCGTCCCCCGCCGCTTTCCTCCAGAACAACCCGACGCAACAGCTCCCTTCGCTTACAGAGGGCATGTTTGGATACTCCCTCACGCGGCCCGTCCACAACAAGGAGTGGTACTACGAGGTCTTTGACTCCTGCGAGAACTTCTCCTGCGACATTGAGGGCTGGCACACCGAGTCCGGCCCGGGCGTCTTCGAGGCTGCCCTGGAGTTTGGTGAGGCCGCCGAGATGGCAGATCGTGCCAGCTTGTTCAAGTACGTTGTCAAGAGCGTCGGCGCCCAGCATCGAATCACGCCATGCTTCATGGCCAAGCCGAAACAGGGCCTTCCCGGAAACAGCGGCCACATGCACGTGTCCATTGTTGACGAGAGCGGCAAGAACCTGCTGGCGAGAGAGACAGTCGACGAGAATGCGCCGTGGAAGGACATTGCAGGACTGTCGGATCTAGGACGCCATTTCTTGGCCGGTGTCTTGGAAGGCCTGCCCGGCATCATGCCTGTGCTGGCACCCACCATCAACTCATACAAGCGTCTGGTCGAGAACTTCTGGGCCCCCGTAACTGTCTCGTGGGGTCTTGAGCATCGCGCTGCTTCGATCCGCCTCATCGCACCGCCCACGTCCAAGGCCTCGGCTACACGATTCGAGATTCGTGTTCCCGGCGCTGATTCGAACCCTCACTACGTGCTTGCTGCCGTGTTGGCCTGCGGTTGGCGTGGTGTTGAGAAGAAGCTCGAGATTCCGTGTCCACCGCTGGCTATGGGCGAGAATGTTGGTGGCTCCTCAGACAAGGGAGCGCGTCTGGCGAAGAGCCTGAGAGAGGCAACAGCCAAATTCATGGCCAAGGACAGCATCGCACGAGAAGTGCTCGGAGATGATTTCGTAGATCATTTCGGCGGCACCAGGGAGCATGAGATTCGACTGTTTGACGAAGCCGTAACGGATTGGTAAGAGGCCGCCCCCCCAGCTCTTTTTTTGGTTACAACTAACTGTCCGTAGGGAAATGAAGCGGTATATCGAGTCCGTGTAAGGTGTAAGAGGCGGCAGGGTACACATGTATGATGGCAAATATGAATTGCTGCACATAAATGCGAGTGATTTTGAATAGTAAGAGACGTAGATACCAGCGACGGGTACTGTATTGGCTAGACTTCCTTTTTTTTTCTTCAAGTAGTTGAATCGTGTACTAGCGTGCCTTTTTTGCGTTTATTTGTCGCTGCTCTTTTTTTTTTCTTGCAGGAAAGCATCAAAGAGACCAACAAGCTTGGTTTCTAGTTTTGGTTTTTGTTGCGAGGCCGTGTTATTGTGATCTGTCTGAACTCTTCAACTTACTGCCTTTGCTGGAAGGTTTTCTTGCCGATATAAAGGTTCTGTGTCATGGGGTTGTCAGAATTAAAACACCTATCACACACATAGAAATGAATATGGAGTATAAGGTCACATCACACGTACACTTTGATGCAGCTCCTGAGCAGAGGATCCCGGTACTCTTCCATGACTCTGCCCAGTAATTCCCGAGTCGCTTCTTCTTTCCAGCCAGCGAGGCCAAACATTCTCAGCGTCCAGTGGTCACAACCTATGAACAACGAAATCATCAGCAATCATATTTTTTTTTAAAGCCAGGCACACACAAAAGTCACACAACCCTTACCTGGAGCAAGCATCTTGTTCAAAATCTCCCCCTTCTTCTTCGTCAGCGGATCTCTCGCCCAGTTCCGCACCGGCAGCCAATCCGACCTCTCGCGCACACTCTCCGCGCCCACCTCCACGAGCCACGGCCGCACCTTGGGCGTCGGGTCAAAGTCAATGCCCTGGGCGGCCGAAATCTCCGCAAAGATAGTGCCGTACTCTATCGCGGCGGCACCCACGGCGGCCCTGGGCCTCTCTGAGTCTTCGGCGCCGCCGGCCGAGGACGTGTCCGAGGGGGTTTCGGCCAGCGGGTCGGGGTCGACGGCGAAGAACATGGGCGTGACCTCGGTGAACTCGAGCTGGCCGCCGGGCTTGAGGTGGTCAAAGGCCTGTACGATGAGTCTCTTCCAGTCGCGGATGCCGCCGCCAACGAGGTTCCGCAGGTGGATGAAGTCGTAGAGCCGCGGCGGCCAGTCGTCCGCTGCGTCGGCAATCTCAAACGTCAGGTTCGGGGGCACCTCCTTGGGCAGGTTGGCGCTGCTCAGCTCAATGCCCAGCACGTCGACGAGGGGGTTGGTCTGCGCCATCTCCATGGCCCAATGGCCGCCGCCGCAGCCCACGTCGAGGACGTGGAAGTGAGGGGCCTCGGGATCGAGCTTCTCCAGGGGCAGCTTGGTGAAGGTGAGGGCGCCGCCGAGGCAGAGCGTAAACAGCTCGTGTTGGTAGCCCTGGCGCTCGTTCTCATATCTGTCGTTGGGGGTGACCATGCGGCCCGAGCCGTGGTAGACGTGGCCATATTCGTGGATGGGCGGCAAGGCATCTTCCGAGGCGGTTGAGTAGTTTGAATTGGAGTCGCTGGCCGTGGCGTCGTCTTCATCGTCGTCTTCTAACGCTTCCTCCTCATCAGCTTCTCCGTCTTCCTCCTCTTCTTCTTCTTCATTGCCTTCATCTTCTCCGCCAGCAGCATAATCTTGACCATCATCTTCCTCGTGATGTAGATGATGAATGCCGCCTTCAACGCCTAGGTCGTCGGAGGGTGCCGTATTTGTCGCCGCCATCGAAAAAATAAAGCAAATTAAAAACTCCTCTAGTTGCAGATGCTCAGCCAAGCTGCTTTCCCTTGTTTAGACACGTTCTTTAGCCCGTCCCCAGATCTTCTCCCTGGCGCCGTTCCTGATTTTGCCGCCTCACTTCTCAACCCCCTTTGGGCGTGTTCGGTGTGCAACCAACCGCTACCAGCAATAAGTAGGATTGATGTGGAGCGCCGCGGCTTGACTTCCACCCGCCCCCAATTTAGACCAAATCTGGAGCCGCGAGCTGTCTAATTTTATTTAATAGCTTCGTCTTTTCCCTTTTGTATCTTTTTGTATACAATCGGTGATTGCCTAAAGTTGGATTTCAGGGCCGAGGGACAACTAATAGCACGATAGCAGCTCTTTCTTACACCCCCTTGCTCCCTTGCGGAACACAGAGAGAGAAGAAAAAAATGGCCCGTCAGTGTCTCCACGTGGCGAAGCTATGCTCAGCTTGAACAGCCCGTCAGGTGATGTGAGCAACGTGAGATACCTAGCAGCCAAGACCCCTGGTAGCTGTAACTTGGTGTCACCCAAGGCTGATCAGGTAAGGTAGATAAGTAGCGGGACTACACGGTAGTACTACTTGTATTGGTATTTCGTGAGATCATCAGGTGGTGCCTTGTCCACCGTTATTTAAATGAAGAAAAGACAATTGTCTGGCTCTAATCTCCAGAGGGGATATTGCGTAACGGCGGGCCGGCTAGTAATAGTCTGAATTGCGAGCAGCGAGATGAAGAAGAAGATGGATTTGATCTGGAAGCTCTCTAAGAAGAGAAAGGCCAGGAATGAGACGTGGTCAATGGCCTGTCTTGACTAAAGATCTGAAGGCGGCAGTTGTCGCCTGCTGCTGAACTGATATAGATGAATCGGGAGAACAAAGGGCACCAAAAAGAAAAAGAGAAAAAAATTGCCTAGCAGGACAAGCGTGTTTGTTGATTGAAGAAATAAAGAAGAAGGGCCAGCTAATGTCGTTTTTGGAGGGAGAGAGGGGGGGCAGAAAAGGCAATTGGAGGAGAACAAAAAGGTCAAGCGAGGAAGAAGGACGGAACAGAAATGGATCATAAAGGAAAGAAAAAAAAAATTAATTAAAATAGATTAAGAAGCTGCATGAAAAATATGATAATAAGAAAAAAAAAAAAAAAAAAAAAAAAAAAAAAAAAAAAAAAAGGTGAGGCCCAATCCCGTGTCAAACATGAGCGACACGACAGGGGTTGCTGCAGAAATGGCCCGTCGCCTATCAGCCCAGGGAAAAAAAATCGGGCGAAGTAACCCTTTTGCTGCTGGAGTGGCATCCAATAATGGGAGGATTTTTTTTGACAGCCCGGCACAAGGATTCTGTCTTTTTTTTTTTTCTTTTTTTCTTTTTTTTTTTCGTCTTTCTTCTTCTTTTTTGCTTCTTGCTGTTTCATTTGACAGATATCCCGCCGCTAACGATATTGATGGCCATGTGCTTACCCATTTTGCCCATTATTACCTCGCAAGGCCATCGACATCTAACAACAATTAACCTCCTTTTCGCGTGTGGGCTAAACGTAATAACATCCGAGCATGTACGGATACATGACTATACGTAAATGACCTGTCTGCTGCTGTTGGTCGCCAAGCTGGCCATGCTCAAACATGTGATGGGATCAATCAATCCATCCGTCCGTCTGTTTAATTGCTCAATTTCTCCTCTCCTCTGCAGAGAGATGAGGGCACCGTCTGTTACCGTCTTCTCTTCGCTTCTCTGTCCTTCCGTGTCTCTGCTACGGTCAGCAGATCCCCGCCAATTGCTCGGCCTAATAGGTGCATTGCATCTTTGTCTCACGTTGGAGAAGACTCCATCACGGCGCAGCGTGCATCCTCACAACGATCCATTCTCATCCTTCCGGCTATTGCATGGCAGTCGGCCACTGCAACGCTGGGAGGATGGGCTATTGATGGAGCTCATTAACCGTCAGACAGACAGACAAAACTGTCTTTGTGTCCAGTTCCCCACGCCTGTGGTTAAGCGAATGCGGTCAACGTCTGATGATAACGAAGCCAGCACACCTACTATACTTGGGTATACGGTATTAGGTACAGCGAGGAAAAGAGCTTGTCCGGAACTATACTACCTTGCCTAGCATGCATACTCAACCAACAACATCTCAGAATTCACCTGCATATGGGTATCATTTTTCAGCTGATAGAAACTCAAGCCCGTCCAACCACAGTACCAGCATGAATCGCCTCCAAGCCATCAACCAACCGACTGCACAAGAATCGACCGCCGGCGTTGGATCCTACTGGCTGCTGTCTTTTCTCTCTTCCTTCCACCCGTCGTGTTCGTTCCATTTATACTGTAAAGAGAACACATGCGTGATATGCACGCCCTTGATGCACTGCAACCATAGTAGTCAGGGGCCTGTACATCCCTAAAGGGGTTTCTTTCCGCTGTTGGCTGGACCAGCGCTCCATCCCATGCAGTTTAAGCCGTTGCTGCATATCCTGCCAAACCGGAAAGGGATCATTCCGCCAAAAGAAACCTGTCGGAAGGGGGGCTTTGACTTATGGAATTCGGATCAAGACGCGCGGCTGTCCGCAGACAAGGAACCAGGCGTGTCTATCCCAAAACGATGTGTGAAGCAGAGAGAAGTCATTGCTTTTCCCGTCTCCCTGTGCCGCTGTCAACCGGACAACCCCTTCAAAGTCCCCGTGCTCCATACTTGTACTTTATATCTTGTCACAAGTGCATAGGCAACCTCCCGCGCTCCATAAATAACGTGCGGGTGTCTATGTACAAGAAATCCTCAATCAAGCAGCTCCACCGCTCACCAATATGCACATAAGACAAGAGTCTCGATCCAACCACATTATGCGCATCACTGCTTACAAAGAAGAGTGAATGCTACTATGACATCGTGCTGCAAGTAACACAGTGCTTCTTAACCAGGTTCCTGCTATCAGCCACTAGCAAGCTGGACCGCCAAGGAAGCAAAGAAGGCATTTTAAGCCGTGTACTTCTGTTAGGACGATACAAGCAAAGACAATGCGGATAAGACCACGTTCGACTAAGACCGGCCCAAAGACAAAATGTCGGTGCCTATTCGATGGAGACAGCCCTGTCTTTGATCATTCCAATTACCCTATAACATTAAAGCACGAAATAAGAGGCTCAATTGCATAGGATAAGTGTCAGAATGAGTATTCTATATTGGAAAAGTTCAATAATCAGTAGCCCTATACAAAAATCGGATATTGTATGTCAATACAGATAAGCTAAAAATGTGTAGGGAAATGAATCCATATGTAATATCATATACAATGGTTAAACTTACTAAAAATCATAGCTAAACTGTTTTAATTTCCAAGAGGCTATTGAAACCTTAGCTTCAGTCATACAGATATATTCAAGTAAGACTAAACATCTCTTAAGGCAACGGCATTCTACTTTAACACCACAGTATCATGGTGGGGTACTCGATAGAGCATCATCATCATACCGCCGTCTGTCGCAACCCTATCAATGCGAGTTCGGGCTCGCCGTCTTGGCATCGAAATATGCCACCACAGCTTCTCAGACACAGCAGTCTGTTATACGACTCAAAATGAGGCTCCATATTCCTCTCGTCGTCTGGGCGGGACTCAAATCTGCCGGAATCCACTGCAATCCAACGCAGCACTCAAGCAGGGCTATATGTAGGTACCTATGTGCAGTCAGCCCAATGGCGTCTGTCTTACTCGCGGCACATGCTATATTGCTAGCTCAAGTGTCTCTCTGGTCTCGTTAATGCAAGACAGCTTGGTAGGATACTACCTACTTAGGTAGGTAAGTACCAGGGGCAACAGCCACATGCAGCAACAGCACAGGCGCGCTCTCGTCATCCTTCTTCAACATTAGCCTCGGTTATACACAAGGACATAGCACACGTACACGTGTAGCAGGCCAATAGGAAGAATCAAAAAGCATAAGCGCGTAGTGGATAGTAGGAACAAACAGTTATTGCATTTATTAGTTTCCACCGACCAGCTCTCCCAAAAAACGCCGATGCTATGACGTATCATAATATAACAAGAATCTGAAGCCTCCACCATATCGCCCTCCGCCTTGACATACCCACCAAGGATTCTCTCGGTGATAAAAACAAAGTCAACAAAAACCAAATAACGCTGGTACAGGAAATGGGGCTTGGTCGCCCAGTGAATCTTCCTCTAGGCTGGACATTGAATCTGATCAGACTCCAGCCTCGCACTCCGTCTCCCACACTCCTTCCATTCATAGTTCATCTTAGCTTCATCTAAGCATTCCATCATTAAAAATGCGATAAGCAGACAAAGCTGAATTCCACAACACACACACACACACACACAAACAAGAAGAATGCCATGCCTGCCAAATGATGCAAAGAAGCATATCAATCCTCGCATGAAAAAAAAAAAAAAAGCAGTCGTCTCCACGCATGTAGCCAGAAGCGATCAAAAGCTCCTTGCTTTAACCATCTCAACATCCTATGCTGTATCTTTTCTTCTGTATTTGCTTTCTTTCTGCTAAACCAGTTCGGTCTTCGCAATTTTGTTTCTTCTTTTTCTTTCTTTCTTTTTGCCTAAGCATTGCCAAGGTTAAATGAACAAGCTTGTTCTGCTCTTCACTTTCACCCAACGGGTGTTAGTAGGTAGCAAAGCAGTGAGTGCGTGCCATAATAAAATCATCATGAGTCCTTCCGCCGTTTTCTTCCACCTCCACGGCCATCTGAGTGGTCGTCTTCCGGAACGTACTCTTCTGGGTGGAAATCAGGGTTGCCATAGTGCGCTTTGTTCCACACGCTGTTCTTAAAAGTAGTGCTTCTCGGTGCTTGGTCTATTGGCTCTCTAACAGTAGTGGTCCTGCTCTCGTCATACTCCAGCTGGAAGGGGTTAAACACTATGCGGTATCCAGGTGTGTGATCCGCTGGCCGCGCATTCGAAACCAACCCAGAGAGATGGCTGCTGCTGCTGCTGCTGTTGCTCCTGATACTCGTGGCGTTCATCATTGTCGGACTAGGCGTCATCGAGGTGCTGGGGGTCATTGGAGCCGGCGAGACTACGGGAGGGAATGAGGGTGGCGGTGGCTGCTGTGGAACCTGAGACGGCAAGGGCTCGGGAAACGGTGTTGTCCAAGAACTTGGCGGTTGCGACGATACATAATGATCGTCGACAGGGCTGGCCATAGGTGGCGTCATGGGAGATATATCGGGCATGGTATTCATCGAGCCCAGCGAGTTGAGGCTGAAACCAGGCAGCATTGAAAGCAGATCCATATTGGCTCCTGGGAAGCCTGCCGTGCTGCCAGGAACGGCATTGATGGCAATGTTATTTGTGAGGCTGGAAACTCGATTTACCTGCAAATCAACGGAACTGGAGGGGAGGGTCGACGGAGCCTGGATGGGTGGCGTGCGGTACAGGATATCGTAGTGATCGGGGCGATAAAGCAGATATATCGTAGGTCCGAGAGCTGCCGGGTCCTGCTCGTTGGCCTCTTCCGGAAAGCGGTAGCGGTTAACTTGGCTGCCCGGGCTGCGGTCCAGGTATGCAACCTCCAAAACGAAGTCGATCGGCTTGAGGAGCAGGTTGGCCAGGCCAACGATGCCCAGATGCTCAATCTCACGGTTGACAATATCAATTGCCTGCGAGCAGTATGCCGCAATTCCTCCATGGTCTGCAACGAAGGGGTCGTAGATGTTCGCATTTCCTTTGAGATATGTGGCGGCCAGCATGCGGAAGTAGTAGATGATGTTTGCCTCGACGGTGTCGTCATTGAAACGCTGAAGAAGTATCACTCGAGCCAGGCCCGGATTTGCGATGTTGGCAGCAAGATCCCGCAGCAAGCTGTGAGCCTCCTCGGCGAAATCTTCGTGGTATTCGTAGCGGCCAATGTTGGAGAGCATGGAGCCAAGGCTCATGAGACGGGCCACCTCGCCCTCGATTTGGGCTTGGTCTCCGAGGTCGATAAGCTTCTCGTAGTAAGCGAATGCGATTGCTGGAGAAGGAGAAATTCTTGTCATTAGTTTGCGCGTCCCTTGAAGAGCGGGCCAAGGCTCGACTTACCGCGCCATCCGCAGTTTCCATCGCCCTTGATCTGGCGATAGTGAGAATACGTCTGGGGCAGAGCCTGTGATGTGGGGAGAAGAGTAGTGGTCAGCATCAGCAGCTCTCGAGATATACATCATTCATCCTCTTTGCGTCTCTTCTTTTTTTTCCCTGTAACCCTGTTCTCTTCTTATTTCGGCCCAGCTCGTCTTTCCGCCATGTGCTCTTGTTTGCTTGCATCGAGGATGAAGGGAGGGGAGAAGGTAAACCAACAATAGTTTTCTCGACATATACCGGGTCAGCTTTGGCGTATTCCTGGGTGATGGCGTCGCTTGGTGTCTTGTCGCCGACAAAGGGTCCCTGTTTAAGCAGCACGAAACGTTAGCAATGCCATCTTGACCGGCGATATCCTCTGTCCCGCCCATCAACCAGATAGGAGGGGAGACTGCTGCCGAGAGAAAAAGAATCAAGGGACGCCATTCCTTCTCCACCGGCTGGTGCTCTCTCGACGAACAAACTCGCCCGCCCATCTGGACATCCGCATCATATACGCATCATATACGCATCATATACGCACCTCAAGGCCTGGCTGGAACCGCTCGGCAGCCGCCTGCTGCGCTGCCATGTCGTGCAGACTCGGGTCCTGATCCTCCATCTTGATGACGGGACTGCCGCTTCGATTGAGTCGCTGCCGCAGAGGGAACTGCTGCTGGTGCTGGTGCTGGTGCTGGTGCTGGTGTTGCAGCGCCGGCTGCGGAGACGAGGAGCTGTAGGGCGGGTAAAAGCAGCCACCGCTCGATGCGCCGCCAGCGCCAGCTCCGCCGGTGGGGAACAGAAAGTCGAGGCTGTGGGGAGCTGCCGCTGCTATGCCATATGGAAAGGGCGAGTAGGAAGAGCCTGAATAGGGCGTTGGCTGAGCCTGGAACATGCCTCCGGAATGGCGGCCGGAAACAGACGAATCTTGAGTGGCGGAGGAGGAATGGCGAAGAGGTGAGGAAAGAGTGTCGTCAGATCACCTGGATGGGTTGATGAGCTCTTGCGGCGTGACGGTGGGCGGCGGCAGCGTCGTGGGTGTGTTTAGCGGCAGCGCTTCAGTGGCACCGGCCGGGCGTTGGTGGCGTGGTCTGGCGCTGGTGTCCACTATGATGTCTGGCCCAGTGCTAGAATGGAGCAATCGAGGCAGAGTCGCGCTGCACCGGGATTGGATGAAATATTTTGAAAAGAGAGAGAGAGAGAGAGAGAGAAGAAAATTAAAGCTCGAAAATGCAAGATAAAAAGAATCCTGGAAGGGCTAGGAGGAAAAATTAAGTCCTGCAGTGCCGGCGGCGATTTTCTCTGTTTGCGATCTTGCCTCTTTTTCTCTCTTGTCCCTGTTTCCTTCTTTAATATTAATTTTTAAATTTTTTTTTATTTTTATTTATTTATTTATTTTTTTTTTAATTTTTTTTTTTTTTTTTTTTTTTTTTTTTTTTTTTTTTAATTTTTTTTTTTTTTTTTTTGTCTTGATTTTTTTCGACTTAGCGGCGGTAGCAGCGGTTAGACGTGCGGGAGGAAATGAGTGGTGCAGGCGGCGGTCGGTGCCACGAGCCGGGGCTGTTGCAAGTTCCGTCGCATGTACTGGTACCTGCGCTCAACTGCCCGTATGCAGGCCTAGCGGGCGTGGGTACAAGTAGGTACTTGGAGAATGTCAGGTTGTTTGCTTCTGTGCTGTGCTGTGCTGTGCTGTGCTGTTGTGCAGAGTCCTCGGCGTTCCAGGGCTCTGGCTGGAGCTACGGGCGCCCTTGCGGTGCCTGTACGGTGCGTTGGCGGAGGGTGGGCCCTGTCTAGCGCTGTAGCAACTCTCTGGGGGCGGGTTCAGCAGCCCAAGTCAAGGCGCCGTGACCGATTAGCGAGCTTCGGCTGTGCCGCTGCAGCGACCAAAAGACGGGACAGTGGGCGCCTTATGGGGATCACGGAACGGAAGGATATAAAATTAACAATAATCAAACAGCGAGAGGCTGATCTTTGCGGGAGGATAAGAGAACTAGAATCGATAAATGCCGAAGGAAGCCGAGATGAAGCAGGAGGCAGAGAATGAAGAGCAGACAACTGAGATGTATCGTGGAGGGCAGAAAAGGAGGCAGCGTGTGAGGAAGAGAGAGAGCGGGGAAGGGTTGAAGCCTCTCTGAGCCTCCACTTCGATGAGAGTGATCACCACCGGGGCTCAATATGTAGGTACGAGCTATACAGCATGTATGCGCTTAGACGTCGACAAGCCTGCAAAGTGACGGCGGGATGAGAGAGGTAAAAAAAAAAAAAAAACATGAAATATGACCAGCAACTCCCGGCTTATATGCTAAGATATGTCCTCAGCAGACGGGTTGCAACGTAAAAGCGTGTCTGGCCCCAGCAGAGTTGAGAGGCGCTCGCACAGGCAACTCCCGCAAAGCCTCGGCGGTCCGGCCACAGAGTCCAGGGATGAGAAATGGAGACATGCAGGGCTTCAAGGTGGCCATGTAGGTACTTGCGGTTCTGCTTGCTACGACTTGCTGCCTGCTACAGTATACGCCCTCTCTTCTTCTTCTGTCCCCATCTCTCCGTCTCTCAACTCTCTCAACTCTCAAGCCTCTGGCTGGTCAGTGCTCCAAGACTGGAAACAGCTTCTCCGGGTGGCTACTCAAAGACGGGCAAGTAGAATACCTACATGTATGTACTTGGTCCCTGTATTGTGACTAATTGTAGCTGGAGCAAGGTCCAGGATGATCAGAGGCATGCATTAACAGCTCAACGCGATGTGAGATGGGGATGGAGGCCAAGCGGAGGCCAAGCACCAGAAATGACAAGGGCCGCGCGTAGAGTAGGACTCGTGTGCTCGTCCTTGTACAGGTACTAAAGACAAACACCGACAATTCAAGGACCAAGGACAAAATCCAAGAAACGCAGAAGAAAATGGAAGAATAAAGGACCGGGCTCGCACGCACACACGCGTACCGAATATATATATACCTATAAGCAGGGTGTATAAATCACACTACAGTACTACAAGCCCTACCGTTTCTAGTAGTTTTCGTTTCAATCAAACGCTTGGAAACCGTCCCGCTGGTGGCTGCGAGAGAGCCGCGGTCAGGGCCCATTGGTGCGCGTCCGCTGTCTGCAGGAACAAAAGACAAGTCAACCCGGAATAAAAAAAAATCAAATCACTAGCAGTGCCATCAGGTGCCAGAGCTTCTGGGGGGCGATCTGGTCCCAGCCTAGAGTGGGCAAGATGAAGAGGTGCCCACTACTACGTATCCAGCAGTTAACCCCCATGCTCGTGCTGCCAAAAGAACGGTGAGAAAACGGCCAATTTAATAAGGCGCGGACCGTGACGGTTCAGAAGAAAAAACCGTCAGGGGAAGGGGAGTCGCCCCGGCCAAAAGAGCCAACGCAACTCGCGGGTAGACTAGGACACCACAATTGTGGTAGCCGTGCTGGTACTAGCAGCATGTACGTGCTGGCAGCCTTCACGGAGCGAGATGGAAGGGAAGGATAGAGGCGACAATGGGCTTGGGCATATCCTGGTCATACCTGGGTATGAAGTACCTAGTGCAAGTACAAGTACTTATACACAGTTTTGGCAGGGGAGTGAATATCCCAGCAGTGGCTAGCTATATCATGTGTGGGTGTGTGTCTACTCCATCCAGAGTGCTAGTATTATACCATACCTACGAGTGGTGTGAGGCCTTACTCACATACAAAGCACAGGTGAGTAATGGATCCATGTACTCGGTTGCGTGCGTGCTTCATCCGCGAATGCTATGGTGCCATGCCGCAGCGGCGAAAAGGTGGCGTTATATGATATGGACGAGCCGGGGCAGAAGGAACATGAAGGCTTGGAAGAGGCACATACCGTAGCTCGAGTCAAGAGACCGACAGTGAGGAGACGAGGAGAAGCCGGAGCACCAGATGAGGGGGCAAGGGATGGGAAGTACCTAGAGCTGAGAACATCGGTCTGCCTCGTATAAACGAGCAGGCAAATAAGAAGAAAAAGAAATGGCAAAGATGCTTGTACGCATGGCAGCAGCAGTATAAGAGAACCTTGGAGACAAAGAAACCCTACAAGGCTTGCGGACCTGAAGCAGGCGGGCCTCCAAGCCGTTCGGGTTCGACTCCGTCGTGCCGGCTGCATGCACAAAGACCAGGTCCTTGTCAAGTTCCGTGGAAAAGCCAAGACCAAGATCGAGGAAGGAAGCGTCATAATAGCCGGTGTCTCATATCGTGACGAGGCTGCAACCCTAATGCGTGGGTACTTGGTGTTTCCTAGGGTATGGGCTGTACCTCTGCTTCGTGCAGGCTTTAGACACTTGTCTGTGCATAGTAGAGGTGGGCTGCATGGACGTACATGAAGGTACATGTATTTATCTATAGACCGGGAGAACGCGCAGCATTGCTGCTGCAATATAGCTCATGACATGGCATGTGCCACTACTGTACTTAGTGCGTGGTTATACATGCGTCATCACCAACTGCTGGCACAAATACCTGGTAGTATACCGCAGATATTACTCTGCATACGAGCAGGAGAAGAGACAACAGGCTGACCCAAGCTTTGACAGACACACTACGCCGCCCGTGTTTCTTGCCTGGTCATTGCCTGTCTGCCTCTACCTCTGCCTCTGCCTCCGCCCCTGTACGCCAAGGGCTGGGACGAGATGAGGCGATAGCCGTGACTTGAAATCTCGTCGCTGGTGTCGTCATTACTGCTGTATATTTTGCTGCTCTTTCTCTCCAACAATACCTACATCTAACTACAAGAGCAACTTGGGGAGCGTTGTAGTTGTATGCCGCACACAATGCCGCATATGTCCAAAGGAACATGTACGCATAATACGGTTGCACTGCATTGCATTGCACGGGCAAGGGAGCTTGAGGACTAGACTCTGGGCAATGCGTTGCCATTTTTTTTTTTTTTCCCTCCTACTCAACTGGTACGTATCCAATGAAAACATCCAGCCTCGACATTAGAAGTCGCCGTTTGCTGCTAGTGCCGTGGTTCAGCTTGGTCTATCACCTAGTCTACTCGTAATTGATATTCAATGGTGCTCCCCGGCCTCAGAGGTACTTGTACCCAGGCCCTTTTTTTGTTCGTTCCCGATAGCTGGGAGAAGGAGTAATGCCTGCATGCAACAAGAGGGTAGCTGCAGATTATCGAAACCGGGGGGATTTGAAAAAGCAGAGAGGGAGGGAAAAGCTACAGGGTGCAAGATTGGCTCCGTCGTTCCTCGGGGACCACACGCGGCAATGCCGGTCACAGCCAGGATCCCAGGAGCCTGGCAGACTGCGCGGGGGGGTTGCTGCCAGAGGAGAGAGAGAGCATGAAGGGGAGACGAGGGCGAGATGCAGCAGCCTGGTGCTCCTGGAGTGGCACAGTAGCCAGGGCAGGGGCCGATGCTCGGTATTTGCTACAGGCATAGCATGTATTATACGAAGCATGTAGGTATTCGTAAGTGTGATGCTCGTGCAGCACGCCACACAACGAGAGCGAGGCTTTGCAGCATCAAGTTGCATGTGCGTATGGTCCACGTATCCCGTACATGCTGTAAGTGACGGGTAAGGCTCCCCGCTCCAGCCCTTTTCTCTCCTCTAGAGTCTGTGCGGGCTGCACGTCGCCGACGATGACATCCGCGACTGGCCTGGTAGGCCAACTGTGGGAACAGTGAAGCTGGTCGCCATCGGAAAAGTCACAGAGCCATCGTGATGCAACGGGCGATGGACCTCTTTGCCCGGAGAGAAGCGGGCGTGTGTGTGGCTGCACTCGCGTACGTGAATCCATGCTCTGTGGCACCTTGCTTTGACACACCTTGTTACTGCCGTTGTCTTTTTGTTCAATTATATTATACTATATTGTATAGGAGTTGTTTAGCATAACTATGCCAGCCGTGTGCATCTATTATGCGCAAAGAGTGCTTCCCGTCCGCGAGGTCATCTTAAACCCACCCTCTCTCATTGGACACGCAGCTGCCCCTGGGTCACTATACTCATTCCACGCCTGCAATCAATGACGCTATGCTTTGTATGAGCGCCAGTAGGTATATAGATTAGTTGGTAGGTACTGGCTAAACTCCATGTATAGAGGTACATTGTCTATCCTCTTCCAGAATAAGAACCGGGCTTGCTTGACGATAAACTCTCCTCGCCCGATTCATATCCAGGGCGAATTGCCCTGCCTCGCCTTCTGGCTGAGATTCAACAACCATGCAAGCTGCTCGTGTATGTGAAAGAATATATCACATCACAGCAACACTGCAGCATCAGGGGCCGGCGCCTGAAACCATGCAACGACGCATGAGAGTATTACAGCATACTCTACTTGCCAAGTATGAGTATCAGCTACAGCTACTAGTTCTACCTACAGGATGTGCGCCCTACCTCGGTGCCAATTCATTAGCGTCAGTGGGCATAGCCAGCATCTGCAGCCATGTCACAGGGCTTTCGAATGGAATAGGTAGACATAGACTTTTGTTCTATTGCCTCTGGTACAGTAAGCTAGGAATTATTTATCAGCTTTCCTAGCGAGCTAACACCGAAGCCCAATCAGTGCCAAGCCAAGGCGGAGGCGCAGAAAGCTGCTCCGTACAAGCACATCACCGAATGTTTGACTCCTCTTTTGTTCCTGCTTTTCTCCATTGCTTTTCCTGGCTTTCCCTTGCTTTCCTTTTCCTTTCTTTTACTCAGTTGCCAGGGGTTTCAAGCCAGGCATATCCATTTGATTTTAAAGTTGGCCGACACTCCCCACTGGCTCTTCATTGGTGCTGCTTGCTGCCACTTGCACGGCCATGGTACAACTCGCCGGCCCATCTGCGCTCTTCTTTACCTGCTACCTCTCTCTCGCCGCCGCGTTCTTCTTCCGCTTCTTCCTTTTGTCTTCCTTTTGCCCCCCCACTTACGGGCCTCCCAGGTCCTTGTTCAGCCATCTTACTGTAAAGGGAGGTCAATAACAAGAAAGAGTAATCACAGCCTGCCACCTAGACTCGAGCCGTACTAGTAGCAGTCGTAAACAGGTCAAGTCGACGGGCTCTCTGGCGGGAGATGCTGGGCACTACCTTGTAGGCACCCGAGCTCGCCGACTCCATCCAGCCTTGACACATGTAGCGCCATGTGCCCAAGGCTCTCAAGCCCTGCTTAGCGCTGTGATGAACAGCGATTAGTGCTGTGTATATACAAGGAGCGGTACATGCACGAGGACTGGCCAGCAGGCTTTGCTTCCATCACTGCCTCCTCGACTGCCGAATCCTGACCCGAGCCCTGTATGCCACCAGCAGCGCCAGCATGAAGGCGGCCGGTAACGAGTACTGTACAAGCCGCTCGTCTCCAGTTGTAACCCCAGTTCCCAGGCCAATGATGGACAATACCTCGTCAAAATAGCTCCCGTTGTCGATCTCAGCGCTCTTCACTAGCGGCGCAGACATGTCCTTCCACTTCGCTAGTAGCAGCACTAGTATACTAGTGGTAGTAATGTTTGCTCTTCGGCCACTAAAACGAAGAGGGGGGCGGCCAAGATTCTCATGGGTTAGGGGAGCAAACATCTTCCAACTCGGCCCAAGGAGGGGACGCGTTAAAGGCGAGATACCGACGGCTGCAGAGGGGGTTAAAGTCCATGTACAGCGTGATAGATAGGCAATCCTTGGATAGGAAAGTCTGTATGATGGCTCCAGGACAAGGCATGTTCCTGCTGGATTGCAGAGTACACAAAAAGCCACACACAATATCAATGCTAGCACCAATTTTTTACTTTGAACAAGACCGGGGGCTTGAGAAGACGGAAAAAGCCACTCAGACCCATTGACGCGGGCGTGTGCTTCCTTCGCTTCATGCAGCAACAGCCGATGCTATGCCTAGGCCTGCAACGACACGCATACAAATCAAGTCATCAAGCGCGTAGACTGCCGATTGGCTCTCTCCAACGGCCGCTGTGGCTTGCTCCGAGACATGCCTACTATGTACGTGCAAGTAAGCACGCAGCCGAGGACAGCACATACGTACATACATACATTGTAGCTTGAGGGCTCTTGCATTGCATTGCCTGGCAGGTGGCCAAGGCCTTGCAAAGCGGCGGTACTTGTACGACGCAACAACAGGTTTTGCGCTGTCCACGGCCAAAGAGGCTGAAGATTTCTCTGCCAATCAGAAGAACAGGTGAGGCCAAACCTTACATGCACAGACACTGATACATTAGGGCGCCGGATACTCTCGACACGCATAGCCGGTGGCACGGATGATTTCCGCGCAGTCATTCTGCGGAAACACAAGCGTGTGCTTGCTATTATTGTATACCTCCAGCGTAATACTACATGTTATTCCCTTGGAAGGGGGGGGATTGCATAAGTCTCTTCGCACGCATATCCTCTCGTCTTCTCGCTTAGGTTGTTGGAGCATCTGTAGACCGGAGTTATATGCTGCTAAGTCCATGTATGATGCTTGCGTTAGACACAACACCATCACCGCATCACGATCACCGGCAAAACTTGCTTTGCCCTATCAGCAATGGGAGCAGTTTCTCCGTATACGCTGCAAGTTACATACGACTACGAAATTAACAAATGTGACTGCCCCCTTGTTCGTAAATGGCGCTAATCGTGCCTTGTCGTTGGTAGCAGAGTGGTATCGCCTCCATCCTACAGTAAAGCTATCCGGTGAGGCATGCTTAAAGGGTCGCATGAAGTGCTTTGAATCAGTTAGTAGCACAGATCAGGGCAGTAACCTGCGCAGAATTAACGACGTGTAATATTATTACTCCGCAGCCAGCATGAAGGTACTACCTGCTTGTAAGTAGGCCCATTTATATCCTCCGAGACAGGGCATTCTGTGTACAAGGCAAGTTTGACCACAGCTACCATACACTCAGTAGCACTAGGTACCTCGTAACTATACATACCTACATAATTACGGATGCTCCGTCCACCCATGCTCATCTCACGCACATACAGGTACCTAAGGCTCGGTAGGCCAGTCGTACTGCGTACAGGTAGCTTACGCACGGATACCGACACGGATACCGACTTCATACCTACTGCCCTGGGTTTGGGATATCCTGGCAAGTTGCTTGTTTCCACAGACATCTTAGTAATTGCTCACAGCACAAAAGCCATAGCTCTTTAATTCCGCTAGAGACTCCACTCAATCGTCTTCAGAAATTACTTGAAACGGATAATGATCTTTGAGGCTGGTTGGCCAGTCGACACTTGAGTGATATGGAATCTGGATGGCCTTCAAAGCACATGTAGCTTTCGTTCCACATTTATATTGTAAGCCACTTGCTTCCTAATCACCTACCTTTCCGATTGACTGGTAGCGCGGGTTGTAAACTGAGAGCTGATGAATACGTCTACTTTTGTATTCTAAAATAGATATGGTTCTACAAGTGCAGAATGCACTCTGTACGGAGCATCGACATCCATATATCGCCAGTCCACAGTCCTGGGTCTAGTATAGAGAGCTATCGAGCTTTATGTCATATCTCGTAGTGTATCCCGTATGCCACTAGTTTATTATCCAGCAACACTTATAGCACACGAGCTTGTAACCGAGCTCTTTCTTTGTTCCCTCTATAGGTCTAGGTATTCCCTGTTTTCGTTCTTTAGCCCCTCCCTCAGCTAAGCCCTTGTTCGCGTTATACCAAGATTTCCCAGCTCAGAAATCCGCCGTGGTCAGGTGTTTGCTCCCTTGCTCTCTTGATGATGGCACTCCATCCACCCTGCCTTTCTCGATGCCGGCGAACATCATCAATGCCAGCTAGCCTCCTCCACAAGAGTCTCATTCCACTGTATTATAGATACCTACTAGCATACATGTACTCGACGCTTTTCAGCTCCTGCACATACCCATTTGCGATACCACCACACCTAGTAAAGGCAAACATTAGATCCCACGTTAACCCCCACTTGACGGCTGTCTACGCGTGGCTTTGTCCGGCAGCTGAGCTGCTGTTAATATTAATATATTACTAGCAGTATTAGTCCCATTACAATGCACATGATGTGCAACAAGTATCTACAGCATATATTAGTGTGTCTCTAAGTAATACAAGGTACACGCCTGCATTATCAGCATTTAATATGAGTACGGATACCAGCAAAGGTGACGAAAAACATACTTGCCTCTGCATGTCTGGGTCTGGCGTAAAATGCGTGCAAAAGGCCGTCTAGTATACATGTATGCATCAGGTGATGGCGAGTTTTCACAAGCACCACCACCCTCTAAATATTAACACATATACAACTACAGCAACACATCACCATGTCTGCTCTTCAGAATAGGCTGGCAGACGGCAGAGGTTGAATGTTTCAACTCCAATCACCGCGCCAAGCTGCACATTCACACAAACACACAAGCAACCTGCATACAGACCAATACACGCATACAAGCAGGCAGTTCTAAGTATCTAGTAGGTATATATCCATGCTTTCAATGCTGTCCTTGTCTCATTGTCTCCCCCAGCATCATCCCAAAGCCTGCCCTATGTCGGCAAGAATAATAATAGCGCGCACTCAAAAGGAAAGCCACTTCAGCGGTCCGTGGCGTGCCGCAAGCAGCCAGGCCTTCTCCTCTGTCTTTCCGGGGGGGTTGATTGGATCGCCGGCGTCAATCTCCACTCCATCACGATGCCTGTCCGCAGTAGACAAGGCCCTGCGTCTATTGGCCCCCGTACTGCAAAATGCTTGTGCTACACACCAATGCCACCGTCGCCGCTACTGCTACTCTAGAGTGATGCCGGGACTAACACCAATGATGCTGTCGCCGTAACTACATGTAGTTATGCTTCCACTTAGTAGTTAGCATCATGTATGCAGGTTTGCTTTGGCGTTCCCTGCGCGGGAACCGACAGGGTCCTGAGCCGGCCTTCTCGTGGTCGTAGAAGTACTTGTAGCATCGCCCTACGGCAGATCTGCTCCGAAACCAAATTTCCAAGCAAGGAAGCTGAAGCTCATTCTGCGCCTTCTTACAGCCCCCAAGGATGTTTCAGTGTGCCCGGTCCACAAGCGCACGAGCACAAGCGCAGGAAACTGGTGGAGGGATTCATTTGAGACATGCAGGATTAGCTGTAACCTTCTGCGCAGAGAGACGAAATAGAGTTGAGAAAGCACAACGCAGCTACGTAGAGGCCAGGTTCAATAATGACAACAGGAGAGCGCGTTATGCAAAACTTGGCATGGAAAAGAATTGTGAACTGTCAGGTGTCTCCAAGAGAGCCCGATATAGGTATTACACACACTGACCAATCTCTGTGTCACCCTCTCGGGGCCAGCCGTCTCCACGGCGAATCATTCGGCTCACAAGGCTCTGCGCAGCGGTAGGTGTCACATCTCTGTGCTGCTCGACCACGGGCGTAATCTCTTCAGCGGCACGTTGCCCAAAAGGTCTCCCTGTAGGACACGGCAGACCTGGAGTGAAACCCGGGGCTTAAAAGGACTCAATTGCTATAAAGTCGCAGCTGGATGTATCTCTCAAGAGGAGTGTCTATAGCGAGATATAGAGGAATTCAGACAGAGTGCATCCAGGCGAGGCAACGAATTCACGCGTAAGCAAGTGTCGCTCTGGAGGATACGATGACGAAGCTCGGAGCGCCTGGTGGATCGATCGATAGCCGTTAGATTACAGAGCACGAGAAGCTTTCTGTTGCGATAATCTCCAGCTTCCTCTTTGGAGTGTGACAGCTGCGGGCCGTGGATTATAAGTGGATATACTCGTGGCAGACTTGTGAATTATCTCACAGTAGTAGCAGTGTGTGCTTTTTTGCCAATGATGCAGCCATAATAATCAGCTCTCTGCCCTACGTATCGTGGCTGCACAGCATTAGTGTCGTAGATATGTGTGTGGTGTGTAATGTGATGGTGCTGTGTCAAGGCCCAGTCTAGATTCTTTATCCTACCCTGCACTGTAGACTCTATTTTCGCTGTGATACACGTCCACGCATCTTCTATCTATGGTCTCATGCAGAGCAAGAACAAAAGAGAAAAGAATACGAGACATGCTGCTGTGTGGAACAAGCCTTGGCTTGTGTCTCTATGGATGGAGAGCAAACCGTTTCACTACTTAGGTATAGAAAGAACTACGTGTTGAAGACTATACTAGAGAATTAGTAATAAGTCATTCTCCTATTGCTCAATACTTGCTCTCGGATTTCCCTTTCTGTGTCAATCCCTGCGCAATCCTCCATCACTACTAGTGAATGATAAATTCAATGTGGATTATTTGACTTATAGCATCAACGTTCCACTGCGTGGATAATGGAGATGCTTCACACCCTTGTCTGAGCCCAGCTACGCGGTGTAACACTCCCACTTTTCTATACCTCCTCTCCCTTCTCTTTTTCTTGTTTTGATATCTCATCCCTGACACTTGATACCCGGCATTCCAAACTCGCTTCTATGCAGCTTTGCCAATCGGCCTAGATTTGTTCCGTCTGTTGTGTTGAGGCATGAATCGAAGCATCGTCGTACTCGTACAAATAAGGGATTACGGGATTATATTATCCGCGTTGCCTGTTTTATAGAATCAGGAGACTTATTGGCTGAGATTAGATGAGGTCAGAATGGAACATGTTTAGGGGCAGTAATCTCTGCTGGCTGTTTGGGCAATTGGCGGTCATCCTGCTCCGAGCGGCTGACTTGCAACCGAAGACAGAATCCCACATATGGGCTCTCCTGGTTTATTAAATGCTCTCCGTACCGTGTTTCATCAACGTATTAGACTGTGAATCTTTCATCACCGAGTACTTCATTAGGTATCCCTGGAAATCTCCTGGTTAATTGTAGTACATAGCGGAGGGATACTCGTTAAAATCCACGGTCCAATATTTCGAGGAACATGGTATGTCTGTGTCTTTCAAAGCTATGGATTCATGCAAAACAGAATCTGATACATAGAATCTCATAAAAGAAGAAGTGTCTAGAAAAGGAAACCATTCTCTGAAGCGATATATACGCATGAACTACGGAGAATCCTGCCCTGTCTTATTCTTAGCCGCGCCATTCGGATGTCATCCGCATCCTTGATATCGCGGTGGCGGACGCATACATATCACTTCGTCTACAGAGTGCTACACGTAGTTACATATATGTGGGTGTCTTCTTTTTGGTTGGCATGACAAGCATCAATCGCTGGCCTCGCTCTATATTGGCCAATCCCAGTCAGCCTATTTCCCCCCCTTTCTGGCAACGTAGCATTTCCTCGCTAAGCACTGGCGTTCAGCTTTTATCCGCCGCAAAAATCTACACACTGAAGACCCGGCTTTGTTCTCCATCTCGCGACGGCGCTTGTATATGGGGAGTGATCATCCGGTAATAAATTTCCGGCGTGGGGGTGTTATAATAGAAGCTTGCTTGAAAGGGGGCATATGTGTCTTAAGTCTTCCCCAAAGCAAAGTGAGAGAAACAGAGCTCAACATAATAGAAGAAAGAAAGAAAGAAGACAATGTAATCATAGTGGCGTTAACGCAGACTTGCCTTTGCCAGACCTATGTAGTTGGCGCTGTGCTTGACGACCCCCAACTTTCGCAAGGTTGGCTAGGGCTTGAACATCGAGACCAGGAGTCGCGTCTTCGAAAGAGGAATGCTCGTTCCGAAAGCCCTCACCCTCTCGAAATACCGCCCCAAATAGCTCATTAATGGACGTGGTCAGACTATCGAGCGCCTGGATTCTGCTGATGTCGGCATCAGATGTTATCTCTAGGACGCCTGCCTGCTGGTTGACCGATCCCTTGATCTTGCCATCAATAATGAGAAAGCTAAGGATATCTTGCACCTCTGGCTCTGATATTCTCAGCTGCTTTGCGATCCATGAAAGCTTCATGCGTGTGTAAGGCGCAATGAGTTTTAGGACTCCCTTGGTCCGTATGTTACGAGTAACTTCATCGATATTCTCTGCGATAAAGGGATCTGCTAGAATGTCCTGGTTGTTTCGCAGTGCCTTCTCGTACGCGTGAACGTCGTCCCGCTGGTATGCATCGACAAGCTCCGTCATAGCGGAGATGCGAGGATCAGACTTGTAGGGCTTCGTCTCTTGGGAATCAAACGGGTTGATGTTTGACTTCATCAGCATGGTGGTGAGAAGCAGATACTTGAGAACTTGGATCCGCTGTAGTGATCCTGCCTCGTCGTAGTTGCGGAATGATTCAAAAAAGTCACTTTGCGCCTCCTTCCAGTTCTCCTCACTCATGTGCATTTTGCCGCCGCACTCACGGATGATGCCCATGATGCGGGGGTGTGGAACGGCAGACTTGACCTTGAGCGCACGATTATACAGTGTCTTGAGCTGTTTGTTGTTTCTAGTCTCGGCCAACATCTGAATCTCCAGGGCGTAAATCTCGAGCGAATAAGTTCCCTTGCCCGGGTCATCGCTGCCATCGGGGCGCTGACAGGCCTTGTGCAGCTCCCTCAGCTTCTTGGATACTGCCGAGTACTCTTTGCGATCTAACAAGAGTTTGGCTAGCTTGATGTTCGTCTTCAGCCACAACCGCTCGTTGTTCGTGCTCTGGAAGCTCTGGAGAGTTAGGGAGTAGAACTTTTCTATGCTTTTCACCGCCGCTGACTCGTCGGCGCCTTTTTCGATGTAATCGAGCATGTTGTTGATGGACTTTTCCGAGTAATTTCTCGTGACGGCCGATTTGACGTATGTGAGCAGCTCGGCAAAGTGATCGGCTGCCTGGAGCACGTAATTTGTCAGTGAACTGTATCAAATCATCCCAGCCTAGACGCCAGCCTCACTCACCTCATCGTACTGCCCCAGCTTGAATTCCAGCTTGATGGCCTGCTTCAAGCCCTTGAATCCCCATTCTCCCTTGTCAGGCTCGAGAGGCGGTATTCCGAGAAACTCCGCAATGGCATCTTGGGGGTCGCTGAGCTTCAGCTGCTTCGCATTATAGTATTTGTTCTCGATGTCGACATCTCCAGCCTCCTGCTCGTCGTCGTCTTCCTCGTACTCGAAGTCGTATCTGCTAGGCATCAGCACAGGCCGTGAGCCCCTCGGCTTCCTAGGATTAGGACCAACTGTTCCTCATCGGACTCTTGCATGAAATCCTCGTCGTCAGACATGGCGGCTGATTCTATGGGCTATCGGAGTGTTGGAAACGGAGAAGGAGCTTCTTTTAAGCAACCAATTTGTCGTAGAGATGCTGATGGAGTCGTGGCGCTATGTCTGTTGGGTCGTGAGCAGGCGTATCTTGAAATCGAAGCTTCAGTGGAGTCGCTCTGCATCGTATCTGTTAGGTGACAACTTCGCGGGGCGCGCTGGAGCTTATCGATAGGAGCTGCACTAAGGAATATTCCGCTCCGATTAGCGCCATAACCTCCCAAGTATATGTATAGAGCACAGGCACTTACATCATTTCATGATTCTGGTACATATTCATAGAGTACATACTTAGTATTAATGAAATGGTTTGATCAGACTCGACTTGAAATTAAATACAGGGTTATCATCATTGAACATATGAAATCATGTAGCCACCAACGCCGTCTGTATAGCCCCTCCATATTGTCTCAATTCTCATCTTGTGTTTTGCGTCCCGCGCTGCTTCTCTTTCTAATCTAAAACTCATGTTTCTCGAGTTCTACTACTTATTCTCCCAAGATGTTAAATGGCTTCGGTCTAAAGTCTAACGAAAACGAGCGCCGTCATAACTCCAACTCCCAGCAGAGTGGTTGCTAAATACGGCAGCCCCATCCATACTCCTCCCAGCTCCATGCCACGACTTAGGAGCCATCCCATGACTGGTGCGCCCAGGAAGCCGACGAGAGTCTCCATGGTAGACATGGTCGTGTTCAGAGTGGCAACTGTATGCGGCTCAACCACAGCATTGAGCAGCGCACGGCACAGAGAGCTGACGCCCACGCCAATGTTGGTGATGACCATGGCGCAGATGAACAGCCACGGAACTCCGGCCAGGGCAGTGAGCAGGCTGCCAGCGATGAAGACGACGATGGAGGCGCGGGCCAAGAACAGATCTCGGCTGATGGAATCAAAGCGGAATCGTTTGCTCAGAATAGAGGATGATATTGGCAGCAGCACCAACAAGGTGAAGACTCCCGCCAAACTGCTGACTGTGTTGATGTATGTTGCCTATTCATGTTAGCAATGCCGCTACTTGGATGTCGTATATAAGCAAGGGGCTTTTTCTTACAGTTGACCACTCCCAGTTGAAGCGGCGAGTCATGTACTGCAAAATGTCCAAGACAAATGTCAACTTGATGAGGTAGAATGGACCATAGGCAAGAAGGAGCAGTACGACCGTCTTCGAGGTGAAGATGAAGCGCCATACGTGAGACACATCGTTCTTGGCGGAAAACCATGCGCGCTGCGCCAGTTCTCTCGCACTAGGAAGCTTCTTCGATGGAAGCAGTGTTTCTTGCTGAGCGGTAGATGAACCATCCTGACCGCGGCGCTTGTTGTCGGCAGCCTGGCGGAACTTGAGCGTCTCCGGGATGAGAGCAGACGACAGCATGCCTATGGTGAGGACGGTGTTTCCGATCCACATTGCAAGCCAAGGATCAATGCTGAGAAGGAATGCAGCGATGGGGTTGACAACGATGGAGATGAGAAGATTCATGGCGTAAATCAGGTAAAATGCGCCAGTTCTCTCGGAAACGGGGACGACGTCGGCAACGATGGTCGAAATCATGGCAACGACCATCTGGCTGCCGCCGCCGATTAAGAGGAAAATGCTGCCGTATAGGATGCTCCATATGGAGAAAGTATCGGGGAAGAAGACTGTGCAAGGGCAAGGTCAGATGGAAAAAAAAAGATCAGACAAAAGGTGGAAGAAGGAAGAAGAGAGGGAGGATAATACATACGGACAGTGGTTATCCAAGCTTGCTCGAGGAAACATCCAAAGAGGGAGAGAAATATGACAAGACGACGGCCATACTTGTCAGCAACGACTCCAAAAGAGATTTGGACGAAAAGCGCTATGGCTCAAATGTCAGCGGCAAGAGGTAATGGAACCAGAGTCTAGAATCTTTGTCAACACTTACGGAGCAGCATATCGAGAGACGTGCTCCACGACCGCACCATGGCCAGGGTCTTCTGCACTTCTGTGTCCTTGCACCGGTTATCGTGAAGCTGCGGCATCGCTATGGCATGATCCGGGTGGTAACGCCGGCATATGACATCCTCCATGATCTGCTCCATGGGAGGATTGAGAATGTACTGGCTGACCTCGACGATGAAGAGGAACAGGACGCACATTCCCACGACGAGGCGGCGGAATCCCTTGGAGGGCGCAATATCGGCTGGCAGATCGTTGTTCTGCAACAGCGACGTTTCCTCGTCGGCTTCATCCTCACTGATACGGTGACGGTATCCGTTTCCAAAGGCCTCAATGTCAGAGCCCACGCCGGCAGGCTCGGCGTCTGCTTCGGTGCCGTATCGGGTCATGATAGGGCAGATTTTGGGGTATTTTTTATTTTGTGTTTTATTATAGTATTAGAAGGTCCTTAAGAGACGGGAAAGAAAAAAGAATGAATAACTAAATGAAATGCTGCAAAGACTGTATTATAAAACCCCGTCAGGGCCAAGGACTGGGAGAAGGGGGCACATAGGGGGGTTGAGATGAGAAGATAGATCATCTACATGACGACACGATATGCACGACACGTCGATAGCATACGAAGCGTAGCAAAGACAACAAATACCCCACGGTCTAATTCGAGGGCACAAGGGATAAGGTTAGCCGGCGGCGTGAAGCCTTTATCAAAGCTTCAGGATCCCGGCGGCGGTGATTGGCGCGGCCGAGGGAACTTTTTACAGTGGGTACAGCATCCGGAACGCGTACGCCACCAAACCATGACAATGGCCGTGTCAGCAATATTCCGTTCTTTGTCGCATTTGGGACGAGGCTATTGCGGCGGGGAGGTGTTTTGCCGCCAGGGCTGGAGAGACGGAGTTGAGAATGAGACTTCAAGGTTGTCTGGAATGGCCAAAATGCTTTGTTGCTCCCTCCTTTGCAGCGAGCGAGTGCTGAGAGGCATACGAGCCAAGTACTACCTATTACTAGTAGTATGTATAAACGCTGCTTTTGGGAATGGGGCGGCACAAGCTCAAAACGGCAGCAAAGATAAGGCAGGGCTATTTATTGGTGTAGCCGATGCTGACCACTTTCCGCATCCATGGTTCATGGATTCAACTGCTCTCGGCAACGAATGGCGTTATATGAGCCTAATATGAGTGTCTCATTCCATGCGGGGGATTTTCCGAATGACGGAGCGGTAAACCAGTGCTCATCAGCCGGGACAAGGCTACGTGCATGCATGTATTGTTGAGGCCAGGAGCGTAGACCAGGCCGTTGTCGTGATATGATTCCAGCAACGCGTGTCATCTCTTGGCTCGTGGCAATCAATCAATGCTCGTGGCAGCGTCGAAGCATCAACTGGACACAGACCCGGGGCTGAACAAAGTTCCAAGCCATGGGTGCAAATTAGCAAACGCTAGCGGGTACCTGGCCCGCTAGCTGCTTCACTTGCCTCGAGATTATAGCGCCAGTTACAGGGGCAGGACACGCTGCTGGACGATGGACCCCGCCATCGAACCCCGCCATCGGCCTCTAGCCGCATCTTGCTGAGATTTGGCATCGTCATTGTTTCTGCTCCCTCATTTCAAAAGCAGCCACAGTCGCGTCACCATGTCCTTTGCTAGTGCAAAAGTGCTGTCCACAACGCCGCTGGTAGGTGCTGACATGCTCGGATTAGCCAGTCGCCCAGCCGTGCGCCAAGCTGCCGTCTTTCTCTCTTTCTTGCTGACCCCGATGCGCCGTCACAGTCCAACGACGAGTCGCGATGGATCTCCCTGAGCAAGTAAGAAGAATGGAACAGCCACCAGACTGCTTCCTCCTCTCCTCTCCTCTCCTCTCCTCTCCTCTCCTCTCTCCTCTCCTCGTTCATCTGTCTGATATATTGCGCATAGAATCACGTACCAGGACCCCAAGGGCACCGAGCGAGTCTGGGAAACCGCTGAGAGACGCACTCGCCCTGCCGGCGCAGACATCGACGGCGTCGGCATCGTCGCCATCCTGGACAAGCCCACGGGCAAAGAGATCATCCTGCAGAAGCAGTACCGCCCGCCGGTCGACAAGGTCGTGATCGAGGTCCCCGCCGGACTGATCGACGCGGGCGAGACCGCCGAGCAGGCCGCCGTGCGCGAGCTGAAGGAGGAGACGGGCTACGTGGGCGTGGTATCTGAGACAACACCCATCATGTATAACGACCCTGGGTTTTGCAACACGAATCTGCGCATGGTGCACGTCACGATCGATATGTCGCTGCCCGAGAATCAGGATTTGAAGCCGGAGCTGGAAGAAAACGAGTTCATCGAGGTCTTCACCGTGCCGTTGGCGAGCTTGTGGGAGGAATGCAAGAAGCTGGAGGCGGAGGGCTATGCGATCGACGCGCGAGTAGGCACATTCGCCGAGGGTATCCTGCTGGCACAGAGGCTCAAGCTATAACGTTATGACGATGAAGATGGGCCATGAAAATCTACCATTGGAGCAGCCAATTCTATTTTAATCTTGTGAAGAGGGGAAACTGGAGGGGAGGAGCAGCAGCAGCAGCATCAGCATTAGCATCATTAGCATCTTCAGCATCTATCAGGGCTTCTTCTTCAGCTACAGCTTCTTCTCTTGGCGTAGACCCTGCCAAAGCGCCAGTGCGGCGAGGGCCTTGGCATCCCGAGCGCCCTCTTTCCACAAATCCTTCATGGGCACCACCTTGAGCGTGATTTTCTCTCCAGAGTCTCGTTCTCCTGTGAGACGCCCCTCCCACTCGCTCAGCTGGCTTCTCGGAATGCGTCGCTCAGCGCTGTAGATGGTGATATGCTCGTCGCAGCCACCCGCACTCGGGAACACGGCAGCAGCTAGATTTTCCTTTTCGCCCATGGTGTCCGTATCCGTATTCCGCTGTTCTCTAGACGCCTCTGCCAGTTGGCTAAGGCATGTCAACTCGTCCTCGTGAATCGTAATGCCCAGCTCCTCCTCAATCTCCTTGGCTGCCACGCCCTTGAAGTTACCAGCCCCGTCCACCATTCCCGCCGGCAGCTCCACAAACGTCAGGCTCCCGGCGGGGGTGCGCGGCTGGACCGTCAGGACGACGTAGCGCTCCTCCGAATCCGACGGCACGTCGTCCGGGATGAGCATCACCAGCATGGCCACGCTGGGGCCGCGCAAGAGGCATCCCGAGGGCAGCGTCTCTCCGGCAGAATTGGAGACGTGCGCGGTGAGCTTCATAAAGCCAATCCGGTTGGGTCCCCAGAAGTCGCAAGACTGAACCGTGACATTGCGAAGAACATAGGGGTCGGAGTGAAATGGGTGAGAGGCATGGCTTTGCAGCGCAAGAGACTGGGTCAGAGTATCAATCCAAGTCTATAAAGTGGATATTTTAGTAACTGTTTGAAGGTGCTTCCACTTCCATATTCTTGCTATATCCTATGGCTGGTTTTGGCTTACATTGAAAGGCTTGAAGGACTTGAGGTGAGATTCTGGATCGGGGAGCGTGTCCGGCATGGAAACGGAAATGCCGCGGTAAGTCAACATGGTGCGAAGATGCACGCGAGCAGAGATGTTTGAGGGGAGTTTGCGCCTCGGCCGTAGAAACATGCCGTGATAGATTTTGGGGGGGTGCTGGTGTATTTGATTACTTGAGCCGTCTGCCTGATACTATGAATGAGGCTGTGGATTCTCAACCCGGCAGTTCGCGTGACGTCAACGCCACTGAGGCTTCAATTTCAATTTAACGCTCAAGGTCTCAGCCCAATATGAAGACATGCACATGCACTATTATTACTGTTATCTCAGGGGAGTACTGTAATCTTCATATGTTTTCTCTTTTTTTTTTTCTCTCTTCTTCCTGCTGTGAAATCATCGACTCTTTAACAAGCTTCCAGACTCCCAGACGCCTTGGACCAAACAAAGTAAAACAAGAAAGCCCAGAAGAAAGCCCAGAAAGCCCATCTACACTGCCCAGTATACGTCAATCCGCACAGACTCGATCCTGTTCGCCCACCCGCCAAATCTCGCCCTGCCCCAGACCGTCACGACGTCGCCCACCTGCAGTCCTCTCACAAACTTTCCATCGCCTGTCTCACGACCTCTGCCCTTTGCCACGAGAGCTTGGCCACCTTCGGAATCAGGTGCAATGTCGTCCAGGTAAGACCACGTGATGGAGTGATCTTGCCACTTTCCGAAAGCTGTCTTGTTCCTTTGGATCTCCCATTCAGGTGAATGCAGTAGCTTGTGAGTGTAGTTGTAGCCGGCTGGATCAGATGATGTCTGCCGAATCTGAGGATGAAGCGGCCGGAGCGAGTCGACGGAGGGTATTGATCCATCTTCTAAATGGTTACATTAGTCATCGGCTTTTTGTCAATTTTTGTCGTTCTTTGTCAGTATGGGTGAGATGGGTATGAGCAAAACTCACCAGCACCGGATGCGTCAAACCTCTCCAATCCCGCGTCAAACCACGTCCACGATTTCGAATACGGGTCCTGGGCGTCTGAGGAGCTGGTGACCCATCCTTGGTCCTGGCTTCGAAACGAAAACACCACCTTTCGTGCGGGGTGAGTTAGGCGCGGCACAGGGTACTTGGCCGACTTGGCGAAGAAGCTGGCATCAAGGCTCTCGCCCAGCGGACGAGGAGTCGGCAGGGCCGTGGTGTATGGCTGGTCGTTGGCATTTTGCCGAGCTCCGGCGCTCACCAGCCCGAGCGGATACGATCGAAGCAGAAATCTGTCCTCCCGGTCTGGGTTGCCGCCCATGATGCTGATGCTCTCGTGCAGCTGCGTGGTTGAGTGAGCCCAGTACTCGGCAAAGTCGAAGATGGCGTCAATCAGGTCCGGCGGCAGCTTCTTGGTGCGGCACAGCATGGCCCTGACCACGGCAATGTCTATCGGGCTGGGCTCGTACAGATCGTGGCGCTCTGCATGATGCTGAATCGGCTCCTCGTCGTCCTCTGCGGTCGTTGCGTTGAGGCCCAGCGCTCTCATGGCGCTCCAGACGATGCCGGGGATGTTCACGGCCATGGCTGTAGCTGGAATATGTGTATCTTGTTTTATTGTAGCTTGCAAAAATTGATAGGAACAAGAGGTGGGTGAGAGAAATTATCAATAAGATATAACGCCAAAGGCAATGCTTTTGTAGGATCACAGTTTCACAGCAGAACGCGCGTTCCAGACCCTCGATTGGATCCTGAACGAGATGGAGGCATCATTTCATCTTGTCCTTCCACCTCATCGCGTGACGTCAGCGCGGCGAACAGCTTAGCGAGTTCAGCGAGCGCAAGCAGCGAGTACAGTGAAGAGTGGCCGCTGTGGACTTTTAGCTTGGACAAAGTAGATGTACTTGTCCTAGAGCTATACTGCTAACTATTAGGCAGCGCTGCCATGTTCATGTACAAACTGCAGCAGTTTCATCGAACAGGTGTTAGGACGTGCACTGGGAAACGTGCATTATGCGAACGACACACATGCTGCTAGGTACCTGTATGCACTTCACAAACACCATTGCTTCATATACAGAGATATGAACGAACAAAAAAAAAAAAAAAAAAAAAAAAAAAAAAAAAAAAGAAACAGAAATGATGCCAAAATTCATCTTAATCACATACAATATTTTTCTCTCCCTCACTTTCTTTCTACGAATGTCTTATCAATTTGAAGGTTTCAAAAGGTTTCACAATGTCGTCTCCAATAGACTGCCTAACCTGTAATTCAATCCAGCTTCCACGCATTTGTTGCAAGAGCTCGATTCGCGTCACAATGGTCATGACTATGGTAAGGGAAGAATAGAATCTGGGGGTCTTTTCGGAAATCAGATTATAAATTACGAATAAAATAAATGAGAACCAACTCTAATATCTTCTTTTTCTCGTTCACCCAAGCTCCATCTGCGACAAAGAACGTAGCCACAGGTCTTTAGGTACTCGCACAGGTAACCGCAGAGAACATAATAAAAATCAAGGGTCAATACAATATTTGAACCAGGTCGTGTTCATACTGCCATAGCCATGTGCCTAGCCTCGCAGTAGACAGATCCCGGCCTCAACAGCATCACATTTATCGTCAAGAGTAAGAGCACAAGAATCTGTACAGAGTATATGTCTGATTCAAGGGCCAGCATATGAATATCACAATGCAAGAAGAAGCTCAGCAATGTAAATAAGTGAAGTAGTATGTTCATATTCACGACCAAGCTAAATTATATGCAACGTGTTGTAGAAAGCCCAAGGGCTAAATGTGTGGGTTTAAAAAAAAAGTGGTAAATAAAAGTGTGTCCATAATTGCCATACATCCCTTTCTAGCTCAACACCTAAACGCCATCCAAAGGTCTGGAGGCAAAAGTTCAAACACGAAACAAGTCAATGAGACCCTTTTTTTGGATTAAAAAAGAAGACGCAAAAGAGTTCATCCACGCGCTGTTGTATATGGCCCCCATCGCTCTTTGGTTTCAAAAAAAAAAAAAGTTAAAAATAAAACCAGCCCGCTTCCTTTCTATCATGACGTTTATCGGGTTTTAGACTTCTCCGCCCGGGAGACCCTGGTATCCTGAGTGGCTCGCGCTGAAGGTCCGGATGGGAGCCGTGCTGGAGGCCCTTTGGGGACCGGCGTGTGACTGGGGAGGAGAGCCAGGGCTTCCGGGATGATCGGTCATGGCGTGATCAAAACCACTCGCGGTAGGGCTCTTGGAGCCTTGGATGAGGAAGGGAGCGGGCGACTGCATAGGCGACTCGATGTTGACGGCGGTCCAACCTTTGCTGTCAAGAGGGCTGACGTTTGCTGGGGGCGCATCAGCCGTGACGATGCCTTCTTTCCTCATACTGCGAGAATCGTAGTCAGTGTATGCGTCCGGGTCAACGCCTTCGCGTTTCAGCTTGTCGAGTTCCATACGGTCCATCTTTTCCATTTCTGTCGCCAGGCGGGCCTCTCGGGCACCGGATTGGCGTTGCTTGATGCAGTAGAAGATCAAGGCTCCGATCAGGACGGCTCCGACGACACCGGCCGCCGCGTACACGGCGATCCTGGCACCGGCAGGCAGGTTGTTCCACTTGTCGGCTGCAGACAGCTTGGGTGGCTGGTGGAGGGCCTCGTAGAATGTGGAGTTTTTCTCTCCGCTGGTTATCACCTGTCAGTAAAATCAAGAGATTCAACCGCTGGCTGTGCGGTACAGTATAATGCAACTCACCCAGTGACCTTGATGCTTTCATAGCTGCCAGTCATATCTCCGTACGTGTACTCGGTGCCACCACCGTAGTCAGTGACGCGAGCGCTCTTGACGTACATGGTGAATGGGCCCTTGGAGTAGTCGGTGTTACCACCGGCCCATTCACGGGTACCGTTGGGCATTCTGGGATCACCGCCAGCCCAGATACCGAGAGAGAGTCTCATGGGAGTCTGGGGGTAGTTTCGGGTCTTGTTGGCTTGCTCGGGAGTGAGAGTGCGGACCAGGTTGCCATCGATGTACCACTGAAGGGCGTCCTTGGTCCAGACGGTGGTGTAGTTGATGAAGTTTTCCTGGTTGTTGGCCGTGGTGTACAGGCCGGCATTGTGGAAATCCTCATAACCCTTGCCGAAGTAGTTGGTCGAGGCCATGGTGTTGTTGACACCCAGAAACTCCAAGTCGACCTCGTCGAGATCGTCACTCAGCCACATGGAAGAGCTGACAATGCCGACACCCGGGGCGACCTTGAGGAAGAGCTCAACACGGCCGAAGAAGAAGTAGAACAAGGTGCGGATAGTAGGCGAGTCACCCTGCTTGTTGATGGTGAAGCCGGCACCGTTTTCGTTGTCGTAGGTGACAGACCCAGCAGTCGTCTCCCACAGCTCATAAGACGGCGTGGTGTTGAAGTAGAAGGTGTAGTCGGTATTGAAGCCCGGGTCGGAAGGACATGTCGAATTCAACGGGTTACACGATGTGGAAACCTGGGCTGAGACGAGGCCCAGCAAAGGGGCGGCGGCCAGAAGACCGCTCAAGTACCGCATTTTGGACAGAGAGAGAGAGAGAGAGAGAGAGCGAGAGAAGAGCAGTTAACGGTATATAGGCGTATGTATGAAACAGCTGAACACACGGTTGGGTATAAAAGAGGTCGATGCGCGAGAACAGTACACTCCAAGTGGGAGTAATTGTATCAACTTAGGGAGTGTGTGGTTCCTCCGGCCCTGCAGAGAAGCGAATTTGGGATATATCTCGAAAGAGCGTATAAGTGATTTCTTTGGTGGACTATGTGCAAGGAGGCAGCCAAACGGGAGCCAATAAAGAGTCACTGGAGAGATTGAGCGGCGAAGCTGCGCCAAAGCCAAAACGACAATGAAAGGACGAGACGAGTCTCAACAGCGAGCAACAGAGACTGCGAGGCCCCTGAAGCACGACGGCGGATGTCTCTATTTGCAGAGTTTCAAGGAAGGACTGAGGTGAAGGAGAGATGAAGAAGAAGAGAAGAACGAGAGCGACCAGCAAGTCAAGTCAAGTAAAAGAGATTAGGGGCGCCGCCTTGGTTTGATGCATTTCGCACTGAGACGGGGGAAGAAGCGCCGAGGGGTCCGCCCATTGAGTGTAAGGGGTACCGCGCTATGCTGGGCCGGGGGGGCAGCGCGGGCGGTACCTGGTACCTGCGAGCGAAGGCAGTTGAGCGCTGCGGGTCGCCAGCGAGGGGCCGCCTGGGGAGTGTCTTGGCTGGTAATTTCAGCGTCCAGGAATAGCCAAGGAACAGCCAGGAATAGCCAGGAACAGCCAGGAACAGCCGGGAATAGCCCCCCTGGGCGTGCTGGAGGGGCCCTGGAGGCAAAAATGGAATCCAAGAGCGACCAAGATGGAATCACGCGCTGGGATGCCGTGCAGATGGAATCGTCGAAGCCGGCCGTGGAACGATCGCAGCGGTGCAGCATGGCGGCGGCTGGCAGCATCAATCGTCAATCGCTGTTTCTGCCCCCAAAGGCACCTCTAAATCCTCCGGCAATGCACGCCGGCACGCCTTGGCACGCTGGAACAAGAAACGCAGACGCAGGGGCCGCCCAGTCTGTTCCACGAGTCTGTTCCACGAGAGCTACGCTGCCACCAACGGCGCGCCAGCAGGCCAATGAGAGGCGCCACGCAGACAACAAAGGAAAAAGGGAAAAGGGCAGCTCCAGGCAAATGCTGCGCCAGGGACCGATCCGGCACAGCGCGCCGAGGCTGCTAGGCCCGCGAGGGGATAAGCCGCTGGGCCTGGTTTCCCCTGAAAGATGGAGACGGCCGTGCGCGGTACCGAGTACCTGCGGCGCTGCTGACGGCGCGGCGCGGCGGCCGGGTACAGGGTACGCGCGAACACGCAGCGCTCGAGCTGCAATTCGTTCTGTTTCCTGTCGTCGTCTCGTCGTCCAGGATCTTAATTTGCTGCCCCAATCTCCCAGCGTCGCGCCAGCCAGGTATCGAGTACATTGATGCATGCTGTATATGCGATTCGCAGTGCTGGCTGGGTCCAGTATTCGACTGCTAGCCAGGTGCTAGTTAAAATGCGTGCGTGTGCCAAGTGGGCATCGCCATCAAAAGCCGTCAACAGGCACAAGCCAAGGTCCAGCACGGGGGATCCACGATGTGCAAGTAAGCCTCTTGTGCGTGTGCTGCTCTTTGAAACAAGGACCTTGGATCGGTGCTCGTAGTCGACTCGGACAGCCCACCCATTAGCCAGAATAGAAAGGTCTTTGTTGCCATGATGCCGAGTTTGCGAAAGGCAGCCTACAAGTGCTGCCGGTTTATCCATCCGCAATCAAACCAGGGCCGGTCTTGCGAGTAGTATTACTGCACTGCGCCTCCGCAGAAAACCCGCCCGCTGTTCTGACCCAACTGGCGGAGTTGTCAACGGTTGTGACGGCAACGAAAGCGTGAGCGTGAGTAGTAGTCTCTTGCATTTTGCACATCCCCTGAAATCAAACATTTCCATCTGTAGGTGTGGCGTGCTCCTGTGTGATAGAGAAAGACGTACAGATACAGAGAGAGAGAGCACACGAGCTTGGCGGAGGTTAGTATAAGGTCGAGAGCAAATCGTAGTTTGAATACGAGCAAAGCTGTCATTGGACGAATGGGCGCGACATAGTCCGGATATGGAAGCCGAGTCGGCAAATGGAAGCATAAGAAGCAAACCACATTAGGAACATCAAGGATGAAGTTGTAGCAATGGCTATTTCCAGCACCACATCACATGATGCTGGCGATGTGAGTACATGCGCTGTACAAGTACTACTAACGAGCTCGACAAACAGGCGGAAGCGAAGTGGCTTGACGAAATTGTCGCGGAGGAACTGCCGGCAATACGTCGGCTAAATGCCGCCAGACCCGGCATCATCAAACTTTCGCCAGATCCCGAGATTTCAACGTCTCCGACCCTCGTCAATTGACTTGCCAGAGCTTCGGCCGCCGCTTTCCACCATGTCCATGTTCCGGGCCAAGAAGCTCGACCTGGGCTGCTTCGTCAAGGCCCGCACCATTCGCGACCACACCAAGCGCAAGGTCTTTGAGGAGCATGAGACGGAGAGGTAAGGCTCATCTCATCTCTCCATGGCTGGCTGCATCTCGCGCCAAATTGCCAGGAAAATTGCGCAGATTAAGCGGCCGAAATGGACGAATCCTTGGTCGGAGAAGCGTGCTAATCTCTGCTTTTTCTGCTATTTTTAGACAAGCTCTTCGATACATGATCCGCAACACCACGCTGCCGCCTCGAGTTCGCGCCACTGCCCAGCTGCAGCTCTCCCAGATGCATGCCTATACCCGACCCACGCAGATCCGCAACCGTTGTATAATGGGGGGACAGGGACGCGGTGTGCTGAGAGCGTTTAAGATGACTAGAGTGCGTGCACCATGCTGGTCGGCCGATCGGCCAGCGTTGTTTGTGTTCCCGTGGAGAGAGCAGCTCAGCTAACATTATATCAATCCTGCAGTTCAATTTCCGAATGGAGGCGTTGGCAGGAAACCTTCCTGGAGTGAAGAGAGCCAGCTGGTAGATATGGCATTTACGATTCAATGACGTTTTATATTCCGACTTGACTGTATAAAATCTGTGTATGATATTGCGTGCGGTTAGACAAACCTCTAAGCAAAGGCGGCTAAAAGGGGAAAGAAGAAAATGTTCAATTTAAAGAAAAGAAGAAAAAAAAAACTAATAATGAAAGGAAAAGAGGAAAAGAATACCCTTCTTTTCTCATATTGGTGTGCTAAAGATTCAAGATGTCACCTGAGTCTTGAATGTGATACCTACTCTATGTGTGCTATTCCAAAGATACCTGTCAGCAAATAATTTACTCCATTTGGCGGCCATGTTTCAATTGCTTTCAATTCCTGCGACGTCTATAATCACAAATGTCATTTTGAAGCCATCTATATTTCAGTCGCATAGCATTTTCTTTGCCATCCATATTCGCTATTCCTCAGAGAGATGCAAGCCTTGAGTATGTCAAATTCGAAGACTGCCTCAGTTGCGGCTCCTACCTACCCTGTACTTGACCAAAAACCTAGACTGTGCAGATTTGGCAATAGTTCGGCATTTGCACGTAGCTGGAAAAAGATGTGGCGTTCTCCACTTCATCCATTCGTTCACTGCAGTCTTGCAACTCTTGCTGCAACTTTCAACCTGAATTTTGTCAATAATCCAACGCTTTCTCTGCGTACCATTCATCGAGCCTGATCTTGCCATTTCATTCTCCATCAGCGCGCGGGCTCGCGACCATACAGCAGCGGCTCACCAACTAAACTCGCCACCGCAGCCCGATCGTCTACACAGCGAGCCACAATCATGGGTGGCGGAGATTTGAACTTGAAGAAATCGTTCCATCCCGGCCTGCGGCGGAACCAGCAAGCCGTCTACGATGAAGAACAAAAGGCACTCGCCGAGCGCAAACGCACTCAGCAACGCATCAATGAGATCAAAGAGGAACGCGCCAAAGAAGATCTCCAGAGGCAGCTGGAGGCGGCGGGAGGCAAGAAGAGGGTAGATCGCGTCGACTGGATGTACCAAGGCCCTACAGATGGCCAGGCCGGCACAACCGAAGAGACAGAGGCCTATCTGCTGGGAAAGAGGAGAATCGACAACCTCATCAAGGGCAACGACAACAAGAAGCTCGAGAAGGCTGCTGGACAGGAGAGTTTCATTGCGCTGCAGAATGCCAACAGCGCGCGCGACACGGCGGCCAAGATCCGTGACGATCCTCTGCTGGCCATCAAGCGCCAAGAACAGGCCGCGTACGAGGCAATGATGAACGACCCGATCAGACGCCGCCAGCTCCTCTCATCGATGGGCGTAGACGATGGCAAGAGGAAGCGCAAGGACGGTGATAGAAACGGGGACGACAGACATGGGCGGAAGCATCGCAGGCATCGCAGCAGAGATCGCGACGACGACCGACACTCACGGCATCGCCGACGCTCGTATTCTAGATCGCGCAGCCCGCGACGGCGCCACCATCGAGGCGATGATTCTGATTCCGAAGACCGCCACCGCAGCTACAAGGAGAGACGGCGAGACTATTCAGAGGACAGAGAGCACATATCAAGCCGTCGGAGGGATGATTCTCAAGAGCGTGAGGCCAGAAGCCACCGACATGATTCATATCGGAACCGTGATGGCAGCCGCGAACGTCGCCACCGACACTCAGACTCCAACGGTAGAGGAGACCGGCCTCGGAAGCGCTCCCCGGCGTATCCTCGCGCTCACAGAGAACGTGAGCGTGAGCGCGATGATGCCGGGGAGGATGCTCGGAAGGCAGAGGAACAGGCACGGAAGCTGGCTGCCATGCAGTCGGCTGCGTCCGAGCTTGACGAAGATCGAGAGAAGCGACTCGCGGCTCTAGAAAGTCAAGAATGTGCTGCTCGAGAGGCTGATGACAAGGCTCGAGAGCGAGGAGGAGATCGAGGCTTCGTCAATGGATTGCATCGAAAGGCATTGAACATGAATACTCGACACGGACGGTGATAGGCAGGGGGGCCAAGGCTAATAAAACACCATGATGATGTTGATGCGATTGTGTCTATGAAAATAAAAAAACAAGGCTAATTAATGGCGGCCTTCACCTGGCGTTCGTGGGATACTGTATCGTGGCATTGGGGCATGATGACGGCAGCACTTTTCTTTTCCCCCGCGAGTATAGAAACATCTGATAATAATTGGCAACAAGTATATTCTCACGATTCACAATGCTATATAACTAGTTGATCTTATCCTCCCTCCCTTGTACATCTGGCAACCTTTTAGTAGCTGAAGACAAGCATAGAGAGAGCTCGTCTTGAATCTCGGCTACGACAGCTACGACATAGGCTTTATTCAGATAGACTTGAATTAACAACCAACGCGCGTAAAGGTAAACTGCTGGTTCAAGCCGCCATGGTAAGAATAAGCAAGGATCTCCGTCAAATCCGCCTGGTTGCTAGCAGTTACATCAAAAGTCTTGCTGTTGTATGCCACGTTGCGAATGCTGTACAAAGGTGTGAGTTATACTACCTCCAAGTACACGTAGGAGCGAGGCTCATGGTGATGACTTACTACCAAGTGTCGCTGCTGGCATTGGCCCTGACAAATTTCCAACGAGCAGAAGCATCGCCCTGGGGATTGGTTCTGGCGGCTCTAATCACGGTATTGTTTCCATCTGCGTTGGACAATGAGTTAGGCAATGGACGGGGATTGTTTGGGTATCTGGCCTGCTTCTAGGGATGCCAAACTTACTCTGAGCAGCAGCATAGGTGCCAGTGGCAACGTTTTGAATGCTGAACTCGTCGTTACCGACGTGGGAAATGCGCCATTGCTGGTTGGGGCCGCCGTGGAATGTGCTGTAGATCACTCTCTGCGTTAGCTATGCCTTCCCATATCAAAGATTGAATTCAAGAGGTGGATGTAAGGGCATACTATTGGATGAGACGGCCAGTAGGATTGGAAGCCTCAAGATCAACAGGCTTGTGCTGGGACAAGGCGGAGCGGATGATGTAAGTTCCTTCAAAGAGAGACATTTTGATAGAGGCTATTAGTAGCTAGCGAAAAAAGATTATTGCTGAACGGATTTTACTTGGTGATGAAGCTGATGTCTCGTTGAGATGATGGTGAAGAGAGCAGTTTTTAGAGAGGAGCACCCTCTCGCTTTATATGTTTTTGAGCATTGGCTTTTGACCGCCCTTTTCTTTTCTCTTCTTACCATTACTATTTACTATTACCATCATGATTGCCATTGCTTCTTGATGACTTGAGCCTTTCTCCATCTCGCCAAGGATTACCCCATCTCTGCATCTGTCATAGCGTTCCGACTGTGAGACATTGCCTCCTCTCACCGAATGCCTGATGGTCTCATGCCATTGGTGAGTAGTTGCCTCCGATATTCATCCAATTCTCGCCGAGCAGTAAAAGGTAATATACAAATGGCTAGGCGCCTGGGCCCTTATTGGGGGCCATGGTAACTTACTGAGCTGAAAAGTGGCCGAGACCCCGACATGCAAGAGTTGACGCTTCGTAAGCCACATATGTAGGGAGTATATCAAGCATATTATGGTTCTAGACCACTTGTCGATATTATTAATGGATATTGGTTCAAGAACAAGCCCTCACCGTGTTTCTTTTCATTATAAGCTGGAATTGATACGATATCTTGCTTGGTACACTGAATAGGGTATTTTTTTTTAAGAGAAATTGGCACTTATTGCTTTTGTTGAAGATACTAAATCTGATAATGAGAGAGTACGTATTATTGCGAGACGACAATTCTAGAAGGCCTTCCCTCAGACATATCCCTTATGGCGACAAAGGGGTAGAAATGACGTTCTCCAGCCGCATAATCTGGGGCTGCCAAACAAACCAGTGATGTCTGATCTTGGCATAATACTGTGTCTCAAGATCCCCCTCAGATCGGAGGTATAATTTGCATCGGGTAGGCTACAGCCGGAAGATGGAAAGTATAATTTAAGCATATTCTGGCTTGGCTGGGCTGTGATACGTGCAATTTGAGACATTCTTACTAATTTTATCGCGATACCGGTGACACGCGGATGGCAAATGGGGCCGTGCGTTTTCGCAGTGCATGAGGCTGTGAAACATTGAATACTTGGTGCCTAACTCGAGATGCATGACTTATTAAGTCTGAGTGGCTGAGTCAGTCCTCAGACTGAGATGGATGTTTATGGACATCTGACTCTGCGTTGAGACCCCTGTTGATCTTTTCTAGGAGCTGTTTTAGCAAATATTACTGCTGGATGCTATCATTAATGAGTGGCTGTCTTTAAAGAAAGCAAGTAATCGGCTCCTCACGCGTGATTACTTATACCCTTAGAGTAGAAATAGTATGGCGAGTACACGAAATACTGCACCAAGTAAAAGGCAAGGTGAACCCATTTCTTTTTTAACATCGTAGAAATATATGCTGCCCTCTATACTGATCTATTTATATATATATATATATATTTTTTTTTTTTTTTAGCTGGCCTAGGGTCGGGTCTTTGAGATTACTCTTTATAATTCGAAACGTTCCTGCTGCCTTATGTCCTTTGTTATGCTCTCTATAGAGTTTTTTGATTGACACAATTGTGATTCTTGTTTGAATAGATGTAGCCCATTCATACTTTTGAGATATACAGGATGCTATGCAATGCTAGTCACTGCCCTCCTGCTGTTACTGTTCTTACTGCTTCTGCTTTATGCTTCCCGTCCATTAAAAGGCAATTGGCGACATAGGCGTGGCCGCTTATACAATTCCACATAAAGGATATAGCCGTTTTGGTAGGAGAAGCATTGTGCAGATGGGAAGATTCCTCATGACTGAAGCTGGCCAAGGAACTGGGCGCTCGAGAAGGTAACGGATCGAGAGACGTCCACTTGGCTTCAATCGTTGCGCTCCCTGGGAGATGCGGGGCATAAAACAAGGTGCCATCGCAAAAGGCGTGGTCATTTCTATACCATGGTGATCTCATTCTAGGAAAAGAATATTCTAGCTCAGACTGAGCAGCATTTTCGCGACTCGTTGCTAAACCATAAATCAGGAATTACGATGTCGATGCCCCATCATTAAGTGCCGTTGAGTGGAGTCTGTCCGTTCCCAAAGGCTCTTCATTCGTGGACAGTCTATATGGCGCTGTGGGGTTTGACATGTAGGGCGCAGAGCCAAGGCGTCAATTGATTAGGCCTCAGACCATTGCCGGAACGATCGCTATGAACGCCACCTCTCATCTATATGGCTATAATTACCCTATAAAAAGGTTGATTGAAAAGCAAGGTTTGTTATACACATATATAGTTATCTGAGGGTAGCGTTTGAACAACACGAATTCGGTCTATTACTTCTTCAAGTCAATTGAACTCTGGAACGTCTCATGGCGGACACACCATCATCTATAGAGTTGAAGACAACTCCACAGCATATATCCACCGATATAGTCAATGTTCCGAGGCAAAATTCTGGCCCAACCCCCGCTGAGAGCAACTACAATTCAGACCGTGCAGTCATCTCTGGAGATGATGAATCTCCCCCGGACGGCACAACAGAGTTTTCATTGCCGCCCGTAGACAGGGGGAAAGATGCTTGGCTTTTCTTGGCAGCTTGTTTCGTTTTAGAGGCGTTAGTATGGGGTAAGTGACAGATTAACTATATGTATGGAGATGCCAAGAGTGGACTACTGATTTTGATATTTGTTTCTGATAGGCTTTCCATTTGCGTTTGGTGTGTTTCAAGACTATTATCGCACACACGAACCCTTTGCTGGGTCGTCTAAAATTGCTGTTATTGGAACTACGGCAATGGTAAATGAAATCCTACATTACCATAATGCAGAAGAAATAAGCTGACACTTGTGTTTCCCCAAAAGGGTATCATGTATCTCGATATTCCCATCATCATGGGCCTCCAGCGCTTGTACCCGAGACCCACCCGCCATGCGCCTGCCGTGGGTCTTCTATTCTTATGCCTCGCTCTCGCCATCTCTTCCTTTTCCCAAAACGTCACGCACCTCATCTTGACACAGGGAGTCCTATACGCAATTGGCGGCTCCATTTGTTATTGCCCATGTATCTTATATATGAACGAATGGTTCGTCAAGCGTCGTGGAATGGCCTATGGGGCTATGTGGGCCGGCAGCGGCCTAGGTGGCTTTACAATTCCTCTTCTTTTGGAATATTTCCTTGACAAGTACGGATTCAGAACTACATTACGGATATGGTCTCTCAGCGTGTTCATTTTGTCTGCTCCCTTGATATGGTTCATCAAGCCACGGGTACCTGCGTCAAGCACACACCTCAATCCTTTTAACCTCAAGTTTTTGTTGACCCGTTCTTTTTGCTTGTTCCAGCTTACGAATATTGTCGAAGGCATTGGCTACTTTCTTCCGGGTATTTATTTGCCGACATATGCTCGTGTGTCTCTTGGTGCTGGCGATTTCCCATCGGCTCTGACACTCTTGGTCTTGAACGTTGGCGCAGTCATAGGGTGCGTCGTCATGGGTACCTTGACTGATCGTCTCCATGTGACGACGTGTATCGCAATATCGACCATTGGCACAGCAATCGGTACCTTTTTTCTATGGGGACTTGGCACTAACATGGCGTCCCTTTACGTGTTCTGCGTCATATATGGTCTGTTTGCAGGCTCGTATACGTCAACTTGGCCAGGAGTTATGAAATATTATTTATCAACTATGAGTGGATCGGGAGAAGAGGGCAGTGGGAACCGTGGTAGCTACGACCCCCTCATGATATTTGGCGTGCTCTCCGCTGGACGGGGCGTTGGTAACGTCGTTTCAGGGCCGCTGAGCGAGGCACTGATCAAGGGGATGCCATGGCAAGGCCAAGCTGCTGCTGGATATGGGAGCGGATATGGGACACTGATAGCCTTTACAGGGGCAACGGCTGTCGTTGGCGGTGGTAGCTATTTGTTCAGGAGAATTGGGTGGCTATAAACATCAAGTGTTGATTTCTTGCCGTAATAAAGCGAAGAGAAGCGCGACTATGTATAGACCAGGAGCCATATAGACTGCAGCTCAATTTGTTTCAAATAGAATACGATACAACAGCTTTCTTCACGTGGTTGATGACAATAACGGTGCGATAGAATAACGTAAGCAACCCGCAGATGAAAGAAAAATTTTATTATCTCCTTCACAAGCTATAGTATAAAATCAGCCTGCGAGGTCTAACCGAGCCCTCCTTGCCATTTGGATATATTCGTCATCAATACAAAACTCCCATCAACATAATATCATAACCCATTTTCGTGGCCCCGCTATGCATCCCAATCTTGCTGAAACCCCAGCTTACTCTCGCAAAAGTCCTGCAGCTTGAACCTGCTGGAAAACCTCGAATTCGTTGACTTCTTTCTTCGCACGCTTCTTCTCGACCCATCGGCGGAGGCCTGGAACCTTGGATGCGGTGTTTAGGAATTGATTCTTCAATGGCAGTGATCCCGTCTTCTCCTCGTACATGAGCAGAGAAACTGTAAGAACGAGGAATATCCAGTAAACATTGTAAGCGATAACTGAGCCGTACGTGGCGGTGTTCTGCCAACCGAGGATGGAGTTGAAAACATCCCAGCCGTTGTCGGTTTCGGGATTGCAGCAGTTCACATGCCAGACGGTCTCGAGAATATTGTATGAGCCGGGGCCATTGCCTTCTTCAGCGACATCGCTTCCGACACGCTGAGCAAATGTGTGGTATTGCAGACTCCAGATAGACTTGGAGAACATGCCGGCGGCAATCAGATATAAAACACTGGTCGAAGCAATGAGGAAGAGCTGTATCGACATCAGGTTGCCACCGCGGTAGATGAAGAAACCGACGGCGAGACCAGCGATGATTCCGCAAACAACAGGCAGAGGGAAGGCCGTTGCGGGCAAGCTAAGAGAGACGCCACCAACAAAGACGACAGCCTCAACTCCTTCTCGCAAAGTGGTAATAAACGGCAAGATGAACATGACGTGTCTCCTGGACCAGTCGCTGAGCCAGTTCCTCGGCTTTTCAGAATTGCCAGACTTTTCAGCCAAGGCATGAGCAATCTTGACACGCCACTTGTCCTTCATCTTGTTGATTCTTAGCAGGGCAAGTCCCATGATTGAGACGATAATTGTGGCAATCAGATAAAAGATACCCTCCCAGAGATCCTCAGACTGGGACCAGATGTCCTTGCCAAGGCCGTAGAAGGCTCCGATGAAAGCACCACCAATGATAAGACAGATGACAATACCAGCTGCTGAGCCAAGCCATACCTGCCTGACCAGGCGTTTATAGATGGCCTGGTCTTGGCCTGGTCCACCGAGACATTGTTTGAGGAAAGAGAGGAGGACTGAGATGATGATGACAGCTTCCAAGCACTCTCGGAACACAATGAAGAAAATCTGGACGGCGAAGACGTTCTTCGCCATTGTGCCTGTCTGTCTATACACCACAAAGAGAAAGAGGCAATGGGCAATAGAAAGATGAAGGGGGGAGAGACAAAGGAACCCAATTCCAACGGCGGCCAGCAATTGATGTATATTTAGCCTCGCATGGCCGCATACGGAATGAGTAAGGCTTGAATAACACGGGGAGAAAAAGCTTTCATGGCAGCTCTAACCGAGAAGGGCCGGAACCTCAGCCAAGCTTGTCATAGAAACTGGACTCGACCCCGACGGATCATTTGAGGCGCCGCCTGGAAGCACCACAAGTGGACTCTCCCAGCTAAATCAGATGATCAGATAATCGCATCGTCCAGTCAGATTCTCTTGATGCATCTCCAGCTGCGGCCCCTCGGCTAACACGGCACCGCGACCCCACCACTACCACGCGCTTTGATGAGCATTTTGAGTTATCTGATCAAACGAAAAATTATCTGATCAAGAAAATGGCTCAACTAGAGCGCCGAAACATCGTTATCTGATCATGCCAAACGGCTTCTCGGCAGCGCTATTGAACGCCAAGAAGGGTTTGCAGGAAGTCTAAACGGGGGCTCTATGGGCTTAATTCGATTTCAGGGTCGTGGAACAAGGATCATATGCTGCGGTGGTCGGCACACATGCGTAGAATTTTTCCATCTAGCCTGTGGGGGCTTCTCTAGTTTTCTCTTCCTAGCTCGTTTTTTTTTCGTCTAGGAACCCGGTCTGTTGGTTATCTGATGGATGGTGAGTAGCTGACCTCGGGAACTTTGCTGAGAGAGAAGGGGAAACATTGTTCCATTCTTGCTGGGGAGGTTATGGTCAATTAACATAAGATATCAGCCCCTTGCCGCCCACACTTGACGGTGGCACACACGAAGCCAAGTCAATTGTGTCTGGAACCGTGTCATCTCATACGTTGCTCTCCAGACGGAGTGCGAGAGAGACGGGACTAGAACGGCTGAGAGGTCAATTGGCTACCGCGTTGGTCATTTGATTCGTCTGCCTTCACCAGCTCTCCAACATGAAGCGATTCTTGGTTCTAGCCCTCGCGGCGCTTGGCTGCCAGGCCAAGACGGTTACACACGACTTCAACGTCACTTGGGTCACAGCTAACCCCGATGGACTGGCAGACCGCAAAGTCGTTGGTATCAACGGCCAATGGCCTCTTCCAGTCATCGAGGTCAACAAGGGCGATCGCCTCGTAGTCAACATGCACAACAACCTTGATCGGGCAGCCTCGATTCACTGGCACGGCATGTTCCAAAACAACACAAACTACATGGACGGCGCATCCATGATCACACAATGCCCTGTGCCCGCCGGATCAAGCATGACCTACAACTTCACAGTTAACCAGAACGGTACTTATTGGTATCACTGCCATACAGACTACTGCTACCCCGATGGCTACCGCCAGGCGCTCATCGTCCATGACGAGGACGCCCCATTCAAGTTTGACGAAGAGTTCACAGTCACATTGTCAGACTGGTATCACGACATGGTCGAGGACTTGTCGTCTGAATTCATGTCTGTGTACAATCCCACCGGCGCGGAACCTATCCCCAATGCTTTCCTTTTCAACGACACTTTCAACACCAGCTTGCCCGTGAAGCCAAACAAGACATACCTGATCCGAATCATCAACATCAGCGCCTTTGTTGGGCAGTATTTCTACATCGAGGGCCACAACTTCAAGATTGTGGAAATCGATGGTGTTTATACAGAACCCGCTGAGGCTGACACTCTCTACCTTGGCGTTGCTCAAAGATATGCGATTCTATTGACGACAAAGAACGAGACGGACACCAACTATCCTATTGTTACTGTTGCGGATTCCTCTCTTCTCGACACCATGCCTCCGGAACTCCGCCTTAACAACACCAACTGGCTGGAATATAACAAAAATGCCGATCACCCACAGGCAACCATTAATGTCACAGACAGCAAAAGTATTGTTCCATTCGATGATATAAACTTGGTATCGTCTGACGGAATGGAACTGCTTCCCGAGCCAGATATGGAGGTTAATGTGACTGTCATCATGAATAACCTGAACAATGGACAGAGCTACGCCTTCCTGAACAACATTTCATTCACAACGCCAAAGGTGCCGTCTCTCTACACTGCAATGTCAGCTGGGGATGATCTCGTCAGCAACAAGGGCATTTATGGCGAATTCACTCATCCAATGGTCCTGAACCACAATGATGTCGTGCAGGTTGTGGTCAACAACGCTGACACTGGTTCACATCCATTCCACCTTCACGGACATAATTTCCAGGTGATCGATCGCCAACCTCCTTATGGAGAGCACTTCTTCGATTTCTTGAACGGAGATCCTGTGCCGTATGACCCGAACAACCACACGGCATTCCCCAAGGTCCCGGCCCGCAGAGACACGTTTGTGCTGCCTCCCAATGGTTACATTGTCATGCGATTTGTTGCTGATAACCCCGGTGTTTGGATCTTCCACTGCCACATTGATTGGCATCTTTCTTCTGGTCTGGCCATGATCTTTGTCGAAGCCCCTCAGCAGATGAAGGAGCGCATGACAATCCCACAAGAGCATATCGACGTTTGTCAGGCTGCCGGGATACCCTCTAAAGGAAACGCCGCGGCTGACACACTGGATTTCCTCGACCTCAAGGGCCAAGCCTCCCAGCCCGGCTGGATTCCCGACGGATTCACTGCACGAGGTATCGTTGCGCTGGTGTTTTCTATTTTATCTGCTATCTGCGGTATCATAAGCATTGTTATATATGGTCTGGCAGATGTGAAGAAGAAGCAGGTTGATGATGTCTCAACCGAAGCCGAGCAGAGCGGCGAAGTTGTAGTGGAGGAGAACGTGGAGAACCCGTCCAAGTCATGAGAGGATATATGAATTTGATGATTGCATTTGATGGTTAAGGTTAGGCAAAATGGCAAAATACCCGAATAATAGTGATGGAATGAAAATTAAAAAAAGGGAGTTGGTGCTATTGGATGGAGCTCTTGAGAGCAGTTTTAATATATTAAGTGGATTATTTTGTTATACGTTTAAATATCTTTTTTTTTTATCCCCTTTTATTTGTGCTTTGCTAAATGATGGCGCTTGAGAGACTGCAAAGGAAACTCGAGAACAATGCTTCTTCAAGTCCGAAAGCAGTGCAGATACACAATACATAGAGTCGACCAGGATACGAGAAAGAACGAGCAACCTCGCCAAACGGCATAAAATTTTTCTCATGTCATCCTTCGATGTAACCGTAAATCACTGAAAATATCACTGATTGTCCCGCATCGAGTGTCAGCAAAACTGCCTCTGGCGTCAAATAACTCCGCGAATCGGCCATACAGTGCGGGGCCTTACTCCGAAGATTAATAAGACCATTGGATGTCATTCTCTTTTGACCATGAGAATCGCCAAGTTCTAACACTTTTTAGGAGGCTTGTGAAACTAAAGAAACTTTGGAGCGAACAAAGTTAACAAAGCTTGTTTATTGTCTTTTAACCCAACATGGCTGTTGTGCACGCCGGCCCAACTGACTCCTGGCATGGAGTTATCAAGCAAGAGAGCCAATTCCCACCCGAAGCTGGTCGTTATCACCTCTACGTCGGGCTCTTCTGTCCATTTGCGCATCGTGCTCTCCTTGTACGATATCTTAAAGGGCTGGAATCTCTCATCGATGTATCGGTTGTGATGCCGTATCCCAAGGGCGACGGCGGCTGGCCAGGCTGGAGATTCCCTACTTCAAATGACGAATACGCGGGAGCGACTGTAGACAAATTATTCGGGTCCAAGCACATTCATGAGGTCTACTTCAAAGCTGATTCTGAATACAAAGGAAAATACAGCGTTCCGGTACTATGGGACACCAAAGAGGGAACCATTGTGAACAACGAAAGCGCTGAGCTGCTGCGCTGGCTTCCAACCGCCTTTGAGGATATACTGCCCAAAGAGGGACATAAATACGACCTGGATCTCTACCCGACGCACTTAAGAAGCCAAATTGATGAAATTTCTGAGTGGATGCAGAGAAATCTAAATTCTGGAGTTTACAAAGCCGGATTTGCAGAGACACAAGAGGCCTACGACAAAAATGTGCCTGTTGTCTTTGCCGCCCTAAACCATCTGGAAAGTCTCATCCACCACAACGGTGGGCCATACATTCTAGGTAGCCATCTTACAGAACTAGACATCCGCGCATACACGACGATTATACGGTTCGACGCTGTCTATGTCCAGCACTTCAAATGCAACCTGGGGACCATTCGCGCAAATTACCCTGTCATTCACGAATGGCTGAAGAATCTGTATTGGAATGTAAAGGGATTCAAGGAGACGACAGATTTCAAACACATTAAAGAAAACGTGAGTCGATATAATCCGAGAATCGGAAATCAAGCCGAGAGCATTTCCTGACCTGACATTGGAGAAGTATACGAAGAGTCACCCGAAAATCAATCCACTAGCAATAACTCCTCTAGGTCCGTATCCGGAAGTGGAGGAAGGCATCAACTTGAACTTTGCCGAGCTTAAGCCAGGCTCTGTGAGGCATCCAATTGTGCTTGAGAGACAGGCTGAATTATATAACTAGACGCTTCATAGAGACAAACATAGAATGTTTTGCGTGGTTTGGATGATGCTAGTCGCTTCTAATTCTACCAAACTCTACTAACCAGAATATTTGTACACAATATTATAGCAGATATCAGTGCTTATGGTCTTCCCATAGCACGCTCAATTTCTACCAATGCGGCGAGAACCTTTTCATCGTATTGTCGCCTGCCAACAATCTGTAGGCTCACTGGCGCATTGACATACTTCTCTGGGCTGTACATCTCATACACAAATCGATCTTGGTCGTTTTTAGGTACGTAGCTGGTATCCTTTACGTCCTTCACCTGGTCGACGGTGGTGACTGGGAAGACAACGGCCGGGTAGTCCAGGAGGTTCCATTGCGAAGTGTAGCCCCAGTACCGCGACTGCTCGAGAGGAGTAGCAGCTCCAAATGAAGGAGGGCACAGGATGACATCAACCTCTCTCTCGCCGTTAGCTGCGGTATCTGTCCAGGCCTTGGCGTATCTTGCGCGGTAGGCATCTCGTTGAGCGGTGAGCTAAGCAAAAGAAAACATGTCAGTGTGCTTCATAGAAATCAACGCTGAGGCCATGGAGGATAACTCACCTCCCAAAGCTCAGCCACGGTCCTGTCCTTGACGTTTGGCTGCTCTTCAATGATAAATTTGGTCAATGGCAAGACCGACTCTCCAGCTCCCTTGATCAAATCAAGGACCTCCTTGCCGCCGTCGGGCCAATAGAGCCCTGAGATGATATCCCAAGCTTCATCATGGCCAAGCGACTCGCAATTCCAGTCAACCACCTCGAAACCAGCCTTTCGACACGCGGCAACAACTTCTTCGAGTGCGCGTATCATGGGAGGGTGTGGCTTCACAACACCATCCCACCATTGGACGGCAATCTTGAGAGGCTTTGTGAAGTGATATGGCTTCCACTCCTTGACCGTAAGGGATGGGTCGTGGCGCCATGGCTCAGCAGCAATAGCAGTTTTCATGAAGAGCTCTAGTGCGTCACGCTCTACTGTCATGGGTCCAGGAGTAGAGAGAATCGTTTCTTTGCCAGCCATGTTAGCCCTCTGCCCAAAGACAGAGATTCGTTTAGAACTTGGCCTGCAAAGCGTGTGTCAATAATGCCAAAAGCCGCATAGCAGAGCTATTCCACTCACTTAAAGCCATATATGCCGACATGGGCACATGGACATCGAACACTGCCTCCAATATCGCCACCAACGCCCTGCTCAACTCAGTACTCTGATCAGAAGGCATGAATAACGGCATTTATGTCACTCACCAGAATGCTGCCGCGCATACCAACGAGGGCAGATTCACCTCCGGAGCTTCCTCCAGGAGTCAAAGTACGGTTGTATGGGTTAACAGTAACTCCATACACATTACTGCTCGTCTCCAAGTGCATGATCGTTTGGGGCTGAGTGGTTCTGGCATAGAAGACGCATCCTTCACTATACAAGATATCGTAGAGAAGATTTGAACCATGGTTATCACCAACCCAACCGATATAGGAAGCGTTGGTAGTTACGTTCTCACCGACCATGCCATGATGCTCCTTGGTTGAGATGGGAAGACCGAAAAAGGTGCCTTTGGGTTCTGGCAACGAATCAAGATGCTTTGCACGAGCTATCGCTTGATCCCATAGCAGCTCAGTAAGACAGTTGACCTGGACTAATTAGTATCAAATCATGCCCAACAGTGATATATGCAAGATATGCATAGTAGTACATGACACGTACAGCAACTTGGGCCACCGCTGCTCTGCGCAAGAATGCTCGCGTTACTTCCTCAACTGAGATCTTCCTTTCACGGAGAATCTTCAATAATTCGGTAACAGAGTATTTCTCTGTGATTTCGATTTCCCGGGGTGTCAACACGCCTTTTGGTAGATCCTGAGAACTGAGGGGTAGTATATCAGGGATGCCCTCTAGCTTAGGCTCAACTTTGGCTAGGCCAGCATCGCGCCTTGCTCTAGCTGAAGAAGCCTTGACTTCCCAAGACTGAAGCTGTTGAACGTCACCCATTGTTTCTTGTTATTTTTTTTGTACTCTGGGTTGTGTAGCCTATCGTGTATGAATGAGTTTGTCAATGTTGAGAGGAAAGATAACGGAGTTTAAAGCTGAGGTAGAGGCCGGCTTATAACGGGTTCGGGATTAGCCCCAGTGTTCCACTTATAGACTGTCGCCCTTGACGCTGCCCAATGGAGTCGATTAGAATCTAGAGTCTGGGGAAGGTTTGGCCAGAAATGGAATCTAAAAGGAGCGCTAGAAATGGTATCTAAAGAGAGCGAGCGCTATTACCATATATTCTCCGCTACCCCTCATGGTATCACGGTAAATGAGGGGTCATTGTGGCTTCCAAGCCGATAAGCTAACACGGGCTGCTATCACAGTTCGCCGAGCTAGAAGAAGACCATCACGTGGCTATTGCGATGTATGTTTAGGATTGCATTCCTATGGCGTAAATTAAATCGTTGATTAGCCAGAGACCGGGTAGATACGGATGGGAGCGTAAATTGCTCTGTGATGAGTGTCACTGAATACTCCTGGCAGTCTCACATGTGTAAGGAACACCTATTACTAAACAAATATACAAGAGCGCCAACGAACTTTTATTTTATTTTTCCTTCTCGTGCCATTTCTCTCTTAGTAAAAGGCTTAATTACAGCTCGGTACCTAGATTTATGTGGACTGCTTTAGATTGCGTATAAGCATCTAGAGCGTACTGGCCAAGCTCTCTACCGATGCCCGACGACTTATAGCCGCCAAACGGAATGCCAAAATGTGAATCACCGGAGGAGTTTATGAAAACCATGCCGGCTTGAAGTTTGCGAGCAACTTTATGTGCCCTAGCCACCTTTTGCGTGAAAACTGCAGCGGCCAGTCCATATGATGTATCATTTGCCTTGGCGATGGCTTCTGCCTCGGTGCTGAACTTGGAAATTGCAACAACGGGGCCGAAAATTTCCTCCTTGACAATTTTCATGTCTTCCGTAGTCTATAATCACCCACATTAGCAAATCTTCATGTAATTTTGAAAAAGAAAACGGGTGGGGTGGGGGGTTAATACGTCTGCAAAAATCGTGGGCTGAATAAAGTAGCCCTTGTCGCCGTGCTTAGCACCGCCATGGAGAAGTCGGGCACCAGACTTCTTGCCCTCTTCGATGTAGCCCAACACTCTGTCGAATTGTGCTTTGGAGACTTGAGGCCCTTGGTAAGTATCTTCATGGAATGGGTCGCCAATCTTTGTTGCGGCTTCCTTTGTCCTCTCGGTAAACTTTTCGAGGAATTTGTCGTAGATCGTATCTTGCACGCAGATACGTGATGTTGATGTGCATACCTAATATTTAAGATTAATTATATGACAATACCCAGAGAAGTAAAATGAAAAAGACAGAGGGCATATAAAAGCAGCGCTTTTGTGGTAGACTTACTTGACCCATGTTATCCATGATGCCACTGTGACTCCATTTCACAGCCTGATCGAGATCTGCATCATCGAAAATAATACACGGGCTCTTGCCGCCGCATTCGAGAGTAATGTTTTTCAGATTACTTGCGGCTGCCTTCATAATTGCCTTTCCAGTGGCAGTGCTTCCAGTGAAGGCAATCTTGTCAACGTCCAAGTGGCTCGCAAGAGCTTTGCCAGCTACACCTCCGAGGCCGGGGACAATGTTAACGACACCTGGTGGAAAGCCGGCTTCGGCGATGAGGTTGCCAAAGTAAAGAGCTGAGAGAGGTGTTTGTTCTGCAGGCTTCAGCACTACAGTATTTCCGCATGCTATCGCTGGTGCGATCTTCCATGCGAGCATCATGAACGGATAATTCCTGGTACTCCTGTTAGTCGCTATACCCAGCCCAGTTACAGCTTGTCTCCTCAGGTCCACCTACCAAGGAATAATCTGGCCACAAACTCCGAGAGGCTCTTGCAATACATAAGCCAGCTTTTTGGGCGATGTCTCGATTGTCTTGCCCATGATCTTGTCGGCGGTGCCGGCGTAGTACCGGAAAACATTATAGCTCTCAAGAAGATCCAGTCCATATGCATCGGAGAAAGATTTGCCGTTGTCAAAAGAATCGATACTTGCTAGTAGCTTTCTATCTCTCTCAATTAATTCAGCAAGCTTATAGATGAGAGCGCCTCGATCTTTCGCTTCAAGCTCCGACCATTCTCCCTCAAACGCGCGGCGAGCAGCAGCGACAGCTTTATCTATGTCTGCCTCCGACGCGCCTTGTAGAGTGATGATCTCTTCTTCAGTTCTAATGAGCAGATAAGTCAGGTTACACCGTTTATATAAGAGATTAGCCGACTCGAAAGGGTGATTAGGGTGCCTTACGATGGATTGTAGACGGCAAACTTTTCGCCATTGCCGGCGACGAATTTATTATCGATGAAAAGACCAGTGGGCTGGTCATAACTGAGCCCATTGGGCAAAGAAATCTTCACTGAGGCAGCCATTTTATGTAGGGATGATGTGATGTTGCTGGAGGGAACAAATCTCAGTCGGAGAACGAAGCACAAGCCATATATATACCCTCCACTAAACTAACGAGACATTGATGTAATCACATTCGTCACTTGTAAGACAAACACCCGTTAGCTAGGCCGCACGCCGCGGGGAACCGCGGTCGCCACCAAATGCTATCAGCGTCAAGATCCACGCTAATTGAAGCTATCTTCGAGTGCAGTGTGAACTTGTAAGAAAGCTTATCGCTAGTGACTATACTCCTTGCGTTACCATGCAATCCCGCATTGATATAGGAACGTCTTTAAATCCTATGATAGCTATCCGATGCAGCAGTTAGCTATTTTCCCCTTTCATCAAGATTCGCATTCACTTGGAATAATACACGAAGCAATTTTACGCCTATCTGCTAGATACTTCTTCGCAGTCAGAATGACCAAAGCCTATCAATGGAGCATTACGGGGTCGAAATCGTGGAGAGTGGGGTCTTCCCCTCCCCTTTGCGAAAAAGATGGTGGAGAAAGATGTGCTACCAATGACTACTATTCTTAAGAGGCTACTTCCCCCTAGGTTGCCAAAGGTAGTTAAACCTCTTCATGACCTTGAGCTCCATATGACAATTAGCAGCCGTTCCTAGCTTAGTTTGCGCTAGAGAGAAATGGTTATGGCCAGCTATATATATCACAGGCCTCGTCTGACTTTGATTACTCTATCATTAGAGTATGAGTATACCAAGCCCCTCAATTTACTGCTGCAGCTACTATTGACTTTGATGAATGGCATGGAAAATAAATCTGCACCTCGTACTGAAGATACGTGTAATGATATGGATATATTGTTATTAATGCGCATGTCATTACGCATTGCTATTAAGTTTTCAAGGAGCCGAGAGATCAATACATGCAATATCGCAATTTGATGCATAATTCACTCTGCAATTACCAACTATCAATCTTCATCCCCAAAGAAATTAGAAAATGCCGAGCATTCTAGGCCGCCTTCTCAGCCTCCACTGTGACCACCTCATCAGCTTGTCGGTAAACGATTGCGGTAAGACCAATTTCGTTGTTGATCTCCTCCATGCGCTCAAAGTCTGCACGTGCAGTACCTTCGCTGCCAAAGATGATGTCCTATAGTAGAAGTAAGTATCATGGCCTTTGAAGGTTTGGCTATGATGGGGTGTCTTACCATCTCTTCCAGGGTCAGACGCTTGGTCTCAGGAACGAAGAAGTAGATAAACGCAGCACCGAGGTACGTCAGGACTCCGAAGAGGATATAAGTACCATACGTGATGCCCTGCAACATATCGGGGGTTACTTGGCCAATGCTGTAGAGGAATAACGTATTAGAAGCTGAAAGTAAGCCCGGATTCTTGGGTGTTGACTTACATAAAATTATTCATCCAGTTGCTAGATGCTCCCAGTGAGACACCATAAGGTCGAGAGCTCAATGGCCAGATTTCGGCGATAATGATCCAGGCACAAGGTCCCCAACTGTAACCAAAGTGGACAACGAAGAGCCAGACCATGGCAATGGCTGCCCAACCGGCAGCCTGGTGCTCCGGCCAGCTCTTGGAGTTCTTGGCAAAGAGAATGGCGATGATAATGTGGCATGTAGCCATACCGATGGCACCAGTAATCAAAACAGGCTTACGTCCGATTCGGTCGATCCACAGCACAGCAGGAACAGTAGCAACAAACATGACGATGCCAACCACGCCGGTTGCAAGTAGAGAAACGGTGTTGTCGGTTTGTCCTAAGTCCTTGAAAATGGTCGGAGCATAGTAAAGCACGGCGTTAATTCCTGTCCACTGCCAATAATGTTAATTTTTGTGATGTGAAAAGGAGTGTAGAAATATGTAGAAATATTAGTCTTACCTGTTGGAAAAACATGGTGATACTGGCAATGGCACTTCGCTTCAGCATGCTCCTCGACTGGAAGAGAGACTTAATAGCAACAAACTGAAGCTTGAAGTTGTTCCACACAGTTTGTTCACGGAGATGAGGAAACTGCTCAGCGATGCTTCGCTTTTCGAACAGAGACTGAGCCTTGATTTCCAAGAATTCGAGTTCAACCAGCTCGTGGTCGATCGGAAGATCCCGGAGAGTCGACAAGATTTTCTTGGCCTCCTCTTCGCGATCATGGTGAACCAGCCAACGAGGAGAGAATGGCATAAAGATCATGCCGAGCAAGAGACACAGACAGGGGAAGATCTGGAGGCAGACGGGTACAAGCCAAGACGCGTCGCTTTGTTCGCCAAGTTGAGTTCCGCCGATATAGTTGGTGCCACTAATATATGTTAGTTCCATCGTAGATATAGATATGCAACCATTTTGATGTTCAGGACATACTAATCAATCCAGAAGGAAACCATGATTCCGAAACAGATAGCGAGCTGCTGGAGGGCAACAAGAGCACCTCGAACCTCACTTGGAAAATTGTTAGCTATTTCTCGCTCTTCCTCGTATTATGATTTCTTCCGCCTATATTCATAGGACAAATAACTATGAGAACTTACGGAGGGGCCACTTCGGAGTTATAGATTGGCACAATCATAGACAAACTTCCAACTCCCATACCACTGGTTTCAAAAGTTAGCATGAGTCCACGCCAACTTATTATGGAATGTAAACATACGTAACGAATCGACCTCCAAGAATAGCAGAATATCCGGCCTCAATGGAGCATGCCTGAACCACAACACCAATAATGAAGATGCAGCAGGCAACGATAATTCCATATTTGCGAGAGATGGCCTCAGCCATGAAACCAGAGAACAGGGTTCCAAACCAGGCACCGAGTTCCAGGATGGCCGTCAACCAACCCTTCTTAGTCTGGCTAGCATTGTCGTCGAGAGGATCGTATGCTCCCATGTCTGATATTGCATGTTAGTCAAATAGTTGAACTTGATACTACGCTGTAATTCTAAGTATGAACAAGTATATGCCACTTACGCTGTTTGAAAGATGGCATAGCAAGGACACCAGAAAACATTCCCTGGTTGTAACCATATAGCACACCACCAATACAAGCAAAGGCAGCTAAGCTGAAGACGCGAAAGTTCTTGAGAAGAGCGCGAGCTCCACTGTTGCCCATAAGGGCCTGGCGGCGATTCAACGCTGCATCGTAGATGGCAGCGCCGGAGTCGGCTTGTACGCCCATTGTGAGAACAAGAGACGAGAATGTGCTTCCTTTCTTCACTTGTCTCAAAGCAACAGGACTTCGGATATCGAAAAGGAAAAAATTAAAAGTAGAGGATGAGAAGAGGAAAGAGGAGGAGGAAGTAGGAAGAGAGGAAAAAAAAAAGAGGCAGAGTCCGAATTGAGCTCTGTTACATCCTGCAATGCGACCCTGGGAATCAGAGGGCCGTTACTACTTTATAAATGATTTGTCTCCAAAGCATTTTTCTGCCCTTGTCTCCATGTACCCGACGGGCAGGGTCATCTCGAAGCATCAATGCGATATTCACCCAAAGCGTGTGGCACTCTCGGCGCTACGGCAAGGAGCGCTCTGGCTATTTAGCCTAAATAGCCGCAGCCTTGAAATATTCCGTAGCTCACGAGTGGCTCACCAACATCGACCAACTAACTGACTGACAGGGGCTCTGGTCCTAAAGGAATGAAGAGCGGCGAAGAAAAAGTGTTAACGGTCCGACTTTAGCACCCGTGGCGACCCTATTCGGCGTGTTCCCCGGACCAGAGAACCAGAGCATTTCCTGGAGTATTCAGCCCGCTTCGTCCCAGCATTTCCTGGTGAACAAAGGCGAGGCTGGCTGAGGACCGCCAAAATGCTGCTAGCAGTGGTGGTATTAGCTTTTTTTCCCACTCTAATATTAACATGGTGATGTAGTGGATAATAAAGCTGAATCTCTAGCGGGAGGATAAATGTCATGTCTGGGCTACCATGTATTTAGACCTGTGGAGCAGCCCATATGCAGCAGCCCGTATGAAGCTTGGGTAGCAGTGCCACTCATGTAATATACTTGTAGTTCTTCGTGGTACAGTAGCAACTACCACCACAAGTACACGTATTGTACCAAAATTGGGTTACCAGCTTACCTCCCTCCGCGTTTCTGCTGAGTCGCGATTCCCATTTCCCCAGGCAGTGGAGTTGATAGCTATCTGGCAAGGCGAATAAGATGCCCCAGTTGCGGCAATATTACCCCACAAACCCACACCCGCGAATGGGGAAGCCTTGTCTACTCAAGGATCTCATGCCCACTCCAACTATCCACGAGGCGGCTATATTAACCGGCAGTATGGGGGGGCGTGTGTGTTACCGTGTAGCGCCCCAATACGGGATCAACCGCTAATATGCTCTCAGAGTCATCTGCTCCGGGCTACTCATCCGGGATGCCTCAAGCGATAGCCTTGGCATTGGAAAAATCCACGTTTTTTTTTCCCACTGTATACTCGGTGAAAGCTCCGGCTAAATTCATCACCCCATCATTCAAGGATGGCATGATTCGTGGCCAATCTACGGCGGTTTTTTTTTTACACCTTTAGCTCGCTGCGTGACGGTGAAAGAAATTTTTTTTTGGATATTATCAGGAAGCTCGGCACAAAATCAAGTTCATTTTCTGTCAGTTGGCTGTGAGCTATTCCGTGCTCCAGCACACAACGCAGAAACTAGTAATAGACACAATGAATAACCGCCCCCCTAGCGCCATGCTAATTCGTTTTCCACTTCCTTTTTCGAAGTTTGTTTCCTTGAAAGTTCCTCTTTGAAAAGGAACATATTAAGCGCCCTCCAAAAAAAAAAAATGTCTTCACTGCACATGTCATACGGACGGCCACAGTGGCAGCTGCCTCCTAGGATCCTCCCACCAGCCAGGCATCCATCTCCCATTCCATACGCTGATTCATAAAGGGCAGAGACTCCAAATCAATCAAAGAAGGGTCGATGCCCAGCATGCCCTGTCCACTTAGGAGCTCGTCAAAGTCCAGAGGAGAGTCGCCTATTGCGGCGAAAGGGTCGGTTTTGGCCCCCGGGAAATTCAGGCCCCATGCATCTTGCTGTGTAGATGTGGATATAAGGGCTGGCTCTGTTGGCTGCGTGGATGACGGGGTCTGTTCTGCATCCGGAACCGGTGTGTGACTCTCGCTTTCTGATGGAGTCTTCTTCGATTGGAGTAGTTCCTCTTTCAGCTCTGAAAACCGGATATTCTCTACTAACGTCGCATTGCTGAGGTTCAGGTCCAGGTTCAAGAAGAATCTTAGGTACTCAAGCGGGCTGTAGTCAATTAAATCGATGAACTCAGTGACCTGAGATGTCTTTCCAGTCAGAAATCGGGATTGAGCCGCATCCGTTAGTCGACGAATTATAACACACATGGCGTCGACTCCACCAAGCCGCCGGTGGCACTGCTTGACCAGATTGATCAGGGAATGCAGCTGCTCTTGATGTATTGCCGCTCGCGAACTTACCACGCCGCGGGACATGATCTTTGCATTGAGAATCTGTACCAGGAGGGGCATGGCAACAAATGCAACGCTTGACACCCAGAACAAGTTAGCATAAAGCATGCTCACGGGCGGGGATTAAAATGGTGAATGGTAGTAGTAGTAGGTATAATCTTACACGCTGACGGGTAGATATTGCGCCAGTCCAAGCTGCACAGGGTTGGAAAGGTGCTTGATAAGGTTGTTGACAGCATCACGAACTTGGTCGCTTTTGCCGGCAAGGGTGGGATACGGCCCTTCGCCATTTGCATTGTCGGAATCGCGAACAGCATAGAAAATCTCTTGATGGTGGATGGCCAATTTCGCAGCGCTTAATCAGCACACTGTCAGCTTTTGTAAGTGCTGTATTGCCGCACGTATGTACCGGCATTATGCTGTGATAGGTGACATTGGAACTCACAAGTAGTATATAAACATCAGATTGGTCTGTATGATGACAAAGTGTGGCTGGACACCTGGCCGGTCTCCATCATCTGGAAACTGTAGCCTGGTTTCATCATGCCATGCCTGCAGTTGAGCCATGCAATTCGCTATCGCATGATGATCCGTCCTGGTCGTCTCGCTATCTATTCCGTCTTCTGAAATCGAGCATAGTCGAAGCACGTCCGTCATGATTACGATTAACTTAGATATTTGAATGTAAATATCGAAAATATGGCGCTTTGCTTCAGCATTGTATACGCGAGAGCGGTGAAATTCGCCTTCGAAATCTTCGAGAGTTAACAATGGATATTTTTCAGGGATCCGCATCGTTCGACGAAGAGCCAGCGCGAGAGAGCGGTCGCGAAAGTAACAGCACCACCAGAGTCGCCGAAGCATTATCCGTGTTTTGGGGGGGACATTTTGCGTGTGCTGGCTGGCATGCTTCGACGATAAATGATGTGCTCGGAGGGATTTTGCGTGTCGAATGGCTGTGCCCAGCCATGCTGAGTTTGCTTTCGTTAGGCCCAGCCGTAGACCACCCGGCCAGAAGGTGAGCAGTATTGCCACCTGGCCGAGAGCGATGGGATTCGACTCAATTTCAAAGTCGTATAGGATCTGTATAGAGGATAAATTTCGCATTTTTAGCAGTGTTCTTTTCAACGGCGTGCTTGGGATAGGCTCCAGACCTTGGTCTTCTTGTAAAAAGCCTCTGCGGCCGCCCTCGGGTAGGGGAAACCTGCTGCTTCTGCAACAGCTTCTGGAATGAACTATTGTGTTTTTGTTAGAGAGACTACAGTATTAACATTATACGAAGGATATGTGGACTCTGGGCTCACGGCGCATGCAGCGAATACCATCGCTTGAAACAAAAGCAAAGAAATTTTCTCCCCACTTGAACATGAGAATGAATCCCAAAAATCACCCTCATCAAGGAGCGGTACGATAGGATGTGTATGAAGAAAATACATTCGAACTAGTTCGTTGAGAATCGGCATTGGAGGGAGTTCGAAACACCCATTGAGTTGCATAAAACGAACATCCAGAGCTGAGAGGTGTCCCAGCTCGGGGGTTGCGATAAAGGGCAGAGTGTCATAGCTGTTGTATGCGTTGCTATTGGCTCGCGCTTTTGATGAATTCGAGAATGTACTATATCGACTCGACTTCGTTTTGCCGTTGTGTACATTCGCAATTGCCGATGCAGTCTTCGGCGAGAATCCTTCGAGGTCGATACAGTTGCTTTCATTCGATCGTGCGTCGCTGTGAGGGCTGGTCGATAATCCTTTGGCGCCAAATGGTGGCACTCCGCCCAGTCGCTTGGCCCATTGATCTATGCTGTCTATGCCGGAGGGATTCTCGTCTGCAACTCTCGTCGATAGGCCCTCGACCACCGCGCCGCCTTCACGGTAAGCCGAAATATTCGAATCTGCCAGCGGTCTTTGGCCGCCCCCACAGTCAGTCTGATGAAGGAAACTGCTCGCAGCTACGGTCGCCATACCGTTTGGATTTGCGCTCCTGGATCGCGCATGTCTGGTGATCCAGCTGGCAATTCAAGCAAGGAACCCCTCGCAGCGTCACATCGCAACGGACCTTTCTCTGGCGGCAATGAAGGCAAGCCTTGCTGGCGCGTCGTCGCGGCATCGTGTTCAGCAACGCCAATCGGCAGCAGTGCGGTGAAAAGAAACAAAGGTAAAAAAAGAAACAAGTTGCAGACCTGTCGGAGAAGCAGTTTGTGGATTGGGAAAAGGGCGCCCCATGACGTGGATTGCTCTCTTCCCACTAGCTATAGTTCTTCATCCGTCGGAGCCCCGGTTCCCCAGAAAATTGTTCGCCTTAGTGCCGCTCCCCGCATACTCGGGACTTAGCTAACTCCAGCTGAGCTCCGCAATCTCCCGTTTGTTCCGACTCTAACATCCGAGGGCTGAGAATGATAGCAGCCCCCATTACTTTCAGCAAGCCACATGTTGCTGCACTAACAGCGCGCAGCTCTTACCTAATAACAGTTGAGACTATCTTCAATGTGAGCTTTGAAGCCATATACGGAGTACAAGGCTACGTGGTTGGTAAGCAAGCTTGGTTCTGGAGCCGCTGCTAGACATCGCATCGTCGGTTCCTCGAGTCAGTTTGCAGTTATAGTGTTCGAATTGCTTGATCAATAGGACTCCATGGAGTTTCCACCTACTTCAGAGAAAGCTGTTGACTGTGTATCTCTTAATGGATGCCCGTCCATAGCCTCGAGCTTTGGCGCTGGGCATTCCGACTCCGGTGTCGCAATCTTACAGTAAGAACCTTTTTTTTTCCGAGCACGCGAAAACTGTGCGCGAGCGCTTCTTGTCTGTCGTGACCTTGTACCTTAAATCAGTCAAGTGTATATTATATGCCGCGCTCCCGTCTTCATCCATCCCAGCTTTTGTACTTTTCACATGTTAAGGCCAAGGAACATTTTTCCAAATATAGTTCCAAAGCTGCTTCCTACTCTGGCAACATGCGCCCGGCTACTCCGTATGGCCTTAGTGATGGGACTGTTTCGTTTACATGTAATTTCTCCCATGCTGAGGGACGCTAGTAAGCGGGAGATGGAAACACTGCAACCTCTCGTGCGCAAGAACTAACTGCCCAAAACCTCGTTCCAAACTTGGAAAATGGAGCAGTGAAGTGATAGATGTGATCCAAAATATCGCCATCGCCGATATGAAAACGATAAGCAGTGTTAATCGTAGATTAAGATAATGCGAGATAGTAAGGTACTTTAGTAGCTTGGCGGCTCCAAATCTGCCAATGGCCTCTTCTGAATCCGCATACTAGTTCTATATATATTAGTATCAAGCTCTCGTTCGAGAACACAATTTGCGCACACTCGTAATGCAGACGTATTGAATGGCCGATGGTTGTGGCAAGTCCCCACGCGGCCTTGTGACACTCACTGCTATTTACTAAACGTGTGTCCATCAGATCCCCAGGTTCTGGTACCTTGGAGGCTTTCCAAACCGCATGTACTAGCAGGCATTCTCCGTAGCTGCCAAGCCAGCAACGCTATGTATACCAAACATCGGGCTCCACAATGACCTCGGTATTTGAACTAGTGTCCGTGAATTATACATTCTACAAGTTGACGACTTTGCTTGTATTATTCCATGATTCGCAGATGTTAGTATTAGAAAGAGCCAAAGTGGAGACAACTTTCATCGTAGTTCCTTAGCCCAGCTGTGACTAAAGATTATATGTCACATCTTTAATGAAAGGCGAATACGCTGTTTCGACTATGTATGCTTTATGTACATCAATCGTTGCACGAGAATTGTGCTGTCACTTCGGTTAGGCTATAAGACAATTTTCCAGACTGTTGCCCAGTTGAACTCATTGAGGTCCGCTGGATGCTCTTTGAATCATATATATTAGCTTATATAATAGAAGAACGAGGAGAAATCTAGCAGTCATTAAATAGAAATTCTAGAAACATTAACCTTAATAATAAGAGTGCTGCATAATACTAATCACTTATATGCCATCATGGCCTAAGCAGCTTGACGCGGAGAAAGCAAGTCTTAGGAGAGAGAAATAGTATTACCTCGGTAAGACCCACTCACTCTACTCTTCAGTAATAAAATTCTGCTCTATAAACGCAGCGTAATTCATTTCAAGAATAGCGTTGCGGGGGAGAATTACAAATTAATTATTTTAATTGTACTATAATGAGGAGCTTTTATTAGGCCGCTGTCTTGTTCGCTTTTGTCCTTGCTGAAGTCTCATTGCCCAGTTAGTCCAATGTACGAAATAACACATCACTTACTGTTTAACTCGACCTCCCTGCCCTCATTCCGCCTCATCGGTAATGATATTCTCAGCTGCGCTTAATTAGCGTAGATGAACGATATCACAAAGATATGCAACGCCCCTATTAATCTGGGTTTATGGATTGAATACGTCGAATTCTATCAATCTTACTCTAGACTATCATGAATGGCAAACCTGGTGCTTCAAGTGAGCAATTAGGTCTCTCGTTTTATGACATAGACCCATACTGGATATTTGCCGACTGAACTCATCTTCACACTGAATATATCATATAGGTCTCACCAAATTTTAAGTGCATAGCACACATGAAGTTTACAGAGTAATATAGCTGTTACTAGATACACAGGATACTTCAAAGGACAAGAAAAAAAACAGTACTAATCGTTTATCTGTACAAATATAAATTTTAACCACTGTCTTCGACGTAAATCGGGCGTATAATCCCAATCTATATCATACAGGGTACCAAGGTGACCATAAATCGGCATGAGTGTTCACTTTCAAAGGATATTCACAAACCTTTCTTTTGGATGTGTTTCTGCCATCGACAGACAACTCCATCTCTCTCTCGTGGAGTGGCGTTTCGAAAAGCTTCAATGCCTTGTCGTAGCCTGATTAGAATGATTTCGGCTTTACAGTAAGTGAGATGGTGCTTTTGCAGCTCCCTTTCCACACCCTTAAGCGTATAACCTGGCAAACCAAAAGTTGCTACGCCGATATTAGTAACTTGTTGCCAATTGCTTATAATAATAACCACAGTCATCTTATGATTATTGGACGGAGGGATTGGGAAAGATTACTCACAGGCACCCAAGTTGGAGAAAAAGCCTTTTGAGCCGCGCCATACACCTTTGCCGATTCCTTTCGCACCATCTTCATGAATACTTTTGTAAGGCCAGACAACCACCCCGCTAAAGGCCTCCCACATTCCGAGCGTAAACTCTTTGCCGGCTGCCGCAAGACCAGTTTCAAAATTGACGATCTGGTCTCGGCGACGTACTTCAACCCCAGCATAGCCGACCGAAGGGTAATTGTGAAATCCATTTGCAATGTTATAAAAGAAAGATACAGGAACTTTTAGGGTTACTTTGGTTAACTCAGAAGCATACCGGCCAGTCGCACGAGTTAAGTAGAAGATGCGGCCATTTCGACCTTTCTCTCGCGCGTGCCATGCCGCTTTCTGTTTATCATACAGAGTTGGCGGTCGAAGAAGGGTATCGACATCGGCGTTATTGGTCTTTATGGATTTCCTCGCCACTTTCGAGGCATACAACTCCATTTCTCTACGAGAGAAAGTGGTGGGATTAATTCGACGGCTCGGAGACGTCCCGTTGCTTGCTATTGATCCATTCTCGATCTTATCCTTTGCCCATGGATCAAGCCATGATTGCCTTCTACCTTCTGGTGGCGCAGGGGCATGCTTGGGTCGAGATCTCAAAGCATGACTGTAGTCGAACGTTGCTGTGGTTATGTCCATCACGGGACCAGTGAATGCGGATACAAACCCCACTAAAGGATGCTCAACACCTTCATCGACGTACCAATTTTTGCGTCGTATAAGGTCAAGCTCAGGGGGTTGTATTAGCCCGCGATCAACTAAGCATGCAACAGCAAAGCCACTCAAGCGCGTCTTCGTTTTCTTATGCCAATGAGTAGCTAAGAGGCCTGGACAAATCTCGCATTCGAATTTGTCCAATGCAATGCGATCTTGGAACCTCTTTGCGGTATCTTCTGCACCATCTTCTTGAGAAATATCTGCCGCCATTCGTTTTGCGGCCTCTTGAGCGCTCGGGGACAAAGCAAAGGTTATGCTCTCGGCAAGGATTTCCGCTGTCAATGCTTTGAACGCCACTGGTTCTGGTCCAGCTCCAGAGCGTGCAATCATCTTCCCCCAGAAAGGTTGGTCGCCAAAGAAAGGGATAATGACAGTAGGTCGGCCAGCCGCGATTCCGGCGGCAGTGGTACCAGCACCTCCATGATGAACTACCGCCGAGACGCGCTTGAACAGCCAGTCGTGTGGACAGTTATCAATCAAGAAAACTTCTTTTGGGACGGTACACTTATCCCCCACACCACTCCACCCTCTGCTAATAATGGCACGAACTCCAGCAAGCTTAACAGCTCCGAAGATGAGCTCTGAAAGAGCATCGGGATCTTCAACAACAATAGATCCGAAACCAATGTAAATGGGGGCGGGCCCATCCTCGAGAAAAGCTGTCAATTCGGGTGGAGGCGTGTAAGAGCTGGCGAGTGGCAGGAATGAATATCCAGCGATTTCGATGTGCGAGCCCCAGTCAGGTGGTTTGGGTATTAGAGACTGGGCCCAGAGATAGGTAAACGGTACGCGGAGTCTAGACAGGAGCTGGTATCCCCACATGACGCTGATAGGATCTAGCCCAAGCTTTTGGCGGCGGAACTTGTTGATTAAATCTCCGAGGCTAACAGAAGAATTAAGTTAGTAGATGAAGATTCTGTTGTGGATCATATACATGATATAAGGACTAACCCTTGCCACATCAACAATTCCATCACAACGAAAGAAAGATAATTGGCTGTCTTGGCATCCGCACCAGCGTAGTTCATCGAGGCCAATGGGTGTGGAAAAGCCGAAGTGGGAGAAAATGGCATTGTGAAAACCATATGTAGCGGGATCCCTAGCTTTTCGGCGCAATGGATGTGTGCAATAGATGGCGGGTTGGCGATAATGGCGTCTGCAAGAAAGAGATCCTCAACATCCTCTACGTCGGTAGCTTTGACAGGATCCCCCATTCCATTTCCAGCTTCGATACAACTTCGCCACGCACCATTTATAATCTCCCACATCTCCGCCCTTCTTTTTCCAATATCACCTGCCCTGACACTTTTTCGATTGGGAAACAGACCCGGATTCCTCACCATGTATGACATTAGCGCTTCAGGATCACCGCCAATGCTAAAGAACTCGACCCCCTGAGACTCAACAAAGTCTTTGAACGCAGGGTGCGTGCAAATGCGCACTCGATGCTCATACGGGGGCTTGGAAAGGATTTGAGCAATCGGTATGAAAGGTTGAACATCGCCGCGGGAACCGACTATGTGTATTGCAATGTTCAACGGTGGGCGGAGGCCCTTGGTTGACTTGCGTCTCTCGCATATAGGATCACAGCAGACATCGTTCTTCACTCGTTGTGATGCCTCTTGGAGGTTCTTACACCAATTCACCAGGCCCCCAGTATCTGTTTGGAAGCATACCTCAAATCTTCCGTCGCATCCGACAGCTCCTTTATCTCCTGGCACCTTGCTTTTTTTGCGTCCTTCATCAGTTTTGATATGAGGGTCCACATTCGATCGAGTACGATTGAGCAGCATTTTGGATTCACTTGCAGGCCCAAACAGAAAGAAATATTTTGTCGCCTTGACGGTTTGTAAGATGGACCATGTTAAGTTCAGAAGACTGTTGAGGTAAAGGTGGAGGGAAGACATATAGGGACATGTCTAGAGCCCAGAGCTGCCTTGCGCCCGGTTAATGCTGTGGATGACGGCTTTGTCCATCCGGTAGATCCGCCAGCCACTGGAAAGTCTTCTACACATTGAGTCCAGCTATATGACGACCTGATGCAGCCTCCAGGCGCAATCGCCACCTTAGTCCTAAAACGGTTCAGGCTTAGACGCCACAAGCTGAAGCTCTGAAAGAGGAACAGGGCATAAATTATGATTCATTTAGTAGCTTGATATAGCTCTATTGGGCGTTTCTCCATGAGCATGGCAGCTAGATGACACATCTATAACAGACCTGCCTGGAAACGGCAAAACTTCATGTTTGCTATTGGTGCTGATTGGTGTTTGCAAAGTCGCGACTGAGCAATGCGATAGCCTCATATTGTGTGCGCAAGATACTAGCTAAGGTAGAAAATATGAATGCGACACTGGCGTTATAGATTCACCTTGAAAGATAATAAAAAGAAGAGACATATCTACAATGTAAGTAAGTGGGTATTAGAAAATGAAATCGATGCAGAATCTATTTTGGTCTTGTGTTTGCTTTGAGAGAAAAAAAAAACCTAGTTTTATATCCGCCCTCATGTTTTATACCCTTACTTCAGCAGCTGCATCCGCGCTTTATCTTCCGTTCATATACTATTGATGGCTGCAATAACCCGTTGCCCTGTTGGTAAGAGCAGATGACATTAGATATCTGCTTCATTCAAGCTAGTTGTGAAGCTTTGGAAGAGCTAAACAACAGCAGTATCGCAAATAAGTCTTTGAAGAAGAAATGTTTCACAACTTCCATTTCTTGACAAGCTTTCCATCGGCTCCTATCATCGCCTCTATTCTTACCCACATGACTGAGAAAGATGCAGCAAAGAGGAGGACCGTAGTAAGCAGTGTCATGCCTTCGTATGACGTCGAGGGGCCGCCAGTAGAATGGCTACGGATCAAAACGCCGCCAATTGGAGTGCCAACAAGAGAAGCCAAGCCTCTTACCATGTAGAGCACCCCATTAACGGAGGAAAAATTTTGAATACCGAATAGCTCCACCAAACTGGCAGGAAATAGAGCCACGTACGCACTAGCAAAGATACCGTAGAGGACCGTGAAAGTGATGAATAGGCCTTGAGATGTAGCTAAATCGCCAGATATTGTTGAAGGGAGCCAAAAACTAACAGTCGCAATAGCACTAATGATCGTGGTAATGACAAGAGCGTTTAGTCGTCCTAGATGATCTGCTGCATAGCCGATGGCAATTTTTCCAATTGCATTGCACGCATTGCTCAAGGCAATGAAATTTGCGCCGGCTGTGTCGCTGTATCCCAGAGTCCTCGCGTAAGTGGCGAAGAAGAAGAGCGGGAGGTAGTAGACTGCAGACTGAAAGACAGCACCCAGTGCTTGAGCAACAAACTTGCGTGTTCGTGCTACGCGCCAATCAACAATAGGCACCTTGAGGATGCCATCCATGCGGCTCGTTCTTGCTCCATTCTCCATTTGGATACGAGCCTTCGTCGCTGGTTCCCATTCCATAGCATAACTAGCTGCAACATTAAGTCCGAAGGCGATTCCTCCAGCAAGGCGCAGGGCATTTCTATAGCCCATGGAGTCAATCGCTGCTTTCAGTGCAGGAGCCCAAACAAGGCCTCCAATACCCGTGCCAGAAGTGATTATCCCTAATGCAAGACCACGACGAGCAGTGAACCATGTAGGGGTAATCGTCACGGCAACCATGTAGCTCAGACAGGTTCCTAATCCGAGCAGAACCCCTTGTGTGACCTCGAAATGCCACAGAGCCTTTCCAAAACTCGCCAGAATGAGCGATGCCGAGAATATGATGGACCCGATAAGAGATATCAATGAAGGCGAGAAGCGCTTGGCCCATGCGACTACAAATGGAGCTCCGATAGTCATAAGAGATATGGACATGGTGCCAATGAGATCGATCTCTGCGGGCGATGCTCCGGTAAAGGGGGTATCTGGCTGATGCGAAAGGGTTTCAAACACGGCTTGGAAGATTCCAAAAGCAAAATTGATACCGCAGCAAGTGAAGACAACCGTAAAAGAGGCAACAGTAATGATAGCAGCTTGTCTAATCGAAGAATTAGTACCTGTTTAGAAAAGATGGGGAAGGTTCATCGTAACCGGAAATCTATGGCCAAGTATAATACTCAAGAAGCGTACCGATTCGAAGATTGCGTCTCGGAGGTCTCTGCGGGAGCGATTGATGGCGGGCTTGCAGATTCTACTTCTTCTCTAGGCGGTGCATGTCGGTTACGCTGAGTCAGTGCGATATCATCTTGGAAAAATCGGCCATGGAATGAGATCGTCTCATCCGTCGTCTGGGTTAGCGTCGACATGTTCTCGAACTTTCAAGCGTGTGGCGTTGGTAAGCGTGGTTGCATTAATTGGTAAAATATGATGAGGGTTTAAAAGCAATGTTGGTCAGAAGATGTGAGGATGGTCTGGAGAGTATTTATAGTCTAGGATTGAAAGCAGCGAGGACCGGAGAGATTATTAACTACTAGTAAGAATGTCCAGTGATGACTCAGGACTGCTAGCTTCATGCGGTAAAGAGAGTCAGACATATCTCCTTTCCTCAAATTATTATTCTATTTATCATACGAAGTAGGTGTTTTTATTCAGTATTCCGCGGAGATATTCCACCAGCATGGATCTGCGTCATACTAATAGGAAACAGATGTCGTAAATCCGGCTCGGAAACTTCATAACACCGATTGATAAAGTATGGCAACATCGCCTTCTTAAACTCCCGCTTATTGACGGGAGTATGGTATCCGGATTTTGCGGAATTTTAAGCGCTGTCGGAATTTCTTCTTCGTCTTTTTACTGGGTCGTAGCCACTTCATTTAGGCTGTGAATTCTGATATTGTTTACTCGTGTGATATGGCTCGACCGGGTTATATGTCATAATAATATCCCTTTCGACCATTTTACGGCGAGTAATTATTATCCCCTTTGGCATTGCAGCAAAAATGGGTAATGTATCCCGTCACAGATGCTCCATACAAGCGGAATGCGACCCGCCTAAATAATAATGACACGTGAGGTGAGCCTGTTGTGTCCGTCAAAAAAGACAACAAAGAACACTGTTTTCATTCTAAAGAAGCCCTTTGGGAATATTGTGTAGTAGATCCATGATAATTTATAAGCTATGCAAGAACTATTCATCACATCTAGAATGCTGCAAGGGACAAGAACTGAACTTCCAGCATACAGTATCGCCCATGTTCGTATTTGATATAAACTTTGTTTGACCCCATTTATCCAATTGTAACGATATTCATCTAATGGGAAAATGGACTCGTCCTGTCTTTGAATGCGAGAAGAAAGACTTGGAGGTTTTGTAAGAGTTTAAAAAGTCCATATTTAGATTTTCTTTTAACTGGTGAAACTGCCAGCAGACCATTGTGAATAATCATTATCAGTAATTCGCATCGAATATGACTCGTTCTCACAGTAGCCTATATCATATAGCAAATATGACCTAATGGAATGCTGTGTTAATACCCATTTGAGCTTTCTTAAGAAAGCATGAGGTGCTAATGTAGCTGTATATCATTCTATGGCAAAGTGAAATGAACTAAGTACAAACATTGTTTCTTTAAAGACTAATTGGAAAAACTTGCCTACCCATAGCTTATATTGTGATTTTGAGATGTTAAAGTATTGTGTTGTGAAAGCGCAATTGAATTCGGCATTTTACCATGGGTAATCCAGCCCAGTCGGAGCTCCGACTAGTCCTCGAGCTGGTTGTTGACATTACCTCACGGAAATCAAATTATAAATGTTTTGGTCAGGTATGTGAGAATTGCTGCTTTGTTGATTACAAATATTTATTTTATTAATGCATTCTCGATAGAGTCGTGAGGCCTCACATCTTTCGTTGAGCTAGTAATCCTGAAAGCACACGGCATATCATCGTGGCGTACTCCTCTCCGCGAGATTGAGATCCCAACTCCCTTGAAAGGGTAAAAAGAAAGAGGACGAGAATGGCATAGTGTTAAGTAACTAAAGTAGCGAAACTCTCACTAAGAGTTGAATGTGGCAGTCTTGATTACACCTCGAATTGCTGAGGTAAAACGAGCTATACTGTCTCATCTGGACACCTGGGCTATAATAGGAAAGCGCGCGCCCACCACAAACATATCTCTAGATCAATCCAGTGCTCGATCTGTACCCTCTGTCCAATTAGATTCACCTCTGGCTAGTGAGTACAACAGAGCTTTTCCGCGCCTGGATGCGGAACTCCGCCCGCAGCGGAGAAGCCAGCACAGCAGAGCCTATATCTGCATTGTATAGCTTATTGAGGATTCGACGTGCATGCGTATTTGTGTTCCTGAAATCGAGATTTTCATATCAATTAATAAGATGTGGGCTACTTTGTAGATGCCGCTGTTTTAGAAAGCCAGCGTCCAATAGCTGACCGGATTGCTCCGTACTTCGAAGAGCAACGAATATTGGCACATAGGCTAAAAACTGGCGGCTCATTTCTATAAGTATGGGGTTATGGCCGCTTGGGATTTATTTTATTTTATCTTGGACTTTCAAACCTAGAACACACGGCCAAAATTTAAGACGATGATATCTCAAGTACTACGCTTCACATTTCCGTCAGCATCTACCATATCGTCAGCAGCATTCTTGAAGCTGCGCCAAAGCATTGCCGTAACAGGTGCGACAACTCAGTATTATGGCTACACCATGCCTACAAGGACCTTGAGTCTACCTAGAAAACGCCACGAGGTATGCTGGGTAATTCGTGAGTGTTTTCCGACTGATAGAGAAGATGATTTTGATATCTGTCTAATTCTTGCGACAATTAGATTGGCCTGATGAGCTGCGTGATCGTAGCGTCCTGAGTGAAGGGTTGGCTGCGATTGGTGTTACAGATGCGACGTCTTTGCTGTTCGAATTTGATAATGCTCAGTTAGAGAATCTCGTAAAGGCTCTTGAAGCTCCCGTTTGCGAATTTGTACGTATTCGTCTTTTTCTCCTCTCTATATTATTCTGGTCATTTACTTCACATATTCGGAGTTGCTCTGTTCACCAGTGTCACTCTGACTTTACTTACAATCGTGCAAGGCATGCATCCGACTGAAAGACGATGCGCCATTGGAAAATGAAGCTCTACAAATGTCAATGCACAAGACATATTCCGATACTTACCAAATCCAGGGTTTTACTGGTGGCTATTGGGCATATGCAATTAATACAAATGAGACTGCAGGCGTATCTTGCTTTGCCCCATGTGAAGAAATTGTCCCTAAAGCAAACCGAAAGCTTGGAGTCTACTATCTCGGGTGGGACAGCATTGAGGTAAGAAACACCCTATATCGGTAAACGACATTTTATGGTATTAGAGCTGCTGACGGGCTCTTAGCTTCACGAGGATGGGACCCAAACTGAAGCATTTTCAGAGGAAATCAACCGCTTGCAGCCATACTTTGGCCCAGGGTCTGGGGCTTGGTATACTATGCTTCGCCAACACAAATAGTTTCTTCATATTACACAATATATTATATGATCCTAAGAATGCTATCTTACGGCTGCCACGTGCTACCTACCAAAGACTAGCAGAGCTATTTAAAGAGCTCTTTTGTCCCTCTCATCCTTTATTTATTTATTTATTTATTTATTTATTTATTTATTTATTTATTTATTTATTTATTTATTTATTTATTTATTTATTTATTTATTTATTTATTTNTTTATTTATTTATTTATTTATTTATTTATTTATTTATTTATTTATTTATTTATTTATTTATTTATTTATTTATTTATTTATTTATTTATTTATTTGTTTATTTTTTTTTTTTTCGTTTTGGAACAGGGCGAGGATAACTCTATCAAGTACGGGTAAACTTTAAAGTTTTCATGCTAATGAAGAAAGTCGTATAAGATCTTTTTTATGACATACATTGGTATGACTACTCCTTTCCGGAATTTCTCAATGAGAAAGGCTATATGGGTGCATTCTAAGTTGTTTCAATTTGTAAAAAAAGATTTATCCACTTCGCCTTTTTGGACGAATGACTACTAGATACAACAGACTTTATGGTTTCTTTTTTCCTTTGAGGGAAGGTATCCTCCCCCTAATTCTCCCTAATAACTAATAATAACAATGAGGATGAGGAAGAAGAAAAAGAGGAGTTTCAGATTGGCCTCGATGTTGGTATTAAGGTGGTTTAGCTTCAAGCTCAAGTTGCTTAGATACTTTAAGTTATTTTAAATATATAATTTTCTTGTCGTCCTGGAAAGTGCACTGTAACCGCAAAAGAGTCGCGACGGAGTGATTTGGGTACGATCAGCTGTTGTAAGAGCTGTCATTTCTTTTATCAATTGATGTTTGTATTTAGAATCAAGAAACAACTCCTTCAATAGCGCCCTGTTGCATGAGTTGAGCTCGGTTAGAAAACTAACAGCACGATGTTGCGACATAGTATTCGCTCGCCAGTCTTGCACCTGGAGGATTATCTGCGGAATTAACTAATTGGCCTAAAGGTCATTTTTCTTTATTCGTTTCAAAGCTTCCGGCGGCAATTTATCAAGCAGAAGCCAGTAAATTTTTCTTCTCGTAGGAATAACCTTGGCGCCACCGCCGAATGATGGTCCGAGATAATATGAACAGCTCTGCAAGGACAATATATAATTTGTTCCATACTCGACGGTATTGACTTTATTCAACGAAAGAATCACATCGTTTATGAAGTTTTAAAGACTAAAATGAAATTTAAAATGAAATTAGAAATGCCACTTATAATATGTAATATCATCTTACAGGTAGGCAAGCGAGGAGGTCCTGTATTGGTGGCTGGTCAAAGAGGAAATGCCACTGGAATACGCCATACCATAAATAGTTTAAAACCTAGTATATATGTGAGCAACAAACCATCATATGCCTAACAATTTCTCTTTCTCTTTCTCTTATTTCTTCTTCTTCAAATGAAGGAATGGGAACCTTCCAGCTGGATTTACACTCTCTCCTATGCTCCACTTTCACCAGCATTTGTTTCAGCTAAATGCACCAAACTCGGGCACCGTAAGAATCTGAAAGAACACAGTGGTAGAAGTGTTTTTGAATGGGCGGGAGATATGCGAATAACTAACGTGTACAACGTAATGGTTAGCGGTATTTAATAATCGACCATCTAGTCTTCGTACAAACTCGAGGACTGGATGCTGATACCTACATACCTAGGTATGTCTTAGCCTCCTACTACTAGAAAACTGCTGTCTTCTCTTGTTGGCAAGGGCCGAGATCCTTCGTCACATGACTGCTTCACAATTGTTTGAGATTTTCATAGCCCCAGGCGCAGCACTGTACGTTGGCAACACTGATGACTGGCTACCCCGAAATGGAGGTGTGAACCTTGGTGCCACTGCGGAAGGGGCTCGCGCTGCGATCGTCGACTTGGGACCACAGCAATGACGAAATGCGTGGGGACAAGCGTCGAACAAAACGCCTGGCCGCTGTGATGGTCGCTGGCAAGCAAGTTGCCTTGTATCTGTATATGCTGATACTTCGCATCGCCAACTCGAGTCAGTGGGCAATTTGTCGCTAACAGGCACAGATCTTCTGGTGGGAAACAAGCGCGCGCGATGATCAAGTTCTATTAGTACTGCTCACACGTACTTGTACGTACGCAGAGGGCATATTTTGGTATCTACTAATGCCGGCAAAGACCTCTTTTCCCCCTCCGATACGCGGGCAAAGACATCTATCTGGGTAGCCAGGAAATGCAGCCGTAAAATACATGTAACCAGAAGGGGCCAGGGCAGTTTGGCAGTCTTGGCTTCCAACTCAATCTGCAATAACGGTCTCCCAGGACAGGCGCTAAATTGACCCTGGTGGAGACAAAGGGCGAAGAACTGACTCCATAGTACTCCGTATTATTCGCAACAAGTGCTGCCAGTGCACCAAACGTCGGCGAAGCACATGTAGAGTTACCTCGCGATACCCCCTTTTTCTCCCCGAAAGCGCGCCAGCCCACGAAGCACGTGTGGACGCTACCCAGTACTGCTACCCATAACGAGCAATTCCCGATGTGCTCCTCATTATACCAGACGCTTAGCCACGGAAAATATGGGGTTGTAAGAATCCATTGTAAGGTGACTAGTCAGCGCCAAGGTCTGGGATCTTTTGGCGTCACGCAACAATAGAATTACTCTCAGCCGTCGCTCAGGGAGCAGCACATATAAATTATGAGGTCAATGTAGGCTCTTGGACACCCCGTGGACTCATATTGTTAGTATTACAGGGTAATAGTAGTCAAACTCCAAATTGCTATCAGCAGTGCGAGTGTACCAGAGTTCAGTACCTAACTTGGAATGGATATACAGACCTTCATATGTACCTCTCGTGTACCTGCATCTCGTAGTCATTTGAGCTGTGGAGCTAGTAGTCTCGTGTAGTAGATACATGTGGAAGCATGGCCCTCCCTCCGTCTCATAGAGGCCCCTCTCAGCCCCTTTTTGCCGACTCTTCGGTTACACGCTCGCATGTGCATTACTTTGCACACATCAGGCTAGCAAACCGCCACCGCCTTTTATAACGAGAAACGAACAGTGAAGCTTCATCTCGCTCGGGGCTCCGCCGACCCGCAGCAAAAGCCGGAGATGGGCGACAGCGACGACAAACGGACCACGCCGCATCCACACGTGTGCCACTGACAATGCTACGGGGTGCTGAACACCCAGTACGACTACTTGTATGTATGTATGAATGTATATATGTATGCATGTTGGACGGGGATAACTACTTTCTAGAGGCCATGCGGTGGAAAGAAAAGAAAACGCCAGAGCGATTTTCATGTAGGTACTAAAAATATCAAATTCAGCGTATGCTAGTCCCGCGTATTTCTTCCTCTCTTGGAAGCCTGCTTGTAATTACAGCAGAGACTACCTCCTAGGTGCATATGTTATTCGTATTGGAGTAATGCTACTGCCAGCTGGGATCTTTTTGCGCGGAGATCAGCGCGGCGTTATCTTTTCCGCCTCATGGAAAATTAATAGGGAATGAGAGCGTTTGGAAATGGCTTCAAAGATTGTAGCATGTGGTTACCTTTAACTTGCTATTAAACTACATCTAGGCAAAAGACAGTATGACGCTAGCTGCTGCGCGTCCCAGCGCTCGATGTCGGCTTGCAGCAAGCATGCAGCTGATATGCAGATTAACCATTCGATAACACGCAAATGCTACAGTAGTAGCCTAGTAGTATCTACCAGTAGCAGGCTGAATTTGGAGCACTCGTATTTCATAGGTAGGTACTTGACGATTTCTTGTTCCGGCTATTGAACGCAGCGTCGAGAAGGATAGCATTCCCGCATGCCTGGGGGTTTAAAGAGACATCAATCCTGAGCCTGCTCCAGAGATGCGCGTATCGACGTCGTGCTGGTTCATGGATGAAGCACCCTAGTGTTAGTTATTACCGCTCCTTACTTCGTATGTTATTGGCGTCAATATGAGTCAGCGGAATATGCCGAGAACACAGTCGGATTGCAGTTTCGCAGTGAGTGTATGCTCGCTTATGGTTGTACGAAGGAGGAAAGTGGGCTTCATCTGTAGAGTATGTTTGCATCCTCATATACCTACCTACAGCACCTGCTATTACTACTACCTACTTGCAATCTTGGTGATGTACGAGCATGGGTGCATATACTCCTGGAGAGGGCAAGTGTTTAGAAATTCCACTCCAACGTAGGTGAGGCTTCATGTCGGCAGGTAAATACGAAATACAAAATATGCCGCCTGGTCAGCAGGGGTGTCTTGGCAAGCGGGAAGCAGATCCTCGCGCTGTTACAAATAGCTAAGCCATGATGGTGTTGTGTAAAAATAAACTGCATACAGCATATTCTCATAATAAATTAGAAACTAAAACGCCCTGTAAAAGCATGGCGCTTTTTTTTTTTTTTTTTTTTTTTTTTTTTAGTGTTTAATACAAGCACGCGACCACACGCTTCTCTGCCCAATCAGCCGCGCGCAATGGGCGGCGACCCAGCCCACTGCGGCCAATCCTGTTGCGCCGCGCCTCCTGACAACGTGCGGTTCTTGCCTCCCTTCTACCCCCCCAGGGCGTGCTTCTCGAAGCCACAGCGAGCTAGCGGGGGGCTGAGTTGGCGCAGTTCGCCCCAGGTGCGCCTTTCCAGGCCTGGGCCCCCCCTTTGGCGACAAGCTACAGCGCCTGCAGCAGCGCTCCAGCCCCTCGTCAACGGCTCCAGTCGCCTCTCCACACTGGCCAGGGGCTGGTCGCATCCCGCGCTACATCGTGCGAAGGCGCTGTCTAGGGCGCCTGCATGCGCTGCCAAAGCGCTCAGCGCCTCCAGCTGGGCCACTGTGCCGTGCCGCTAGTGGCCGCCTGGCTCTCTCGCTGCCAGACTCGCAGCGAGAGAGCCTCGCCGTCGACCATCTTCCTACACCATCGTCAGCTCTCAACGCTCCTTTTAGCCCGCCCAGCAGCCCTCCACTCCTTCGGGCTTCGTCGTGCGGCTCGTCCCTCTCCTCCAGCGTCTGTGCTCTCGTTCTTTTCGCCTAGCCGCCGCTCAATCTCGCCCATCGCATCGAACCGAATCTCTTCGCTCCCTGCTTTGCTCAGCTCAGCTCGGCACGGCTCTGCTCTGCTCTGCTCTGCTGCGCTCTGGCCCTTGCCATAGTCTTTTCTCCTCCTCGTCGTCTTGCATCCAAATCTCCTCATGAGAGTCTGCGAGCAATCGTGCTCGAGTCGCTTCCTCAAACCCCAGGCACGGTCCGTCAAGACCAGCTGCTGTGCGACTCTTCTCTAATCCAAAGCATTCCCTTTCTTTGTTGATCCACGGCCTGTTCGATTTTTACTACCATCGTCTTATTATTACTTGCCATTCTGAGGCTTCTTCTTCTCCTTCTCTCTGTTCTTCTCTTCCTGTTTCTCCTCGACCGCAACGGCGATACCGAATCGAATAATTCTCCCGACATATACTATAATGGAGCCGCCCGCTGGCAGTCGGCTCGATGCCTCGCCTTCTCCCATACGCCCCAGCATGACACGCCGAGTTGCGTCTGCCATCGCTAGCCGATTGACACGCCGACGCTTCGTTGCCAACCTCGCTTCTCGCTTCGCCAACCGGCGGTTTGCATTTGCTGTCGCAACCGTCTCCATCTTCAGCGCCAAGGGCGTTCACATCTATACACACCTGTCTTCATTGCCAGTCGTTCACTTGGTGCGGTGGGGCTATTCGTTCTTTGCTCAGGATGCTGCGCTTCTCGTGCTCGTGCGGCTGCTGCTTGACCCCTGGTTGGTGGAGGGGTCTGGGTGGCTGCGAACAGTGACGATGACTCTGGCCTCTATCATTATCGGATATCTCATTACTGTGGGCGTCTTGACGGTATCTTTTTTTGCAGTAAGCGGCTCGGAGATTCATTGGCGCAACATTGGCTTGGCGGGCGATGCGTCGTCCCTTGGCATGTTTCTATCTGGTCTGGCGTCGTTCCTGTTTGTGCTTTCCACCGTCCTCTTTGTCGCCTATGTCTTGCAAGAGATCTGCTACAAGACTGCGGGCGTGGCCACCGACATTCTCAAGTGGCCCATATCGTATGCTTTGCGCAAAGCATCTCCGCCAACGACTTACTCTCAGGTGCCACAGCTCGACATTGAGCTTGCCAACACATACAACGAGCTGGAAGAAGAAGAGTTTTGCAACATGAAGAGCAAGACGTCAATGACCATTCTGAGGCGATTATTCTCCCTCTTCATCGGCTGCGCACTCTTAACCCATGTCATTTTGTTTATGATTCGGCCGAACGAGAGTGCCTTAAACTTCTTATCCTGGACACCCGCCCTCTTACCATTTGTCGACTTCAGCTTTTCGTCTCCTAGCCTGGATCACTTGGAACCCGTCTATGGCTCCAGCATTGGGCACTCCTGGGATAACTACACCGCACTAGCCGCCCCAGCCCTGTTCTCGTGGCTGCCTGAGAGGCCTGTTCCCGGATTTGAGGACTGGTATACGGACGACGAGCATTATAGTGCTGACGCAGATCCCCTTAAAATCTCCAACTTGGAAGAGAAGTTGCTGCCAGCTCTACAAGGCAAGCTGGGTGACGTACCAATTCGCCACGTCATGCTCATCCTTCTCGAAAGCACACGAAAAGACGTCTTCCCTCTGAAGAAGGATGGCATTGTCTGGAACCGCCTGGCGAATTCATATAGCAACGGCACATTGCCCGAGGAGACCCAAACTGTGCTGGCAAATCTCACGCCCAATGCTAATTTTATTACCGGTGACTACGACGACGGCTTTGCTCACCAGACCAAGAAGAAGCGCGGCGGTATCAACTTCAATAACGTCTTCACCACGGCTACCTACACCATCAAGAGTATTACGGGTACAATGTGCGGCCTCACACCGCTCATGGCAGACTTCAATCTCGAATATCTCCACCACTTCTACCAGCCATGCTTACCCCAGATCTTCGACGCCTTCAACAGACTAGACGATGATGATTATGATGACTTCGACGACCGTGGCCCCTATGGGCCTCCTGGTCACCACGGCCCTCCTGGTCATCACGGCCCTCCTGGTCACCACGGCCCCCCTGACCCTCACGGCCCTCCTGGTCCTCCTGGTCACCACGGCCCCCCTGACCCTCACGGCCCTCCTGGTCCTCCTGGTCACCATGGCGGTCCTGACCCTCACGGCCCCCCTGGCCATCACGGCGGTCCTGGCCACCACGAAGTCCGAAATTCTGATGATTTCACATCGTTCAAGTGGCGCTCTACTTTCATGCAATCCGTCACTAAAAACTACGATCGATATGTGCCCCTCTTGTCAAAAATGGGCATCACCCCGGAAAGCCTGGTCTCTAAAGAATATCTAAAGAGTCCTTTTGCCAAATTTGGCCCTGTAGATCTACCAGACATCAATTACTTTGGCATGGCCGATATTGCCGTTGAGGACTACATTCGGGATGCATTTGTACAGGCCAAGAAGAATAACGAGCGAGCATTTGTCACACACCTTACCAGTACAAGCCACCATCCGTTTGCTATTCCTGCTGAGGAAAAATATACACCCCTAGGAAACGGCTTAGACGATATCTCACACTATCTCAATGCCATCGGCTACGACGACAGATGGCTAGGCAAGATAATGGATATTCTTGATGACGAAGATGTTGCGGATGAGACTCTTGTTGTTTTGGTTGGCGACCATGGCGTGTCTATGCCGGAAAATAACATTCTGGCGCCATACTACAACCCCAATGTTGGCACCCTACGCGTACCTCTTGTTCTCTCTCACCCAAAGCTGCCGGCAATTGATGTCGATGATGCAGTAATGTCGTCGCAAATTTTACCGACCATACTCGATCTCCTCCGCGAAACAGGCTCGCTTTCCCAGTCACAGACGCAAGCCGCATCTGATTTGGTCCAAAACTATGAAGGACAATCTCTTATTCGCCCACTTCATGCGTCGTCCAATGAAACCGGCCAAGGGAACTGGCAATTCACCGTCATCAACCCAGGTCGCGCCATGCTGAGCATCCGCGACGCCCGTCACCCTGACTGGCTCCTCATTGTGCCCGTTATCGACAATGTCGAGTGGCAATTCACGAATCTAATGACAGACCCAACTGGAGCACAAACGTTACTCGGATTCGACTTTGTTAATTTCATGTATGGTGTTGAGAAATCACATGGTGTCGACGCCGCGAAATGGGTCGAAGAAGCTGCATTTATGGCCCGCTGGTGGGTCGAAGAGAATGGGAAGCGATGGCGTTATGGGCCCTATGCCAACTAAAGAGGCATATGTTTTACTTTTCCTTTTGACGTCTCTTTTTCTTTGATATCACTTTTTCTAGCTTTTCTTGATGTACAGATATATACTTGGGCACGGCATTAAAACTGGCGTTGATACAATATACAACGGACGGCATATGTCCTTTTGATCTTTGTTAATTTCTTGCTCTTTGAACTAAGTATATTGCGAATAGTTATACCTGGTCTCCTCTGCGCAGAGCTAAGAACCAGAAGGGAAGGGCTGCCGTGATAGTAACATTATGCAAAAGCGTAGCTCGCCCTTTTGCGGGTTGTAGAATGAGCCATGGGATCTCGTTTCAAAAAATTAAGCGTGCTTTGCATTTGAAAGAGTCTGGATGACTGCTTGCATTGGATCACTGCGAAATGCGCATTATTTACGTCGAGTTTGCTTTTGCAAGCTGGAGATATGAAATAGAGGTCTGTTTCGCAGCATGATGGGAATCTAGCTTTATATTAGGTAAGCGAATATTGGCCAAACGTCACGAGGTTCTAATCGCCAACTTCTCTGATACCTGCGGCGTATGTACTTCTCCAACAGTTTTAATCAAATGAAGACGATTGCATTTCAGATACTTCGTCCCCGCACTCTGCCACTCCTCCGAGCACGCATACCCACTATCAGCTACTCCAAATCGCAATCAAGAGTTTGCTTCTCTTCTAACGCAAAAGAACGTCGCACCATGGCAACTGTCTTTCGACTCGTATTCTACGTCCCAGAGACTCATGTTGAAGCCTGCAAAGCCGCCATCTTTGCCGCTGGAGCCGGTCGTTATCCAAATAGCTCGTATACTGAATGTTGCTGGACGACGTCAGGCACCGGTCAGTTTCGACCGGTTGCTGGGGCGAATCCGCACATTGGGACGCTGGACAAGCTAGAATCCGTTACTGAAATCCGGGTTGAGGCCCCTTGCGTCGGTCCTATTGTGGCAAAGAAGGCGGTGGAGGCGTTGAAGAAGTAAGTCACAAGTCATCCGATGCTATTAGATATGAAAGAGATCTGCGAATTGAAGAATAAAACTAAAATCTTGTTTCTCTAGAGCTCACCCATATGAGGAACCGGCATATGAAGTATATAGGCTTGAAGACTTTTAGGACGTTGGGTCCTTTATAACCACCTTTCTTCCGCTGATTATACTGACTCTATCCCAAATTCTCATCTCCAGATTATAGCCCTTACTCATTTACACATTGTACAAGCTGGTCTTACAATCTAAAGAAATTATAGCTGTGAAATCAGGAAAACATATTCCGGCGGAGCCAAGTGCTTGGCTGCTGGCTTTACCTGTTCCAAGCATTATATATGCAAGATTGCTAAAAAAGAAATTATTTTTTTATTTTTTATTTTCGCTAGTTTCCCTCGATTACCGCGAGTAAAGCTCCCATACCTCGGGGTCTGGTTTGTCTAAGCTTGGTTTAAATCCAAGGCTACCTACGTTCCAAAACCAGTCGGGGTGTTCCTCACTCCTGTACTTGTTCGTCCCCCGTGCAAACTGAATGGCCATTTTGTGAAACCTCCAACGGTTGCGAATATTTGGGTCGGTCTTTTTCACACAACTGAGCATGTAGTGCCGCCAATCGATCTCAGACTGGCGCGAAGATGATGTGTCGGCGAAGATATCTTCAGCCCAGCTGTTGTCTCTCCAATCGGCAGGTGTGAATGGTAGCATCCAGCCAAAGTTACGCAAAGCGCGTAGGAAAAAAACTTGTCGCTTATATATGATGGCATCGTAGAACCAGCGATCTACCTGGGCTAGTGAGAGGAGAGTTTTTGCCGCTAAAATAGCAGACGGAGGCTCAAATATGTCTCGACGTCGACTGCCCTGGTCATTGTTATTAAGGTCTCCAGATTCGTTCAGATGTTGATGCTGGTTGTTTCGCTGGAGCTCGGTTTTAAGAACTTCGCTAGGAACGTCAACAATATAGCTGAGAATGATGTCGATTAATTCGTTAGTATCAAAAACTTTTCGGCGCTTCACTGCCGAGATCTTCACTGGACTTGGCTGCAGAATCTTCGGAGCCGGTAGGCGAGTTGGCCTAGCCAGCAGCCACTTTGTATCTTCCATGCTTTTCGGATCGAACCATCTTGTTTGTGGAAGATCGGGACGCTCTAACGGGGGCGACTGGCGCTCAATGGCAAACTGAAACACCTGCCCACTTCTCTCTTGCATGTCATAGTAGTTGACGCAATATAATAGTCCATTTAGTTCGCCGCCATACATCTGGTAGCATGAATTTTCTTTGTAAAATGACTCCCAGAGTTCACGAGGGGTGATAGTGGTATGGCGACAGAGAAAAGAGAGGCATGCGGGGTGTATCAAAAGACATAAGTCAGAACCCAAGTGTAGTTTATCTTTCACGCCGGGAATGGATACATCTCCGTAGGAGCCAACCATGCTATATCATAGATGTATAAGTAGGAGGCGTCACACGAATGCGTATAGTCTTCATCGGCTTGATAACTCACCAGAGTGGGGTGACAAAAGTGTCAGGCTGGTTGGGCGTAACGGCAACGCTTAGATCCCAATATTTGCCGTCATCATTCGATATAGTCACAATCTCTTCTATCAGCAGAGACGGGACTGGATATCCAGGATCATTATACCACTCTCCATCTCCCGGCGGCCATTTGCGACCTCCGGCGCCGTCAATTAGAAACAGGTACCATTCATCTCGTGCGTTATTCAAGGGGCCAGAGCTGATCTGTCAGTGACTAGCCTCCTAAGATGCGGGGTACATAAATAACCCTTACCAGAAGCAACAGAAAGAGTCCCAGCAGCCCATATCGTAGAAGCCTGTCAGCTGAGATGAGAAGCATGTAGCATTTAGAATTGAAAGTTCAACGTTCCAAGACTGATATAGTCGTCATGGCTTCAATGCTGGCTGTTGTGTTAGAGGCGGTGAGACAGTCTCATTATCGAGTGGCGCAAGTTCAACCGTACAGTATGGAATCGAAAGAGTGGTGGTTGTTTGTACTTGATAAAATGTGGAGCACATAGTCCACGCTTACTTATAGACAATCTTTTTATCGCCTTTTTATGGCACGCGGCCACAAGTATTTATTTATTTTTGTTTATTTTCTTTTGAGGCTCAATACTACATATAATTACTGGCCAACACAGCCGGCAAATTGCAAATAAACTCTATTGACCGAACACTCACCGTGGAAGATGACAATCGGACACGCATGATTGCACAGTGCGTTCAGGCCAATTTTCGAAATCAAAGATTGAGATATACTAATTCCTACATGCTATGCTTTAAGCCCATCTATTGTGGGCGTGGCTAATGCCAACTGGGATCTGTCTAGTCAGGTGAGCTACATACACTATCAGCGTACTTTTAAGATATTACTCGGCGTTTTCTGCTTCATTTTTTATTCTCCTCCTATGACCAGTGATTATTTTTTCTTTTATATCTTGCGCCTTGTTCTAGCTTGTAAAATGGGGATATAAGTTGAAACAATAATAGCTTCTAAGTCCGTAAGGCTTCTATTTACAACACCAACATGCTTATTCGATGTTATATGTTAGGCCAATGCTGTGGGCGATAAGCATATAGGTTGTATCTGGAGTGAATTAAAGACGCAAATGAAACTACATGTAATCCAACAATTTCATCAGCAAATAGCATAAAAAGATAAGCCAAAGAGACTGGGCGTTTCTTGATCAATCACAAGCAGGCGCCTAAATGCGTTGAGTGGAAAGTTCTGTAATAATATGGAGCTCTAAGCAATGTTCTGTGGGATGTAGAAAGGAACAAAGGACAAGTAATTATTTTTTCGATCTACGATGATAAACAATTACATTTGTCCCATCCTTAAGAGGCTCATTTCGCGGCACCAATGTATATCCTCCAATCTTGGGCATCAACACCCACCATACGACCCAGTATACGACGGACGCCACTAAAACCGAAATGCCCACAACTGCGTATAGCCAATATGGGAGGCTGGTGTCACCTTTGCCGCCTGGGGGCCGCAAGAATGGAGCCACAAGCTGGAATGCCTGCCCTGCCATGAAGAACACTGCAATAGGAAGCCATACTTTGAATGGACGCGGCGCCTTTGGCTCTTTCCAACGAAGATAGAACAGCCCTGAGACAACAAGGAAATTGATAACAGCCCCTGGATACCCCTCCACGTCGAGAATGAAACTATAAGCATCTCCAAACGGTATGGCAACAATGACGATGAATGAAGGGATGAAATGCAGAATCAAGCCTGCGCTTGGCGAACCAAACGGCCATGATGATGCCCAAAATCGTGGAAAAGGAATAACGCCTTCTTTCGCAAGTTCCTGGTTAACGCGAGACTGGGCAAATGTTACCGTCAACACATTGCCATATGCAGAGAGAGCTACAAGGACGCTGGGAAATTATTAGCGGCATGATACAGTTGACGAATGCGAGGATGGTGTGCCTCCGGCTAACCTAAGCGCTCTCTGAGCGGACTTTCCAAACACTTTCCCCATAAAGAATGAAGCAACTGTCGTTCCACTCGCAGCAATCTCTTTGGGTGTTGCCGCAGAAAAGTAAGCAACATTTGCAAGGATGTACAATATCCCACATGTCGAGAGACCCAGAGGACCAGCTATCTTAATAGTGCGAACAGGATCTTTCACCTCATTGAGCACATACATAGCATTAGACCATCTAAAGAAGCATGTCAGCGCCGAATCATTTCTTTTAATTTCTTTGCTGGAGTGTGATATTTACCCCGCAAACGAGTTCAACACTTTGAAAAGTGCTGTTGCATACGGATTTCCAGAGTTTGCAGAGCCAGCAAATGCATCGCGGAAGCTTGCGTGAGGATCCGGAACTCGTGAAACGCCTCCACCGAGAACTACCCATCCAGTTACGACGATAAATATAAGAAGCACGAGTTTCAAAACGGTAAAAAAATTCATTCCGTGGACTCCGAGTTTTGGGATGAATGTATGAATCAGAGTAACCGAAACGATGACTCCAATGGCAATACCTCGCTCTGCCCATTCCGTGACAGTCCTGTTGGCCGCTACTAAAATGTTCGATGCAAAAACAATACAACCAGAAGCTGTGGTATTAATTTAGATTATTTTCCCTTTCTTTCGCTTTCTGAGAGACTAGACTCACCAGTGAAGCCGAGGGCGACAGCCTGAACTGCAAAAACAGTAGTAATGAGCATCTTTGGCCTGCGATACGCTGCTTCGAGGTATACTTTCTCGCCACCGCTTCGAGGGATCATACAGGCGAATTCAAGCCAGACGCAAAGGCCCGAAATCGATAACAGAAGTCCCAGAACCCATAGGAACATGGAGGCACCCAGAGATCCAACGCCATTGATGATTGATGATGGGGTAGAGAAAATGCCCGTGCCAATTATTCGCCCAATACTATAGCTTTATTAGCCATCTTATAGAATCGTTGGGAGTGGCGAGAAATCCCACATAAGAGAAGTTGTGCTGAATATGCCCAGATGTCGACCAAGTCCTCCTGCAAGATACTGGTCGAATGTTAACCCTCCCACTTCCTCTTTGAATTCAGCCTCGGAGTACCGAGTCCCATTCTCGTTGGACTCAAATACCGCTTCGTTTTTCGAATGCGCCGGAGAGTCGCTGGTAACCATGCCGTTCTGCGGTGTTCTCTAAGCCAGCTGACAGAAGAAGGGAAGTGTATCTTCTAGCAAAAAGACGAAACTGTGGCCGCGAACATCGCATCATAAACAAACAATTCTCCCTGCATTACTATCATAGCGTCTCACGGACCTGCCGAGAAGGTGTGCTTGCACACCAACAGCGGTCAGATTGCGTGATCGTTATCGGGTGCTGCCTGTACACCAGAACGGTCGTTTTGCGGCGATTGTCCCACTCTCTCAATAATGACTAGCCGTTCTTATATAGTAATTTTTGACAATGCAACGCACGTTATCGATTTGGGGTTTCTCTGCACCGGAGCAGTTGGCACTCCTATTTCACGAGTGGTACCTGAATGCCAAGATGACCAAATATGTATGTATCCATTGCGCATTCTTTCGTTGGTTCCAAAGGCAGTTAGTGTGATCGCCCAAGTACAATTAGCTCTTACGCCGCGCTGTTGGTTGGACGGCAGAAGCCGACTTTCAATGCCAGGAGTTATTGTGGTGAGCGGTAAGGGTAGTTTTTGAGTCACTTCGACGTTGTTGTCCAGCTAGATAATCACTAGCAATGAGCCTCATGAAAAAAAAAAAATACATATTCTCAATTCACATCTAGCAAATTTCATTTTCTAATTGCTTTGAAAGTATAGAATGACTAACATTACATATATGTCAGGGCACCGCTGACTGGTGAGATTGCCATTGCATGAATACCTATTTGCTAGACCAGCCGATGGTCGATACTATCTTTTAGCTTATTATTCCCACATCCAATGGATGAAGAAAATGCAGCTTGGTTAACTGTGGTATGATGCCGATGTGTAGTCTGCGAATTTGGCGATTTGAAAACATCAACGCGTATTCGCAATACGTATTCCTTGGATGGTTAGCGTATTACCTGCGTACGGGTTTGCACTATTGACCTACATAGGTATATCATGTCTACAAATTAGTACAGGCTGCCTTGTACAAGTATGTACGTCAGCAGCAAGGAGCTCTGGCCACACATTGGCTCTATAATCCTAGACCAGAGCTTTGGCCCCATGATGTGCTTGTTGACAGTTCTGGCGCAACTGCCTGACTATATCCGAGCTTTACAGCTAAGTGGAGAAAATACAATCACGCGATCTTATTAAGTATGTATTACTCCATATTGTGATCAAGTATGCTGCGGCATTAGTGATAAATAGAGTATATAGTGGTTGCCGCGCTACATGACAGCTTAGGTATTGTTGAAGAAGCCAACAATTCTTTATCTTAACATTTAAATGTCAATCTAGCGCATCTCACTACCTAAACGCTGTTAGTCCTAAGCACGATCTTTTATTTTTATGAATGATTTAGTTCGTCTAATGTGATTTTACATCAGAAGATATACATACACAAGAATAGTTTGAGATGCTTAAAAAGGATACGCTAAATTTGCTGAAAATGATCGCAAAATGTAGCAAACCAGTTTATCCATGAGTTGAGATAGACACAATTTCCAAGGGACAAATGACAAGCCTATATCCTGGAACATGTTAAGCGATAGATTAAATTAACTAGGGGCAATGAAATATCACGTGGTTAATAGAGATGTATTTGAGTCCAGTCTTATTGCAATGGTGTTAGCAACTGGTACCTAATTTATACAAATCAGCGTAGAGAAGTTGACGCAAGTTGACGATAGGGCCAGTCTGGCTCATTGGACGAGCCGAGACCAGTGTAAAGTGCAGTTCCTGAAATGGCTTTAATGGGGCATTTATATGTCATAATATTTAAAGGGCCTGCATGCTGTAATACAGCGTCCGCCATGTTATGATATAGCATCCGTCTGCTATAATATAGTATTTACGTTTTATAATACAGTTATTGATTATATCTCATAAATCTTAATTTTTCAGCAGGATCTGTCTGGTATTCATATAAGGTTTAATAGTGTAAGATGTTTATATACAATATTTAAATATATACTAGAATAGGGGAAATATATACAAATGCGCACGCGCACGCAAAGGCCTGCTCAAACAGTCTAGGGCTATGCCTCGTCAATCTTAGACGCAAAGGATCATCTGCTCCCTATTTACAGATACCGAGAGGCGCTCAGGCATAGAGCTCTATAAAGTGTCTGGTTGCCCTTTATTGGCAAGATGACCACCACTGGCTCTCAACAACGCAAGTGTAGGGAGACTGGCATTGTGTTGGTCCAGTGTATCCCTGACCACCGCACTGGCCCCATTGAGGAACACTGCCGCCAGAGGGAGGAGAGGTAGGTCCGGTGCTGGCCGTAGATGACCTAGTCACAGTGGACAGGGTGGTTGAAGCTGGCGGGGGAGGGGTGGAAGCGCCACCCAGGTCTGCTACGATCAAGTCAAGGTATCCAGGGTTTCCAAAGAGCTGAGCCATATCCCATAACATCACACCTGCGAAGCTATCATAAGACTTAGAAGATGAGATAGCTCCAGCGAGTTGATCATTGGTGGGAAAGTAGTTGGCAAAGTTTACAGCATGGACACTGGCCGGAGTGCCGACAAGCAGCTTAGTGTTTGGGTTAGCACTGACAGTCTTGGCCCAGTTGTCCCAAGTTGCGTAGTTGTAGCCCGAGGGGTAATAAGAGGTACCACAACCGTTGTTGTAGAATTGGATGTTCAACCAGTCAAAGGCCACCTCTCCCTGGAGGAACGATTCGTCAGACGCGTCGGGGTACACACACTGGGGGGCAGCCGAAAGATAAAACTTCTTTGACGTAGCAGCGCTTGTGAGAGATCTCAGCTCTGCCGCAAAAGGTTCCATGTTGTTTTCGATGGGATCCTCTAAATCAAAATCAAAGCCGTCAACCACAGCGTTGCCAAAAGGTCGAGGGGTGCTGTTGCCGCTCTGGACAGGACCAAACATGGCCCAAATTTCCTGAGCAGCTGACACTGCAGTTGACGACGAACTGAAACCACTTTCAGTATAGGTCGAGCCAAACAAACTCATCATGATGGTTTTCCCATATGTCTGTTGGCACTCGACGATATCTGCAGCAACTTGAGGGCAGTCGAGGAGGTTGGGATCCTGAGCAAAGGCGGTACAGTTGTTGCCAACATTGGCAAGGTTCAGGTTAAGATCTGTGATGCCAACCAAGAAAGAGATATTGATAACATCAACATCAGGGGCATTTTCGCAGTAGTAAGACAGCCTGTTCTGGCCAATGCTGCCTGCATCCTGCCCTAGACGTTGGAAGGCTCGTTAGTCTCTGAGTCGTACAGCGATTTTATCTCCTGAGATTGTAATCGGCCCATCTTCCACATCTTTTGCAATTTAATATACTTACCCCAGTATACGACAATATTGTCCTTTGAGTTCGGATTCCAGCCTGCCTGTGCAGCGGGGAGGAGGGACAACAGCCCGAGGGCGGATGTAAGGTACAGAGAAGGCATTGTGATCGTCAGCCTGAATGAAAGAAAAGGCCTGGGGGATTGGAGCCAGTTGTGTGGCTGATGATGAATTAGGAAAAAGGGAAAGAAGATCACATCTTTATATCACTCTGAACTCTGATTGACAGGCGCCAGCAGATTTTCGGGACGAACAGCTAGTCAATCTAATAAGGAAGCTAGAATAAGAGATGACACATGTAACCTTGTGCTGATTCCATTCAAGAAATTACAGTAGGTGCTATGCTAATTGAGAGATAATCTGCTCAGGCGATCCAGTTGACAGGCGGATATGGTTACATGAACAGGCGGATTGCTTAATGAGTGAAACATTCCAACGCTTTCTGCATAGTGACAAAGATAGGAATTGACCTGCAAAATTCACATGCACTCCTTTTGCTATAGATTGCAAAGCAATATCAGTGATTAGCATTAAATTGATGCAACGTTATGCTCCAGTCAAGCCAGGGTGAGGATATTCTCATAACTAATCTGGAAGGTTGAGAGAACGAAAGCGGTTAGAGGACTTCCAATCGCGCGCTCTTCTATAGCTAGAAATCGATAAATATGCAGGAACCATCCCCCCAAAACATGTAATCTCTTTCATCAGCCGCATAACGTAATCTGCATGGTTCGCTTGTTAGCTGTAAAGGCGATATTATAAGGTAGGTAGATATAAATTAACGAGAGCATCCTTCCTATAGAAAGTGTCAAATGTTTCCAATATCCGAAAGTCTGTCTATAGCCATTTTCTCCTAGTATTTCAAGATTGATATGCACGTTAATGCTTCTTCTCATCGCTCGGCAGTAATCTTTGCGGTTTACCCAGGCTGTTTAGCATCTAGCCCATTTTGTCAGCTCTGATTCCCAGAGCTTCCGCATTGGTGATAGGGCCTATCCGCCGACAGAGCATGGCATGTGTTCAGTTCCTGCACGTGGCAGTGTTTTCGCTCTGTAATTTCGGATAAGACGGCACCACGCACTGTTAAGCACCCCAAAGTCTAAGCTCGTGGCACTAAACACCACGGGGCAGACAAGGACACAGAGATGCTACGGCGGGTCGACTAGGAGGTGGGTTGGCTGTAGCAAAGACCAGTCACGCGACGTGAAATCAGCCGCGTTATCAATCCGAATCTACGCAATTGGGACAGTAGAGTAGAGTTATCAGATATTTGCATGTACTACTTTATCTATAAAGGGTTTTAGACCTCTCGATTTTTCCCAAAATGACCATTGACATTATTGGCAGCTGGGGAAGTCAAATGGTTACATGAAAATTCCATCTGCCTCATATGTGAAGAATTGAAAAGGGAGACGTTACAACTTACAACAAGTAGACTTGAACGCTACAACTGCAATGATAGAGATATATCATTTCTGATACTGCCTCGCTCATTTTAAGCGCATATTGATCTCATATATACTACTGATTGTACTTTTATAGCCTTTAATAACGTTCATGTAATCCTCCCATTTCATTATGGGAGAAGGGAAGTTATTTAAGCCTGGCTTTTGTAAGTAGAATCGGTGACAGGGCCTTAATAGTGAGATGTTTTAGAATATGCGAGAGTCCTCATCAGGATTACTAATCGTGAATATTTGTACTTTTACTGGTCATTTAAAAGTAACGCAGTTTTCTCTCCTCGATGAATACTGCTGCGATTATTTAACGATTATTTTGCGCAGAGAAAGCCCACTAGCCACCACTACCGCCACTCTCAAGCGCACACGGGATGAAAAGGAGCCTTGTTTCCAGACACTACCGCAATGAACTTAGAAAAAAAATATACTATTGCGTATAGACAATTTAGACGCAATGTGCGTAAAACGCAAAAAGGAGGATCAGGAAATACACACAGGGTAAATACACGATAGACTGTAAGCAATCTGACGTTTTAACTCCAGCTCGCGGCTAAATTTAGCGGTTATACTGGAAATATGGCGTGGGAATAGCACCCTCATTCATAGGCGATATTGCAACGCCAGCTCCCCGGGGGCATTATAAGTAGGTACCTTCATCTCCAATGCCTCACCAGAGTAACCCAAATCCTCTGCTACTAGCATAGCGGCCTTTTCTCCAATCAACAGAGCCGTTGAATATCTATACCGTACTTAGTCCACTATATGGCAACGGAGAGGAGACAAAAGGAAGAAACTCACGTATTACACCCCACATTGTCGGGACAAATACTAAGATCGGCAACCTTGAGGCCTTTAACACCATGCACATTCAGCCGCTCATCAAGCACACCGTGCTTCACGATGTTGTTGCCCTCCTTTGGAGCCATTGAGCAAGTACCTAAGCTATGCCAAGTACTCTCCACATGGCGTTTAACCCATTCTTCAATAGCTTTTATGTCTTTGGAGCTATATTTAAGCTCTTGGCGAGTATTGACCTTGTTTGAACTCAGGATGTTGGCAGCAGCTATGTTGTCGGCCGCGGGAAGAGGAGAGGACCAGCTTCCGTGGCCAATGCCTGCAGACAGATTACCAGGAAGTGCATAAGCCTTGGTTGTGGCCAGGTCCATGTCATGAGCCCTTGCTGGTGAATCGTAGTCAAAGAATGGGTGCTACACTTCGTTAGTGATAGCAGAGCCACAAATCTGGAAGGCTGATACGAACCATATTTTCCACCTCCCCTGCATAAGAATCCATTCTTCTTGCTGTCTCCCTGGATTTAATGTATCCCCATACCATGGGTACCATGTCGCGCTCGTCATTCATGAAGCCACAATCAAAATCTGGAGCTTCATACGGGTCAGCACTCTTGATGTGCGTACTACCCCTAGAGAATGGGTATTCTAGGAAATGAAACATGGTAAAGAATTTTCCGTTGGGCCTTGGATTTTTGTTAGAGCAGAAAGGTCTCTCGATTCCAAGCGTTTCATATCTTACATCAACATATGATCGCCAAACCAGCCCGATATGACGCTGTAGTGCATCACTGGTTTATCCGGCTTGTCTTTAAAGTAACTTGCCCAGCCATCTTTAAAATGGGGAGTTGGCCAGCTTTCGAACTCTTTCAATTCTTGCTCCGTAGGGCGAATCTTTACGCCCGCATCGATGCCGTTGGTTGCGAGAGGGCCTGTTCCTTTCAAATGCCACTCATCAAAAACACCTATCTCAGATGAATGAATATCAATAAACACATGATTTATGAGTATCAAAGGCTGTCATATGGCCGGTATACTCACGTTTTTGAACTTCAGGGTCCCCCCGAATGAAGTCGTCAAAGGTTTCGACATCGGGTTTAGCTCTAAAGACTGAAAAGGTCAAGTAATGATCTTGGAAATTTAACCCCACGCCGGGAAGGTTAATTAAACAGTTGACGCCTGCATTCTTTAGTTTGACGGGATCGCCGATACCCGATCTCTGTAGAATGAGTGGGGAAGATAGTGTTCCGCCGGATACGACGATTTGCTTGCGAGCGCGGAATATACGTATTTGTGGCTGGCCCTGTCCAAGAAACTTGGTTGGGACAGTCTGCACGCCGACAGCTCGTCCGTTTTCAATGATTACTTTATCAACCTTTGTATTGCAGGCTAGGTATAAGTTGGAATGGGCTGCTCGAGTGGCGTGGATGTATGCATGCGCACTATCGCTTCGCCGTCCTGTATCTCGGTTGATCCACTTGAGCCAATGCTCGGCGCCATGACCAGTGACTAGATCTTGGAGATCGTCAACAACAGGGATACCTTGCGACTCTGCAGCTCGAAGGAAGTCGTCTTTAATCGGATACGTGTAGTTTCCGAAAGATACCTTGATTGGGCCTTCAAAACCATGAATGTCTCTGTTTTGACTTGCTCTTTGATACGTCTCATGTTTCCTCATGAGAGGCAATAGTTCCTGGGTTGTCCAGCCTTTGGCCTGAAAATCATCGTAATCAGAGGCCGAGGCACGGGTGTACATCATGAAGTTAATTGATGAACCACCTCCAAGAACATGTGCGCAAGGTACAACGGCTTTGCGACCAGCAAGCCATTTAGACGGACGAGATTCATAGAAGGAGGCTGTCTTTGAATCCAGTTTCATATTTCGCGGATAGATGCCTGGGCGGAAAACCCAGGGATTATTGAGATTGCTTTCACCAGCTTCAATCAAGAGAACTTTGAGTTTGTGGTCTAAATTGGCCAGCCTATTACATATAGTTAGGCCTACCATTCATGCCGCGATTGGGATCAGCAACTTACCTGCCCGCCACCACACATCCACAACTTCCGCCTCCTGCCACGATGATATCGAACTCATCAGGCAGCGAACTGCCATATCCTGAGTATTGCGTTGTCATCCTTGGGGCTCAGCTTCACTCTCTGAAAGCCTAAACTGGATGTCGTAAAGTTGATCTGAGTGTCATGTAAAGTAAGTGGCAGATCTTTTATCTTAAATAGACCTCTGGAAACAAGTATGTCATCACTAATCGTGACCATCAACTAAAGGCCCTCAAAAACGTCTCTAGCCCTAAGGGTCTCACTGACCCGAAGAGCCGAACCATCATGCCGTATCCCCTCTCTCATAGCAAAGACAAGACCACCAAATGCATTTGTCTCCATGAACTACCATTGTTCCATTTACCCGCCTAGTCTCGCTACAACATCCAATAGGCATACATAAAGCAGGTTGGTGTGCAGCTTTCCTGTTTGCATAGCCAAGACTTGCGGGGTGATATGCGGTGAGTGGTGTTGAGATGGTCGTGTATATTTACCTAAAGAAGAGATAAATGCGACGATAGCTGTGATACATATACATATATATTATATTTTGTCATTTCACAAATCTGCTGCGCTTTTACTTTTACATGTCGCGGAAAGTTGGTTTGTCTTATAGTATTTAATCGCAACTACTCCTCATATTTGACCTGCAATGGTAATAGTATTTCATCTAATGAAGCCATAACAAATATTATCGTGCATAGTACACTATTAGACCTGTACTACTACATCTGTGATACTTCAAAGAAAGAACCTATTCCATGGGCTGACTTTAAATGATTGAGCATAGCTGCGGCAGCCACGGATGAAATGTTATGATTGTTGAACTGGCTCTCCCCGCTTGTCTAGGTGTTCAATAGCATCCGAGCAAATCACGACCACAGTTCATGCACCCCGGATTCTCGCCAAGCGCTGACTGTGGAGATATAGCATAGCCCCTCATGAGTTTATATCTCCCAGGTTGCGTTCTTGTTGCGTCAAGTGCGGGGGAAAGACCTATTCATCATCAAGGTGTAAGCACATTGCCTCGCTATGTGACGTATTATTTGACCCTCTTGAGACGAGCGGCAACTGTTGGTGAGGGGTTAGGAATGCTATGGTAATTTTGTGTTTCATTCTGTGTTGAGGATATGGAATAGCTTAATCAGGATATCACGGATCCCAAAGTCAGAGGGAAAGGGCCAGGCTCGGCCCCCGCATTGGTATCATGAACTGCTCCGAACATATCACAGCAGATACTGGTCCAATGATTCTCATGTCGTTGAATATCATTAAACTATAAAAAAATCGATTCCTTTAATCAAAATGTTATTTATATAGATGGCGGGAACATGGACAATTAGTCTAAAAAAAATCCCAGCTAAAGATTGTATGTTTATACAATTCTTCGCCGGTGGGCTTGAGCTTGGATAGCAAAGTACGGGCAGCCCGAATACCTAGGCCTAGTTTAGGGTCTAGAGGGGCATATTATTCCCGGTGCTATCTCCCAAGTGTGTGGTCGAGACTCCCCCGCAGTGTGATAGTCGACCTTGAAGATAAATGCTTCTGGCTCGGTATTGATATGTCGTACTATTAATCATTAGGCAAGCAATTATTAAAGAAGTAATATGCAATAGATAAGATATGATGCAATGGCACATTTGTACATCAAGGCTGCTGCTACGGAATACTGTTACGGTTGTTGTAAGATAGCCTATAACGTTGTTGCAGTGGTATTAGGTAGTGCATACATGCGCTCACCTAGTCCTTGGTTGGGCCACGGTTGAGACAGAAGGAAAGAACAAATATGGAAGCAAGCATTATAACAAGACACTGTAACACATTTACGATACATGTTCAAGAGTGCGAGATGTGGATTGTTTATATACTATAAACACAAAGTACGGGAAGGCAATATCATTTAAGATCAATAGACAGTATATCTAATTGTTATGACTGGCAAGCTTCTGCTCTAACCGCTGCCTGGGTCTTGACCTCGCGGCTAAATCACCACTACTTTAGCCCATATATGAACCTCGGATAATTTATATAATACAACATCGTACTCATGTATACTTGCCTATTTATAGATTGAGCTACTGGCATGTCTCCACCACTTTGATCACATTGTTTCATCTTATCCATCAACTATCTACGAAATTCTACTCGTACTGAGAATAGTCGTACAGAGAAGAACTATCTCCCAGGGAGAGCTAGTATACTTAAAATTCTTGATTCACTGACCATGCGCCCAAACCATGTTCCTTGATGACCAGCTATTGGCAGTTTTCGATTCTCAATGGCCTGTCATCGTAGAATTTTACCAGTAAAGCGGAGACAGAACCTCCAGAAGAATTTCCAATCTGTAACCATCATATGATCAAGGTCAAAAGGAAGGCCTTCATAAGTGATATTTCGTCTCTTCAAATCGCAAAGCGCTTACCAGAAATATGGGGCTCGGCAGGTAGCGCTAACTTTATTTTATGATTCCTCATCAGCTTTATCTTGCTCAGCCTAGGGTCGCTTTACAGTCGTTTCGAGCATGCCCTAGCGTTCGGAAATGCACTTGAATGGAGCTAAATTGTTTATTACTAATATTGATGAGTAGATCTCCTCGGTCGCAATAACTATGTTCTGGGTTGTAGTGTAATGATTCTGTTTCCATCATCAAGTATTGCTTCAAACTTGGACCTATAACTCTCATTATAAAGGGGGAAGCTTAGTTTTGAGCCTTTAAATAGCCTATCTCATAGGATAGTAACGCCCTTAATTATATAGTATAATAGTTTACGCCAAGTGCCGCGAAGCTAATGTAGCATAGAAACTATCCCACATACAGAGACCAGAACTCGGGATTTCTACCCCTGAATTGCGTACATTAATAGAGAAATTAAACAAATATTAAGTTTTCCGTAAATCCGTAAAATAATACTCTATGCTGGGTTCAGGGGGCATATAGCCTCGTATCCCTGGTTATAACCTGCATGATTTGTATGGTGCAATCATGCATTCAGCGTGACATTTTATAAGCAGGAGAAATTTACTGTCGCTGCTGGAGTTTTTTTTTTAAAAAAAAATACTATTGAAATGCGTTTGCTTCAACTGAAACCCAACTAATAAAGAGGTTATTTCTAACAACAGCGTGAGTAAACATGGGTCAGCTTGGGTGCGGGCTACATATAGCTTCACATTTTTCGAAAGAGTAATGTTCCGCTAGAAAATGAATAAAGTTAGACTGAAACGGATATGCCTATTTGTATGAACACCATATTAACGAAGTGAACCCAGAAGTGCTAGTGGATTTAGGAACTCACATTATTCTGTAACAACAACTTCGGTGCGCTTTGTAGTACACGTAAACCGTAGAACAAGATTCTGCATTTGAGGGAGGGTGGGGTTAAAGTAATATCGTCAATACAGTTTAGTGAAAAAGGTAGCCTTACTTCGATAGTCCGTTTATTGATTGTATTATAAACATTGAGACAAAAGACGTTGGATTGCGATCGACCAGGAAGAATAATGCTAGTAATAACAATATCACTCCCTAGCCCCTGGATGCTGCCTATGGCTAATAGAAAGAGAAATAGCCCAGCTGCGGACAAGCTCCTGGGCAATGCAGCCTCTTTGCTAGTATCCACACGTCCTATAAGTGACTGAAAAAGCAGTTCTCAGCCCCACATATGACTAGCCCACATACTATTCAAGCGATGCTGATCGCTGATTGGAACGAGCATTATCCGTTTTCGGCAGATAGCTATTAATAAAGCTTGGACCCTAGAACGAAGTTGCTACTAGTTATCTTGTTCTCAGGTCGCATAAAAATATTCGATCTAAAGCTGAGCAGCCGGACAGCTACTGTTTCGCGCTTCGGATATGCAGGTGAATTGACACAACTGACGGAACTGGAGTCTCAAAAGACGCAGTTATGGTGTCTTTAGGTATACCGATGCCTCTGAAAAAGATTATTCAAGAAAGTTGTAAAAAATTGTTAAAAAAAAAAAAAAAAGAATAAAATAGATCCATATTTCTATCACGGAGTCTTGCATAGAATTGCAGTGTCTGCTAGTAGTACTCCGTACCTATGCACGACTCAGTTAGTACTGCCTGTCTTCACACGCCTGGCCACTCGGTTAGGAGTAAGAGTGGGGGGTTTCCTAACAATCCATGAATTAGAGTGGCTCGTGCTCATAAGCGATGAGGAATACGGAGTTTAGGTCTGTTGCGATGGAAGTAACTTATACCGCAACACATACGATATATATCGATGATTGGAAGATCACGGTGTGTTTTTGATCCGAAGCTGGGATACAGTATGCTGCGCCTTGCCAAGCAAAGCCTAATCTCTGTCAGCGCGGTGTTTGGCACCTTCTGTAGTGGCGTCTTAGTGTGAAACCTCTATGCCGCCTTCGCCGCATAGAAGGGACAATGAAACTAAGCCTAAAATGAAGAAGAAGAAAAGGAAGAAAGTGACCCCCAACGTGTGGAGGCAAAAGCATCTGAGCAAACAGATTAAAACGGCGCTTAGTGTCAATATTTTCAGAACTGGTAGTTGTATATACCCCCCTTTAAGCATTAGCTGTAGCAAGCTCCTGTCCTACACTTAGAAACCACACTCATGGAAGAGCATTTCAACACGATCGTGGCCGCAAGCTCTCAAGACAAAGGGAAGCAGCCGCTAAACATACGGTTTCTCAACCTAACAAATCCAAACGATGCAACTAAATCAGATGCACTCACAGCTATTCGCTCTCATGTGGCAAAAAACACCCATGGTCGCAAACAAGAAAGCCGCCGGACTCGCCTAGAGATCCGCCAGTACCGTCCCGCGACTCGAGGGAACAAGACTAACAGTCTTTGGTCACAAGAGAAGATAGGCACACAGCTTGGCCCGGAAAATTCGAAGTTCAACTTGCCAGTGGTACGTCAGAAGGAGAGTCAGGAGAACACTAACCTGTCTGATCAATCGGAAATATAGATACCCAGCCCACAAACTTTTGTGACATCTCACAGGAGAAATCCATTCCAGACCTCTTTTGGGAAGATTTCTGATCCCGAAAGTGCCTTAATCGATCACTGTAAGTATGGTTGTTGAGGATCATTTATATTTTCTAGATAAGTAATTGCAGCTACAGCAAACACTAATTGCCTGCAGATATTACCTATGTTATAGACCATGGTTATACAGATTGCATTCATAATGAAACTGAACAATTACTCCTTCAAAACGTCCGATCGCGCTTTGTACCGTGGTCACTCACGGAACGAGGACTCCAAGCCGGGCTTTTAATGGCAGCTTGTCGGAGTCTACTGACATTATATCCCGAAAATGAGACATACAAAGTTTCATTACTTAAATATAAGAGCCAATGCATCGAGATACTTCGCTCTGCACTTTCAGACCCCGATCAACGTATCAGTGATCATACTATTGCCCTAGCCTTAGTATTATCCACCGAAGAAGTGAGCATTCCAGCCAAACCTGTGCCTGTTGTCTTCTTGGAGAATTATTCCTTACAAAATGAAAATTTATCAGTTTCTTTCTGGGAATGTCATCGAATCCCGACTACATGGGGAAGCGATCCTCAGAATGGTTCAACTAAGGGGCGGATTCAAAAATCTTGGTCCAGAGGGCCTACTGGGATACTTACTGGCAAGATCAGTCTATAACCCGGTCTTTCGATTCGTGGATGGTCCTGATGCTATAGGATTGGTAGAATAAGAAGTACGAGGAGCTAAATGGACAGAATTATAATATATTTGGCATCAATGCAGTACATTTGCGCAGTATAACTTTAGAAGGTTATGATCCCATCAAAATGCCCACATGTTGCTCAGATCAATGATAATATCCATCAAGGCACTGTTTCTCTATTCAATGCAAAACGATAATAACGGTCACTTAAGAGAGGTGGCTTATGAATGGCCGCTAGTTTCAGAGCTCTTATGCTTAATAAAGATAGGTCGACCTATGGGAGGGAACTTGAAAAAAGCCTTTTGAGTTGGATGGAATCACATCGGCTACCCTCCCTTAATAACAGCACATTTTCTAGAAGTTTAATAGAGAGAAGAAGAATACGCTGAACAGCCTCTAGTGACATAGCCCCATCTCCAGCCCTGCATTCGGCATCGGTGTCCAGCGGACCTTTTCTCCGCCGAAGAGAACCGAACGGGGTAGGCGTCTCTTGGGCGGTGTTTGCATCTTAGAGCACCCACCGAAATTGCATGGATGCTTCTTAGGGTAGGACCCCTTTGGAGCCTGATCTACGTAGTTAGAGCGACGTAGCGCTTCTTTGTCCATCAAACATCATTTATGTTCATCAGCTTTGTGTAGTAGCTGTTTGAATAGTCTATGAATGAGGTTATTCATACTTTTTTTTTTCTTTCGGAACATTTTATGTCTCTTCATCAATGATTGATGATATGGGGTCTACTCCTTTCGGCAATGTAAAGTGCGGTGGTGTAACCACGTGCATAAACTACGCTACCGCCGGCTCACCGAAACGGCTTACGTACATGCCTAAAAAAATAACGGAGTTGCGGATTGATCTCACCTGTGGATGGTTTCATTGAGGAAAGCATCCATCGTTACATCAGCTTAGTACCACCTCCACTCGATCTCTAAATATCGCATACAATAGTATCGTTTATATCTGAAGTTATGTCAAGCGATCTTAACGGTATGTTGTCAACACGAGCGTAAAAGTTTGAATGAGACAAGTTACAAATACCGCTTGATAGAATATACCAACAGCGAGGATTACGAGATTGTGCGTAAGATTAGTATGTCTACTGGTGTCAGCTAGCTTGATATGCAATTTATTCTGATGTATAACTACGCGAAAAGGCACTGGCAAACACGCAGATCTATTTGAGGGTGTCCATATACCAGATTTTACGAGACGTATCCTCAAACCCGCCAAAGAAGTGGGGAGAGACACGATAGAGCGGGAAATCAATATTCTTCATTCCCTTAGAGGGGGCGTTAATATCCTGTTGCTATATGGTGTAATCCGAAATGGTCCGGTATGCTACCCTATGATGTTATTGTAACACGTCGAGACAGTGTTAACGATGACCACTTTATCGGTGTGCTGCTAGCTGGAACCACCATCCTTGGTCCTCGAATACGTGGAAAACATCGACTTCCGACGTTTATATCCTACATTTAGTAGTGACGATATCCGATACTACATCAAAGAGCTTCTGAAAGCCCTCCAGTTTTCCCATAGCAAAAGCATAATGCACAGAGACATTCGACCTCACAATATCATGATTGACCCTACTGAGCGAAAGGTAGTTTCCGCTTCTCATATTTCTGGCCCTGATATGCGTGCTAGAACTTGAACAAAAACTTATGTGATGCTAGTTACGTTTACTCGGCTGGGACTACGCAGAATTTTATGTGCCCAGCTCGTTATATAGCGTCCGCGTTGGCTTGGGTTTCAACAGAGCCCCCGAATTGTTATTAAATCACGAAAGGTATGACTGTGGCGTGGACATGTGGAGTTTAGGGGTCCTTCTTGCTTCTATGATCTTTCGAAAAGAGCCATTCTTTCATGGAGCGAGCAATTCACTTCAGCTTCAAAGAATTGCCAGAGTATTGGGTACCAAGGGTCTACTTAATGTTGTGGAGAAATATGACATAGATACCACTCCAGATGGCTTTGACGATATTCCACACTTCGAAAAGACACCCTTGCAGAACCTCTTCAACGAAGATAATGAGAAATACGCAAGCATTGAGGCGATAGATCTCTTAGATAAATTGCTTCGGTGGGATCATGCAGTAAGATATGACACGATGATTCCGTTGAAGATGTTGAGAGATTTTTACTTATGTTTTTACTTGTAGGAAAGAATAACTGCTAATGACGCCATGTCACATGCATACTTTAGCTAAGCAATATTTTAGCTGCTAAAATATTCAGCTTCATCTACAATTGAATTTCAGGAAGAATAAAGATTTAGCAGTTGGGCAAATATGCGCGTCGATAACCTTTCTGAGGTTTATGCTTGTTCCATTTTTATCGGCCGCATCCACAACAAAACTCCAAGTTTGCGTTGTGTGCTGTTTATCTGACGTATTTGACTCGGACCTATTATCGGATATCGATTATTATTTGAACCGTTCATAGGATCGATAGGAATTGGCCCATTACCTCTATTATAATAATACATATTTCGTAAACGGTACGGAATTAAAGCTAGGTATGAAGAAGATAACATTACGCCTTAAAAGTTTGTAAAATTCGCAAAATGGCGTTATAGGTGCGATTAATTTTCAAGATGAAAACAAATAATGGCAATTATGCACATAGCGCAACACTTGGGGACTTTTATTGTTCAAAAATATAGTCAAGTAGGCTGGCATTCTGCAATTATTACAACCCTATATACTTACAAAGCTCTATTTTATAAATAATGAATATGTAAACAAAAAGTGAATGGCTTTCTTTAAATTAGTCATATGAACAACCGAGACGCTGTCGGTAAAACGTCAGGAAGTGAATGTGTTAGGCGTTCTGCCAGCATGTCCATAAACTCCAGGCGCAGAGCTTCAGGTACGCATAATGAAACAGAGCCAATAGTGAGACTCCATATTAAGAAAAAGTTATCAGACTCCCATGAGCTGAGCATCTCGGGGCTCTTTAAGCTGCGTAGCAATTTTTGGGCAAATGAGGTGGCCCCGGTGTTATCCATCCCAAATTTTGCGCGAACTTCGCTAATGTAGAGGATACCAGCTAATCGAAAACATTCTCTTCGAATTAAGATTTTACTAGACATACCATGTGTAACTCGGGGCAGTGATAAGAGGTCGTAAAGGATCGGAGCTAGTTGAAAGCCTGGGAAGAGGACGCTTTGCCAAAATGCATCGCCTAGAGCATATGCTTCAGCATTTATGAGAGAATTGACCTCCTGTATGGCTTCAAAAATGTGTCTCACGGCCGGATCTTGGCTTAGCAAGCCATTGCTACCTAACTGTTCCACGGTGGGCATCGGTGCGACTCGAATTTTACTCTCTGTTGATAGGATTTCATATGGCTGTGGATAACGCGGTTTTCTATCCTGCAGATAGCTACCTCGGACATCGATCCTAGCAGTGATAAATTAGATTCCATTGATAACATGAATCAAATTAAACGCACCAATACATCATTACTTGAATAACAGGTAAATGCCGGAGTGCTGCCAGGCCACCCACACTGCTGATGGCGTGAGAAAGTCCGTCAAGGTGAACGTTGATCAGCTGCGGGTTGCTAGTTAAATTCTGGTAGCGGTTAGCATGATAAAGCCTGGTAATTTGGGTGGTTTAGCCGACACATACTGCGAAAGCCGCAAACGCAAGGATTGCTGTGATGGTCTCTAGACTGGCCCTTTGAACGGGGTCATCCAGTCGACGCCGTAGCGCTCTGGTAGCCATCAGAGAGTATCTGGCATAATCTATGCTGCTCTCGTCGTCTTCGGTACTTGAACTCTTCATATGCCACGCTGACGATGATAGCATTTGTGTAAGTGACGCGGAGCCTTGTAACAGATTGAAAAATCCAATTTCAATCATAGATTTGAAGACGACACAGCCTCCATATACTGCATCAAGAATTTTAGCAAAAAAAAGAAGAAAGAAAGAAAGGAAGAAAGGAAGAAAGAAAGAAAGAAAGAAAGGCATAAGCCATATAGGGGAGTACGAACAGTGATTCCATAGCTGACGAACTCTTGGTCTCTGGTCTGCGGGCACCAGCTCAAAAATGCTCGCGCTATTCTCTGCACTGATAGGACCAAATTCGTTTGTGTTTATTTGCATCATTTCGGTAGATTGCAACACTGGTTGCATCCCCGCGGACTCCAGTCCTTGATGCGGCGGCCTGGTCGCTGCTTCGCGCGACAAAGCCTGTAGCCATGATCCAACATCCAAGTCAACCGTCAAGGCGTTCCGCGGGGGAGGTGGGTTGCGCCGACGATAGTCAGCTTGCGCACGACTCCTCACGCGCCGCCGTGTTTCTGCGTTGCCGCGAATATTCGTCCCAGACACAGAGATGAACTCGAACTGTTGACGGCCAGCGCCAGTGCTGCGCTGCTCTTGACCTAAAATGAGCTGTTTAACGGAGCGTCCTGAATGGCTTAATACCATTATGCTTTAGCTTACTTACCCTTTCTTCCTGTCATTCTGAAATATTCATGTATATTAAACGCCAAAGAGTGTCGACAGAGAGATTTTCACTCTCGAGAAATAACATTGATCGTTATTAGTGAACCGCAGCCATTAATTAGAGAGGGCGCTGAATATGCGGCTTGACAGCTGGAGAATAGCCCGAGACTTAAGGCTGCTCCACTTAATCCGGCCTCTTGCTTAGGCATTGTTTAGTAAGTAGTGCTTCAAAGTAAGCCTGCTAGACTGTTGTCCGTCTCTCACGCTTACTTCTTTCCTCGTAGCCGATATATTGAGTTTCAGAGTGGCATTGACGCTGCAATTCTGCTCGCATATGATTAGTAGTACTGTCTTGCTTAACGAGACACCTTTCACCTTTGTCGCCAATGGCATGAACGATGAATGATAGCGGCGGCACACCTTCGAAAGCTTGAATAGAACGGGGAAAAAATTAGCAGCATTCGACATTCACAGTAGAGAAATTCTGCACGCTAGGGTAATTAATTGTATTTGTGAAAGAACTAAGATTCATTTATAAGTTTGTAAATAGTTTAGTGTAGGAATTCTGCCACCTCTTTTGCGATCAATGCTCCATCACTCTCCACCGCAAAATGGCCTGCATCGATGAGTTTAATAGTTGCGTTGGGCAAGTCCTTTTTAAACGCATGAGCTCCAGCTGGAATAAAAAACACATCATTCTGCCCCCAGATTGCCAATAGAGGCACTTGAGAATTTCGGAAGTATTCTTGAAACTTCTCGTACAGTGGAACGTTATTTTGATAATCCATGAAAAGGTCAAGCTGCGCGTCTGTCCTTCCCGGGCGCTGCAATAGAGTGTAGTCCAGCGTATAAGACTCAGGTGCAATCGTTTGTAAGTCAGGAGTGCCATTCTCATACTGAAATTTGGTAATATCGAAGTTCAGCATGGCGCCCGCGATCTTAGAACGATCATCCGAGGTGTTCTTGCTAGCCCAAAAATCTTTAATCGGTGCCCAGACGTCACCAAAACCTTCTACATAAGCATTTCCGTTTTGGGTGATAATTCCTTCCACCGATTCTGGGCGACGTAGTGCAAGACGGAGGCCAACTGGAGCTCCATAGTCAAAGACATAAACCGCGAATTTGGAGATAGAAAGTGAATCTAAAAATTCAGCGACAACATCTGTAAGGGATTCAAATGTGAATTTGAAACCTTCAGGAGTCTCTGTGAATCCGAAACCGGGCAAGTCCGGAGCAATAACGCGATATTTTGTGGCGAGCAATGGAATGATGTCGCGATACTGATGTGACGACGACGGGAAACCGTGGAGTAGTAGAAGAGTTCTGGAAGGATTTTCAGGACTTTGCTCTCGATAAAAAATGTTCACACCACTCTTTGGTAGTGCTACGCGAATGTTCCGTGTTGCGGCCATTGTGCTTGCTTTTGGTTCTATGATGTCGAATCTGTTGATATATGCAGCTTATTAGCCGAGCAATCTGGAATTGGTACTGTTTCCTTTGTTGTTCTTTTGTTGTACTGTTGATGAATTGTATATTCTGGCTACTTTCTAACAGGAGGACTTTATATACTTTTATCCTTCAGGAAAATATAGCTGCTATTCTATCTTTGTCGTTGTTAACCATAACCAAGGTTTTCCGTCTATTGTTGCATTCAATTAGGCGCCTCCGCGGTTTGGAATTACTGATGGATTAAAGTTACAACGACGTCAGTCACTAAACCAAATGGGGGAAATGCTGCCTGCGCACCCACATAACGTTTATGCGCGCTAAAGGTGATATTTGCTCAGTCACGTAATCTGGAGAGAAAATTAAATGACGGAAAAAAAAGGAAAAGGAAGACATATGAAAGAGATTAAAAATTAAAGAATAAAGAATGATAATGATAATGATGACGTAAAAAAAAATAACTACAACTCAATTAAGGCAGTGCTCATTTTTCTTTGGCTCTCTTCAATGGACAAATTATATCGAGATTTCAGAGGTTGGGCTATTGGGCGAAATATAGTACTCCGTAGTTCATTCACAGAGAAAATTTCTCTTGAGAGCATCTGGAACACAGCGAGTATTATCTCAGAAACTAATTGGCTCAGAAAATGAAGCCGTCGAATAATCATTCACAGAAGACTCCTAATAACAGAAACTTCAAAAGGCAATACAACAACTCGGTACGGCTTCTCGTCCATTTGCAATACTATGAAGTATCAATTGCTCACGCAGGCTGGGCGACGACTTGGACTACGAACTAACGGGGAGGATGGGCCAATTTCATGACCTTATTAGACCTAGCCTTAGGAAAGAGGTCTCTTTGACTCGGCATCGGCACACCCTTTGAAAGGGTCTCATAGCTCCACAGACTCTGCGGCGAAATACAGGCGCTAGAACGAAAACAGTCAATGCTGCCTCTAGCCGTGCTTGCCAAGCTCACACGCTAACGGCGCGGACAATTCCGGGTGTGCCCACGCTCCAACTGACTTCTCGACGATTACATCACTGGTATGCCGGTAGTGCCATTGACAAATCAGCCCAGTTAACGACTATTGGCTTTGTTTTTTCTGTTTGCCTTTGGGAGGTGTTGACGTAAACTGCTATAGCTTCAATAGATAGGATTTGTCAGGTTAAGACTATGCAGATGGCACCACATAATGACAGTTGCGTATATACGAATTAGGAACAGCCGCATTCTACCATTTATGTTATATATCTGTGCATTTCCTCATCTGAGCATCTCTTCATCTCTGCATCTACTCATCACTATTTGTGGCATACCCTTCTATCTGAAACCACCTGGACAAATCCAGTACTTTCAACAAAAGTTTTACCTTTGAATCCTCCTCAATAGAACATCATGGCGGAGACTATGAAGGCCATTGTGATACCGAGATTCGGCGGACCCGAGGTTCTTGAGATCCAAATAGTGCCTAAGCCAGAACCTATCGCCGGTGAAGTGCTGGTTAAAGTCTTTGCTTTCGGTGTAAACCACGCAGAGATGCACATGCGAAAGGGTGAATGGGACGAATGGAATCCCATCACTGGCTTAGAGTGCGTCGGGGTTGTCGAAGCTTGCCCAGGCGGCGAGATAGATATCGGCACCAAAGTAATTGGTGTTATGGGAGGAATGGGCAGGAATCGCCCTGGAGGATATGGATCATTTGTTAATGTTCCAATTTCTAATGTGGTGCCAATCAAAACAAACCTTCCTTGGGAGCAGTTAGCAGCTGTCCCGGAAGTCTATTCGACGGCATACTCTTGTTTATTCACGGTTCTCGATCTAAAGGCTGGTGAAACCCTACTTATCCGTGGATCTACCTCAACACTCGGCCAAGCAGCGCTTCACTTAGCTGTTGATGCGGGAGCTCGGATCACAGCTACAACACGGCGGAAAGAAAGATTTGACGAGATCAAGGCGAGGGGGGCTGTGGACGCGAAGCTTGAGCACAAGGACCTCCAGTCAGAGTTTCCTAGCGGATTTAAGTTTGATAAAGTATTGAACTTGATCGGCAACAGTGTATTGGTGGAGTCTATCGGTCTGACTCGGCCTGGTGGACGGATGTTGCAGGCTGGATGGCTGGGCGGGCTGGCACCCGTGGTCGATTTCAACCCCATGGTTGAGATGGAGTCTGGAGTGCACTTCAGCTTATTCCACAGCAAAGTGCTGGGTACACCCGAATTCCCTATGTCTAATATTCCCATTCAAGACATAGTTAGCAAGATTGAGAGAGGAGCATGGGACGCTAAGCCAGCGTTTGTTTTCGAATATAACGAGATTCAAAAGGCTCATGAAATGCTGGATTCGCATAATGCGGGAGGGAAAATCGTTGTAAAGCACTGATATAGAGGTATATTCCAATAAAAAGTCAACTGTGCTAATAAAACACAGCGCATCTTGTTCTATTGAAAAGTAGGATCCTTACAGAGCTTCAAGACGTAGAAATCATATTATTTTCAGATATTTGAACATCTAATTAATTCTCAATCTATGGGTTATCCACTCCATCTTTTGTGATGGCAGTTAAGGTATCCTGTTCTATGGGATAAGTGTATCTACTAGCATGAGGTATAATATGGAGGCGGAATTGCTGCACCTTCTGGTATTATCTGTTGAAATTTTGTGGTCCAAGAATAAATAGGGCATTTATCTATCTGCAGTTAAACAAGTTTCTTCTTAAACCTTACCATGATATTTTCAGAAAATGCCTGTTCGATTTGATAGCCAATTTTACCCTAACTCAGTGTGGTCAAGTGTGACTAATAACTTGATGAGTTGCTTATTGACAATTAGGAAACGCATCTCTAAACTAGCTAACATCCATACAAACATAACCTCGGAAGTCTAACTCGTCTTACTGCGATTGGAACCATAGAGCGAAAACAAATCACAGAATCATTTGATCTAGCCGGCATTAAAGCGTCGCTTTAAGGAATCAAGTGTTGCCGGGGAAGCAGGGAGCTGGCCGTCATGCTGCCTTTAACGCCGCATCTAGCCGTCCAATGGACCCAGCATGTTGATCGCGCCCTGCGCAAGACTGAGTGCTGCTAGAATTTGTCGCGACCTTACTTGTGCCCATATAATGGTAAAAATTATTATATAGCCAAGAAGCTTGGCTGCTGAGAGAAGAAAAGCTGGAGGAAAGGAATAGCCGCAGTGAAGAAAAGCTTTCACCACGCAATATGAATATTGGATTTCTGGGACTGGGCGTGATGGGTACCCCCATGGCGCTCAATCTATGCCGCAAATTTCCTACGACGGTTTGGAACAGAACGGTCTCCAAATGCGCGGTATTAGCACAAGCAGGTGCTACGCTAGGTCACACTCCAGCCAACGTGGTCGAGCAATCCGATATTATTTTCATGATGATGTTTAACGGGCCTGCCCTACGATCCGTAATCGACGATGACTTCAAAAGGGCGCTTAGGGGAAAGACACTCGTCAACACCAGCTCAGTGTCCGCGGAATTCAGCCACAGCCTAGCAGAAGAGATCCGCGAAGCAGGAGGGAAATTTATCGAGATGCCTGTCAGCGGAAGCAAAGTTCCTGCTGAACAAGGCACCTTGGTGGGAATGATGGCGGGCGACCAGATCGAGTGCGAGCGCATCCGGCCTTTCGTGGAGCCGATAACCAGCGCAGCTATCTATTGTGGGCCTATCGGCTCAGGTTTGAAGACCAAGTACGCGGTCAACATCTTTCTCATCACCGTTACGGCTGGCCTTGCAGAGTCAATGAATCTAGCCAGGGCACAGGGCCTTGATCTTCAAGCGTTTAGCAGTGTGCTGGATGCGGGCCCTATGGCTTCCGCCTATTCCAAGATAAAGCTGGCCAAAATGGCCAGGCAAGACTGGTCCGCCCAGGCGGCTGTGAAGGATTGCTACAACCTCACTGAACTTATCCAAGATGCAGCAAAGGCTGCGGAGGCAAAAACCCCTCTTATGGAAGTGTGCAACTCTCTATATCGACAGGCAATGGAGTCTGGGTTCCAAGATGAGGATATGATGGCTGTTTATAAAGTATTTTCAGGCAATAAGAACAGCGATTTGTAAGGGTTATTGTGTTGAACTGGGACGCTGGTGAGGATTAGGGCAGTGCTTCACAATCGGGCAGGTTAAATGCGGTATTTCCAAGCTAGCAATGCTACTAATGAGGGAAACGGAGAGCTACCACAACTACCGTCAGGCTCAGGACATGCTCTCTACCACGAGGCCCTCACAGAATGCTACTTGAGGTACAAATGGCGGTAAATTACATGTACTCTTCCGTAGTCCAGTAGCACCCTTTATCGTCACCGAGGGGGAGAATTTTGCAAGTTATTTTAGCTGCTTAATTTTTCTTGGAACAGAAAACAAATCAAAAGCCTGCTTTTTGCCATGTTTCTGCCGGCTAAATTGTAATCATATTGCGTTGGATCTAGCATTTCTCCTATGCTGGCTAGTGGACACAGGCACCATGGAGCTTGGCAGCAGCTGAATTGACAGCCAGCTAGACCTCTTTGTGGACCGACATTGCGCGCTAGGATCCTTTTTCACGTGGGATGTGCTATAATGGTGCGGGAAGCGATATAGATTGGGTGCGCGTGTAAAATCTCTGGCGGCACGATTTCGCACAACTGTTCGTCTTTGAAGAGGGTTTAGAGACCCAGAAACCTCGAAAAGAAGTTTGAATTAGACGTAAAGGCATTAGAAACAATAAATAAGTCGTTCCTCCTCATGTCGCAGAGTTTACATAGATCCCTGCCTAGCATTGTATGTAAATTACAGTCGTTTTGCAGCCACACAAATACTGTATGCGAGTATGAGTAGATAAGTATACCAGCATCAAAAAGTTCCAGCGTCCATCTAAGATACTAGCTGCTAGAAGTACCTAATACGTAAGAACTCGGACGCGCTTTACCCAGAATACCTTCATGCCGACTTTCCGGCTCATTTACAAAAAGACCCTGACTGTATGCAAGGGCCAATTGATAGGCACTGCTCCACATCTATTGGTTTCCCCTCGCAGGGTCCATCGTAGCAGTCTTATCTCTACACGTGCGATCTATCACTCTATTGGATTGGACGAGATTTGTCCACATCGGGCACATGAAAAATATTTCTTAGAATCGGATCGTATCCGATATATGCCTGCACGAGTGTAACCATGACAAGCCTCTAAATGGCAGGTGAAAAATGAAATGGAGATCCATAGCCGTGCTGGTGCCTGAGCCGGCCAGCCGTTTGGTATTAAATGCCCCGATGCCTCGGCCATGCTGCTGCCGTCGCCTGCTAGAACCTGTGAGCTGCTATTTGGCTGTTCCCCTTGGCCTCTCGGTATCTCATTGGTCGTCTTGGTGTTGGGTAAAAGAAATCGATTCAGTATGAAGCCCGCCTCTACCTCTGCTCTTCTGGGAGCGCTTGTCGCTGTAACGGTCGAGGCTGCGCCAACTGTTGATGAGCTCTACCCGTACACAGGCCCAAAAGTCCCGGTTGGCGACTGGGTTGACCCGACTGTCAAAGGCAACGGCAAGGGATTTGTACGACTGGTAGAACCACCAGCCGTGAAGCCTGCGTCTTCAAACCCGACCAACAATATTAATGTCATTTCAATCTCATATGTACCAAGCGGCATTAATATTCATTACCAGACTCCTTATGGCCTTGGAGAGTCTCCCTCCGTCGTTTGGGGATCTAGTGCATCTGAGCTAAGTAAAACCGCTACTGGTAAAACTGTGACGTATTGATGCCTCTCGTTGTCCTTTATTCACAGCATCTAATACGATTAAATAGGTATGGCCGCACGCCTTCTTGTTCGACTGCTGTAACGACTCAGTGCAGCGAATTCTTCCATGATGTGCAGATTACCAACCTAAAACCCGGGACAACCTACTATTACCAGATCCCAGCGGCTAACGGTACCACTGCATCTGACGTTCTCTCATTCAAGACTGCAAATGAGGCAGGAGATTCTTCAGCGTTTACTATTGCAGTCATCAATGACATGGGCTATACCAATGCTGCCGGAACGTACAAGTACCTCAACGAAGCTATTGATGGCGGTGCTGCCTTTATTTGGCATGGAGGCGACATCAGCTACGCGGATGACTGGTATTCAGGCCTGCTCCCATGCCAAAGTGATTGGCCAGTGTGCTATAATGGCACATCCACTCAGCTACCCGGTGGTACTGTACCAAAAGAATATGATACTCCTCTTCCAAGCGGCGAGGTTCCCAACCAGGGTGGTCCGCAAGGTGGTGACATGAGCGTATTATATGAGTCAAACTGGGATTTGTGGCAACAATGGATGAACCCTATCACCCTTAAAGCACCTCACATGGTGCTTCCGGGAAATCATGAGGCCAGCTGCGCGGAATTCGATGGCCCCGGAAATGTCCTGACAGCTTATTTAAACGAAGACAAGGCCAATGGAACGGCTGCGAAGTCTTCGCTCACTTATTATAGCTGCCCTCCTTCACAGAGGTACGTTGCATAAAAGACAAAGCAGAAGGCCCGTGAGTCTTCGCGTAATATAACTAACAGGCAATAGAAATTTCACCGCTTTCCAAAACAGATTTCGCATGCCTGGAGATGAGACGGGAGGAGTTGGAAACTTTTGGTATTCTTTTGACTATGGCTTGGCCCACTTCGTTTCCCTTGACGGAGAAACCGACTATCCCAATAGCCCCGAATGGCCATTCGCCAAAGATGTGAAAGGAAATCAGACTCATCCTTTTGCTAACCAGACCTATGTTACTGACAGTGGTCCATTTGGCAGCGTTGATGGTAGCTACAAGGATAAAACAGCGTATGCGCAATACCAATGGCTGAAGAAAGACCTGGAGAGCGTAGACCGCTGCAAAACGCCATGGGTCATTGCGATGAGCCACCGCCCATTCTATAGCTCTCAAGTTTCATCTTATCAGGCAGCCATCCGCGCAGCTTTTGAGGACTTGATGCTTGAAAATGGTGTTGATCTTTACCTTTCGGGGTATGTTAATAGTCCGCACCTAAGTAAATCTTGGCGACATATACTCACCTGATATTTATATAGGCACATCCACTGGTATGAACGCCTGCTTCCCCTTAGAAGCAATGGCACTATCGACGAAGTCTCTGTTATAAACAATAATACCTACTGGACAAATCCCGGTGTTTCAATGGCTCATATTATCAACGGAGCTGCGGGAAATATCGAGAGCCACAGCACTCTGGGCTCGGACCCGTTATTGAATATCACTACTTACCTTGACCAAACCAACTATGGATTCGGCGGATTGACTGTTCATAATGCTACAACCCTTTCATGGAGCTACATCCATGGCTCTGACGGCACGGAGGGTGATAAGCTTACTTTATTGAAGAGAAGTGCTTCTGCTGGGACTTGTAGTTCTACGAGCAGCTCCTCTGCAGTTGTTTCGTCAGTTTTGAGCACAGCAACGTCTACCTCGGCGTCTATCGCAGTATCTGTGTCTGTGCCTTCAGAGGCAACCACCGTAACGGAGGTTGTTACGAGCTACACAACATACTGCCCAGGTAGCACGGTTTTCACAGCTGGATCCAGTACTTATACGGTCACAGAGGCAAGTCATATTTCAATATTGCCCGTTCCTGGGCACTGGTCGGCTAACGATTATTTACCTGTTCATAGGCTACGACCCTCACTATCACTGATTGTCCTTGCACATTAACTCACACAGTCTCAAATGGGGCCACAATGTTAGTTACTCATTCTTTCTACATTCTATATCGGTTAAAAAGCGACCTTGTAACTGATATGATTTAGCACTTCTGAAAGCCTTCTGGTCACTGTTACGACTGCTGCTGAATCTGCAGCTGGCTCTTCTGTGAACACGAACTGGAATACCACCGTGCCTACTGGAGGAGCATCGCCAGCAACCACAACTGGAGGCATACTCGCTCCCACGGTGCCAGTTAGCAGCAGTGGATACCGTGTAATAGCTTTGCCAAGCCTTAGTAGTGTTTTGCTAGTCTTATTATTGTCGTGGTAGTTTAATCGGCAAACGCAAAAATGCTGCAATACTAGCTTATATAAACCACTTTAATATAATATCCTTTTTTTTCTTATATTTTAATAAATAATAAATATACTTCCGTAGAAATAAACATTATTGAAACATTATATTTTCGTCCCGGCCTGTTTTCTTTCTCTGTCATAGCATGAGTTTTGTATATACCTCCATACGCGCTATTACGCTCAGAGAGACTATTTAGGTAGTAATTCGGCTTTTGCTGCAGTACTACCTGAGGAGACATTTTCTAGCTAAATTACTCATTTTCAATTTCAGCCGCACTGCTACACAAGAAAATTACTTAAAATGGACAATAATCTCTCAACTTCAGTTGCACTGCGGTTTTGAAATACACTGAAAAATATTTTCAGAGCTACTATCATGATTGGGTTATTTTACCTGGCGTTTATATAATGGAATTATGAATTCTTGTGGTTTTTTAAACAAAGAAATTGCTGTTATATTTTGACGTAAATATATTTTAATGTGAAAGCCAGTAGCTAGCGCAATAGCTATCGTAATATCTGATACTACCATTAGCGGAATGTCTGAATGCCAAGGTCAATATCTGAGACTTTCATCTAAAGTCTATAAGTTATATTATTCAGTATCCAAACGCAGATCGTTTCCGCATCCTAGCACTGGTGAACAATATTACCGCCTCATAGACCCGCAGGACTCTCGTAATACATTGTTACACTGAGTTACACCACATATGAGTCATTTATTCCTTACTTACTACTTCTTGGCAAAGCTTCTTAGCTTACCACTACCATATTGTCATTCCAACTCATTCTCGCTATGCCATACTAATGAAATGGTTGTTGTAAAAATCTTTTGTGGTATCCCAGGGATATATATATGTAAGCTTGTGAGGCGGAAAAATACTCGCTGTTCGTCTGCAGAGACATCAGTTTCGCCGCTAGCGCGTTGCACAAGGTCATTATGCTATTGAAGTTTCTTCTAGTTTGCGCGGCTGTTTGCGATGCGTCTCACAATTTCTCTATACCAAATGTTGCAGCTTCTTTCTACAGCACACCCACACCATTCAAGATCAATGTAGATCCCAAATTCATTGAAGACACACGACGTCGGGTTGAAATAACAAGAGCTCCTATTACTATTGGCGATGTAGATGACGGTCCGACACTCGACAATTTCACCGTCATTCGAGATTACTGGGTTCATGAATACAACTGGGAAAAAACTCAAGGATCTATAAACCAGAGGTGTGATGCTTTCCAAAAAGAGCAGCAACCGGCCATGCTCAATATCTATTCTGCTAACATAACATACGCCGTAAAGGCTTAAGCAGTTTACAACTATTGTAGAAGTTGCAGATGATAACACCACAATTCCAGTGCCATTGCACTATGTTCACCATCTTTCGCCCAGAGATGATGCAATTCCTCTTCTCTTCATTCACGGGTGGCCAGGTTCTTTTCTTGAGGTCATGAATATCATTGATCAGCTGACGAGTCCTCCAAACGCATCTCTACCTGCATTTCACGTTGTTGCTCCATCAATTCCAGGATTTGGCTTTTCGCCTGCTCCTCAACATGCCGGTTTTGGTCCGGTGAAATCTGCACAAGCTTTCAATGCTCTAATGCAGCAACTTGGGTATCCCAAGTACGTTATGCAAGGTGGAGATTTTGGAGGCATGATTCTCCGCTACCAAGCGAACATGTTTCCGAAGAATGTTGTCACTGCGCTCAGCAATTTCTGGGTTCTCATGCCTTCAGAATATGACCTTCATAATCTCATGGTAGGATTATCAAGCGATGAGGAGACATTCTACATCACCAGATCAGAGGGATTTGTCAATAATGATAACGGATTCCGGATGATCCAGCAAACAAAGCCTCTTACCGCGGCCTACGCTCTCACTGATTCTCCATTGGGGAATGCTCTATGGGTATATTCCATTATGGAAATAATTGTTGACCCCACAGATTTTGCTTGGACGCCTGATGAAATCATCACTTGGTCACTGATGTATTATATACAGGGCCCTTATGGTGGCATGCGTATGTATAAAGAGATGTTAAATGATGGGGCATTCTCTAGCGTTGCTTTTGCAGATCTTCCAATAGTGTCGCAACCTGTGGCAATTAGCCAATTTCCTTACGATCTTGCATACGGTCTACCAATCGATTGGGCAAGGCGAGGCGGAAACGTTGTGAAATGCTTTGTTCATGACCATGGCGGCCATTTTGCTTCATATGAGGTTCCTGATCTTTTGCTTAACGATATCTGGAGCTGGTTCGGAGATAAAGAAAATTCAGGAACGGGCATCTTTGATTAAGATATTACTGCGCTTATAGGAAGCATAGAGGTATTTTCCCATTGTTTATAATGCGGGAACTTGCTATGTATATAGCATTTAAGCAGGTGTATTTAATATTTAAAAAGTAGAATTTATATTATTACAATAGATATATACCCACCTAGGTATTGTTAAATATTAAGGTAACTTGAAGTATATATATATACAAGGTAAAACTAAAATATATAATAAATATAATAAATATAAGTAATAGTTAATAATTTTAAATACTAGAATATAATAAAAGGTATTATATTATTTTGAATAAGCGCTGTATTATAGTAAACGGTATTATATAGTAGTAGCCAAGCACTTTACTATAGTGAATAAATACTGTATTATAGCGGACAAGTGCTGTTTTATAGTATATAGACATGTAATAAGTATAGCAGATAAGCGCTGTAATATAGTGGATAAGTGCTGTATTATAGTAAAGATCCCTGCTGTATTATAGTAAAGATCCCTGCTGTATTATAGTAAAGATCCCTGTATTATAGTAGCTAAAGGTATAAGAACTTCCTTCTATAAGCTGTATTTTTTTGGACACTAAATATGCCTGCTCGAATACACGATAAGTTATCCTGTATTTAGTAAAGATGAAAATTAATAAAATCCTGTACTTAGAGCATCGTAAAATAACTGTAAATTAAATTACTCAATTAGTATCATGGTAGCAATCTTGTTTAAATTACTCGACACTTATAGTATATCGTGCATACATTATGTTTCCCTACCAAAATTAGAGGCTCACTCTTGTTACTACGGGGCCTCGTTGGTTCCCACCATTTGAACATTTGTAAGCATTTGCCATTCTCTTTACTCCGTAACTAATTCAAAGCAGCATTCTAACTTCGCAACTGTGACTCCCGTGCTTGATTAGTCTAGTGCGTCTAAAGTTAACATCTACCTTACACAAATAGCATCGCGGTCAAAGAGAATTCAAACAGCACTAGAAAAATTGCGCTCACTTTGCAATTACGTAGATGTATGCCATGGCCAGCGTCGTCATTACTAAAACTGACATATAATAGTAAGAATTATAGGTACATACAAGAGAAGTAGTTTCACTATCGCCGCGAGGCCTTTGCGTGCAGCGGAATATATCAGTGTCCGAGTTTCGTCACCTAGTTATTTAAGATTTAGTTTGTGGTCGCCGAAAATGAAGTCTTTGAAAAGTTGCTGCTGGAGTCGAATAACGCAAATGCCCAGTCTTCTTTCCTACTCAGTATGCTTTAGGCAAGAACTATTCCGTACATGCAGCTTTACCGCATTTAGCTTTTGCTATTTTCCTACTGCGAGTTTCAAGTACGTTGTCAGCCGAAATACGTCAAGATGCTCTTCTATAATATGAATAATATCCACATAACCACACAAATTGCAGTACGCTTCCAGTAAAGATGTCGACTTCTTCTACGTTCATTTCATAACAAATAAATTCTTAGAAGTTGTGACTCGACAAATGCGCTGTGCTCTTTGCAATGAGCGGCTTGAAATGTCCACCCATAATACATGACGGCATTGTATCCCCAGCGCAGCATCGAGGACGTATAGACTTTTTCGTAAACTGCGCATCCGTCCGACGGCGAACGCTTACTCTCGCTCTCTGCCGCCGCCGACAAATCCTCGCTCTCTTTATCTCAGCGCCCATTGATCGCCTAAGCCAACGTGCGCTACCGTCCATGTGCTTCTTACTAGAGATTAGATGCCCTCTGGGAGTTGTTCTTTCAGCTCTTCCAGTTGAACTTCGATGCTATCTCATCAACCAAAGACTGCAGAACCTCCAGTCCGTTTGGGTGGCTGATTTTCTTACCTGTAGCACCGATGTGCCGAAGGATAGCAAGACATGATTCGTCCGATCGCTAATAAATACGGAGATATTGAAAGACGTGTTTCGGGAGCGGGTCAGCAATACTTACCACCGCGTGAAACGTAATAAGCCTGAACTAGGTATCCGCCAGATATTCTACATCCAAGAAGTAGGCAGTACTGTTCACAACATTTAATATATGGTATAATTAATACAGAATTGCAGTTGAAACTAATAATAGAAGAAAAAAAATTCAGCCTACGCAAGAATTTTAAAAGCCAAAGGTTGTGTTGATAGAACTAGAAGCATAAGTGCCAGACCAGAACAGTTAGAGCGTTAAATTCGCAATGATTCACTTATAACACAGATCATACCTTGAATATCTAACCCTTGAGCTTCGTGAATCAGTCAAACACTTCATGAATCGAGTGTAACGTACGGGAGCTTATAGCTGTGCTGGAACCATGACTACCCTTGGGCTGTTGTTACATCGGTAGAAGCCACGGTACAACTGACAACCTGCCGAAAAAAGGGCCGTCTTGGTCATCTTTGTTACATATCCTTCTTACATTGCATATCTGCATCAGGTTGGGGCTAGAACCAAGTAAGAGTGAGAAATCAAGACTAGGTTCGATTCGCTCAACCAAAGCAGCAGCCAGCATCTTCAATTGCAGACCAAGGTCATTATACTTTTGTTAAAGGCGTTAAATACTGTTGTGATAAGAGTTACCATCAAAACTCAAGAGTCAAAGTTCGTGTATACCATGTGTTCAGCGAAGTATCGCATGTTCGTGCACAACGTGCGTCAGGGCTCTGGACGTTGGTTCTTTAACGAAACTGTTATACTAGCCTATGAGCTAACCCTTCAACGTGCATTAGTAGCAGTCTAATGTAACGAGATTATGCTACATACAGTACAGCGTCTGGCTTGGTCCATATCTGTCAAAAGTTGGGATGACCTAACCTGGCACCATATACAGTATTGGGCACTCGCACCACAGCTTAGCATTAGGAAGGTGCCATTTTCCTATATTCCATATGGCTGGTATGGTGCATTTTTTCACCAACACAGCCTCGTCACCGCCCCAATACACTCCACATGACTCGAATCCTGCCGGTAAACAACAGGTATGCTGCAACTCACTAAGCTTAACGTTCTTCTTATGCTAAAATGATGCTGCCTAAAGATCCCTGGAGACCCACAATGTTAGTCCTGACAATATCTTCCCCCTGAGATGGAAGTGGTTCAATGGAAACCGTTAGGAGTAGCTAAATTGATGACAACCCACAAATGCTGTATACATATATAGCACTGGGAAGCGACGTGATACAAGGCTACGAATATATTTTGCTATGCTGCGAACAATTAATTGAACTTAACCGATATATGCCATTTTTTTGCTTGTTAATACCTATTCACCATGTCTGTGTTTCGGCAAGCAGCTGCATTCATGACGTTAGGATCTCTGGTCCAAGCGTTCTCGTTGCAAACCACATATGACTCAAGCAACTTTCTAGATAAATTTTATTTTCGAGATGTAAGTACTAAATATTACTAAAGTGGCAATACCACTAACAATTAGAACGGACAGGCTGCTTATTATTACCCAACTTATCCAGGCGACCCAACTGACGGATCGGTCAATTATCTGAGCAAGACTGATGCATTAGCCTCTGGAATCGTGAACACCGATAATAATCAAGTCTATCTTGGTGTAGATTATACCAACAAGGCCCAGCTTCTTGGCAATAGCACAACCGTCCATGGCCGAGATAGTGTACGTTTGGAGTCTGTGGATACCTGGAGCACAGGCATTATGATCGCAGATATTGTCCACATGCCAGGCACTGCATGTGGTGTCTGGCCGGCATTGTAAGTTATACATTTTCGCATTTTCTCCGTGTTGAGGCGCAAAATTGTTAAATTTATACATTCAGTTGGGCATACAACTTCAACGAAAATCCTGTCGGTGAGATTGACATCATTGAGAATATAAACATGCAGACTCAAAATATTGTTTCTCTACACACCTGCGGTCAGTGTACTTTCACCAACATTGGTGGCACAGATGAAAGAGCAAATTGCAATAACGGGGGCACGATATCCCAAGCTTGCGAGGATGGACAAAACTTGTTAGTCAACTACATCTTCGAAACATGCTCAAGCTGCTAAATTTTCTTTTTCAGTGATGGATGTGGTAATACGATGAGCAAAGGCTCCTACGGAAGCACGTTTAATGCGGCCGGAGGCGGCATTTATGCTACATGGCTGGAGCATGACGCTCTCAAATTGTACTGGTGGAAGAGAAGTGATATACCAGCGGACATTGCCAGTGGTAACCCTGATCCTACTAAATGGGGCACCCCGGCTTCACAGTTTCTTAGCGGTAGCAATTGTAATGTTGGGAAGTATTTCAAAGAATTAACAATTGCAAGTTCTTTTGATATAATTCCTTCAAATTTGGTTCATTACTAACATTTGCTAGATCATCAATACAGACTTCTGCGGCAACGGTATAGACCAGGGCACCTGGGAATCTGGTTGTGCAGCTTCTACAGGAGTAAAAACGTGCGATCAATATATTACTAATAACCCCCAAGCGTTTAAAAATTCTTACTGGTTGTTTAACTCTATCAAGATTTATAATTAAGGAATTGGAATAAAAGGACAACTTGAATTCTTCGATACAGGGCTTCATACAATTATTTTTGTACATACTCATATTAGAATACAAGTAAATTTAATATTTGCCCCAATTTAACGGTTGTTAATTTTTTTTTTTTTTTTTTTTTTTTTTTTTTGCCTATGATTGAACTGTTATAACATTTATAATTGCCATCAATATATCTCCAATGCTGCTCTAGAATTTAGCCATCTATTAGACTATATCATCTTAACTAGAGATATATAAACCTAAAAGACAACAGCAATCTTCGCCATGATGCTTGATCTACGGTGCTTCATCCCCATTGTATAACTTTTGCTATATCTAGCTCTTATTGCATCCATCATTGTTACTTCACTTCGTAATGTCCATAGAGCCTCGGAATGGACTTGTACAACTACCTTTGTTCAATGCGGATCTGTAAGCCCCTATACACTAATTATTCAGATAGCTTTTTTTTAGGGAGAAAAAAATTTACTCTAACCATCAACTCTATCCGTCTTTACCAACCCTAAATGAATGCACACCTAAACGACGAAAATTAGCATAAAAAAGTTTGGATTTAGTCTGCTTTTCATTAGCTATGGCTTAATTCTTAGCTCCCTAGTAGTAAGGTCACCGTTTCCGGCACCAGCAACGCGGTCTTCAATCTCTGTTTTATCAGCCTCGCTAGTGTCACCTACTCTTCTTTAGTTCTAGCAACAGAAGCGCGCAGCTCGTTTCAAAAGATGTCGCAGCCTTCTTTGTATTGCCACAGCCTGGCCACTTATTCTCGCCCATCCACTCTACGCTGTGCTTCTACTATATGCTTCTACTCTATGCTTCGTTCATAATTACACATTCTCTACAAATACTTGCAATTCAATATACAAGTATGAACTTGTATTGCTGAGATATAGACTATCCACGGGATTGGAAATCACGCTGTGTAAAAGATGGAGCCTTAAATATGAGGATACTACGAACTACTCTATGATATGTGGGATTAAATACATTGAGGGAAGGGTGGTGAGAAAATGCAAGCAACGATACGGCGAGTCGTGAGAACCAGTATGATGAATGATGTTAAGCAAAGGTGCTGTGTCCTATGTCACTAGGTGAACATTGGATCTCTTCCGAGCAGAGAAATTTGAGCTGTCTTTTAACTAGCTGGAAATGTTTTAACAAATAATATTGTTGTATTAATGACTTATCCAAGGATAACCAGCTCTATTCCTAGCTCCTCGTTTACAGAAACAACTCTTATTGGGTGCACATTCCTGGGAGCTCTACTCATACCTCCCAGTAAGAAAACAATATGCGGGGCTACATTTCAAAGAAAGAAGCCACTTGCGATTCATTACGCCGCATTGGGCCATTTCGTCGTTATGCCTAGCTGACAGCTTACATGACTATCTCCAAAGGTCTTATTGGTCTATATTTTGAAAGAATCCAACTTTACATGTGCCGCCGCCCGAGCTGAGAGCTAGAGAGCAAAGTCAAATTTAGTCTGCCCAATCATATTCATTAAAGATTTCCAATAGATTGAATTGAATTTATTCTTAAAAAGTCATTACGCCCATTTACAGCTTAGAATAAAGAAACCAGTAAAACTTGCAAATTTGGTACTGCACTGCACACAATGGCTGCTCTGATTCGCGATTCGGCCTTTGGTGTATTAGTACGATGGATAACGAAGCGCAAGCTTCTAAAATATCCTGATGAAAAGGCAGAATTTCATTATCGAGAGCTGTATATGAATGACGGCCGCAGAGAATCAACACCGCCTCCAAGTTCAAGGACCGTCAATCATTCCCAAGAGGATCTCAGAAATAATGAGCAAAGTCCCCCGGTCGTGGCGGCATCTGAAGAAACAAGGTCACTTTCGACAGAAGAAGAAAGCATGCTTGATCTTGACAGCGAGGCGCTATCCAAAATTGTTTCTCGGCCTCGGATGTCGCATGTTGAATCGTACGCCACCCTAGAAAAAGCATATACGGATGCAGCATTGCAAGCAAACGCGAGAGCGCAACATTCCACGATCCAGCCTAGGAAACTAGAGAATGGAACTATTCTGGTTGACTGGTACGCAACTGATGATGATGAAAATCCACAAAATTGGTCGTCCCGGAAGAAACTCTTTGTTATGCTCCAAATTTATCTCTATACACTCTCTGTGTATATTGGGTCCGCTATCATAACACCGTCTCAGCCATTTATTGAACATCAATTCGGGGTCACGCCAGAGGTTGCATCAATGGGCCTTTCTCTCTATGTTCTTGGGTATGGCATCGGGCCACTAATCCTTTCCCCTCTCTCTGAGATTCCAGTCATTGGCCGTAATCCACCATATATAATCAGTTTTGGCATCTTTGTTGCAATCTCAGCTGGTACCGCTGTCGTCAATAACTTCCCGGCATTGATTGTTTTGCGTTTTCTACAGGGATTCTTTGGCTCTCCATGTTTAGCGACTGGGGGCGCAAGCCTTGGTGATATCTATAACCTCATCAAGCTGCCATATGCACTGACTGGCTGGGCTGCATTCGCGACTGCTGGCCCAGCACTCGGTCCTATCATCTCAGGCTTCTCAGTCCCGGCTACAAATTGGCACTGGTCATTGTGGGAGATTCTCTGGCTTGCCAGCCCTGTCTTTGTACTCATGTTCTTTTGTCTGCCAGAGACATCTACGGCAACGATTCTACTCCGGCGTGCTAGGCGTCTCCGTAGATTGGTCAAAAGTAACAACTTACATTCCGAATCAGAAACCGAACAAGCTGCTCTCACTGTCAGCGAAATCATCGTGCAGAGCCTGTGGAGGCCCCTTCAAATTAATCTGTTCGACCCGTCGGTTCTCTTCACCAGCTTATACATTGGCCTTATGTACGGAATTTTTTACTCCTTTTTTGAAGTGTTTCCGTTCGTCTATGCTACGGGCCTCCCTGGTCTCGCGTCTCCGACTAATGGTTATGGAATGAATGCTGGTCAGGTCGGTCTTATTTTCCTCTCTGTTAGTGTTGGTGTTTCCATTGCAATATTTTGCTATGTCGGGTATCTATGGTTCGTCTTTGAACCCGAAGTTAAAACACAGGGGTTGGGTGAGCCAGAGCGTCGTCTTGTCTGCGGTCTTCCTGCTAGCTTTCTTGTCCCCATGGGCCTATTTATGTTTGGCTGGACAGGAAACTCCAGCCCAGAAATACCGTGGATCGTTCCGACTATCGGTATAACAATCGTTGTCATTGGCATATTTATCATCTTTCAGGTCGTCTTCATTTATATTGCGCTTGCTTATCCCAGGTATAGCGCCAGTTTATTTGCAGCAAATGACTTTGTGCGGAGCAGCGTCGCTTGTGGCGCAATTCATTTTTCGCGGCCACTATTTATAAATCTGGGTGTCGGGAAAGGGGTCAGCTTGTTAGCTGGATTGAGCTGTGCGGGTGTGATCGGGATATTCGTGCTCTATTTCTACGGAGGAGCTTTGAGACGAAGAAGCAGATTTGCTGCAAAATAAGCTACATATGAATACTCTGTATTCGTACATACGAGCAAACTGATTCAACGGCTATGTGGGCCTTTCTAAATGGAGAGTTAACTACCTACGTAAGGTAAATGCAATGCATCCAGCAATGCGTTTGAAAACACTGCAGGCGCCTTGTGCATGTCAGAGAGACTCTAAAAAGTGGAGATTTTATATAAAAACGATAAATCTATTGCTTCCCCAGACAATCTTGCACATTTGTAACATTCTGCGGGCCGATATGCCAAAAGAAGACTCTTTTTATGCATAATGCCACCAGACGTTATGCCCGAAATACCCAATCTTAATAGCAAATCCCTTGTATCTATGACAAGGGGAATGGAGGGATCTCCAGGCAAGAGAAGAAGATTCTTACCCTCTAGGCAGGTGGCCAGCTCTCCCACCACCAAACAAGTATAGCGCGAAACAGACGCAAGTCATATAGCGGTAAGATCTATCATTAAAGGCTCAACCCCAAGATCATCCTTGCTGACGAAAACTTTCAACGAAAGATTGTTCTATTACAACTGAAATGCCAAAATTGAAAGTGGCTTAATATAACACGTAGAAAGAATCATCAATTTAATTTGGGAAATTGATAGCCCTAGACACTTTCTGAAACATATATTTCAGCTTCTTTATTGAACGTTTGAACAACCTTGTACCCTTTCCCTCTGCTTTATCATGTTTATTGCAGATAACTCATACAGTCAATTCCAATGAAATGAAAACCGAGATATTGGGCTCCATTTCCGTTCAATTGTTCAGTTTAAAAGAAGAAGAAAAAACCCCTCCATCTCCGTTTTCTCTTTCATACCGTTGGCTCACAGCTATAATCGCCTAGAAAATGTAGATGTGATGTTGAAGCTGAAAAGAGGCTACATTAAAATCGGTCTTTTAAAAGAGAAGCCGAAACAAGATTTACGAATCATTGGTATAATTTGGCCCAGTATTAAACGTGTGACGACAGATCTGATCAGACTTAACTACCACCTAGCTGGAGTTTATATTACTACATGTACCTATCTAGGATGCCTTTTGCCATAGCAGATAATGAAGCACATGTCGACTACGTATAGCAAGTTGCATAGAGGCAGGCACCAGGGTGACAGGCAGAGTCGTCGTGCAGGCCGCTTGACATGCAGCATTTGACGCTTGACTAGCGACAGTGGTGCTGGGAAGTACAAAGGCAGGGGAATTAATACAGTAGAGACAAACCTATGTTTATATCATGCGAATAATTAGTCAGGCAACTGGTGGACAGACAAATACCTCGTTTTGATCTTGATTGAGATCCTTGCTTGCCTCGTTCACAAAAACGAGCAAGCGCCGGGATACCCAAGCGATTTTATTTTACCCGTAAACAGAGAATATTGATGTAGATCCCAGTCGGTTTGCAGCAGAAAATATGGGTCTCGACTGCTAGCATACAGTGGCATCTTACGATTTTATTTGGACTCCCGTATAGAGCTCATTGATAGGCGATAGGGTACAGGATGCCAGAGGTGGTACCAATTGATGAACGAAAAAGGCGACTTTGACTGCTGGTCACCTTATTTACTAGAGGCAGCTTTTTTAATGGTTGTAGATTATATATAGGTAGGGTTCAAGTTGGAGCTACCTCAGCCTAGGCGGTATTCATTTTCCAGATTGGCGTCAATGCGCCAGCCACATGTATTAATGCCTCAAGTTAGTATGCAGGCTTAGTCGCGTAGCTCCAGCCACTAATTAACGCCCAATTTATAATAACGGCTGTTTTCGAAGCTAACCACCGTGATAATACTAGGTAGTCCTACATTCTACCTGTTAAGCTCAGTATTTAGCCACAAAGGAGAATAGCAATACTCATACTCAGCAGCAGTACAATTGGGCATATTATCGGACGTGAGCGTATAAAGCAGAATGGCTAAATGACTCTCGTTTGCTCTCTATATCAACCAACACCCACATTATAACAGCATCCTTCCTTTCGTGTAACTAATTGCATTGCCACAGCAGTGAGCAATTGCTGCTGCTTTCTTCGTTACGCAGGAGCTCTGATATTAGAGCATTTGTGCAACGCTTACAAAATCATGCCATATTCCACATAACTTTTACCCGATATAATTATTCCACTTGAATGCAAGCCTTTTATCCTGAAATATACAATTGCGCAACTTAAAAATAACTGACTGATGGCTTTGCCCAACTAAAGCCGTCAAGATCCAAAAAACTGCCTCTAGAGATTGTATTAATCAACTTAAGCGCATTATTTACAATATTTGGTAGTATCGAACAGAAAATGCCAGCTTGCTTGCTAAACGGTCTATTTAAAAAAGCTCCAGTTCTTTTAAGCAACTTACCAAATCCTTTCAGATTAGTTGGCAGGCAATTCTAGAAGACGCTTTAGAACTTCGTCATCGGTGGGGTTTCCCTCTCCTTTAATGGTTTCGTACGCAGGAAAGAGCACGGTCTTTTCGATTTCCTTGTACTTCCCATCAGCGACATATATCACATCGCCCTGCCTGGAGGCATCGGCCATTAGATAGGCAGCAGCGCGTGCAACCACCAAAGCGGGTTGCGGCACATGTGAGATCCCTCTCATGAGGCCCTCCAAATCTGGGAGGACGTTGCTCGTTGTCCATGATGGCATCAGAGTATTGATGCGAATGGGAAGCCCGGCAACATCTGCGATCCGTGCAAAACCTCTGCCGAAACCGAGGACGCCATGTTTGGCCGCGGCTACATGATTCGGTTAGTATAGCCAACTTCTACCAACGGCCAAGTGCTTTGCTTCCCACTCACAGTAATCGACAGCTCGAAGGGGCTGTAACCCGGTGCTAGATCCCATAAGAACAATGCTACCCCCTTCAGGTTGGTCCTTGATGTAGTGAACAGCTAGAGAAGTTGTGTTGATAAGGCCTCTCAAACCAACTTCCATGAGTTCGTGTGATGGTTCCTTTAGATTACCCTGGTCATCTGTCTCAAGGGCCAAGTAGTTGGCACGGGGACCGATACCGGCATTGGCGAAGACGCAATCGATGCGACCAAAATGCTGCTTCGTTTTCTTGAATAGTGCAGTCAGATCATCCCAACTGGCCACATTCGTCTTCACAAATAGAAAGGCAGGCGTTTCTGTCGACTCAGAGGCCGCTGGCGGATTGATATCGCCGCTGACCACTGATGCTCCCAGTGAGAGCAACAGTTTGACTGTAGCCAGGCCAATACCTGAAGAGCCGCCTATAGGACATAGGTTGGTCAGCCCGAGCCAAGCATGATTACAGCAGGATCACAGCACAAAGAGGTGAATCGGCCGTACCTGTGAGGACAACAACTTTGCCTTTGAGGCTGCTCAAATCCTCGTCCTTGATGATAAATTCAGACATGGTGTTGAGATAAGATAAGATCTCTAGAAATGGTGGAGGCAATGAGACAAGAAGAGGACAGGAAAATGTGATTGATGAATGGTCGGAGGATTGAGATCGTGGAAGGAAGACAAACCAGGGGGGAAGAAGTCACAGCCGCCTATCACATACAGATTTATAGTGACAGACTGGCGGTGTTCCTTGTCCGCTGCATGAACAGGGGGGAAAACCGTTATAACCCCTTTGCCTGGGATGTGGTGGTGAAACAAGCTTAGCTTGGCCTGTACCCCACACGCATCCATAGGATACAGAGGACTGGTGCGCGGTGTCCGGCAATTGTCAGGTAGTGTGAAGAAAAAGAGCGACATGATTACGGGGTATGCTGCCCAATTTACGCACAAAAGTGGATTGCCCGTCGCTAAACTTTCTTCCATTTTTTTTTCCACCGCAGAATTGTGCCCACAGGCCACTCTCTTATTAAGGGTTGCATCCCGGTGGCATGATGCAGGGGGACTCGAGTAATGAACCTCAAGCTTTGCATGCAGCAATAGAAAAACAGTGCAGGGGGGTACTCGAGTAATGAACACTAAGCTTGGCATGCCGTGACGGGTGGTAGAAGGAAAAGAGTGGCACCTTTAAACCCAATTTATATACCAAAGTGGACTTGCGTGTCACTATTTTTCTTCTGCGGCATGGGTTAAAGGAAACTAGAAAGAAATCACCGCCGGTCTGCCGCCATAATGTATACTGTCTGTGACCAGCGGCAGTTTTTTCTCACCCCTTGCTTGGGCTGAAAACAAGAAATGACAAGCGCCGTTTTATTTTCACTACGGTCTCATCCACGCCGATCCTTTTAGTCTGAAGATGAGAAGTCGTTCTATACTTTACAACTCTTTTTCTCCTCCGCAACTTTTCAACTCTTCAACTCTTCTTTTTATCCATCTTCTCTTCATCTACCTCAGCTAGAAGACTCAGCTCGTCTGCCATCATGGTCCAGCCGGCGGGGGACGGCGTCCAGCTTCTCTATGCTTCGATAGTGCTGCTTGTCCTAACTTGGCTCACCTTCATCCTCAGGATATCAGTGCGGTTTTGGAGAAATGCCTCGGGCTGGGACGATATATTAATGTTTATAGGCCTCGTACGTGCACAACTAGCACAGATTATCCTCTTCTAAATAACCCCCGCAAAATTTCTAATGCTTCGCAGCTTCTCTTCACAGTGACAGCTTCCCTATGCATTGTCTGCTGCTATCTCGGATCTGGTCAGCTTGCTGTCAATCTGTCTGCGAGTGATAGAATGCACGGGACCAAGGTGTGTACTCCCTCTTCGATAGCCACTTGAATAAAGTGAGACTGATCCTTGACAAAGAACTTTTTCATCGCCGAGTACTTCTACTCCTCTAGCACTGTCTTCATCAAGAGCAGCATCGCCATAACTCTTTACCGGATTGCCGATGCCCGCCGTCGTTATAAGTGGACTATTTGGGCCGTCATAATCGCCACGGCTGTTTCCGCCATCGTCTTCATAGTCGGCATTTCCAATATTTGCCATCCCATCACTACTCTATGGGGCGAAACTACTACCGGTTCATGTAATCTCGAGTTGAATAGCGATGTTAGCTTCTTCTTTTCTGCTATCGAGATTATAACAGATTGGACTTTGGCAGTTTTGCCTGCGGCCTTGTTGTGGAATATTCAGATGAAGAGCAGGGTCAAGTTCTCAGTGGCTATAATTCTTGGCATGGGTGCTTTGTATGTGCTCCCCCTGACAGAAAATAGCCCCACTTATACCGTTTTGCCACTACTACTGGAAACCTGGTTATACGAGCTAGCTAACCCTTTACCAGTGCAAGCTGCGCGACAATCGTCCGACTTCGCTATCTAACTCTCTACAGCAACCCCACAGAATTCATGTTCGGCACCGGCAAGATCGGCCTTTGGTCCATTATCGAAGAGGGCATTGGCATCATCGCAGGCTCGCTGCATGCTCTTCGCCCTCTCCTCTCTCTCCCCATCTTCGGCGGCACTTCCAGTGGTGGCACTTCGGGTTCCTCTTCGGCCAATAAATTCATGTCTTCAAGGAGTGGACATCAAGATAGGCGTGCGGATATCAACATGGATACGTTTCAGCAGCTGGGAGATACAGATGGAGATGGGGAAAGCTCTAAACACATTTTAAAGGAGACGAAAGTTACAATGACAAGAAGCAATCGAGCGATTTCGCCAGGAGCGTATGATCGAAGCCAAGTCCTGGGGTGGAAGCAGAGCAATTATGAGAGTTGATTGAGAATTAATATCTGTTCGAATAGCAAATGATTCTTTAATAGAGTTACAGAAAGAAAAATCAGTTGCTGGTTTAGCTTTATTTTCAAAATGGTCACAGACCTAATCTTCTGTCTTTACAGTTTTGATCAAATTGGATGTTGGCACGCAAGGACAATTTAAAAGACGGTCTTGTGTCTACCAGTTTTAGCCACCTGAACCATAATCACGATCAATTCTCCACTGCGAATGCAATTGCTAGGATCGGTTGAGGCTCTTTCAGCAGAACTAAGCAAGTCTACATCTCTCTCTCTATATATATAAGGGGCAGGGGCGGGGGATAAGCTTGGCTGACTGGAGAGTGTGTCCATTGGGAGCCGTTCTGTCGGACAAAAAGGAACATCTTTGACTATGTTATTGGTAGTAGGTAGTATTAGCACGCCGGATTACCATAAGTGGCATGGTCCAATGTTCCTCGCCTTCATGAGTGTAATATTATAGCCCCGCTTATGAAATTTAGAAGCTGTCAATACTGTCAGCCTTGACTATGCATTCTGTATATACCTGAATTGCCTTTATCCCAGACCGTTTTGGCTCTAGGTTTTTGGTTTCTAGGTTTCTGGTTGAGAGCCTTGCTTACTCTTTGTCGAACTACCTAGTTCTTTGTTAATTTTTCTCGGCGGCGATTCTGGCGATTCCGACGATTCCTAAGTAGCTTAGTCTTGAGTCGGCCAAGTCTAGCCATCGTGATTAACAGCTAGTTTACTCCATACCGTCCACGTCTTTTAATCTGTTTAAAACCGCTTAGATTAATCCTCCCAGCCGCAGGAGAGCGGTCCTTTAAAGGCAAAGGCATAGTCCATCGGTGAATATGGCCAGAGTTGTCAGCGACTCTCAAGCCCAAACCCCATTCCTCCCCCTCTACACATATCTCCTGTACCACGTTCCAAGGGTTGGCGAATCATAGAGGCTCTGTGTCCCGATCGTGCTGACCTTTACTGCCCCAAGCGGCAATTAAAATTCCACATTTGCCACAGCCTAACGAAGTATATCCCTTAAAACCGGAGAGAATAAACTTATGTACTTCACCATAGAATTCAGACACAGTAGCAAAAGCTTCCGGGACAGCATTTACCAAGCTTCCATGTGGCTCGCAATGCATACTAGCCATGGGGCTGACGCAACCTGGTTCGCCCAATTAGTTACGAGGCGGGCACTGCTATGAACAAGAACCCCGCGCCTGCCCCATCCTGTTTCAGGGCAATTAAGTCGCTGCTAAATCTTATGTTTCTTACTCAACTCCTTGTAACCCGTTGCTCTCAAAGTGTCTCTTGAGCTTTGCTACAAATACCGTATTCCATTGACATCATTTATTGTGATAACCTTCCGTGAATAGACGTAGAAAGCAAAAAGAATCACTAGGCTAACATGGCTTGAAGAATTGATACTTTATTTTTTACATAGCGCCCTAGCCAGCTTAGATATATACCTATAGCCCCATTTGGCACCTCACAAATCTTACAGCAGCACTTTGTAATTTCCTCTTCCTTTCTTCTCCTCTTGTTTTCTTTCTTTCTTTCTGTCCCTTTTTTTTTTTTTGTTCATTTTCAAACAAAAGCAACACAATTATATGGATTTAAGAACTCATATATAACTTATGGTTTAATCGCGACTTTATTTCCATTGTCTTATATTAGTAAGTATAACAGAAGTCACTTGAGCTAATGGCTATATCTTAGCCCACACTGTCTGTATTGTTCTAATAAGTGGTTACTTCATGGGACTTCTTTTAGCCCATATACCCTTTATTAGATCTACTACTACTCTCTTAATTAAAAATTCTAGACTTGTGTAAAACTTAATCAGGGTTGCTTGATATAGATCAAATTCTATAATATTACCACGCAATCTGCATTTCTACTGCCCTCCGTCTCTCAATTATATAGTTAATTAGGTTATACAACATCTAATGCAAGACGTATGCTAAACAGCCGCTTAGGTTTTAATCAACGCTTCCATACCTCCTGCAATTCATTTGTAGCACCGTTATAGTATGCAACTTAAATTATTCTTGATCACCAGTCCCTTCACAAGTCTGGGAACTCGTCACATTAGCAGCTATAAGCAAGCAAGACGATAAATGGGAACTACTGCCAAAATTGCTTCTTCAGGTGGGCTTAGTTTCACAAAGGTGAAGATAAGTGGCGGCTAGAGTACCTGCAAGAAGAGTTTTAAGTCATTGACCTCAAGCGGCAAAATCCAATTCATCAAATTCTTAGCTTATGTTAAAGACAGATTGGAGGGCTTCCACTTTTATCAACACTGTCCTGTGATCAGCCGCGATTCGGTGCCATTAGGAAGAGGTCGGGAACAGTTTGAAGAAGTCAGTCACGTTATTGAATCGAGAGATATCAAAACCGCCACTGCCGTACATTTTCGAATCACCAGATCTGAAAAACGCCTACAAAGATTTATGGGATCGGGAACAGGTTGGGGGAGTAGTTCATCAGCATCCCTGCGTAAGGCAGCCTCGTTATTAGCAGCTATTATCTTTAGTAAACAGGCTACATATCTGAAAGTCGACACTCTTTGAGCAAACTAAGCAGTCTCGAGTGTCCTATTGCAAAACTATTCTCGAGTGCTAGACGGCGTTGTAAGGATTATTAGTTGAAAGAAAATAAATATGGTAAAGGTCTAATCGCATTCTAGACTTTAAGCTACTCTATGGAACCTGGTCTCTCTGACTGAGCGATCATTTACACTTGCGATTATTTACTTAGGTATGTAAGTTGATTACTGCTCTGCCATGTATCGATTGCTCGGGAGCGCTAACTTAGTGATTTTGTTAGGTCCTTAGTAGCGCTCTGCTGTCCGCTGTAAGCTAACGTAAAAAAGGTGCATTAATGGCTTCGTATCTTTAATAATAGCGACCACTCAAATACTTGCTTCCATGGAAATATTATAAACACACATAGTACCTATTGCTTTTGTATTTGGGGGGGGGGGGCGTCCGAGGCGCCTGGCCAATTCATTTAGCGCTATGCTCAATCCCAAAGCACCGTATCTTTTTAGGTTGCGCGAAGAATACCCTGCTAGCGCGGGGAGCTTGAAGAATACGCAAGTTGGTGAGCATTTGACCTCTTAAAATCAACAAGTCCTAGGCTTTTGAAGATATCCAGTAGGTTGATACCAGCTAGGGGTTATTCCTTGGTGTGAAATGCGTCCATGCGCCAACGACCATTCTACGCGGCCGCCACTAGCCACTGCAAAGCCATTAACATTGCAAGGGTTGTCTTATGAATCTGTAATCAGGCTTATGTCTCTTCAAAACCAAGAATCCTGATGTCGTAGAAGCGAACGAACTGGTTCTGAGGCTAGCGCTACCACTCTAAGTTTTTACGTTATCAAGTAGAGTTTCCCAATGGGATATTCTGGCTCCCTGGTCCCTGTAATTAAATAGCTAGATATATGTCCTATTGGCTTATCTTTATATATATGTACAAGAATCGTCTGAGGATTTGCAGGTTAATAAAACCGGATGGTAGACACAATAGCAGCCGCCGGTGAGGCCAGTCAATTGCAGCACTGTGCTAAGAGCTGACATGAGATTATATCAGACACGTTATTTCGAGCAACGTTTCGTCTTCCAACGGTTAATATCTTCACTAATTGCATAGTACAAGAGTATTTTGCTCGACTGAAGTCTGCGGTGCTAAGGTCGGTTGAGAGAGCGAAGAGGAATGAGCCCATAAAGGCAGGGATTATCAAGACGACAGACGCTATTAAGACCCTTGACAAGATTATGGGCGGTATAGAGGCCTCTAATCATCGTCATTTGAAACACATACACAGTTCAAAAAGCAGCCATAACAGCCCTAGATTCTATTCTACAATACCCCCTTAATTCAATTTCTCTTACTCCAGCCAGTGACCTTTACGATGTCTAAAAACATAACGCAAGAGGCGGAAATCGTTAACAGCAGTGTCGCTTATAGGGTAGACATAAAATAAGTACAAGCAGTACCCAATTGATCCCTATTCTTACTTTTTCTATTATCTCCACTACCTTCTTTATTTGAAGCATCGGGATCTTAGTTGCTATTGGTAATTTTGTTGAGAGGTATGCAGCGTAATTCTGATTCGGTGATGTTTAACGTTCTGGATACGTATTTCTACGGGAAGAGCACAGGCCAGATGTTTCAGATATTCGCATCATATTCTGTTTCATTGTTTTTCGACGTGGGTTCTAGATCGATAGTGAAAATTCGGCAACCAAGAAGCAGTCCTTGGTAAATCTTTGAACGCGTTAGCTCTTCGCCCTGTCTCTCATTCTCCCTCTTTATAACACGGTGTGATTGACCTAGTAAACGAGGTCGGAATTATCTATAAGGCTCCATTCTCAGACGGAGATAGACCAAGCCACTCTCTGTAGGAGTTTGGCACAATAACCTAACCACGATCATTTGTGCTGTCTTAAGCTGCATCTGTAAGTCTTTCTGATACTGCTTGGATATATGTTATAGTTTCTACTTTTACTTGCATTGTCTTGATTGTCCATTGCCTCTTGCCACATTGGAATTGTGGCTAAATAAGATTTGGTTACGCTATGCATTTTATTATAAGGAATAAAGTAAATAGTCTTATCTTATATTATTAAAAATCTAAGCTACAGTGCTCCCTTGGCAAGCGGTGCGAAGAAAAACAGGGACCGCAAAATGAAATACACACACAAATTGAAAGTATGAGCACTATTTGACCAACTAAACACTGGATACTGGTGTCAAATTGGTGCGCGAAGTTGAGAATTGTGTGCCGATCGTTTGCAAATTCCCCGTTTTTCTTCACACCCCTTGCTTGGGTAATTGAAAATTTAAGCTATTTTAGGTTAACTATTTAGTACTAGTGCTTACGCCGCTAGATGAAAAAAAAAAAAAAAAGGCCCCTATAATACAGTGGTCGCTTGCTGTATTACAGCAACCTACTTACTATAATATAGTGCACTAAGCGCTATACTATAGCGAGCAATATCGGAAATAAAGCGGTAATAAGTATCCTCTTCCGCTAGTATCCCAAATGGCTAGCTTCAATAATCGGTACCTTGGGGGCCAATTACTTTCTATGTGCCACTGTAGCAGATGCTATCTTCTATAGCTCCGAGATTTGGAATCATGACCCCAACAGTCAGCGTAACTGTCAGCTTACCTTGAATCACTTATTATTCATGAGCTGTCCGTATATTACGCCGGCGGATGCCTCTAATTTAATTAACTTTCTCCACGTAAGCGGCACACCATTATAATGGCAACATCGTACTCGTCGATTCAGCTTATAGTGAATAGCGATAATGCAATTGTCACGACGATTTCTTCGACAGATCCCTCTATTTGACAAAATGATGACACAATCCCTCGAGAGTTTTAAAACCATCAATTTGTCTGGCATATGCTTGCTAGCTGTAGCTATATATGTCGTCTCATTCATTATCTATCGCCTTTATTTTCACCCTTTGTGCGGAATTCCCGGTCCGAGGCTTGCCGCAATTACTAGCTGGTATGAAACCTACTATGACCTTTTCAAGACACCTAGCGGTCAGTACTGGAACAAAATCGACGAACTTCATAAAGAATACGGCCCTATTATACGTATTAATCCAGATGAAATTCAAATTCACGACCCAGAATTCTATAACCAGATTTATGCCGGGGGATCAACAAAAAGGCATCGGTATGCACGCAGCGTCTCGGGCAATGGATCACCTGGATCCATGGCTTCAGCTGTTTCTCATGATCTACACCGTCTCCGCCGGAGCTCATTGAATCCATTCTTTTCAAGAGCCGCAGTCCTCAGACTTGAAGAAAGAATCCAAAGTAGGGTTAGGATTCTTTGTGAAAGACTATCTAGCTTTCTACAAAGAGGAGAAATAGTTGACATGAGTGTGGCAATGACATCGTTGACCTTGGATATTATCACAGAATATTGTAAGTCTACTGAATGTAAATTATTACTCAAAAGATTATCACCTGCTGAATAGGACAAAAGCATTTGGCGAATCTTGGAATCTTATGGATAACGATGACTTGAGTTATAATTTCATCAAGGTGATGAGAGGAGGCTTTGAGACGCTCCAGGTTCGAAAGCTTTTTAATTCAGCCATTCAACTGGTTCCACCAAGTATTTTAGCTTGGTCTAGTCTGAATATGAAAGTCTTTCTTGAATTCAAATATGTATAACCCTATTCCCATTTGTTAAGACGCTTATGCTGATTAACCATGCAGAGATGCTTTGAAACATGCCGACTGATCAAAATCGCACATAACGATACGAAAGCAAATTCGACAACTAGGCAAACGCAGATAAACCTCTTCACAGAGGCACTAGACAGGCTTCCAGAGGAGGAAATAGAGACTCAGAGACTTGCAGACGAAGCTCTAGTTCTTATCACAGCGGGTTCCGAGACGACTAGTAGAGCCTTAGCAACACTCATCTACCATGTACTGAGAAATCCACACATTCTCGCTAATTTGCGACAAGAACTCGACACAGCCATACCAAATGCTAACATGGAGGTACCATATTTGACGCTTGAGGCTCTACCATATCTGGTTTGACTTTTCATAATTTTTTTTATTGAATGATAATTTGTAACTGACATTCACATCAGACCGCCACAATCAGAGAATCGTTGCGTGTTAGTGCACTAGTGCCAAATCGCTCTCTATTGACCGCGGATGAGCCGCTGCAATATAAGCAATGGAGCCTCAAACCTGGAGTGAGTATTGCTATGGCTACTATTAACCTGGTTCTGTGGATATAGGTCAGGTGAGGTAGTTATTGGCTAACTCCTGCGCAAGACTGCTTTTTGTATGAATACTTCGAAATATCTCCTCGATGCCTCCATATATAGTAACCCTACTATGTTTGATCCCGAACGCTGGCTCGGCGATACGCGGAGAACCCAGAAATTGCTTCACCATTTTGCGCCGTTTTCAAAGGGCCACCGAGGCTGTATTGGAATGAAGTGAGTTTTGTGAATCTTATACTGGTATAGCTGACGATCTTTGACTAGTCTTGCATACGCCGAGCTATATCTCGTTTCTGCCTATATTATTAGGCGCTTCGACATGCGCTTGTACGACGTAATCAGGGAAAGAGATGTGGACACTGTACGAGATGCGTTTATTGGATTGCCTAGTATAGAATCAAAGGGTGTGAGAGTCGAAATGATTCGTAAAAGGAATTAAGCACAAGATAATGTAACTATACACCAAATGCAGAATTATATGACACCGTATGCCCCTTTGCTCAGCATTCACGAGTTTCCGATTTTATGCACAAACAGTGCAGTCTAGAGTCACATGTTTGCGACTACCCATTAAGTACATGTATGTAGTAAGATGCTATCTCTCAGAACACCTATAGACTTTTAACTACAGTGTTATTTTACAGTGCTTATCCACTATATTATGGCACTTGATCACTATATTACAGTGCTTCTCTACTATACTATGGCGCTTATCCGCTATATTATAGCAATTATCCCCTATAATATAGTGGCTACCTACTATAATTAATTAACTAACTAGTATGTACTTGCTTAAATAAATTTTACAATTACATCTATGCCAGCTGTAAATAGATAAATTCCACTATTGTAAACATCAAAAGAGCCTGCTTAGGTACTGACTAAGCCGTCCCTGTAGTTATATTGCTCGCTAATAACGTAGCGCAAGATTTCAACATGCATTATTAGAAATTACAGCATACAGCTATTTACGGCTCTTCAGAGTACCTTGGATAGGTTCCGAAAGCATATTCCACTCGCCTTGTTGCCGAAGACTTTTCAAGATACCATCAATATTTGCGAATGGCTCGGAGCTTCGTATTTTTGGGTTGATTCCTCATCTATTATCCAGGATAGCAAAGAAGATCAGACAATTCCATCTGCTTTAATGACTCAGATATACGGGAACTGTAACCTGACTATCGCTGCTACTTCGGCAACCAACGGAAGTGTTGGATGTTTCTGTGATAGATTAAATGCACAAGTCTTGTCAATATCAGAAGCGAGAATACGCACTTAAAACATTTTGCCAGTAACGCTTCTTTATGCGATGAAAAATCTTCTAGCCACTCGTGGACGGGCCATTCCAGAGCGATATTTGCCAAAGCGGACTCTCCGCTTTAACTCCGCGCAGGCGGTACGTCTACTTATCGTGATTTCCATCGTAAGCGAAGATATACAGTTCGCTCTGATTGGATAGAGCTTCTAGATCGGTACTAATCCACTAAACTCACTATATCTAGTGACCAGCTGATGGTTATAGAAGGGTTATCCAGACCATTTCAAAAGGGAGATATATTGCTGGGAAGTGAGTTGAATAGATTGATAAAGAGCTGGCATAGTATTGGTATCATTTTAAATCTGATCCCAGCACAAAAGCTCCGTCTTGGTCATGGTCGTCTCGTATGGGCAAAATTACTGGCACTTTTCTCGGTCACAGTTGCGAAGCAGAATGTTACAAAGGATCATGGATTGGTCAAGTGACCTGCAACAATGAATAATAACTTTTTCTCTGGGCCGCGCCACCGGATCTTTCAACGTTCAGTGCAATCAATACCTTGAACAATGTTCAAATCTACAATCAGACCTTTTTACTGGTCATATAGATCTATTACGACCCATTAACCCTATATTAGGTAAACGCTTAATTATTTAAAATCCCAATCTAGGCAAATGCAAAGAGTGATCACCACGTCACTGGCGTTTATTTAAGTGCTTACTGGCAATGCTATGGTGATTGCGGGTATAAACATTAGCGAGGCACTGGTATTAAATGGAAGAGACTGGATATAGAACTTCACTGCTACGGACACAATTAGATACCACGAAAAATCAGTTGACATTTTCAAGAAACAGACTTCTTATTATCCATCGTATTCCAAATCCGGTAACCTCCTACATTAGACAAAACTTGGCATAATCTGGTGAGACGCTATTACAGCATCCAACTTATTCAAGTAGTCTAGCTCATAATCAACAGCAAGGTCGTCCTGAATCCATATCTGCTGGAGAATGTTTTGTAGTCCATGCAAGCTCATCAGACTCGAAGTCTTCATTGCTCTGTCGACATGCTCCAGGATTTTCATTCTCTGCTCATCCGTCCGAGCCTCGCATCCAATAATCAGCAGTGGAAAAACCGGATTGAAAGCCTCCAAGTCGTCGAGAAATGCATACGCCCTCTGAACCATTGCATCGATTTGGGATGATGTCCCTGAAAAGTTCCGCGATGCCCTTTTAAGGTAAATTAGAGCAGCTAGTTTGAACAGCTCTATTGTAGTCGCCCAGGCTGTGCTCACGCTGCGCAGGGTATCCGATATATCTTCTGGTGCGAATAGGGAAATATTAGTTATCGTCGTTTCGAGGCAACGCAAGAAATTTTCGTATTCGTCGCTGTGGTATATTGAATCTGTCAGGTTTCGTATCGTCTCGAATATAATATACAAATATCGAAGAATTTCATGTGAGCAGTATGATACATCTTTGATCTACCTAGTATTAGATAAATGATGACGTAGACATGAGTTTGAACACTCTTTCGCCTTACCTTTCGTAACTGGCAAGTGCCTTGGTCCATATGCACAGAACTTTTAATTCCTTCAATAAGGTCTTCGTGCATATACCAGTGTCGGATGCTGAACCGGGCCATGACCATATGATACTCTACCCAGCCTAGAAGTCTGGAAAATTCATGTTGAAAATGTTGACCACTAACGCAAGCGTTGTCGATTAAATATTTGGCTTCGCTTAAATGACCTAGAATGTAGAATCTACTTTAGAAGTGCCCTTGAAGAACCGGACCACCTATTTCACAACAAGGCAGAATAAGAACTAATGCAGCAAACCAAATAAATCGTTCTCGTTCAAGTAGAAACAAATAGACTAAGAACTACTTACAGTACCACAAGGATACTTCATTTGGCATCCCGAGCATCTTGAGCGATGGTAAGCAGTTGCTCCAAAAATAATTTAGATCAAATCTCGAACAAACCTCAAGGTGGCAGAGTATCATACTAGCCGCAATATGTTGAACTAGCGTGGGAACTTCGATACGGGGAATGCATGATGTGATCAGTGTACGGAGGGCGCGAGCTTTGAATCGGTAAACATCTGCTTGCAGACCATTGCGGTGGAACGATGAGAGCGCTAACGCTGATTGTACCACAGCCATCGACGATTGTGAGCTGTCTGAAAGAGCTAGACGCATTAAAAGACCCAAAAACTCGTTCTTGTCAGGTTCAAAAATAGCCAATGTGGAAGACGCCGTATAGATGACTACAATAATTAGTTTGGTCATATTCTACGATATAAGTCTTAAACTTACAGTGGTCAAGCAGTTCTCTTTCTTCATAAGCTAGTTTGATTGGGAGCCATGATAGCACCATCGGTGGATCGACTCTTTGGAAAACCAATCTCTCATGATTAGCAAGCCCTATATTTGGAGTATTAATTGGGTGCTTAATAGACCGATTCTATGAGAGAGTCAACCTTGATTCATCCGTAGGAAATAGTGGAGCTGGATATCCCATGCTGTCGTATTTACAAAGGAAATCTGGGAGACACTTTTTGCAGTCCCAAATCTATCTTGAAGAGAATGGACTAAGCTTCGCTTCGTGTTGGTAGTCTTCGGCCACGACAATCGCAACCCATACCGACATGGTCTATTAGACTTGGTGCACCTGGAGCAACGTGGGCGTGCGCGGTTACAAATGGCTCTGGAATCTGCAGTGCTTGAATAAGTAAGCAGTGCACTTCCTCAAACAACACAGGGGACAGTACCTTTACAAGTCCAGCACTCATTCGAAAGCATTGTGGACTGATTGATTTCTTTCCTGTTTATGTTGAGAGATAAAAGCAAACGAGTTGCTATGTTTCCTCTTTTCTAACACGCGCTGTAATGGGACTGATCGCAGTTCTAATTACTAATACACCACTCACCTCTCTTTCCGCTTTGAGAAAATTGGCAACTTTTTTGCGCCTTGGCAATCCAAAGTGGATCTTCCCAGGAAGCACACCATGTATTGGCATTAAGATAGATTTGAAATCAGGGAAAACAAGCGGACGAGTCTCAAGGTCGATATATAAATATATGCAATACTACTGGCATTTTGAGTCCATCAACTCTCAAAGTAATCTTACAATCCTCATTTCACTCTTTATAAATTGATAAACTATTGCAATGTCTTCCTGGGTGATTACTGGAGTCTCACGCGGACTCGGCGTAAGCTTTTAGCACTGCTATATACACAAGAACGTGTAACTAATATATGCACTCCATCGTCTAGTTCGAGTTCATCCGCCAGCTCTCCGAAAACCCAGCCAACACCATCTTCGGCCTCGTTCGTGACAAAGCAGCTGTCGAGTCCAAAGTAACCGCTGAAATCGGCAGGAAAAATATTCACATCATTCAGGCCGACACCACGGACTCATTGGCATTGGAGGTAAGCTAATAAATATATGACCGAAATTGAAGTCAAAACTAACCGAGAGGTTTCGTAGAGAGCAGCTCAATATGTTTCTGAGAAAACTAATGGGGCCCTCGATTATGTTATAGCCAATGCTGCACTCCAATCCAAGACTGCGTTAGTTAGCTTTGATACTCTGTAAGTTCTGCGCGGGGTGACAAAGATAGATGAGATAATTGATTTGACATTAACTCTTGAATAGGAGCCGCGATCCAAAGGGTCTTGAACAAGATGTTATTGACCACTTCCGAGTCAATACTATCGGCGCTATTCATCTTTTCAATACTTTCATGCCCTTGATATTGAAAGGCCAGGCAAAGAAAGTAATTGCTATCTCCACGGGTATGTCGGACCCTGAGATGACTCTCAAGGCTGATATCTACCAAGCCACATCCTATGCAATGAGCAAGGCAGCTCTGAATATGGCTGTAGCCAAGTTCAGCGCCTTGTACCGTGAGAAAGGAGTCCTCTGCATGGCAATTTGCCCTGGTGCCGTAGACACCGGCAGTCTTAATATTAGTGTGTAGTTGTCTTGAAAAAATGAAGTAGAATGCTTTTTGCTAACGTTTTGATAGAGACAGAGGAGGAGGGACAGTTGGCTGTAGCTATGTTTGAGAAATTTAAGCAGTATTCACCCACCTTCGAAGGGCCTACGAAGCCAGAAGACAGTGCCAAATCGGTTTTGGCGCTCATCAATAGGGCTACTGTTAGCGGTGGTTATGCAGGCGTCTTTCTCTCTCATATGGAATCAAAGCCGTACCTTTAAGGTAGTTAGCAGGATTACAGCTGGAATCTTCTCAAAATCTGCCAAAGCTTTTTTTTTTTTTTTTTTTAATGTATCAGTTCAATATCTGTTGAGTTGTAACGCCACTCATTGGATATTTATCATAAATTTCCGGTATCTCACTAGAATGAGATACTTGACATACTCCAGTGTCTGAAACTACCAGAGGATTTAGAAAGGAAGCGTTGAATAGATACCACCCAGTGTGAATTCCTAACAAGGATGAACAGCTGGCAATCTGTGCCGCGATGTACAAGAAATGGTACTCAGTATCGATTGCCGCTCCCTCCTCAAATCTATTTGCGATACCAAGAGATACAATAGGACAAACTTTCATTACTTGAGATACACTACACAAATCTTGGATTGTGGGAGAGTAAGGCATACTACGGCGCTAGCTAGCTTGTGCTGCTAGCAGTGACGTTGACTTTTTTTTTTTTTTTTTTCACAAGAATTTACATTTAGCACTTCCTAAGTCCGTATTTATCTACCGGCTTTAGGCTATCGACTTGGAAATCTATCAAAAGACTATAGAGAGCCCTCTAAAACTCTTATACAAAGAGATTCAGGTAAGCAACTCTTTGCTACTTATATCTGACAGCTCCAGATACTTGATATCGACGCTTCGCGTGCGCGAATACCGTCATGTCTCATGCAATCTCCCCTCAAATGGCTATATAATTTGACTTTAGCTCTTCATCCATTTCAGCGGCCACAGATTAGTTTATTGAGCTTTTGTTTCGTAATACACCAGGGAGCAGTCTTCGCGAGCCGTCTGAATCAGAACAAACTCCAGCTTTCGCAAAGCAATGCCTCAAGTAGCTTTCGAACCACTTTCCAATTTTCGACAACTCAGAAGTTCTGTAGGGTGTGGCAAGCATGGGACGAAGAACTCTCACCAGGTGGTAACTACAGCTACTATCATAAAACAGCTTCCAGTAACCATATCAATCAATAGAGAACTATATATACTAAACTACAATTGCCCACTAGATATGATGTATTAGATATCAAAGATGAGGATATTCTCGTAACAGCACTAAACTAGGTATTCGATAAAGCTGAAAACTCCTGTATTATCCGCGAGTCGGCGTCCCAAATGTCGGTCCAGTGATCCCTTTCTTAGACTCATATATCCGCTGCAAGAAACAACTCGTTGTTGGAAGCCCTGTGAGAGCAGTCCAAAATGCATAAAAGCTGATGCCAGCGCTCGAATTAGGACCGCAAATATAGATTGCTCTTGCTCCCTCATCGGCCAAATTAATATACGTCCCGTCGGACTCTTGGCTGATTTCAAACTTCAGTGGCCGGCAGGTTGAGCATGCCTTGATGTTGGCTAGTTTATCGAAAGTAAGGGCCACGCTGTTCACATTGTTGTGAACGAAAGCGACTCAAGTCTGGTATTCTGTTCCAGTAACGGCTGAGGCAGCTACTCGGCATTTCATGATCGTCAGGTAACCCTCGGGAGTGAGACCCATACAAGGAGCTGTGGTATTGGTTCCTGAAATTGGGGCACCCTGAACCTTATTGGCAGAGCTAAAATCGCGGTTCAGGAGGAAATTGCCCGTGAACAAGTTGTCGGCTGCCGGGCGCAGGTTTCGTATGTAAAAGTATCCTGTTAGAGAGGCAGAGGCGATGGTTGTGAATGTAGATGTTACCACTGATGCTTAAGTAGTAGTCGTCGGAACAACAGTCGTGCTGTCAATCGTCGTAGTCTCCACAACCTCTGGAAGAGTTGTGGTTTGATAAGAAATAAGAGTGTGTGTAGCCTCAGGCGCCGTCGTTGTTCGTTGGTCTGTTTCTGTGACTGTAATTGTTCTTGCTGTCGCCGTCATGGAAGTTGTTGAGATAGGGATCGTCAAACAAGCACAACTGCTAGATATCTTATTCGAGCCATATGACAGAGTAATTCGTTGCGACAGAGGTGTTGAGACAGCGCGTCCCTGCACCGCCGCGGCATTTACAGTGACGAACTCCGCTGTGAGTGATGTGTCGGTCACAGTGCTCGTTTCAGTGTGTACGTTTGTGATCGTAATGGTCCGCGTCGGAATCAACGTGTCGATATGTGTTGTGTAGATCATGACAGTTAGAGAAACATTAGTGAAGATCGTAGAGTATGCGGTAGTCGTTGGCGTACTGAGGCCGCCCTAGTATTGTTCCCATTGTCCACCTAGAGCCAAGGTATCTTGGAACTATACACATTACAGCAAACTCTGTCAGTGATTATGCGCGATACTAGATATACATTCCCTATCTCCAAGTGACTATAATAACTAGCTATCCCATCCCTATCTTAATATCCTAGTCTCCACATTCCGTGATTCAATACGACAAGGCCAACACTCAACGTCACTGAACATTTAACAGGATAACCACTGATTTAGTGCATTGTTGAAAGACTCGGGATCCTGCAATGGTGCAAAGTGGCTGACATTGGGCAGTACTAAGTATACCGACCGTTGAATCTTGTCTGAGATCCTTTTTGCAACCCAGCACTGGATTAGTTCCTCGGAGTCGCCAGTAACAATCCACAAAGGGAAGCTATGGTGACGATTTGTAGAATTTAAGCCGATCCTGGCGAAATCTTCCTCGGTCCAAGTCGGTGAAGTTGCCTGCATTGCTATGGCCTTCGCCTTGAAGCTATCGAACTTCTCTGGAGTAGGTGAAATCAATTGGTACTCTTCTTTCATCCGATTCACAAGGTCAGAGACAAATGGGACTGTCTTAGCTGCATCAGGTATTGCCTGGTCTGGCTGGAAATTGGGACCAAAGGCAAATATACGCTTGATCTTGTGTTTGTGTCTCATTGCTAAAGCGAGGCACGTATTAGCCCCATCTGACCAGCCGACAAAGTTGGCAGAAGGCACTTGAAGATGGTCAAGTAAGGAAGCGACATCATCGGCGAAGAGGTCATACGAAAAGGCCACTTGAAGGCCATCTGTTGATCTGCCATGTCCCCGGGTGTCCATCGCAATGACTGAGTGTCCTGCTTCAGCAACGTATTCAATTTGATGCCCCCACCAACGAGAGCTGATCTTTCCGCCATGTAGAAAAACCGTTGGGGCCTTATCAGGGTCCAATGGTGTCCCATATACCGCATACCATATCTCTGCGTTGTTGATGCTAACGCAGTCTAAGACGATGGCGGCGGGCAAAGTTGGTGTTGGTGGTAGGGTCTTGGAGCGGGGTAATGACATTTTGGATATTGTGGTTTACGCTCATCCACCACGACAAACCGAGCATCATGTGTTTTGTCAAGTAATACCGGCTCGCAGGGCGGAGGTGCAATATATAAGGGTAGTCGCTTCGTAAGTTGGGATTCCGTTTGTTGAGTGGCATTCCTTCTTTAAATCTATAAATTCTATCAGTCATTAGCCTGTTCCTGGCGGCGGTCCCCGAATTTGACCCATACCAGGAATTTGCCATCATCAAATGTGCTAGCGTTGTAATTTTTTAGGGCTGGTTGCTAGACATTATAGGTGGCAAACCTTCTGCCAAACAAGTTGGCATTCTAAAATTACCGGTACCCGCACGCTACCAGAAGAAACTATCCTATCTGGACATAGGAGCTGTCTCATTTTACCTCTCCCTCAGCTACAAGAGAGCCTCTGCATACTTTCGGTCAATCTCTTCTGATATCCCGTGAGCCCGGCTAGATTATTACTTGCAAGAGCAAATTGTCGCAATAAGGCTTTTGTATAATTATCCGTTATACTGTTAAGCCAAACGAGGCAAATGATTAGGCCAATAACCACTATTATAGCAGTTACTGTAACAGAACCAGGTTGTAACATAATACTCCATTCTTTTAGGGCTTATCCCAAGCTCTATAGCCCCTGTAGCTACAGCTGTCTTAACCCCCAAGGCATTACTTAAACGCTCCCTGCAGCGCTAACTATAACCCTTGTCAGCAGGGTGTAGCAGTTACTGTAACGGAACCAGCTGCCTATAAGGGAATCAACAAGGGACCAGGTCGTAACATTTGCAGACGCTCTTTTTCCATCAATCTACTGACAAAACCATCTCTGCCCTATCCAAGTTGTTTCATTCTCGCCAATTCATCTCAACCCGCTGCATGCAGCGAGTGGCGCAGGAGGATGCGAGACAGGGGTTGGCGGTATTCGTTCCACCGACAGGAAATGTTACAGACGATGATATTAAAAGGATAAAAGAGCGGGCAAGTTTATCTTCCGTGCCAGCCAGGTTATCGCAACTTTCATTGTTGAGACACATGATCATGATCATAAAATTAATCTCCAAGAGGTGTTTCGTGAGATTGGCCAGGCTTTTCCAGCAACTGCTGGGAGAGATAACGCTGCTTATTCAGGAATTCTCACCGGCATCATACTTGGTGGTATCATGCATTATAGATAGAATATGGCACAACACAAGGACAAACACGCAGATCGCATAAATCTCGGTATCAAATCTGTGAGCATCGCTGCGGGAGCCGCTTGCCCAAAAGGCGCTGTGCTAGCCGGCGTGGTAGATGTCGCATCCGATCCGATATCTGATCGCGTGGCGAACAAATATGCTTATGAAGAGCAAAGACCTCGCATCGGCGCAGGGATCGAAGATCGAATTCGTAAGTATAGTGGAATACACAACCACTGGGGCGACGAAGAGTGGAGCGAGTCTGTTATTCATCTAGAAAAAACCATTCGACACTGCGGTTTCCCCTACTGATAGCGTGTTGTGGACATGGCTCGCTGCTCATATGCATTTCTATATCTTTTCCCAATATAATAGCTATAGTTCATAATAATTCCAATGCTACAGCAACAATACTATTCTACCTCTTTTTTTTTTCTTCAGCTATATTCTATCCCACAATTTCAATTCTTTCCCGTCTATTAATCTAGGCATTTAAACACACCATAGCCACAACCCCAGGCCACGTCAAGGACGTCATAGTAAACTTCCAAGAACTTGATGTTCGGCGTTCATCTTCTCGGGATGGAATATGCCGGTGTGGCTTTATTTGCGACACTATCATATTCACAACTCAACTTATGCTTATTACATCACCGACCACATGAGTGTCGACTCGAAGCCCGGAAGTGAATCTTTTTTGGCATGACAGTTTATTGCTTCCTTAGGAGTTCCTTTGCCAGGCTAGGTAGGATCAATCTTAGACATTGACATAATTATCGCATAGATTCGAATGAATTAAAGGGCGCTATAAGAGAAGCCGTTTGTGTCACAATTCTATCGTAATTCTTTTCTACTCCATCTCGTTGCAGGCAGTGGCTTTAGATAAACTGTGCGTGAGGTCATCCGCCTTGAGAAAGGTGCTAGCGTCACACTCACAGATGAAGGCAGGTGGGAACCATTGCATTTGGCATTACTGAATGAGTTTATTGAGGTAGCCACGCGGCTCATTGGGAAGGGAGCTGAAACTACAGTTGCAAGTAAGGGCCGGTAGATGCCATTGCATTCACTATCGCAAAATGTACACATCGAGGTAGCTAAGCTACTCATTAAGAAGGGAACTGATATCGTGTAAGCAACCAATAACAAAGGGACACCATCGCATTAGGCATCAGGGAATAGACACATTGAAATAGTCAGGCTACTACTAGCATCTCTGGGAGTCGAAATTAGCAAGGCAGACAATCATCATCATACCGCATTATTCTTCCGTTCCAGATATGAGTACAACAATATTGTTCAAGCGCTATTTCCCGATAGGCGAATTAATCTAGGCATTAAGGACTGGTGCTATTCTACATCATTGTCTGCTGCCGTAAGGAACGGCCACTTCGAAGTGGTAGAGGTTTTACTTGTGGCTGGAGGCATGATTATCGAGGGCCAAGACGGTATTGGTCGGAGTGCTCCTTCTTCGAAAAAGTTTCCATGGGTATTTATTCGCGCTTCACAAGTCGAGATTCAAGCATGTCGAACGGGTCTCACGTAATAGACGCCATTTAAGGTAGGGTACATTCTCTCTAATATTAGTTTTGCTCCCAGCTAAACACTCAATCTTGCTCCCTGGATATTGTCATTTAGGCTCTCCATCCGTGTATAACCAGTGAGTAGGGTTCCTTTGCTGGGTGCATCCCTGTTGGAAACTTGCTTCAGCAACCGCTTTTGAACCAAGAGTTAGCAACACCATTGCCACCAAAAGTTCAAGAATGGAGACGAGAGAGAGCAATATCTTGAACAAAAGACCCAGATCGTCCGCTAGCGGCTGAGTCAGGTCGGCATCATCCACAGGCTGCGGGACTCCATGGTCACTCGGCCAGAAAATAGACAGTTTTATAAGACGAAAGCGGATAACCAGTAGACCCATTAGATCCATGTCTGTCATCCCTGAAACCATTATCACAACTACTAGGACAACGAAGGCGATACATAGAAAGGTCCCTTCAAGTCCAAACTGTGCAAGAATAACCCGTTGTCTACATGACTGAATTTGAATATCTTCCGGGAAACCATAAAATGAGAGATAAAATAAAAGGAGGCCAAGTAGACTAGCCAGAAAGAACTGAGAGGCGAGGGAGAGTAACGCGTCGAGACGACTGTCAGGGCAAGCGATGATGAATTGGGTCGCGAGAGTCAAGCTACCAGCAAATGCCGCCCAAGGGGCCACAACGTTCGCTATTACCTGTAGAATTTCTTTGGCCTCCACCTCTCAGTCTTTGTAGTGAAATAGTTGCTAACAGGAGGAGTGTTTCAGTCTTGGAGTGTATTCGATAATAAGTTTTATTCTATCTCTTTTAAGATTTGTGTTATTAGCAAAATTCCTATGTTAAAATATACGTCAGTGTTTTTATAATAAAACTGGCCATGCCTACTAAGCCACATGTATTATCCACCAAGATAACATCAGTGCTATTCTCTATCTAAGCATTTGTAAATCTCCTATGGTGAAAGCTTTCCAGCCACCTCATGCTACAGCTGCCCTGGTACTGTCAGATATTTGCGTTCGCAAGAACTCACAATTACCCTAACGCTAGTTTTACCGCGCGTAATCTTTCTATTAACAGCTTCATTTGCTCAATAACCACTTCATTCTCTTCTTGCAACATCTGGATACATACGGTTGCCTGATGCAGTACTTCAGCTTTATTCATTCGCGATGGCTCGTCGTTTGGGCTGGCTTCTTCATCTCCATCCATCTCATCCTTGTTCCTTCCCCGTGGATGCTGTTCGTGCTGAGCCTGTCTCATTGATGCCACACAGTCGCGAAGGGCTTCGAAACGCTCCTGAAGACCAGCTCTATATCGCTTCTCGATTGCATAATGAGCGCGCTGCCGCTTTCGGCATGGTGCAGGGCTAGGGGAATTGCAACGACCGCCGTCATCGCCATCGGAAGGCTGCTCCGTGGATTGCGCAGGTGGTGTAATGAGCCCTCCTCCTGACTCAAAATGAGAGGACTTGAGAGAGTTGAGATGAAGTACTTTCTCTATTGTTGATGTCTTTGAACCAAGAAAGCTTTCGCTCTGACTGGTTTGCAGACCTGTTGTACTGTAGGGTGTTTGTTGATAGTGACCAGGCTCAGAAAATGCATCCCATGGTACGAGGGGACTTGCTGACAAAAACGGGCTGTAGTCGATTGTATTACTGTCACTGCTGCCATCTTGGTTGCTGCTTGTATTTCCGGAGTTCGTAGGAGAAAAGGATGTATTTGGTTGATTGGAATTGTTTCGAAAAATAGGAAGAATGCTTTTAAGCCAGTCAGGATCCACACCCACTGGAAATCGGAAGGTGTCAAGGGCTGTATCTGTTACAGCAGTCTCTTCCGAGGAGGACGGCAGAGCTGTTGGCGACTTGTGATGGGTTTTCTCCCTTTGCAACCTGGCGATTTCTGTCGCACTTGGCCATGGAGAGCCAGACTTCAGAACTTCAAGACTAACAGCGTCGTTAGCAAGCAGTGCTTGAAGTGACTCCACCAGCTGTTTGCGGCTTTCTTGTCGCAGAGAAGAAGGGCCATTCTTCTTCAATTGCACCTTGGGCATGTCGTTTAGCGCTGAAACTCTTTGAAGTTTAGTACTTAAGAGTGAAGGTGTCTTAGTTTTCTGGCTGCACCAATAAGATGTTAGGGATCGCTCACTGAACTAAATGGAGTCGAAGAGTTCCAGCCCAGTTGCAGTTTCTACTTATACTATAATTATTCTCAGAAAAGCGTATTTGCAGATAAGGCACTACAATGTAGTAGGATTCGATGCTCCGCTTCGCCTTACATTAAGACAAAGTTGCGCTAGAGCCGTACTATAACAACTTCCTGTCCTTGCTAGGCTACTCACACTACTGCAAGGCCCCCACCCTATACCGCTGCAAGGCCCCCATTTTGTAATGCTACACGGTTCAATGATTCCGTTTTATATTATTGAAAATACAGATGGATCGTTGCCGTGCTTTGTTCGAACGGCACACAATGTAGTGTTCAATGCATGTAGCTGAGGCTTAGAATAGATCACGGAGCAGAAGCCTATTTCGAGATAAATTCATATGGCCCCCCCGCATACCGAGCCCACACTTGTTGAACAATGAGAGTTAATAAGGGTCGTTAAATGGTTATCAGTTGTTACGAGATATAATGGCAGAGCTCTTGCTATTACGATTGCTGTAGGATTTCCTTAAGCATCCTGGCGTTCCGTTTAATAACGTTGGAAAAACGGGCTCGGACGTGTGTTTCTCCGGCAGTCCGAGGAGAAAAGAGACAGTTAGACAAACACAGAGAAGAAGAAATCTATCGATACGGTCAAGTGCTTATTGGGCGACAGTCGTAGGAATTCACTTGGCTGCATCTCCAAGAAACAGTTTTTAGTGGTGAGAATACGAAAGATATAATGCCTAGAGATAAGCTAACAGTATACAGTCCACAAGACGGCCATGCTCTCTTATGATATCATCGATGTCTAATCCCTCCATAGGAGCAACTTCTGCGCGAGCTCCACCAATACTCTTGCATTCTGGCGTATGCCCTCTTTCCCTCTTCCATGCTGCCTTGAAGAATCCCCGACTCGTGGTATGAAATTCCTTTTTGGATGTTTGATCCTGCATTTCACTCGATCGCCCCGCTTGGCCCCACTCCATGGTTTGTTGCAACCAGGATTGTAAACTTGTTTATCAGTGCTAAAAACGAATGCAATCAATTTTCTTTAGCCGAGTAATGAAATAGGCCTAGTGGGTTTAAAGTAACTACAGAGTATTCCGAAGTAGGCTTAATTTAATAAAGGGATTGTGTAAACAACAATGTATATACTTTATAAAACACAAGTATAATAAATATAGGTTAACAAAATATAGTTATATATACTTTGTTATAAAAATTATTAAATTAATATTAAATTTATTTTGTTTACTGGTTTATTTTTTATTTTCTTTATTAGTACAGCAGTGTTAATGTCAAGTGATAATTAGTTTTACTTTCTTGGACTTGATAACGAATTTGCAATCCTTTTGCAATGCAATGGGCCCAGCAACTGGTTGGGATCTCGCTCCTACTGCTGTCGCCATCTCTGTAAGAAGCGGCCCAACGACCGGCTGAGATCTCGTCTCCACTGTTGCTGCCGGCTCCCTCTATTTACAGAAGCGGTCCAACAACTGGATCTTCCGCCCGCTCCTGTCGCAGTTTTCTTCCATTTACAGAAGCAAAGCTCGACTTGAAAATTTTCCTTCATGGCTATTCAACATGGGAAAATATCCTAATGATTATGCATCTAAACAATGCAATAAGCTGGCAACCTCTCCTCATGGTTTAGAAGTTAGAGGGTACATGAGGAGTCCTCATAATGCGATTTATGCGTCAAGCTTTCCTACCGTGCTATCAACTTCAAATCTTGAAGGCGACAGTGAGATCCCTGCGGCACTCCAATCTTTTAGCTCCTAACATAGTACCTTAGCAGGTTTTTTCAGAGGTAGCGACCTACCCGAAGCTGTGTCAAATTTGACAGCAAAAAGCATAGGAACACTGCCAGCGTGTAACTTTGTTGAAGACTTGAATAGCACAGCCTGGGCCGAGAACATTGACTGCAGCTCAGCAACTACGTTCAATTGGTTTTCGACCCCCAACAGCCCAGCATATCTAGGCCTGATTATGCAAGGCGAAGCGTCTAGGATGGCGCCGGAAGATACCACGTTGGAATGTTATGTTGAAGCATTACCACCTTACCAAAGTATTGTGCTCTCTACACAACCACGACCACAGATTGGCACAAGGAGGGAGGCAACAATGATGATCGGTATGGATATTTCAAAAGGAAGGCAACCAATTCTGGACGACAAGTCAAACACTACCCTCGAACATTTCTACAGACCCTTACATTGTAATCCTGTGCCGAGTTCTGCGCCAACCACATCGCTAAAATGCCCTCATCCGGCGTGTCAGTCGAAGGTGCTATACACAAGGAAATGCGATTTAGAGAAGCACTACCGTTCACATTTTAGAAAGTACTTTTGCAGAATATCTGAATGTTCTCTATGCGAAATGAACTCTTTGACGGTCTCGGGAAGTGGCTACAGTGGGTTTGCGACAAGGAAAGATAGAGATCGACACGAAAGATCTCATTTCCCAGCGCTTTCCTGCAAGTGTTGCGGCAAGGTGTTCAGTCGTCTTGATAACCTAAGAGACCATTGGCGGAAACGACATTCTGAAACGACGTTTCCCATGTGACTGACATAGGTGGAGTCTTTTCTTTTTTATATCTTTTACAGCCACCTACCCTTCTTCTAAACCTCATCTACTGGTTATCCCCGTTCATCTAACTCCAAGATGGATTGCATTAGTACATACCAGGGAACCTCGGCTATCTGATGCCGGAATAACCTATCAAATGGCAGGTACTTCGCTTCGTTTCACTTCCCCGCAGATATATGCAGGATGCGCTTGTAGTATGGAATGCTCCTGCATATCGGCCAAGCTGGATTAGGCATAAGCACTAGGCAGAAGTTACTCTGTTTGTAGGAAGGATTTGGAACGGTTTGAAAGGAAGGAATATGATAAATTCGAGTTTATCGAGTATTTTCAATGATCCAGTCATTTTGCAAATCAGGGATCAGCCACCCGTCCCAGCGGAACACAGAATACGAGTCGTTGAGGAAGAACAAGAACCCGCAAATTGTCTTGCTGGTCTGCGTAGTTGCAACCTGCTTGCTCTGCTGCATTTCTAATAATATCAAATGTGTAACTGGGTCATCTCTTACTATTCAACCTGTATCTTAATGCTCTTATGCTGAGTCCAGTCTAACATTCCGAGCGTTCCATTTTCGACACCTGTACCGCTTTCTGCATTGCCATTAGTTAGGAAAGAAAGAGGACCTTTTTTTTTTCTTTCTTTTTTTTTTTTTTTTTGGAATAATGGCAGTGGGAATCAAAGCTCCTCTANCGTATAACTTACGTTTCCAGCCGCCGAAAGTCGTGTTTGGAGCCCAAGGCAATCCGTTGATGCCGATCATGCCAGCTTCAATCTTATTGCTAAGTCGAAGGGCCCTCCCGATGTCTCTCGTCCATATGTATGCACCCAATCCGTACTCTGTATCGTTGGCTAGGCTGATAATTTCGTCGTCGTCTTTGAACTTGCAAACTACCACCACGGGCCCAAAGATCTCTTCTTTTAGTACTCTAGCGTTCGGGGACGGGTCCGTAAAAATCGCTGGTCGGATATAACACCCCTTCCCCTCCACAATATCGCCGCCACGCACTAGTTTCGCCTCTTTCTTCCCATCTTCAATGAATTTTAATACACTTTCCCGCTGGCGTCGGTGAAACATTGGTGAACTCCACGTGGTTTGATCCAGTGGATTGGACCCGAGGTTGTTTTCATAGGCTTGCATAGTTGCTTCAATCTTGGGCATCATTTCATCAAAAATGCTCTCGTGCAGATACACCCTGGTACCCAGCATACATCCTTGACCATTCAGCATCAAAAAATGACAACAAAATTCAGTTGCTTTATCGAGATTTGCGTCCGGGTAGACTATGACGGGTGACTTTCCACCCAATTCTAGTGTAACGCTCTTGAGATTGGACTGCGCCGCAGCGACCTGGACTTTTCGCGCTACCGTAAGGCTGCCAGTGAAGCTGATTTTTCGAATTTTCATATGAGCCGCTAGAGCACTACCAGCAGCTCCATCTCCCGTAATGCAGTTGATGACACCTGGTGGAATGCCAGCCTCGATGGCCAGTGAAACAATGAACAGGGTGGAGAAAGGATTGAGTTCGCTAGCCTTGACAATGAGAGAGTTGCCGGCCGCGAGCGCTGATGCAGCTTTCAGGGCATAGCAGACTAGTGGCCCATTGAATGGAACGATAGCAGCGCAGACCCCATAAGGGGAGTAAGTAGTGTACTTGAGGCAAAGTCAATATGGTAAACAAGCGAGTTTACGGGAGCCCTTCTGGCTGGCTTCTCCCGAATCAAGCTCTACCATCCAGGAGAGCTCAGCGCAACAGTCCGAGGGAGAATAACGTGGAGACTTACTTGAACGTGATCGTCACCGTAGCTAACAGCCTGGCTATGGAAAGAGTTGATCAAGCCAGCAAAATCTGGCAACAGATATCTTTGTCATTACTACACAGCATGAGGTTGAAATAAAAGGAGGGATACTTGCAGATAAAAGCTTCAACTGCTGCATCAACCTCGAACGTAATAAAAGACTTTGCCTTGCCCGTGAGAACAGCCTCGAGCCAGTAAATCTCTTCAGCGCGATCTTTGATTAATTGGGCATATCTAGTAAGTGCGTCTCGTCGCTCGCGCTTTAATAAATGAAGACAAGACATATCAGCGAATAATATTTAGCTTGGATTTGACTTTGGTCTCACCTTGCTGAGAGCCTGCCATGCTTGATAGCCTTCAGCAGCACTTTCAACAGCAATATCTACGTCCTTTGTATCTGCCCATTGTAGATCTAGTGCAACCCCTATTAGACATTGCCATTTAACACCGGCGCTGGACACATCTTCTACCATACCCTTGCATATCACTTCATCGTTGACAGCAGATGTCAAGCTTTGAGTGTTGTTGGTTACGCTGTCGACCCACTTTCCACCAATAAACAGTTTGTTGGGTATAGGGAAGCGGGTTAGATCGAAAGTGACAGACGACATCGTGTTTTAATTCGATAACAAAAGAGTAAATGGGCAATTTCTGGATTGAAAAGAGTTGTATGTACTTGTTAAAAAATATTAGGTCCTCGATAGGCTATTTTAAAATATATTAGGCCCGTCATAATAGCTGCTCAAAAAATATGTCATAACTTCAACGTGTCCCTCGTCGAATAGTTGTCGTTCTTTCACCCATTGTAGACCGTGTCGCAGGGGGGGTGGTTCCACTGCCGCACGGAGCGATGGCACGAGCTGCACGGCGGGTGGGCGATGGAGCCACTTTGCCCACCATGGGCATTATTGCGATTTGCTTATATTTATTGCCTTGAGGGCTTGCCGCTTTCGCATTGAAGAATTGTGGCCACTGCATATAATTTGTCGATTAATCATCAATATACATTATCCTTTACTGCCTAGAAGCCACAATGCATGACGAAAAGGCTACTCGAAATAAGCTAGGCAAACCAACCACCCACAACAGACATACCGAAAGCCATGTCATTGGTGAAATCTCAGCTTTGGCAGATTCACTCGTCCAACGAATGTTGGCTTGCTTCGACGACAATTATGGATTCTCGTCTGCGAGCTGTCAAATATACGACACCGCTTGGGCTGCAATGGTCAGTATTCATCTCTTATAGCGGCTGAAGGCGACTTGTTCCAACATATATACCTATATATACATATATATACATGTATATATAATAACCTCACCCCCCTTCAAGCTACTTTTTAAGACGCTATTTCCTGCTGGAATGAAAATAAATTGACAGTCTTGGTAGATTATTAAGGAGACAGACAGAAAGAAGCGATGGCTCTTCCCCGAGTGTTTTCATTACTTGCTACGAAACCAGGCAGATGACGGCAGTTGGAGTATCGACGTCAGATCCCAAACAGTAGGCATACTTAACACATCTGCGGCTCTGCTTGCGCTTTGCCGGCATGCTGCAGAGCCATTGCAAATATCAGACTACTCCGAAAACGAGCTGGTAGCACGTATTCGATTGGCTGCCCAGTCGCTCGGCGCCCAGCTCGCAACATGGAATGATATACTGACCTCCAACCATATTGGCGTGGAGTTGATCATGCCCGCGCTGCTCAAATACCTTCAGCAGGCGGACCAATCACTATGTTTTGATTTCGAGGCTAGGAAAACCCTTGAACGCATGTCTGCGGCAAAACTTTCCCGATTCAGCCCTGAAATGTTATATGAACAGCGCCCTTCTTCAGCTGTGCACTCGCTGGAAGCTTTCATTGGTAAGATCGATTTCGACAAGATTCGTCACCATCTATTTGACGGATCTATGATGGCGTCCCCCTCCTCTACAGCCGCTTATCTTATGTATTGTAGCACTTGGGATGAGGAAGCCGAGCGTTACATGCAACACGTTGTCAAGGCAGGGGCCGGCCATGGCGATGGGGGAGTCGCCGGCACATTTCCCATTCATTATTTCGAGTTTAACTGGGTTCTGGCGACACTTTTGCATGCCGGATTCGACATGTCTGCTTCTGACAGCCCTACTGTAGACAAAATTGTAAGTATTGTGAGGAGAGGTTTTGCTCAGGATCGTGGAGTGATTGGTTTTGGTAAGATGTCCAAAAAATCCGAATAGAGTATCATGAAGACTGACTATTCTAGCGCCTGTACGTTTACACGATTTACCTATTCTCAATAATTCCAACCCACTAATTGACACTGGTAATAGCGCGCTATTGACGTCGATGATACCGCCAAAGGCCTCTGGGTTTTAAAGAACTTGGGAAAAGATATCGACGTCTCGCCTGAGGTCATGATCAAGATCTTCGAGAAAGAAGACGCATTTGCTACATTTGGCGGTGAGCGCGATCGCAGCATCAGTTCGAACTGTCATGTTCTCCTAGCCCTTTTGTCATGGAACGATGGACTGCGACATGCGTCACAGATTCGTAAGGCGGCAACCTTCGTCTGTGAGAACTGGTGGAATCACGAGGGCCAGTTTCGGGATAAATGGGCATGTATAACCATTAATTTGTAAAACAAACCTATGCTAACTCAAATCCCAGCATCTGAGCCATCTTTATCCAACAATGCTCATGGTTCAAGCATTCACAGCGTTACTCCGAAATCTAGATGATTCAACAACCAAGTTTCTCACTGAGGAGCTAGTCCTGAAAGTATCCATAGCGTTGTTTCAAGCCTGCACCCGTACGCTTTTTGAGCAGCGAGAAGATGGTTCCTGGGAGGGTTCGGCAGAGCAAACAGCCTACGCAATTCTCACTTTGGCAAAAGGCCGTCATTTGTACTTCCTCGGGGATTTACGCTCTCGAATGACGCAGGCCATCGTAAAAGGGGCTGCTTTCTTGGATAGTTGCAACCCCAAGCTGCCCGAACGCTACTGGACTTCGAAGACTAGTTATTCAGTACAATTTGTGTTCGAAGCTTATGTACTGGCTGCGTTGAAAGTCTCAACTTCCTTGGAAAATAATAAACGAGACGTTGGCCGCTTCGTTGGCCTAGGCGACCGCGTATCAAAGTTGAGGTCCTTCACGCCGCTCTTGCAGCGCACTCCCCTCTTTTCGGAAGTTCCAGAATGGCAGATATGGGCTTCTCTACTTGAATCCGCCTTGTTTGTCCCACTCATACGGGCTCGACGGCTTGGAGTGTTTCCAAGAGATAGCATCAACATGACCAAAGATTCTTATCTTGACATCATCCCATTTACTTGGATTGGATGCAATAATTTGTCAAAGAATTTTGCTCCAACTACCTTCATGTTCGACATGATGATGATCTCTATGTTGGGCTTCCAGCTTGATGAATTCATGGAATCAGTGGCAGCTTCTGCTTTCTCACACAATCCGAAAGCTCTGCATTCACTAATTGATCTTGCAACAAACAAAGCAGCACATCATATAAATAAAAACTCTATTGGAAACGGTGCACATGACGTGCCCGACGGAGAAGTATATACTGGTAGCGACTAATTCAGTCTGCAATACACTGACTCTAAATAGGTATATGAACCGGTATATGAACCGCTCTATCGTTTTTCTCTCCACGTGTTAGGGCACGAGAGTATTCGTGCTGCAAGCCCTGAAGACAACAAACGGATGGAGCGGGAGCTCAAACATTATCTGCATGCACACGCAACCCAGGCAGAAGATAACGCTAGATTCTCTCGACAGCTTCAGGACAGCCGAGTATGCGATGCTGAAAATCTTCCCTTCTGTTTATTATATACACGATGTTTGCTGATACCAGATATAGGGCCAGTCTTACGATAGCGAGCTCCCTTTCTTTCAATGGGTGCGAACGCTAGCTGCCGACCACGTTGGCGTTGCTTTGCCTTTTGCATGGGCGTGCTGCTGGATCTCGAGCAATTTTGGCAGTGGTGCTGATGCCTTCCCAAGCCCTTTGGAGAGATACGTAGTTGCTGCCGTAGAGCGACACTTGAGCACGTTGTGCCGGATGTTTAACGACCTGGGTTCTGTGGCTCGAGACAAGGATGAGGGTAACCTCAACTCTATCTGCTTCCCAGAATTTGACAAAGTGCATCCAAACGATCTGGAAGCAAAGAAACAAGCTTTGACGTCTTTGGCAGAGTACGAGCGAAGCTGTCTTCGACAGGCGCTGGATTCACTAGAGCGAGCAGTCGGGGACGCACCTGATGGTAATTCAGAAGCACTATTCAGCCAGCACAAACTGGGAACTATTAGGTACTTCTGCGACGTCGGAGAACTCTACAACCAATTGTACGTTTTGCGCGATTTCTCGGCGACTATCGTTCAACAACAACCTGGTGGTTTGGAAGTGAATAAAGGTTAACCTACTGTACTATGACTTGCCAAATCTTGGCCATTCAAGTTGAAGCACCGAGCAAATTTAGAAAGAATAACACGTATATTGTTAGTGATAATGTCAATGTTAGGCAAGTTTTATAAAGAACTTGTGTCGTACTACTTGGGTCGGCTCGCCTTTGCTCTCACGATCCAAGTGGAGCGTGGCATGTTTGATGATACATACACGCAAATACACGTACTAGTTAAAGCAGTCTAGGCAATAAGCACTGGCATAGTGCTTTCACCTACCTTATTGATAACTTGTGTCCTGCCGGTGCGGATTACTTTTTCCAGCTGCATACGAGGGTTGTCGGGTATACGCTGAGATGGCGAATTTTCTGGCGTTTACGTTTGGCAGTGTTCCTCTTACAATTATTACCAGAAATAAGTTTTAGAAAAGTTATTTATCAATTCATTCTTATTTTTACCCTGCCAATTATTGGGACGTATTTTGTGAACCTTTATTCCCAGTTATCATCAGCCGTTGCTACAACATCAACCTCTGGAAGATTCCTCCCGTGGGCCCAGGGCAGCTCTCTGCCATTGCGGTCTCAATTATCTCTCTCTTGAAATAACTTCCATTTCTGGCAATTGATGAATCATCATAATACCTTATTCCAATAAAGTTATATACCCATATAGGTTTAGTGGTTGTTCGCAGACATCACGCCTGTGATGGGCTTCTAGGTTTTGAAAGCGCTCTCTTTCATCACGATACATATTAATTTGACTAATTACACGTAATTAAATGTGATTAAATATATATGAAATATTGTGATAGCCATATCGAGGCATAATAGATGAACCGATCACACCAGTACCAAGATTGTCTGGACCGTGCTGCTGAATGGGCCGTGGCATATGACAATTTTGGGCCTGCGAACCCTGGCTGATGTGTTGCTCCGCACAGAAATCTGAATTTAGCTGCACGGAGCAAACAATACCAGTCATGGAGATATGTTGTTACTAGGGTAGAATTGATATATGAAAGCTCGACGAGATGGTCAGTTCGTGGACAAACTACCTACTCTTGTCTAGTCTTCTTCGATCGAAGACCATCGTAAAGATGGTGACGACAAATGCAGCCCCTCCAAGAGCGATCGAGAGTATAAAAGCATCCTTCAATGCAGACATATAACTCTCAATGGCATGTATCAAATCTTGTCCTGACAGACGGTTCCGCAGCTCTGTCGCACCGGCAGCCAGCAAGTCAGCTGCATCAACTGACTCGATTTTATCCAAGGAATGCACTAATTTGTTCGAGAACAGAGACTGGCTGACTGACAACCAAATGGCACCTCCAAGAAACTGGAAGAATAGCGCCATTGCCGACGCAGTGCTCAAATCCGTAGGGTCGGCGACGGCCTGGGCGACCATCACAGCTAGCTGTTGAAATAGTGTTATCAAAGGCTTCGTTGCGCAGTTTGGTGGGAGAGACGTACTTGCAAAGTGAGGCCACAACCTATCCCAACCAAAACCTGGTAACCAATCCACTCCTTGCTACTACTTTCGGTGTTCAAAGTGTATGTAAGACCACTTCCTGCTGTAACAAACGCACTGCCTAGTAGAGCAACTATCTGATACTCGCTGGTTGCCGTAACTATGAGTCCCGCTACAATTGCGAAGATTGACGCCCCAGCGACAAGTGGAATGGTTCGAATGCCAGATTGTGCTGCGCTGACTCCGGCCACTACTTGAAAGTAGATGGGTAAATAATACAGCAGGATGAAGAAGCCTCCAGAGATGATCGCGGTGAATATCATTAGTAGGGTTATAGACTTGTTCTTCAGTAAGCGTGGGTTGACGGTGGCCGATTCGGCTAGGAGATATTGAAACACGATAAATACGACGAGAAGCACAGCAGCAGTGACAAGTGTGCCAATCACACTGCCAGATGACCACAGTTTTGTGACGCCTCCCCACTGTAAGGCAAGAAGGAAGCTGATAACTGCTCCCAACATGACAATAACGCCTCCGATATCCATCTGCAGAATCCTCTCTTTCCATGATGCACGGACGAGTTTTGCGTGTGCTGGACTTGAATAGAATACTATGATAACAAAGGCCGCGAGGCCACCAATAGGAAGATTGACTTTGAGTAACTCAAGTCAGATTTTGTCCGCACGGGTGGATGCGAAGTCTTACTATAAAAACACCAGCGCCACGAGACGTTATCGGTGAATGCGCCCCCGAGAAGTGGGCCAATGACACTCGCAATGGCGAATGTGGCTCCTATGACGCCCAGCAGAGCAGGAACCTTTGACGGTGGCGCGCTCTGGGCGACGATGATGTTTGATCCCGAGGTAACCCCTGCACCACCAACTCCAGCTATGGCACGGCCAATAATGAGGGCGGCGGAGGTCGGTGCAACAGCGCAAATGAGACTACCGATCTCGAATATGAGAATGGATAGCAGGTACACGGGCTTGGATGGGAAAAACTTGTAGGCTTTCCCCCACAAGGGTTGGAGAGTGGCAGTGGTCATAAAGAAGCCACTGCCATACCTGAAGTGGGCAAGATAGATTGGATTAGCATAACCGTTCACATTTTCAGAATCAAACAGTGTATAAGTGCGTTCATTGTCTTACCAAGCGACGTCGTCCAGGCTGTGAAAGTCATCAGTAATGTGAGGGATGGCCGTCGAGACAATGCTGGTGTCGAGGGCGACAAGAAAGATGGATAATGCGATAGCGAACAATACCAAAATGTGCTTGCCAATCGTAGGATAAACAATCTCTTCGCTGTCATTCTCTTCTGTATCAGGGCATATGACTGTGTTGGAACCGGGCTCTCTCTTGGACAGTGTCCCTGGTTTGTTGCTTTTCCACTCCAAATCGAGGTCCATTTTGCGTTGTTAAAAGTCTTGTTTGTGTCTTGTCTTGACTGAGATTGTTACGTGTAGTTACCAAAGGGACATGGACGGAAAGTGTTATCAGGCATCCATTGAAGAGTAAGGGGCATCAAAAGAAGTGGAGCTTTTACAATTTCAACCAGGTACATTATAGTACTTCAATGTACTACAGATGTCTTTATTATAATTCATCATATTTTCTATACTATATCACATAACATATTGTATAATATGCTATATAATGTGTGATATTGCACTAAATGATCGCTGAATTTTAATACTACGTGCTCTATTATAATAAACTCATGCTATGGTGCAATGAATAAGCGCTGTATTACAAAATTTAATTGGTCTACTATAATCGATTGATGCTATTTCGTAGTCGATAAGTTTTATGTTGTTGTTACAACAGAAAAATACTATACTTATGGCTACTTTATTCTACAACCGCCTTTTTGGATGCTCACGATGGACTTCCCCAGGAATAGAGCGCGCTTGGAAAGAGGGAATCTGGGTGGTTCCACTAGGTGGTTCCACTCAGGTGGCTCTACTCAGCTGCCTTATGGAATAGGTAACCCCTGTCGCGCCACGGGGCTTGTTGTCACAACCGTCTTTTAGACGCCACTCTCCCTCGTATGGCATCCTTTGGCTCTGAGCGATCCAATGAGGGCCACTCTGATACATGTAAAAAGCATTCGTAATATCGCGTCATAGTTGCTCTCAAAACATGAAAAAATTGCCGTCCTGGTGAGGTCGCAGAACACCGGCACTAGTAAAACTCTCATGCAATCCTTTGGATTGCCGCCTTTCTGATATATCTTGCAATATTGCTACCCATGCAAGCTCTCTATACGTGTTACCTTTGCACCATTATCGCGGCATTCTGTCTTACACAAGGCTGAGACCTTCAGGATGCCGTTGTCGTTTTCCCAAGTACCACTACCCACAATGGAGCCTCTTTTGAAATACCCTCTGAAGCTCTCCTCCGCAGCTAAGCAAGTTGGTCTTATACCAAGTTTATTTGCTCTTGGTGCCCTCTTCTTGGCTTTGCGGTTTTCAGTTATCTCCAAAACAGAGAATGGAATTCCTGTTGCGGGGCAAGCTAGTATTTTCGAGCCAAAATGGCTCCTACGGCTGCGTTTTATACGTGGGAGCCGGTCGATTATCAAACAGGGCTACGAAAAAGTAAGAAGATAGAGCTAGACACTCCCACGCCGTGATACTCGTACTAATTTTATGTTTTTAGTATCGAGATTTGTATATCGTTCGTCGCTGGACCTCCGATGTCGTCATCATTGGCAAGCATAAATACCTGGAAGAAATCAGGGCGAAAACAAAGGACTCGGTGCGCTCGGTTGAGCCGTTTCTCCTTGATCTTGCTGGCGACTACTTCAAACAGGGACAGGCCTTTCTTGAGAGCGATTTGCAGAATCGGGTTTTACATCAGAAGCTCACTCCAAATATTGAGAGTCTGACTCCCATCATGAAAAGTGAACTGGAATTTGCATTGAAACAAGAACTCCCCGATATCAAGGCAGAAGACTGGGTTGAAGTAGACCCTGCTCGTGTATTTGCGCGAACCATTGCTCGTATTGTCGCACGAATCTGGATCGGCCCTGACGAATGTCGGAACGAGGACTGGCTTGTGGCTACAACCGACTTCACTGAAAATGTATTCATAACAGGGTTCATTCTTCGGTTTGTCCCTCGATTTCTGAGACCTGTTATCGGGCCATGGCTGCCTACGTATCGCAGTATAGTGAAGAGTTCCGCGGACGCTCGGCGTATCGTTGCTGGACTAGCCAGGAAACGGTCTCCTGCCAAGGAAAAGACGGACGATTACGTAAAGGGCGACGATGTTTTGCAATGGACAATGGACATGGCCAATGATAAGGAGCTCGAGGAAAATAACCTCGCCGAGCGAATCCTAACCCTGAGCTTGGCTGCTATCCACACCACAGCTCTGACAATGGCTCAAGCCCTTTTCGACCTCTGCGCCCATCCGGAGAACATCGACACACTTCGTGAAGAGCTGACCGACGTGCTTGACACCGAGGGTGAATGGAGCAAGAAAGGCATAGACAGGCTCAACAAACTCGACAGTTTACTCAAAGAATCGCAACGATTCAACTCAGTCTTTCTGCTAACCTTCAATCGATTCCTCTCCGTTCCCGTCACGCTGTCTAATGGAGTGCATTTACCTGCCCGTACTCGCATTGCGGTGCCGCAATATGCCATGCTCAACGATCCCGCAAATGTTCCAGGCGGGAATCCTGAAGCGTATGACCCTTGGAGATACTCTCGACTACGCTCCTCGGAGCCAAGCAACTCGAAGAAGCATCTCTTTGCGATGACAGATTCCACGCATATGGCGTTTGGTTACGGTAAATACGCATGTCCTGGCAGATTTTTTGTTGCCAATGAGATCAAAATGACTCTTTCGCATCTGCTCTTGAGGTATGATTGGAAATTCCCAAAAGGGCGCGGGCGTCCGCAAAATTTCACCATCGATGATAACATATATCCGGATCCATCGGCAAGAGTTTTAATGCGCCGAAGAGCGGTAAGTGCGAAAGAGGAGGAATTACTGGGGTTTTGATTTAGTTTTGAACCAAGAAAATTCAAGGAATTGTTATTCAACGATCTATTTTCATTATCCAAGACCCTAGCTGTAGCTAAAATCGTGAATTACAACTGCATGTATTCTAATCTTTGTACTGCCTCTACTGCCTCTACCACTTCTACTTTTCCTAAATGCTGTTTATTCCTTGAATGCATACATATGAGTGAAACTATCAGGTAATTGAGTTACGGCTGGGTGCTGGATAATAAAACTGGGGTGTTGAATTACAATTCCATTTCTTAACATCGAACCGGCTTTAATTTTACCATAAGCGGCGACTTCACCCAAACCATATAGACCTTCTGGTCCACCCAGTCTTCTGGGAAACGCCGCTCAAGATCAAAATGCCATACGAAGCTGGCCATAACCAGTCTCATCTCAACATACGCCAAATTGCGTCCGAGGCCTGTGTTTAGTCATTTAGTCGGGTGATGGTTGAAGGATTCGGTAGTTCTTATTTAAAAGGCTACAGCGAATTTGACTTGAGGATCGATAAACTTACAGTCTCTTGGGCCATACGAGAACACCTGAGCAGCGTCTCTTGCATCATTAACGTAAAGTGGATCTTCTCCAGTCCATCTTTCCGGAACAAACTTCGTGGGATTGTGGAAGTTGAGCGAACTCCTGCAGGCAGCAAGGATTGGAACACCGACAGCCATTCCTCCAGGAACAAAAACTCCGTCGATGTCGATGCCTCCGGGTGGTGTATAACGGGGATGAGTCGCGGGAGAAGGTGCTACAATACGCAATGTCTCATCGATAACAGCCTGGAGATATTTGCATTGGTTAACATTAACCATAGTGATTTCATCCGCAGTGGAGAACCTTCCTCGGATCTCGCTTGTTAATTTCGATAGAGTGTGTGGATTCATCAGGAGGTAGTAGACACAATCTGCGAGCATAACGTGTGAGCCGACTGATAAGCAGCTAAAAGTATAATGACACGATGACACAGAGACTTTGCGTTGCTACTCACGTGTAAACATAGTCACCAAAGTCTCACTTCCAGCACCAATCAAAAAGGAAGCGTTGGACTTTAGTTGATGCATCGTCATTTTACCCACGTTGTACTCCTCGATAAGCTTCCCCATCAAGTCAGGTATCGTGGCTGTAATGCTTAAGCGCTGTTTGACTTTGGTCTTTACAGTACGGTCACATAGGTCAGTACCAATATCTTTTTACAGGCTCTGAACGTATGGTTGGTAACACACCTCGCTAATTTGACCTAACGTTTTAACGTCTGAAAGTAAGCCCCTAGGCATTCCTAACACTAGGGTTGGATATTTCAGCCAAATAGGCAGTCGTGCGACTGCTTGGTAAAAAGCATAGAACTTTCCAAGCGGCGGGATCAATTTGATCCATGTGTGGAGCTCGTTAGAGTTAAGGCAGTCAAAGGTTTCTCCATACGCTATTACCTAGATGTCAGCTAGTTGGTCCCTCAACGTCCTCTGGGAAGACTGACTTAAATATCCAATCACATCGAACACGAAAAACTAAATTTGCGTCAGTCTGATCAATCAATCTTGAACAGCTATGAAAAAAACTCACATTGAACCATTGCAGCAAATCAGCGCCGCCATCGTAATCCTGGCTGTGCTTCTCAAGCTTTCTCATCAAGATCTTCAAATAGTCTTGAATCACGGCTTCTTGCTTCCTCAGACTAAAGTCCGAAAAACTCGGCGACAGCAGTTTCCGGAGGTAGGAATGGTATGCCATGTCATCACTATTGAGCAATGTAGGTTCGCCCATGCCTGAGTAATACTTCTTATCTTTGGCAAGCTCGGGTGGGCCATCCTTTCTACGACCATAGATGTCTTTGAACGCTGCAGGGCTGCAGAAGGCTAGCTCTCCTGGAGAGACTCGAACTATAGGGCCGTACTTTTCGTGCATCTCTAGCATGTCTTGAGGTCCGGTGCCATTGACCATAGATAGAAAATATGGCCATTCTGTGGCCGCTCTTGCCCTTGGACCTGGGAATTTAGAGAGCGGGTGGAAGTACACGTTGTATATGACAAGGGTTGTGTAATAGGTTATCGTCTACTAAACAGTCAGTCCACGCAAATTCGACGAGACAAGCCACATGCAAGACTTACAACTAATACTGCCAGTATCGCGATGTAAACAAAACCGAACTTTGAATTGAAGCCGGTGGGAAGCAAGTCTGAATTCATAAATGAATTCATTCTGACAATAAGATTGGTCATTGTGACGGCTCAACCATAGGCTTTGTGAAATGGGTGCTGCAAGGCCTATGGGGGGGTTTGTTTCTAGTCTCCTTTCAAATTTATGTGCAAGAAACACTGATTCGATATGGGATCGTAGTTTAGCCTGCGTTTGCCATAAGCTGATGAGAATGCCTAAAGTAGCATTTCAGGGAGGATTCTGGAGCACTGAGTAGAATGGTGCCACCCCACACGGTTGCCACACTACAGGGTGTTACCCACTTCGCAATCAATGCCTTTGAATGTGGCACCACTCTATCCATCGACAACATTGTGGAGAAATCACCCACTCCATACAGGTATTCATCAGGAACATTGTGGAGAACATTTGAACTCTATCACCCAAGAAAAAGCCAGGACTGCTACCAGAAAATGTAGAAGAAATTAATCGATGCCTTTTTCTCACACTCTCTAATTATCCGCGATGCCACTACTCGCCTCCAAAACCAACATGCAAGACCTGGTAGGAGTTTATCTCGATAGTAACCACCCGCCTTTGCCACGACAGGTGAGTACAGCGTCATTGTGAAATTGACCAAGGCAAATTTGAGCTTAGCAGACTTACCAGATTGTCACTGCACCCTATGATTATGTCGTATCTTTACCGTCAAAGGGCCGCCGAGATTTATTTACAGATGCCCTGAACCGCTGGCTAAAAGTATCAGAATCTGATACCCGCGGAATCAAGCAAATCGTGGATACATTGCACAATGCATCAATCATGTGAGAACATCTTACGGTCACATATACATTACAGGAAGCGAAAGTCTAAATTAACACTAATTAGGGTGGATGACATTCAAGATGAATCGTCGCAACGGAGAGGCCGTTCGTCGACTCACATGGTGTTTGGGATAGCTCAGACGATTAACTCTGCCATGTTCTCCATCAACGAAGCGATAGCATGGGCACAGCGCCTGTGCGGCTCAGACGGCGTCCAAGTCGTCATTGGTAACGCAAACTGTTTCATAGACAACGGGAACAACAACTCGCTAACTTTGTACACGCGCAGAGGAGCTGTCTACACTATACACGGGCCAAAGTTACGATATTCACAGCTCGCAGAACATGAGTTGCCCTACCGTAGAGGAATATATTCGGACGATCGACGGAAGTAAGGCTACATGGTCCTTTAATGCTGTCAAAACAACTGCTGACACAGGAAATTTGCAGAAACGGGGGGGTTATTCGAGCTGAATGCTCGGTTGATGGTCTTGATGACGCCAACCAAAATTGACTACACTATATTGCGCCGCCTTGTGATTTTGCTCGGCCGCTATTATCAGCTACGCGATGATTACAAGGGCATTCAGCAACCTGCTTCTGTAAATAATCCCCACTTACCCGATACCCATCCCTGTCAGCTCTGACGAAGAATTTAGGACAAACAAAAGGCTCAACAACTTGCTACTCCATGGTGTGAGGATTTAGACGGGGGGAAATACACGCTCCCACTTATCCACTTGTTAAATTCTGGGGAAGAAGAGCATCTAATCAAGAGTGTTCTATCAATGCGGCATGCCACAGGCAAAATGGAGGACGCTGCGAAATACGGCATCTTGGAACGCCTGCAGCGAGCTGGAAGCTTGGAGTACACGTCAAATATTTTAGAGGTGGTGCATCAAGAGCTTGTAGAGGAGTTGGACCGAGTCAGTGTGTCCCTTGGCTTTGAAAATCCGGAAATGCGTCTCTTAATTGATATGCTGAAGAAGTAAGATAACCGGATACTGGCGCCGGCGCAGTTTGTTTTGTTTTCTTTCCTTCTTTCCTTCTTCTTTTCTTTTTCTTTTTTTAGAATATTGTACTTCGATATGATAACACAGCGTATATCACAAGCGAGTTGACCTGAAATCGTCTCAAACCAAAGCATTGAACCTGTTTCTAATTAACATGCTACGTGATATTAAATTCTTCATAATTCCAGTACCCACATTTAAACTTCACTCAACGTATGTATGGGAGCCACGCCTCGAATACCTACGCGCGTAATGCTTCAATCCTTTGATCCTTCTTTGGATTAAATCAGACTAAAATATGTCTGTCGATCATTGGACTATATCGATAAACAAGAGTTCCAAGGTATCTAATGGAAACATCTTTAACGCATCCGCTATTTTCTTTTACTGAAGCTAATGGACAAATCGTTCAAACTATTTAGTTAAGATCAACCTCGCGGTGATCATATGTATCTGGCATTCCAGTTGGGAGGCATCACATTCAATCTGATAAATTTGACTGTCTAAAGGTTAAGTAGTATACTATGACTACTTTTCATGCCGCGATTTTGACCTTTAGTAAGTCCTTCGCCTCCTGTCTTCGACGGCATTGCACCATGGTAATTGGGGCCGCAACTCTGCTTTCAAAATAGACTGGACTGGGAAGAACAAAGCCCGGTGGAAATCTCCAATCATATCTGAGCAGCATAAAACTGAACATGATCTTGATTTCATTACTCGCAAACTGCCTTCCTATAATGATGATGTTAGTGAGTGCATGAACCAGAAGCCATTAGAACCGTACCTGGACATTGGTTATTGCCTAATCCAAACAGCAAGTTGTCAGGCGAAGTAGTTACGAATTGATGTCGGGCTTCTCCATTTGGCTGCTGTCTTAGATGCAAGTATCTCCTTGCATCAAACGTTTCCGGATGAGGGTTAACATCAGGATCGACAACGCCATCATCTTCTACCATTACAAGCCCGCCAGCAGGTAGTACCACACCATTGGAAAGTTTTACATCGCGCCTTACGTCTCGTAACATTCCGGCTGTTAAGAATATGATTAATTAAATAGCCATGATGTTGTAATCGGGGAAGACTGGAACTCAATAACGTACCGATGCCCATAGGTTGGTGCCGCGAAATTTCTCTCATAAATGAGTCGAGCAGTTTCATCTTGTAAGGTGCTGCCTTTGACCATCCCCCCTCTTCCTCCAAAACGCGAGCGATCTCTTCGCGTAAATCATTGACCAGTTCGGGAGTCTTGCAACATTGTATGATCATTCGAGTCAACATTTCGGACGTAGAATGAATGCTTGCCTCGCTAATACTCATCTGCGCGAGTACAAAGTTAATGTGGCGACCTTTAGCAACGTCCATTAGCCACGTAAAAACATTGGCAGTCGCAGGCCGCTTTCTGCCATCCCGAAGCCCCTCCTCGATTGCTCGCACTTTGGGGGCTAGAAGGCGCTTAGAATCTGCTACCTGTTTCCGTAACTTCCTACATTCTGGTATAATCCAAACTAGGACTGGTCTTAAGAGCGCTGGTACTTGGTGCAAGATGACAGATGAAATGAATGTAGAGACCGCATGGTCTCTTGAGATGCGAATCCACTCCTAACATACCAGCCCTGTGTTAGATAATTGAACCTCTCATATACACACATGTACAATCTCGTACCTCATTTCTCGCAAAGTCAATGCCAATGGTCGCTCGTGTGACAATTCGGGCAACGATATCCACCGCAGCATCGTTGAGCTTAAAGGTTCGCCATTCGTCCTCCTTATCTCCAAACCACTTTGTAATGCTGAAATTGGCTTCGTCTATCATAGATGGAAGAATTACGCCTAGATTCTGAACAAGCTTGTGTACGGCATCTATGACGAGACGGTCTTCGCGTAAGCCTTCTAGCATTGCTTCAAAACCGGGCTAGCTCAGGCATTAGGTATGAGCTATCACATGCCTCACTGCTAACTATGCACTGATACTGACCTGTGTAGAATGGAAATCCTTTTTGCATGAACCGCCAAACGTCATGTATTCGTTGTTGCGGATCTCTTCTGCATAGCGCCTACAAGCAGGAAACATGTAATGTTAGTAATTGATTTTGCACGAGCAGCATACATAAGTCCTCTTGAACTTCATACCTTGGGAGTACGATCTTGTATCCTCCAGAGGCTCGCAGTTGGTAGATGCCGTCGGTGGTCTTGCTGATGGCTTTCCCCTTGGCTAGGACCTCTTGGGGTGATATCATCCAAGACAAGCCTGGGAGAAAAAGTTGAATCAAAAAATGAATACCCTTCTGCTCTATCTGAGCTATTGGAATCCCCACATACGGTCGGTTGCGAGTTAGACATGAGTAGACCCTATAGATCATAAATACAACAAATATGATTTGGATCTGAACTGGCCAGCTCCTTGGGCGGAAGATGAAATCTCCGCTTTCTAAGATCTTTGAATCCATAATACGAGACGTCTGTTGCGCGCTCGCTCGTGCACCGAGTTTGAAGGTCCAGAAGCATAGCAAAACCCACAGGTGTGGGGGATTGCTGTAGTTTAGATGGTATACAGCACACAACTATACTGCTATCAATGCAATCGGCCACAGGCTCGTTAGGGGATGGTACCACCCATCGTGCAGTTAGACTTACAGATGTAGTTTGATTCCACCCTTCAGACGAGACACAGGATGGTGGTACGACACTCCATACCTATGTATGTAGTGTGTCCACCTTTCGTTTTTTTTTTTAGCACCGGCTTTGCTCTGCGGGCCGATGCCGAAGCTTAAGCCTAGTGAAGCATCAATAAGGCGTTAGTGATGCCGTTGCTTGCCGGCTTCATCGTTAACTGCCATTTAGCTGATTAGCCTAGAGTTGGTACAGAATGAGGTTCTCGTCGCATAGATATAGCTACCTCTTTAACACTTCTATCTCCTCAAAACTTCTATTTTGATGTCATACGACTTGGCGTTACTACAAGGTGAATTAGTAGAGGAATATACTGTAGGCGTGCGGGTGAGGTTACGTAACTGAAAGGTCCTTGCGATAGTTTGCTTCTAGATAATAGACATGCTCCCCAAATAAAGAAATAAAAAAGCGCAATTCATCACTTGCGTCTAACGTGTGAATGACCTGGATGAATTATCCAACGTACAACCTTGGTCCTAAATTATGTGGCTACACAATGAAAGAGCTCATGGGCTTTTTTTTTTTTTTTTTTTTGACTCAAATAATATCAAGAACAGTTAAACAAAACAATAGCGAATTAGTCAAANTCGGCTCTGGAGTTTTTTTTTTTTTTTTTTTTTTTTTTAAAGTAATTATGCATGCACAGAGTGTTGACAACGATAATGTCTGCAACTATAATACTGGGGTGCAGCTATAAAATTGCAACATTTACCCTTCTATGTACCACATATCCGCCTATGACACTATTTTGCTTCCGCCAACATAACTCGAACATATTTCGGCGTGTGTGTCAGGATGTCATTGGCCCCGAAATCCCCCATCGATTCAGGGATGCTCTGAAACTCAAAGTTCCAAACCATCAAGGTATATATCACTCTCTGCTCAAGATATGCCAGTCGCTTGCCTGCGTATGCGATCGTTAGTCAAAGTTTCAGAAATTTATATGAGGACAACTCTCACCGAAGCATCCGCGAATACCAGCACCAAATGTCTGAAGAGGGGCCGCGCGGGCATCGAAAGTTATCCCGCCATTTTCGGCGCCCTGGTCGGATTCCTTCTTCAGCCATCGCTCTGGCCGGAAAACCTCCAAATCTTCGTGGGTGCTCCATCTTTCAGTATCCCCTTTGTATTCTCGGCTTGATGTACTGCGTTTTTGCTCATCAATGGGGAATGCAGGCGAATGAAAGCTTGGCCCGTTTGTCTATCAATTCTTTTTAGTATACTCTGTGAGGTATCTCTTGCATCTAGATAAAAAAGCTTACCAGCATCCATAAATCCGTGCCTTTTGGAATACGGTACCCCAAAACCTCCACATCTTCGGTAGCCTTGCGGATATTTGATGACAGAATGCCAGAGTGACGCATCACCTCGTCAATGAACGCTTCCAGGTACACATCTCTTGCTTTGGCGATTTCCTCAGCACCAGGTTGTTCTCCCTTGTCGAAAGCCGCTTTGTGAGTAGCTCGTAGGCTTGCTCGTAGCTTTTTCTGGACGTCCTGGTATTGAGTCAAGTACTTAACCCCCCAGTTGAGCGTGGATGATGTAGTTTCGAAACCAGCCTGGAGAAAGCCAGCCATTTCATCAAAAAGAAACTTAGATTCACGATCGGGTGCCCTGCCTTGTTTCTTGGCCAGGGTGACCTCACGCTGGACAACCAGGTCGACTGCACACCTCAATTTGTCCTCATCGGCTGCGTCACCACGTCCAAAGGTGTTCCACGCTTGTTCGATCTTGCTGCCGATTAACCTGTTTCTTGATGCCATCGCGCGGCGATAAGAGGGATAGAATTTAATAGCAAACCCTACCAAATGGTTAGCATCTAAACGTGACATGTAGAGTACAAAATTCTCTTTGGCCTCAGTTACACACAGTGGTGGTGGCGTCCAAGAGGGGAGTTCATGGGAATTTCGAAGCTTCGAACAATGGTAGTCAAAGTATGCCAACCCTCGGGGAATTCCCCCTCTGGTATTTCGGCAACAGTTTTCTTGCTATCAGGAGGAAGAGCAATGTGGTCGAGATTGGATAAGTAGTCGGCCTGAGACTTGCTTATACCAAGAGACGATCCGAAGGTAGCAGCCCAAATTGTATCTACAGTGCAGTATTGAACATCTTTATAAACATCGAACGCGTGCTTCGGAGCCAGCCTAAGCTTTTGGCGCCAGAGATCAATGAGATCAATAGTGTTCTCGTAGACCCTGTATGTAGCAACATTGTTTAGGAATGGAACCGACATAGTGTCTGCTACCTGTAAGCCGATTCACCTGATTTAGCGGCGCTTTGTTTTCAAATTTGGCTATTCGGAACACTGACCAGACGCCGATTGTGCCTCCATTGATCGTTAGTAGGCAGGACAGACTGCTGATGCGGTATTATTGCCGCAAAGAAATCCCGAAACATGTCTCCTCGGTCGAATTCGCGTCCCCTCCTTGACATGATATCTTGTGCTCTGACAACGATTAGCTCAGCGCCGCGGATAGTTTAAACAAAAATACCTACTCTCTCCCATCACACATAATCACCCAGGGTCTACCAAAGGGCCTCATAAACACTTGAATCATCGGAGAGTTGAGCTCTTGGCATTTTTGTGCGAGGAAAGACATCATCTCGCCCGTGTTTTTGTAGTGACTGAGCGCACGTGGGACATCGCCTTTTCATCGAGAAAGGATGAAGATTAGCTGGCGGCTGAGGCTCCAACGGGTAACGCGTAGGTATTTAGATCATCTTACCCAATAAACGTGTGGCAGACTTTTCATCGTATGGAATGCCCTGCTCAGCTGTTAATTACGGTACGTCTCAGTATTATAGGCAGTGTTGACGCCACTCACTGGGATAGGTTTAGGCAGAGCCGCTCTGTATAGCAGAATGGCAGCAGCAACAATGACAGAAGCCACCAGAACTGTAATTTGCGATGGAAATGGCATTTTGCAGAGGATTGATGTGAAACGGTGGAGATGGACCTGAATCGGGTATGAGTTAATTGTGGCCATAAGCTCTTTAAAGGTTCCCTCCATTTCGGAGGTGTGCCCACCGGTGGTACCACCAACAAAGCAGTTCAAAAGCTTCATCGTATAGTAGATGCTCTCATAATTTTTACACTACAGAAACGTTCAGTGCGTGTAATTAAATAATTTTGCCTCATTCACCTTTATTACCACAGTTTTGCGCAATGGCTACATGTAACAGTCGCGGTGGGTTACTCGGCCTACGAATTCTCGACGCATAAAAGTCACGTAAGCACAGAATAAGGCATACCACGAGATTTCAGTAGTAGGAAAATAATGACGAATATCGACAGCATAGACAAAGACTGCTAGAATGAAATTGTAGAGTTCTATATAGGCAAGTGGTTCTGTCGCACTGCATCAGATAATTCCGTCGCATTCAGCGTGGTGGGCACACCACTGCGCAATACCTGGTATTTACAATTCTTACACGTCTATGACGTCCAGACGCCTGAGCAATAGATAATAATAGCGATGTATACAAGTAAATGATTACTACCAAGGTAATTTCCGACCAATGCAGTCCTCACTGTCAAAACTGGTACATAGTCCGCGCATCACTCTATGAAAAAACCTTCCTCCTCCGCATGGGAAGGCGTATCTTGGGCAGCAACCATGTCAGTGGCGCATCTATCAATCACTGCTCCTATGCGCGCTCTCGTATTTATTCTGGTCTACTTCCTCATGCCAGTCGCATCCTTTAATTGCATTGTCAGCGGCAATTCCCCTTGCGCAACAGCATCAGGTACTGACCTCCCAATGCTACCGCCATATGTGTCATGACAGTATCTGGTGCTGCACCGTGCCAGTGCTTCTCACCACCAGGAATGTATACCACATCTCCAACCTTTAGTTTCCGCGGCTCTTGGCCCTCGGACTGGATGAGACCGCTACCCTGTGTAACAAACAGAATCTGTCCCTTTTCATGGGTATGCCAAAATGTTCGAGCACCAGGAGTGAATGTAACGCTGCCACATGCACATCCCTCCCCGAAAAACATTGCGTCGAAGTAGGTGGATCCAGTCATGTTGGAGGTCAGCAAGGTTGAGGGTTTGCCAACCTGCTGTGCTGAAGTGATAAGCTGCATCTTGCTAGTGAGTTAGGGTTATTAATAACAGTAAAATAAAAATATATGTCCCAAGGCCAGCAACTTTCAAAAGAGTTGAGATATATAGTCTTAATAAATTGGAATGAAGAAGAAATGAACTAATAAATATAAATGGCGATTGTCGTTGCCTCTCAGGAAAGCGCACTTTCTTATCCCTTGTTAAATATTCTATTTACATTACTTTTAACCACACGATTGGACCCGAGTCTAGTTACAGTAGGTCGAAAGCGATTCAGTCATGCATGCATTGTGGGAGGCTTCCACCCAAACCAACTTTCCACTGAAAGGTCCATGGACCACTTACAAATGTTCCACTCCCGCAGCATACACGGAACAAAGTCGAATCACCCCACCACTCTGGTGGTGCCAGATGGGTTAGTGCGGGTTTGTAGAAAATGTAAATGCATTGTGCATGTTGTCATTTACAATATAGGTCTAAAAGTTTTTTTTTTTTATAAAATATATTTCCTTAGCTTACAAAATATCATTAAAAGGTAAGTTAAGAATACGATACTATTTTCTATATATATATTTATATTTTATAATCTCTCTATAATAGCAGTATATTTAACATTTTCTTGCCTAGGCTATATAACCTACCTTTAAATGTTAATCTACGACTTGGATACCTTTAGTTAGTTGCTAAAATAAAATATTAAAAGTGAAATACCTTAGTAATCATCAGGTAGGGTAAGAACTATTCTCATGCCTTTTTTTTGCTTTTGCCATTCACTAGCATAAATAATCATTCTCCTAACAAATAAACTTAATATTCCTATAAATTTACTGGCACCTCCCCAAACCTTCCTCCTCCTACAGAATATCGAACCCTATGTTCTCAAGTACTCGGGCCCAACTATCTCACAGCCCGTTTCCGTACACCTCTGCTCGGGAAGATGGTAGGTACAGGCACATGTCCCAGCTGGTGGGCAGGGAAACAGACTAAACATTGAAATTCCGTGTTAACATCAAGCAAGGCTAGATACGTAGCGGAAGTTTTGTTATAAGCACAGTGGGAAGAACACGAGGGGCTTGCTCACCACAAACCTGGCATGGACGGTACCGGAGAGAGAATGGTGCCGGGATTGGTCTGAGTTGCCTCCTGCCGAGCATGAGGGACATTGGCGGGTGTATCATGCTCAATGTTGGGAATGTGGGCGGCTGCACACGTCGCTATGTCAACCAACAAAGGAACGAGGAGGGAAACAGGCTTCATTGCGGAATGTGCTTAGCGTGCGCTATGGTAAGGTTGACGACTATATTTCCCGTGCTTTGAAGGACTTGGGAGAAGTGACCTCTGGAAAAGAGTTGGCAGTGGGGAAGAGAGAATAAGAGGTTAAATGAAGGGTGATAGTTGATAGAGTAAAATTGAGGTGCTCCGGTGACAGAAAATAAGAGGGCTTTGGGGATACAGGCAGCACCGGTATGCGTGCACTAAGCGTGTCACACTATTAGCCGTTGGTTGTCGATTGTGTCCCGTTGCATCGGATAAAATACCCTTGCGGGCTGGCTTTATCCAAATTAAATAATGACATTGTAAGTTGGTCGTTGGTTCCTCTTCTTTGGCCGTAGTCTACAATTTTGTGTGTACCCCCACTGAGGTTTCCTCGTATGAGAGGACTTGGCCGAGAGCCAGAGGGAGTAACTGCATTCAGTTACCAATTACATCGTGAACTGCATCGCCAACAGTCTTGCCAGAATCAAGTTAGTATAATTCAGATACGTATTGTGCTGCAAGCATTGGGCGTTATTCAGTCTAACTCTATCTCGGTTGTAGATGCTGAGCAATTGGCGGCCATGAATAGGAGCCACAACCTACAGCCACCTTTACTGCAACTGCGGTTCTGACCATGCCACTATCTGTCGAGGCCACTCAATTAAACATTCAGGCATTACATCCACGTCGATGTTCTATCGTACGGCGGCACTAGTCGCCATGCAGCTTGGGTCTATTCCCACCCCTTCCAAAGCGCGCGCTGATGACGGCCATGTCACTAGACAGTGACCAACCAATCCTTTCGATTCATTGACCAAACTCGAGATGTATCCTCTACGATTGAGTCCTTAAAATGCCAATGATACCGCCTGAAGAACTGTGAACAGAGTTTGGGCTCAGGCATTAGTTAGACCGTATACACAGTTAGCTCGGGACTGTCACCCAGCTTGCCATGTTTATTTAAGGCCAAGCTCTTCCGTCCTTCTGGCCTCTGCAACTGTCTCAACAATATCTCATCCATCACAGAATGCAAATAAAAACAATACCATCGAATTCCATGTTCACAAAGTCCAAGGTATTTAACCCTCAGACTTTTCTCTGCCATTATGATTGCTTCAAGCATTCTTGCCACGGCTGCCCCCGTCAACGGTGGCGCTCAATCTCTGCAATTAGAGCGGCACGTTGCTGGTGTCACAGTCTCGGTTGTAGATGGAGTGCAGGATGCCGCCACTGTGGACTTGAGATGCGGAGATACTGTTACCCCCTTGAATCTATGGTAGGTTCGCGACGTGATACCAGCCGTAGTAGATACATAAGTGCTAGACTGCCAGAGTGATTATGTATACTGCATAACATCTATCAAAGAGTTCTGCTGTATTTCTTTATTCTTGCATAATATATAATATAACTATCAGGGCAAGGATAAGCATAGATGAACAGCGTATAGTCCAGCTCAATTTAATCCAATATATAAAGCTAGTATATCTAGCACTCTCTAAGTAGGTGTACAGCTGTTGGAAATCTAGTTAGGGGCCGGAAGATTGCCTTCGCATTCGAAGTCGACATTGCAGTACGAGCAAGAGTAGCCAAGACTAGTGCTACCACAAGGGCTAAACGGCCCGTGAAGATATCCTTCGTAGTCTTTTCCTTCATAAGAAACATGGCATCCTACCATAGCAATGCCATTCAATCGAGGTGTCCACTATTTCTTTGTAAATACTATATCGTATGTGGACGAATCTAATTAAACTCACAATAATAGACTCGGCAGTATGAAGATAATGTTGGTCGATTGTGTGCTTCGCTACCGAGTTGAAGGCGCTGCCATCCCTGCTGAAGACTCCACCGGAAATATGGACACCTCCTTGGTAGTAGAGCTCGAAGCCCTCATCGCCATAGACTTCGCCGGGGATACCGCTGAAGACGTCCTGGTCTTCCCAAGTATAGCCAACAATGGTGCATATATTGGCCATACTGACGCCAGTATAAGCAAGTAAAGCGACATTAGCTACAGTGAAGCTGTTATATATTAGCTTGGAATATTGTCTATTAAGTGACAAAACTTACCGCATCTTGATATAACTTTGGTAGTGTCCCAAACAGAGGCAAAGGTAAGTGCCAGTAAAGGAGTAGATAAAACAATATAGATATAAAATTGTATTGTAGAGATATAAAGAAAGAATTAATCAAGGCAGTTCTCTAGCCTTTTTATACTTTTCAGGAGAACCTAGAATAGCTTTAGTGAATCTTATATAAGTATAATAATAAGTTTCAAAAGGCACCATTTTAATATAAGCAATATTCTCTAGCTTATTAGCTAGACTAGGATGCATATAAGATACCTAAGGCGGCTACTTGCGTATTCCCCTGTTATATCTGTTTCTCATTGTACTGTTACATCTAGACCTTAACAACAGCAATCCCCAATAGCATACCTAACTTGCAGTGGGTAATTGTGCCGAATATCCTAACTACATATTATTACAAGGGTCCTAGGCCTTGCAAAACTTGGAATACGCTCAGAGTCTGTGTTAATACGCCCAGAGTGTGCATGTGCAGGAATACGCTCTGTGTTGGGGAAATACGCTTATTCCTCAAGCGCGCTTTACTCTTATACAAGGTCCGTATTCCGTAGTTCTCTACGTTAAGATGTATGATTTAAAAAATGCCTAAGCCAACGCCAACGATTTGACCGTGGCGCGAAATATGGTAAGGGACATATCTAGCGGTGTCACTTTCTGTAGGTTATCCCGAAGTAACAACAACCTTCCCAGCATGCACTCGATTTCTCCCGTCACGCCAAACTCCTTGACAGGATAGTGTAGCCAAATCTTGCATATTAACCTTATAGTAGGCTCCGCTATTTTTTTTGGTTTTCAGAGTTGGATATTATGTAACCCCCACCTCAAGCCATGAACTTTCATTCGCCGGTTTTTCGTACAAGCCAACCCTATATTTAGATACATATGTGTCACAATTACAGTGAACACAGGAAATGCATATAGTACAGCAGTAAAGATTGAGTCTAGGATTACTTGCATTTCAAATTTTTAATCTAGCGTAAGCGGTGGTCAGACTTAGACTTAGCGACCACGAAGACCAGCTGTGTGCGGGTCATGTACTCTATTAGGCAACTAGTACGATGCTTGCTGCAGGGATAACCAGTTCGCGGCAGCCCTAATTTTGCTTCCCTAGATAATATATATATACTATGTGGGTGTTATGCTATGCGTGAAGCTGTTGCGCGGTGAACCTTCGTGGGTATTATTTAATTCCATAGAATGAAGTCTTGGAGCGCCCCTCCACGGAGGTTCAGCATCAGCTCAGTTCTCGAGAATTTTCCGCAATTATCTTACGCCATCGATATTTTCCTATATAGCAGCGATGGTAATTAACATTTTCATCTTACTGTCTCTTATCACATTCGTCCAAGAACGGCTGTGGCCATGTTGCTACCTGGGATCAAGATGGATTTGAAGGATCGAATGGAGACACACGTCGTACCTCGTGCACTTCATGAGCTTCGTCCATTGTGACTGCGGGGGAGAGTAGCCTGGAGACTAGCTGTATTGCGAATAATGTGCAATGACTACGACAAGCGCACTCCAACTTACCAAAACCAGGTCCTGTGGGTCAAGCAACTTGGTCAAGCCTCGGGTAATTCCATGCATAGTTTCCCCTTGTCATGGCGGAAGCGTCTTTTCCTAGATTATGACATCCAAGCACTGGGCCCTCTTTCTGGCAGCAATGCCACCAGCCAGTAAGTATCGCCCACCCATTTATTTTCTTGGATATTCTTGGTAATGACTGGGGTACTCTGCAGTTATGGGCTGGGCCGCGCATCTACGAAAATTCTCCCGTCAACACACAAACCTCTGATGATTATAAGCATTAATGGCGCCATGTCTATTATCTACTGCTTAATAAGCTCAAGGTTGATCGAGTCAAGCCCTTACTTATAGATGGTACAGGCAGGGGTGCCGCCTTGCTAGTTGACGCTATACAGGCTCTATATCTCAATCCTAGCAATCTGAGTCAACTTCGCTCGATGATTGCCCTGAGCTTTGTTTTTAGCCTCTTATACACCAGACTGTGTATCATCTCCTGAGTCTATCTCGCTGAGAACTTCCACGTTGAGGTCCGTGCTTAAAGTAACGCTATCAAGAATATGTAGTTCGGAAATATTGGAGTGTATCGGCATGATAGTAAATTATTGTTCATTTGGATGGGAGGAAAGCGACCCGCGAAAAGACATGAAAGTTTTGGAGCTGTCTATCAGGCAGCGACTCGCGATTAATCGACGTTAAGCAAACGAATATGTTTTATATATAAATTTTCTAACATAATGTTCAAATGGTTGTATTGAAAATATACAGTATACAATTAGGGTCAATAGTTTTGAGACCTAAATTATGCTATCTCTTGTCTTTTTCCTTCAATCAGTGTAAATATAATCTTGTCTAAATCATCCATAATCTTATCTTGCTTTCCCATCGTACGTGCTAAAAGAAGTCCTGTTTTCGAAATAATAAAAGCTCCTTGCGTCATTTTCCCCTTAGACGAAGTAATCGACATTGCTTTAATCAAAGATGCACTGGGATTGCTGGCAAGAGGCAACGATATGTCTTTCTCTTTCACAAACGCAGCAGTTGATGGTACCGAATCTGGTGAGATGCCTATCGTGTCCATTTCTGCCGGCTCCCAGTCCAATTGAGCGTGATTGAATTCGCTGTACATGTCGTATGCTACCGGCAAAGTTAATGCAGAGTATGAGACAAATACTTGGGTTGCTTGACTCATACCATCACCATCCCAACGCTTCGGAAATACATAAACAATGACCCCATTACGACTCTTATCCACAAGCTGTTTCAATGACGTTTCGGTCCCATCATGGAGGTATAGTTCTCCTCCGAAGTTATCACATAATGGGACCTTGGACCCAATGCTCAGATGGGGCCTTGTATTTTTATCGTTTTCCCCTTTATTTGCTTTCTTGGGGCTGGCTTTTTTGGTAACTTTGGCTTTGCGTTCGCGTGATGGCTTTGGGGCCCCCTTTGAGGTTCGGTAAGCCTTCTTTGCTGTAGAGGTGTTCCCGTTCGCAGCAGCTCTTGTTACAGGCATGTTTCAGACGTTAGAAGCAATAAAAAACAGAGAAGCCTCCCAACTTTAAGAGTGATGTGAATGCAACAGACTGCAACGTGAAATTTCGCAGCCTATGCGTGCGCCCCACTTGCAGCTGATCCTCTAGGCACAATGCTGACTGACTAGTAGCTATTCTTAGCCCAGGAAATATACAAAACAAGCATAATCAGCCTCGGAGCTTCTGCCGCTTCAAGATTCGGTCCCATGCAGACTGGTAGTATAAGTAGTGACATGCTTCTGCCTGATTTTAACGTACTATTGTTATCCGAATACGAGGAACAGTTCTGCCGTGAAATTAAATTATATCTTACCCACATTATACTCTATTCGTTGATTTCGTTATTATAGAAGTCCAGGATAGCTGAACCTCCAATAGATTCGATTACTGCAATTAAGAGCAAGTCAGCAAAACGCATTTTATGCGGGTAGGACTGTGGGCCCTCATACTCTGCTGCTGCTTATTGTAGACACTATCATTTCACTTGTTAAGTTGAATGGGACACTTCGGAGCTTTGAAGCACTTATCACACTTCTCTTTACACACTCTAAGGTAAGAATGAGGCTATTGCCACATTGCTCTGTAAAGCGGGAGAGTGGGTTGATACGCATTGCAGTTCCTATTGCTAATAAGTTAGAAGCGACTCCAGAAGTCTTAATCAGGTACTTGAATGGCATTATGTTCCCTCACGATGTGAACGTAATTAATATTGGTTTTTGTGGAGTATTGAAATCTGCCACTGAGCCGCGAGCGCTGTTCCGAAGCATTTCTATGTCTTTCTCGCTAACGTCGCACTGCATATCTATTCACCCAAAACGGGCATTAAGTTCAGCACTCAAGGTAGTCATAAAAAGTGCCTTACATTATGTGCTCATAATACTATAAAATATTCTAGTGCCTTTTGGCTGATACATAGAGAAAATTGGCTTAAAGGTTCATCCGAGATGGCTTACGCGCCTATGGAACGCCATGGAGTAGTTGGGCAAGACGGTGGGGCATATAGTGTAATCCCTTGGTTACTGTTAAAAAAAAGCCTTATATGATTAATGGCCTTTTTTCGAATAGAGAGAGTTACAACGCTTGCCAGCTCAAGGTTTAAGCGACGGAATATATACAATGGCACCTATCAGAGTTGGCCTTATGGGCCTCTCCACCACGGATGGATTTTCAGGCCCGGGTTCCTGGGCCGCATCTACGCATCTGCCAGCCCTGATACAGTCACCCGAATATAAAATTGTGGCGCTCGCGAATTCTACTGTCAAGTCCGCACAACGGTCTATAGCAGCTCATAGGCTGCCTCCATCAACTAAAGCATATGGAAGCGCAACAGATATTGCAAATGATACTAATGTGGACCTTATTGTTGTGTCACTTCATGTGCAGAAGCACTTTAAACTAGCCAACCCGGCACTTCTTCAGCGGAAGAAGGGCTTTATCGAATAACCATTAACTGCCAACCCTTCCGAGATTGAGCAGCTTGCTGAGCTTGCAAGATTTGCCGGGGTGCAGACTTGCGTTGGAGTTCAGAAGAGAACATCTCCAATGATTTTAAAATTGAAGGAAATTATCTCAAGTGGAAAAATTGGCCGCATTGTCAACTTGTCTGCGGTGGCAAGCTCCGTCCGTCGATCGATGGATAAGTGGCCGGAGAACATGAAGTATTATCTGGATATGTCTAGCGGCGGGAATAAGTTTTATATTCACTTCTGGCATTGTTAGTACCACTTCCGAATCCTTATGAACTCTACTCCGTACTGACTTGATCAGTTCTTGATAGTTTCATGTATGTTATGGGAGACATCGTACACCATCAGTCGATTTTGAAAACACAGTACAAAACAGTTCAAATCACGGGCGAAGGGGATAAAATCACCGACCCCAAGTATCCAAAATCCTCGCCCGATCATATACTCCTACAAGGCATTAGCGACCGTGGAACGGTATTCTCGATGTCTTTCCACAGCCCAAAGAGTTCTGCTGATGAAAAGGATATCCAGTGGTACATTTCCGGTACACAAGGTGAGATCATGGTTACTGCTCCAGCTGCGTGGACTTTGCATGATCAGGGGCCAGAAATTCGGTTTCGGGATGGTGATCAGCCTATAATCGCTGTTGATTTCCAAGAATTTCGGATCCCTGTAGCTGAAAAAGTGCCTTCAATCGTAGTCAAAGTTGCGTCAATGTATAATGCTTTTGCCCAGAGCGATACAAGCAGATTTGCAACCTTTGATTCAGACGTGAAGACTCACAGGGTTTTGGAAGCTATTAAGAGAACTGCGTTTATTGTTAGGAAGAAAATTGAGATATCAGTGCTAGCGTGGATATGATATACAAATATATGCGGCATTCGAGAGTCAGATTTTCCATCTACCAATGACTAAAAGATTCCTCCGCTCCTTGTAATGTATGTGGCTTAAAGTTGAATGATGCAATATACCACTAGACAGACAAATAATCATGAATGATTTGTGCTAATACACTGATAAGTGCGTGGTGATTTTTCTGATTGATGGTTCCCATGCCTACAGGAACAGTAACACACACATACACCAAATTTCTCGCGACTTTGTAGTAAGCAAGCTAAATCTAGTTAATAATTTATTACATAACATTATTTATTATATTTATTAAATAAAAGATTTAATAGTTGGTTATTAATAAAGTAATAATATATTAAAATATAAATACCTTAAACTTACTTATGTTTATAAAACTTAGAATTAAAAACTTAATATAAGAAGTTTGTAGGTATACTTAAGGCAAGATTCTGACTGTACAAAATAACCTCAAAAAGGTTTTAAATAAAAATTATATTAATAAGTTTGCACTTAAAAATGTAATATAAAGGAAAAAAGATAATTATGTAACATTCTAATCCTATACCTAGTATAAGGTAATTAATTCCTAAGGGATAAACCTTTAACATTAGGTTTATATTAGCAAAGAGATGTAAAGGATCTTATAAGCGGTTTTAGTTATATAGCTAATAACTTTAAATAAGGGTCTAATTTAGTTATTATATAAATGCTATATTAATAACTAATTATTTAAGCTATATTTAATAAGCATATTAAATAGTTTTATATAATAAGTTATTCTATAGTTATTACTTATATAAGTTGTATTATATTTAATAAAAATGCTTTTTTAAAGTTATAGTTTTATTTTATAAGTAGGTATATATTTTACTAAGAATATATTTCCTTTATTATAATTGGTTGTCTTGTCTGTGGTTTACCCAGAGGTATATACTAGAGGGATTTTATATAGTTGGTTTATAATATAATACCCCCTTTCTGTTAGTCTTGTCCTTAAGGCCTAAAACTATATAAGGTTCTGTTTTTCCTTCCTTTAGTAGTAAATAACTGTATTTCTTTATAATACCTTATGGTATTTTTAAATAATATTTTTTAGTTCTTAAGAGCTTAATTAATTATTATAAAGCAGCAATAATAGTTATTAAGACTATTAAGGTCTTTATTATGCTTTATTTTTTTTATAATTCTTATAGCTTACCCTGCAAGATAGCAATAGAGTATAGTAAATATCTAGAATATATTTATAAAGGTTAAATATATGATAGAAATAGCATTTCTCTGGCTGTAGGTAAGTGTTTTTCTTTAGCTTTTAATAAGTATATGTTTTATTAATTTATATTTTTAGTATAGTATTTAGCAGCTGAAAAGGAGTGTTTAAATGCTGCTAAGCGCTAGGCTGAGTATAAGCTTTTTAAGTAGTAATAGAAATTAATAGAGTATTAATAATAGTTAATGTTGTTGTTTTAATAAATAAATAAGATTTTTATATAATTATTATATCTTTAGGAGCAGTGTTAATAGGTTAATGTATAGGGTAAGTAGATGCTTTATTGTAGGGCTTAGTCTTTTAATAAATTAAATAATTTAAAGTATGTTAAGTTAAAGGCAGTGGTAGATATATAGCTTAATAGTAGTGTTAATGTAATTAATTAAAATGCAGTGCTTGCTGACTTAAGCTTAATATTTAAAGAAATTTCTTTATTAGTGCCTAAGAGCTAAAGTATTTAATAAGCTCCTATAAATTCTTAAGTTTTAAATATCCTTTTTATTTAATAAAGTATTTAATATTCTAGGTTTTAGAGTTTTAGCATACAGCAATAATGTTTTTAATTTTATATTCTTCCTTTTAATTTTTTATAATAATTTTATTTAAAATAGGCCTTTTAGTTTTTTTATTAATCTAT